AGGGCGGAGATGCTGGCTGCGAATCCTCTTCCCACCAGCGGCGACTCGAAGAGATGAAGAGATTTGATCTTGTTCTCGGTCTGCAACCAACTTTCATCTCCACATCGTCAGGAAGGCCTCGACACCCACCTGGCAGTTGTTGGGGATCACCGAGTAAGAGTTGAAGATCTCGAAGTACTGGGCCCAGTAGATCGAACACAGCTCCGGCTTGGCGCTGGAGCACGAAGGGAAAGCAGTCAGCTTGCCGTGTCTCCCGCGTGATCCTCCGCTCGCCTCTCCTCCACGTCGTCCTCCTCCTCCTCCTCCTCCTCCTCCTCCCCAATCTGCCCTCTTGGTTTCTACCATCGCTGACCCTCCCCTGGCCTCACGGGAAAATGGGCTGTGGAAGTCGGACAATCTTCTTCAGGGTGGGTGGGTACCCCAGGGGGGTGGGTGTAATTGATGGGCTAGGTCGGGTACTTTCGATGCAATTGAGTCATTGGGCGCACCAGGGTGGTAGGGTGGTAAGTCGGGTACAGGGAAGGGGAAAGTTTCATTTCGGGGAAGGTGTCAGGGGGTATGAGTAGGAGTAAGGTGGGGTCGTAAATGCTAAAAGGTGGGGTAGGGAGGATATTTAGTGGGTCACAAGGTAGGGGTGTGGAGAAGGGGATATTGGGGAGGAAGCGTGGGGGGTAGTTGCAGAAGGTAGACGATGGCGGGGCTCGTAGGAAGGATGCGAAGTCAAGTACGCGCGTCTGAGAGTTTCAAGGCGGCATACCCAGAGGAAGGGGAAGGAAAGGAGGAGAAAAACAAGACGCTAGGTGAGGGGGACGTTGCTGAATCCAACAGAACTATTCGCGCGATCTCTCCCATGGGACGAAGAGATAGTCTGAAAGAGATGCTTGAAAGGCGAAAGTCAATGGGGATTATCGAAGAACAAGGGGATAAGAAGAAGTTGCAATCTGAAGTCCATTCGCCAACCGAAAGAAAGATAAGCTCTGCTGTCCTGGACGAGCAGACTTCGGTTTCTCCGATGGATAGGAGGAGGTCTTTTCTAGAAAGGAGGCAATCTGAAGTCCATTCGCCAACCGAAAGAAAGCTAAGCTCTGCTGTCTTAGATGATCAGACTTCGGTTTCTCCGATGGATAGGAGGAGGTCTTTTCTAGAAAGGAGGCAATCTGAAGTCCATTCGCCAACCGAAAGAAAGCTCAACTGGGCAGCACCGATGGAAAGAAAGCTAAGCTCTGCTGTCTTAGATGAGCAGACTTCGGTTTCTCCGATGGATAGGAGGAGGTCTTTTCTAGACAGACGGGACCAACCGGACCAAGTATCGTCTCCAGGGCTGAGGCTCGTCAAGAAAGACAGTTGGCTATCTCGCGAGAGATCAAGCTTTGCAAAGGAGTTGGTGGACACTCCTAGTCCAGGTAGATTCTCTTGCTCGTCCATGAAAACAGTGATGTCTTCTTCAGAAAACTCTCCTGTACAAGGTGAAAATGAGAAAGATCCATCCCCTGTTCGAAGTAGTAGGTTCTCACCGGACCCAAAGAAAGATCCATCCCCTGTTCGAAGTAGTAGGTTCTCGCCGGACCCAAAGAAAGATCCATCCCCTGTTCGAAGTAGTAGGTTCTCGCCGGACCCAAAGAAAGATCCATCCCCTGTTCGAAGTAACAGGTTCTCGCCGGACCCAAAGAAGGAAAGGCCTGGTGTGAATGGAAAGGATGGTATGCACCATGCCTCTCGCTTCTTGTTGTTTTTCTGATAAGCTCTTCCATCGCAGATGTGATTATGCAGCTGCCGACGTGTCGACGGAGCGACTTCGAGGTATAGCATTGACAGCTTGATTTGTATAATCGTGTACCATTGGAAGATGGGTGCTAAATTAGGGGAAGGGTCGTTTGCAACAGTGCACAAAGGGAAGCACTTAGCTACAGGAAAAGGTGAGAGCAGTTGTTGAATCAGATGGCTGGAATGAAGGGAATGTCTTGACTCATCTTGTGTAGATGTTGCTATCAAGATTGTTAAACCAGAAAAAGATCTAGATTTCGGTGGGGACAACCCAAGTGCGTGTCATATCAGCTACAAGGACGTTCTGAAGGCAATGAAGAAGGAAGTGGAGTTCATTGAACGAGTTGGCGTTCATCCACATATCGTTGAGCTGATGGGAACATCGGACAATTGCCAAGTGTTTATCATGGAAAAAGCAACAAGTGACCTTTACCAAATTGTTAGGAAGAAAGAGAAGACCCTTTCTCTGCAGTCTGTCTCAGTTTGGAGTGAACAGATCCTCCAGGCTATCGATTTTATACACCAAAAGGATATAGTTCACCAGGATATCAAATCATCGAATGTCTTAATTTTCAATGACAGGCAATGTAAGATTTGTGATTTTGGCCTTGCAAGGTCGAATGAAGATGTAATGTAAGTGATCGTGATTGCAAGTGACCAACCTGATGCTCCTGACGCAGGTATGTCGATCGTGAGTTGGTCACGTTGTGGTATAGAGCCCCAGAGCTTCTCCTTGGAGATACAACATATACCAAGAAGATTGATGATTGGTCAGCGGGTTGTATTTTGCTGGAAATGATTATTGGCATTTGTCCTTTCCGAGGCAATGCAGAGAACATTTGTAATTGTCCACAGGTACCCGTGAATGTCTGTAGCAATACGATTATCTGATATCTTTGTATTAAGGTCACGCACAGGAATTTCAACAGCGATCAGCTGATTAAGATTTTCAAAATGCTGGGATCCCCTGAAGAGAAATACGTCAAGAAACTTTCTTGCCATATACACATGAAGGGTTGGCCAACGATGCAAAGTAAACTGAGCAACATGGTGAGCTGATAAGAGCAGATTGTATTGCCTTCAGTAAAATCCTGGCAGGTAAGCATGTCAATAACAAAGGAAAGATGCCCACCAGGTGACGAAATTGAGACAGAGAAGTCGCTGTTTGACCTTTGTGTGAATGGCAGACATTGCTCGCAATGAGGGTGATTTGAGGGAAACCAAGAACGACTGGTTGCAGCTACTGCAGGGGCTTCTATACATCAATCCTCACGAAAGGCTCTCATGCAAGGAAAGCCTCGAGTCTCCTCTGTTCCAGGGCAAGGGTGCTGGGAGAAGGCAGAACTCTCCTTTCGGGAGGAAGCAGTCGGAGAGGCCCTTCGACTTGGCCAGGAGGGACGAGGAGGGCGGCAACAACTCTGCGATGAGACCTGGCTCTGCTCAGAGGCCTCACATGGCAGAAGAAGAGCTGCGCTCCATGAGCCTTTCTCCTGTGCGACGAGTGGCTTCGCCCCCCGGTCGCACATCAAGTTCGCACGTGGTCAACGGCCGAGAGCTGACGACAGCGTCAAGTCAGTCCCCAAACAACTTCAAACGACTCATGCAGAGGGCGCGCACTCCATCGCCTATTAGAAATCAACCCGTCAGCAGAGGCAAGTGACTAAGCTAGCTGTGAATGATCTGACGCTTCTTGTCTTCTCAGAGCACATGATGAAATTCTCTCGTCCTGTCAACGCAACTTCAAAGCTGGAGTCTTCTTACACCATCCCGAGAACTTGCGAGGTGCCTGCCGACTCATCGCCTGCCGATCCGATCGAACACAAGGAGCTTGCGCGGGGGTATCTTTTGAAGGGACGTCACAAAGCTCTGTGATGGACAGAGTCATCAAACCCAGGGGGCCGATTCTGTAAATAGTAGATTGGCAGAAGAATCGGTGGAGAAATGTTCATTGTTTAGAAGTTGTATTACACGGAAAATTATGAAGAAGTGATCATATCTCGAGTCAGGACTGCTTCAGTATATCACGAGGACTCCAATTTTTGCTTCTTCACTTGTTCCACCGGGTCTGCGTCAGTTACTGGGAAATGTGAGATCATAATTGTTCCATCATATGAGATTACCATGCCGATTGAGATTCGATTCTGCAATCCTTTTAGCTTGGATGACCTGGACCTGAAAGGATTGCTGTCACCGGGAGCACACCTCCTAAACTAGGTGTTCAAAACCTCAAGCCCATTCTTAAATACTCTAGTCTTGATCTGAGCAGCAGGAGTAGGATCATCATCCTTAGCAAGATTGAATTAATGTGCTGTAGCTCACAGCCGCATTCAAATACCTTCGCTGTTGCCATTTGCTGATCTGGGTCCGGGATTGCAGGCAGATAAACCAGCTCATTTGGAATCTCCAACAAGCCGTAAGTCTGAGCGGTCGATTCATCCAGGGTTGTGATATCCACTTCCACGGCCTCCTCTTCTTCCTTCATTGCACAGTCATGATTTAAAGCATCAAAAACAGCTGAGAAACCCGTTTTTTCTTGATGATCTGATGATGGTCAATCAGGTCGAATTCGTCTTCCCGCTCGATGTACTCTTCGTTTTCCTAAAGGGATATTGAGGTCTTGAAAAAGGATGGAGGTTCATACCTCAAGTTCCTTGAAATTAGGCGCAAAAGCAGAGTAGTTCTCCGAGTACTGCTTCGCCCAGATATATACCTTACCACTCTACAAGACAAACTCCAACTTCAGAGTGCGCAACGGGAATGTTTTTGTTCCTCACCTGTCCACAAGAAGCAATTATGGTTCGAGTAGGATGCCATGCTAGGTCCCAAACTGACTCTTTTGGACCCTACAAAGTCATGAGCAACCCTATGATTTTGTCGAGAAAAGCACGTACCTCCAGAACATGTACGAGTTGTCCATTTTCTCGATACCAGATATGTATTGTGTGCTCTCCTTTCTCAGCCGTAGCTCCAAGCACATAGTTCCCATCCGAAGAAAAGCAGCATTTGCGCCATTGAGTCCTGTTGACCTAATTGAAAATAAATCCTGTTCTCGATGCAAAAAGACTCAGCCTGAACCTGATCGAAGAATTCGCGATATAGTGTTGATTGCTTAGAATCGTAAACCCTTATCTTTCCCGTTTCCGAAACAAGAAAATATGAACCGTCCCTTGTCAACTGCAAACTTGTCAACGAAGCAGAGGTCGTTATAGAAGATGAAAGCACTTGAAAGTTCCGAACAGCTGTGTTTGAGGGGAGTTGAAGGCTGCCGATCTAGATTTCCCAAGTCAAAGAAAACCATTTTTCAGCAACTGCCATGGTGAGAGACCTGTTCGAGATCTTCAACTCTCCAGATAGATACCATTCCTTTTCCATTTCCAACAAACACCTTAAAAATAGATAAGACTTGGAAATGGTATGCAACGAACTAAGTCTACCTCAGCACCAGAAGGAGAATAGCTTGCTGCGTAATTTCGAATCGCTTCTCCTGCACCCTGGATGACCACATTAAGATTCATGGAAAGTCAAATCAATCCATGACCTTGCGGGCATTGGACCCAACTTGCGGTTCTGCTATCTGAAAAATCAAATGAATCCTTTCGCATTCCTTCAAACCATACATCAATCACATGCGAGCCTGCGATCAGCCTATGAGATCCATCTTCGATGTTGATAAGTGTCGGTACTCCACAGTTAGGACATGCAAGAATCTCTGATGAATTTGAAGGATTTATCTGTCACGGATGTAAGGCGATCACTTGAATATGACATGGAATGTACATGGACAGTCAAACACGTTGAATCAAGATTGGTCTCGTACAAAATAGTCCCATTTTCCACCTGAGGCATGGTTATACTGTCTTTGATATAGTTGCATGGACAGCAGAAGCAGAATGCATCAAAACAAATCTTACATCCCAAACTCGAACTCTTCCACGTTCCTCAGCCGTCACTATCCTCCGACCATCTTGAGACCTGCAGTTCAGCCTCATCATCTATGCCTAGCAAAGGATTAAAGGTACCATCCGATTGCCGCGATTGCAGCTGGAATCTCTTGGAGCTTTTTGTCTTGAAGCACCTTAATCACTCCTGAAGGCGAATCAGATGCGCTCGTCAAGAACGAGGAATCCATCTTCAACCTCGCGTATCGAAGTCCCAGAGGGCTGCTGCACCATCTTGGCATCCAGTGGCTAGTAGCGTGCCTCTTCGATTGAATGCACAGCAACGCGCTTGAAACTTCTCATGAACAAGCTGCCGGAAGAAACATCTGATCAATCGAAAGGAAATCGAGGTAGGCAAATGGGGAACAATCACACGGGATATCGCTAGAAACCAAAGACCATCTCTTTAACCATCTTCCTTTCTCCCCAATCCTCCACACTCCTTTTGGTATCGCCAGAGCAGCAGCTGCTTTCGTTTCCCAGCCACCCCGCTGCTCCTGCTCTTCTCCCTCATCTTTCGCCTCCTCTTCTCCCTGACTTCCTGGCTGGCTCGCTCCTTCTCTCTTACCTCATCTTCGATCCTCTCTGGGTAGTCGGCTTCGAACGGGTCCAGCAGTTGCTTGTTCATGCCAGATCCGTAGCGACGAAAATGGCGGGAAACGCAAGCAGGAGCAACGGGTACTTGGACCTGTGAAAGTGAGGGTAGGTCGTCAGCTGAATGAGGGGGTAGGGGGTATAGAGGGGCGACAAGAAACTTTGTATAGAAGGGGTACTGAACTATTCTTTGGGGGGTAAGGGTAGTTTGTAGGGGTGGGATGGAAAGAAAATTAACTCTGAGGCGGACCTACTGGTGTAGGCGGGCGAAATGGAGAAATGGCTAGCGAGCGTAACGCTCCTCCTCCTCTCCTCCTCCTCCCCATCCGCTCACAAGGTGTCTTGCATAGTGAAGATCTTTCTCTTGTCATCCTCTATCTCTCTCTTCTTCCTCTTCGCTCCATCCCCATGTACGAGAGAATCCTAACTTCTGCATGCCATCGTTCCTGTATTTGGAATTCCAACGATCCGTGTATACTTCCCCATGTGCTGACATCATTCGAAGTTGGCATGTAGTCTTCCTGGCATCCAATTCTATGATGTGCCTGGAAGTATGTATCTAAGGGGAGGTGGGAAGAGATCGCTAAGGGAGCTTGATCCTTCATCGGGTGAGCCCTGCTGAAAATAGGCAATAGTTGTTGACTTGCGAAGACGAGGAAGAGGCCGCAGCCGCGTCAAAGCCCAATCAAAGAACATTTATTTCTGTAAAACGGTAAACTGTTGCAAAATCCTGAGATTCAAAGAGCATGACGCAGCATCCTCTTTTTCCTTTGGGTGCATTAGATCTGACGGGACGCACAGCGCTGGTTCACATGAAAGCACAGGTTGAGAAACAGTTTCGCCGCTTCGTATACCTTGTTGATAGCTTATGCAGGCTTGTACAAGAATGTTTTCGGTCATCCAGGTCTTTTTCGCGAGCTTCTTGCACTTTTATCATCATGACAGGCCTGACAGGGCTGACAGCCCAGCCGAAAGCAGACGAAATGGTCGTGATTGACTTATGCTTCAATACCATTTGCTCTGATCTCACTCTGTTACAGAGCTTCAGTATCATACCAGCACAAGAAGTTGCCTCTGTCTCTCGCGGGGGAAATGAGGTTGGAACTGTGAATTGATGTTCCAGTTTCATCGATTGAGGTATTCACGCTGACAGATGTTTGTGAGAGCTGGTCTCGTTGGAGGAAAACTCAGAAATGCCGCGAATCGGTTGAAAGAGAGTGAGAAGAGGTTGATACCATGACATTATTCTCGACCTTGATCACTTATCTTCCACTAGTATCAGCAGCATTGTCGACAACCTTTCAAGCCAGTCGAAAACTTTACGCGAAGTACGTTTTACCATGCAAGGAAATCCGTTTCATGTAACGATGAGAACAATCCAGGAAATCATGAAATCTTTGCGCCTTGCGGAATCTTCTTCCTTCGCTTCGCCGAATGTGATTCTTGAGTGAGCCTTCGTGAATTAAGAGAATGGCAGATTGCGCAGTCTCTTTCTATCCTGCAAATGCAATGCTCCACTCTTGGAAATCTTTCATCTTACTTGCAAGATCATTCTCAGGTATCTCTTTGTGACGTAGGCTTCAGCTTCCTCTCATCTTTCTTCAGATGATGAAAGATCTACGTGATTCCATCGGGCACTTTTCTGCTGATGTGCAGAACGCCCTCGAAACCCGAAAGCAAATGCGGCAGGTTTCTGAAGTCTCATGCAGACCGTTTCTTGTGCGATGACGGCAACACCAGAATCATGAGGACGTTGGACATGTTCCATGGCAGGGCATCGATCACTTCCTTGCACAAGTCGGCCTGTCGCAGTTGGCAAGCAAGTTCAAGGAGCAGGTGGAGCAACGTAGCACATGGTACCATGGTGACCTGCTGATGCTGCCAACAGGAGCTAACGGACGTTCGAACATTGAAGTTGCTCACGGACCAGGATCTCAGGGACCTTCAAGTGAGTGAAAAATCAGCTGTCGGATCTCGTTCCAGGTAGTGAAGGATGGATAGATTGACACCATCGGAGCGAAAAGGAGACTGCTCTCAGCCATCAAGTGATCCAGAAATTTGAAAACATCGAAGTTCTCACTCCCTTGCAGGAATCTACAAGTCTCTGAGGGCAGCTTGAGCAGCTCGCATGTGCAAGTTCAAGCTGTGAGTCAGATTTGCTGATTTGCCAGTGCGCAAGTTTACAGTTTGCTACTAGGACACGATGAGTGACATGGACGGGAGAGATGAAGTAAGAGAAATACAGACCGAACTTTTGAAGCTCATCTCCCAACAGGCAACCATAGATCAAGAGAAGAAAAGAGCTCGAGAGACTCCGGTCAATCCTCCCAGTTCGATTTTTTCGACCTGACGGACTTGAAGCTTGAGAATGCTCCTCCACCTGGGATGCGGCACAGCAGTATCGTCGTGCGAAATTTAGCAAAGGGAATCACAGGTGCAACGAGCCTAGATTTGTGCTGTTTGTTGACGAAAGCTGCAGAGAAAATGCTTTTCGACTTCTTCTCAGCAAGCGGGGGGGTGAGTTGAACCTCCTTTGCATAAGCTGTTGTCTTGACACTGGAATCTTTGCAGGTCAAGAGCATCAAGCTCCTTCCCTTCAACCCTCGCTTTGACACGAGAGTTGCCTACGTGAATTTCATAGAGGGTGAGCAACAATCCGTCTTCTCGCTTCCCCTCTTATCGACACTTGGCTAGACGTGGATATCTCCCACGCTCTCCAGGTGAACGGGACGACACCGAGGTACAGTTCTTGCTCAAATTTTTGAGTTGCTGACACTCTTTCAGTTGGAACGAGGGCCTGAGGCTCATCGTTATTCGTCAAGAGCCCAATGTGCTCCCTGCCCCCTTCCTCCTTTGGTCTGGTGACGATTCGACTCTCAGGCGAGATCCTTCTCTCCTTCTCCTAAGTTCGCCGTGGGGGCCCCTGGCTCTGCGGAGACATCCAACGACAAGCGAGCAGGAAACTCACTGCAGGAGATGCTGCTACGCGGGAATCCATCACGGGACTCAATGCAGAATGCTGGGTCGTCGTTCTGGTCGACGGACAAACCAAGTATGAGCATGCAGCCCGATACAACGCCATCGACCGGCAGCAATCTGTCAACCATTCTCTTCCCTCCCGACCAGCAGCGATCTTACTGTAAACAAAGCATCCTTTCTCGCTCTGGGCTCACCTGCTTTTTAGCCTCGTTTTTGAATGCTTCCCGCATGTTTGGCTCCTCTCCGCCGATTTTTGACCCTTCAAGTGTCTTCGGTTCTGTCTTCAACGCGACAGACGTCAACAAGAGGTTTTGCTGCCTGTGATATTCCTCTTGAATCACAACCTTCTCAAACAGGGCAAAGATGCCGTGGGAAACAAAGATAGAAAGTGACAACGCTGGGATGGAACAACACAAGGCACAGAACCCTTCTTCGTTCGCAGACACTCTGCAGTCTATAACCTCGAAGTTCGCGACGCCAGCTGCTCCCTCCTTTCCTCAAAGTGGAGCAACTTTGAACTTGGTGACGGTAGGAGCTACCAAATCTCCCCATTGATTGGATTTCAGAGCAAGATGTTCGATCAAGGCTCCCAGGATGTTCCCTTGAGCACGAAGGTGATTCACCAGGATCCCCTCTCTCCGCGAGATCTGATCCTTCTGCCACAGTTTGGGTTCTTCGGGCAGAAACTTCACAGTCAGGTGAAGTCAACTTGTATCCGCACGCAGCCGTCATGACAGCCCGCAGCCCATCTTCAATCGTTCGATGCTGAACATCTTCCCATCTAAATCGGATGGGCGATCCAATGACAGCGAGGAAGCAGCCGACGTACCATGCATCTTTGAGCCTGCACTGTTGCTGACTGGGCTGTGATGTGCCATAGGTCGAGCACGAGGTGCCGATAGAGCGAGGTTCCGGCATCGTGCAGGTGAGCCTCGTGTCCGATCCTCCCTTCATACTCAGTCGTCCTTGGCTTAGCTCGAAAGAGTCAACGTGACAACGGGGGAGGAAAATGAGAAGAACTTGTTCTCGGCCGAGCAAGTCAAGCTCTACGAGTTCCAGAAAGAGGAGACTGATCAGGTTCCACGTCCGTCGCTCAAGGATTCATACTCATGTGATTTGCATCCTCGTTTAGAACGCTGCTGGAAGCTGGAAGTCACGGGGAAGCGGCATCCTGCGGTTGAAACAATCGCAGGACGACGAAGCGGGTAAGGCACGAACGAGAGTCATCATTCGGCAGACGGGCAGCCTTGCCGTTCTCGTCAACTCAGCACTCTTCCCGGGCATGGCGTGCAACAAGGGGTAAGCAGACCGTGCGCGAGAGATTTCCTTCCTCCTGCTCACCCGTCAGCAGGGGGGAGAAAGGCGTCATCTTCACTGGGAGCAGGGATGGAGCCCTCGTGACCTACCTTGTCAAGTTTGCGACTCGAGATGAAGCCAACGAGCTGCACAACTTGATCAAGCAGAATGTACAAGTGCAGACTCAATAATAGCTATGAGCCTGGCGTACTGTCACGATGATTGAATCAATTGAATGTCCGTATAGAAGTGATATCATGCTTTGAGTAAAAAAGTCATGATCAGTGATATCATGTCCCTCGAATGCCGGCAATCCGACCCGCCGCGTAGTACTAGGCAACTATCCGATGATTCACTGTCCGACTGGCCGGGTGAGCTGCCACCGTACCGTGGCCGAAGTTACCAGGGCCGTACCGCCGCCACTGAGGGCCCGGGCCGGCAGTGTGACCCCTCCCGGGCCGCGGAACATCATGCCGCACTCACGGTGACCGTACTAGGCTCTCCCGGTCGGATGCACGGTCACGCGCGGCCTCTCGGATCAGGGCCCGGCCAAACTGACACGCATTGGAATAACATCTTCACACAGGCAACATTTTGGATCATCCTCGCACAGCCACTGTTCTCTGTAGTCGTTCATCGTTGTTTATCTTGCTCATCTCTTCATCTGTAAAGTTGTAAATATTATTGGAATCATCATAGGTGAATATATTTGGTTGAGATGAGAGTCTTTCCAATGCCAAGCTGGATAGATTATCAATATTTGCTAGTATCAAATCTATGGAATCTGAATCTAATTGACATAAGATAGGATATTATCAAACACCTCATTGTCAAACACCAAATCTTTATGTGCTTTAAGTATCCTTATTATTCCTTTGAAATTAGTGTTTTTGATCAGTTTATTCTTGGCTATGTTATGTGGATTGTTCATTAGTGTCAGAGCTCATAGGAACCGAGCCCGAGTCAGACAAAGGCCTATCAGAATGAAAGGACAGTTGGCTGTCTCGTACTCGTGTTCGAAGCTGACTTCTCCTGGATGACCCAGGATACTCTACTCCAGTGTGAAGCTGCTGAAAGGACCCCTGTGGAGGCCTTTGTTGCAGCGACCGTGTACCCGTGGGGGACTTACAAGGTAAACAGAAGGGGTGCGTCTTGTGCAGTACGACCCGTTGGAAGCAGCTTGCTGCCATGCAAGGACGGGGTTCTCTTCCCTGCGAGAGAGCATGGTATCCTCTCGAAGGTCAGAAGGGATGCTTGTCAACTTCCAAGAACAGGACACCCCTCCTTTCTGTAGCCAAGAGACGGCACCCCTGGCTCATTCCTCGAAGCTATAAAAGGATGAAACTCGTCAGAGCTAGGTGGTCCTCTTCCCCTTTCGTGTGTGTCCACGATTGTGTGTGTGTGTGTGAAAGAAATAAAAGAGAGTTAGATCTCCTTCTGTTTCATCGCTTTCCCTCTTAGTAGAGAAATCCAACGTGAGTTCTTATTGAACTGCGCTTGAATGTCCACTCGAGAATCTTCGAGGTGTGACATAAATTGGTAGCAAGGTTGTGATCTTCGAGGTGTGACAATTAGCAGTTCAATTGCTTTGTCACTGGGGTTTGATGAAAGGACTTCCCAATTGATCTTATCAGGTCAAGTTGCTCAGCAAGCATATCCAATGCGCTATTATTGTTGTTCGAAGACAGCATATCCCAATCAATCTTAGCAGGGTTCGCTTTCAGAAGGTTCACTGCTATTTTATGTGGATTTGAGCTCAACGTTTTCCAGTTTACCCTATGTAAGTGTTGATCAAAGAGCCTAAGATTGTTGTTCTGGATTGATGCAAGCTGACTAAAACCTATGCTTGCAATCTTTTTTTCAAGCAACTTGATAGCCTTAGAGTTGCTGTTATATAGCAGGTCTTCATAAGAAATCTTATCCTTATTCTGTTGTAGAAGCTTCAATGCTCTATCATTGGAGTTTTGCGATAGATTTTTCCAACATATAATTCATCCCAATCAATAAGGTCATTATCATGTGCAAACTGTTCCTAAATTCTCTGGATATTTCTTGCAAAAATTGAAGACATCCTTCGATGCTTGAGAACACAACATTTCAAAATCCACCTTTTTTGGATGCTGCTCTATTAGTCTTAGAGCAGCCTTTGATTTGTTTTTACAAAGAGCATCTTCGATAATGTCATATCAGGCTAAGATCCGTGGAGCTTGTAAGAAGATAGCACCCGATAGAGTCTTGAAGATGATCAATGAAGACACCAAATGTTCACTCAGTGATGCCTATGACCATCTGTACAAGGCATTGCATCAGGAGATGCTTGCCAACCAGATCCTTAAAGGTTACGATTATTTCATGATGGAAGATTATGATAAATCATCATTGTGAAGGAGATAGTAGAGAGGTTCAAGAGAGAGTCCAAAATCCCTCATGACATCATTTTAGCTTGGGTCAACATCACTGCAGTATCACCACCACATGCTCCTGTCTTGAATGACAGCACCTCAGTTGAGATTCATTCATCTCATCCGATAGCACGTATACTATCACACAATAGGATTTAGAGGTGTCATATGGTGTATTGTACGTAATCGTGTGAAATGTTTTAAGCAATTGATATGGGAGCCTTGAATGAAAAAATAAGAATTAGGAATTCTGTAGTAGTTTCTTTTGTTGATATTTTTCACGTCGGGAGTCTTTTGGTTGATCTCATCTTTGTTCTGATGATACCGATTGAGAGAGGCTTGAGAATGATATTTGCGATATTGTTCTCTTTAGGATATTGTTCCATTTGTTCATCAGGAGTGAATTTTTGGATTTTGTTCATATTTAGAGAGTTGAAGCTCTGAACTTTTAGGGGGTATTTGTTCAGATCTATCAAAACGCTCTGAACTTTTAGGGGTCATTTGTTCAGATCTATCGAACCCCTCTGAACTTTTTAAGGTCATGAATCACCTTCCCTCCTATACTCTGATGAGAGGAACGCATAAAAGTGTTTTTCAGTCACGTTACCTGCTGGCCCCCGTGTACCACCTCGGTCACGAAACCAAATGGTTCAAATTTGAACCTTCAATATGCCCTCTTGAAATTCATATTTACACATGGGTATGAAATATTATCGATTCCAGCCAAATCGGACCTGGTCGTGTTTGTGTTTTAGGAGTACCTGTCACTATTTTTGGATTTCAGATGTTCGACGAACAATTGAATATGATATCTTGAAATTTGACATCAAAATATGAATAAATTCTCCCAATTCATTGCCGAACTCCGATTGTTGCCGGTGCCTGGCCAGTAAACGCTGCAGGGCTCGGGCCCAAGGGCGCAGACAAATCCGAACAAATCACTAATTGAGAATGCTGTAGGTGCTAGCCTTCAAACTCAACCATAACCACCCCCTGTGAACCCCAAAAAGGACCCCGTACCTGGCCGAGACATGTATATCTATCGGGGTTGCACCCCCCTGTTTCGTGGGGAGATAGTGTACCGCCACCCTGTACCCCTGACCCCCTACTGTTGAGGACCCACCCCTACCGCCAATGCACCCTCTCATCAAGACGTCTCCCTCCTCACGGTTTGGTAACGTGATCGCTGACACGCATGTCACCCACCCTGTGTGACAGGACCCCCCGCATGGAAGTCTGGAGTACCCCACTATATTTTCACACCCCCTACCCCGTCAGGTCCACTTTCGACCCAACTATCTGAGTGCACCAGGCCCGACACATGCTAGGGGTTCAGCACCACCCCTTTCCTTCTTCACTTCAGTCTAACATTCCTAAGCTAGCAACGCCATCCCTCTCACTCCACCCTTCGGCTCGCTAACAAATTTACGAGTTGGCTGAACCTCAACGGGGGTACTACCCCCACCCTGTCGTCGCCTTCGACAGCGCTTGTGCCATCCCGCTGCGTGAACGTTACCTTGTGTATCGTAGCCTCCAATCCTCACCCTCCTTCCTCCTCCTCCTCCTCCTCCTCACCTTCTTGGTCTAAAACCTTCCTCCTCTTCACTTGTTCTCCTTGCTTTGAGCTGGCACAATGTCTGTTGCCACACAAAGACCACTTCGAAATGGAGAGGGTGCGAGAGTTATTTTTGGGTTTGGTACAACCAGCCATTCATTCGCTGCATCTTCATCTTCCTCTTCCCCTTCCCCTTCCCCTCCCTCCTCCTCCTCCTCCTCCTCCTCCTCCTCCTCCTCCTCCTCCGAAATGTCTGAGAATAAGTCTTCTCGCTCTGAGGTTAGCTCTTGTACTCAACCCACACCGACCATTGCAACTCCTTCAGTCGCTTCGATTTTCCAGAAAGCATGCTATAGAACTGAAGTCAAAGACGAAGAAAAGAGCCTGCAGCCTAGTTGTGGAATGAAGATATCGGCTGCCTCCCTCTTTAGCAAGGCGTCGACAGATGTTCAAGGTGGAGGATGCTCACACACGCAATGTGCCCCCGTTTCCGGCTCCCTCGGTATCGCCTCCCTCAGTTTCCAGGGAAGTCAGTCGCAAAATGCAATCAGCTCATTTCTATCAAAGACTTCTACAGAGCCTGTTAACATCTGTATGTTTCAGAGCAAGCTGTCGGCCTTGAAGGACTTGTCCAGTCCTGCGCCTTCGCGCGTTGCAGCAGCCAATGCTATAGCGAATCTTGCGCTCCGAGCAGACATGCACGCCAAAATAGCATCTACGGAGAACATCCATGCACTTATGGAGATTTTCAAGATTGCCGATCACGATGGGATAAAGAGATTCCTTGCTATGGCTTTTGGAAGGCTCGCTATGAAGAAACAGAACGTTCCGTCCATGCTGGAGAATCCGCACCTTGTCGATGAGCTCTTGTCAATGTCTCAAGAATCAAACTCGGGCAACTGGCGGCAAGCAGGTCGATCATTAGCAATCATCGCTTCTAATGCTCCAGTCGAATGCCGCGACAGATTTGACCTGGAAGGCCTTGTTGCAGCAATCAAACGCTTGCTAACGATTGAGCAAACCGAAATCCAAACTGATGCCATGAGAGCTTTGGTGCCGTTTCTAACATCTGTAGAAAGAATACAGGTGCTCAACAAGGAGAACATGTGGATGGCTCTTCTTCGGGCAAGCTTACGATCTGGAGTGCCTTTGTTGGAACAGTTCTGTGCCAATTTGCTTCAGACAGCGCTAGATGCTGTGCCAGGTGCCGTACAATTCAGCAGGGAAGCAATGATGCTACTTGCGGAATTGTCAAGAAAGCATCATGAACAGCAAATGAATCTTTGCTTCAATCGTCAAAATCCTTTTGCGGCCTTGATCATTCGAATCGTGTGCGAAGGAAATGCGTATGTAAATGATCGGTTGGTGCATAAGCTGCTGCTCCGAGAAGTTTCTGCAGTGCTACAGTTTTTGGGTCAAGGTCAGGATGAGAGCTTGGATGTCGCGCCAGCACAGAAGAATGCGCTCATTGCGTTGTTGACTTTGCGAAACCTGTGCTTACTAAGCTCGTTGTAAGTCTGGACTCCTGTAAATCATCCATTCTTGTATTTGTACAGAAAGATGTAAATTTTTTATCCATTAAAGTATGCGTGAAGAGATCAATATCTTGTCATCATCGTAATTTGCCTGAGTGAAGACGAGTCCAAAATTTTGTATCTACTTTGTCCTTGACCCTTACCTGTAGGTTCCCCATCAGCCAATCTTTACATATGCGTACTTTAAGGGCCACCTTGCTCAGTGCATGTTCGTCGGGTTTATTTGTAGCCATCCTGTTCATTACCTTCTGTTGAGATCGTCTTGTGGTAACAAGGTTTTCAGTACACGACACGCTTCAGAACATCAGAATAACCGCTTTTCAATCATGGTGCCTCCGAGACTGTTCTGCATAGGACACTGCGAAGCACTCAGTAGCTGGGAGGCAATGGCTTCAGTACCAGGCAGCGAAAATGATTGCCGTTGCATAATTTGCACATTAGATATGCAGGATGACTGGCCAGGTTACGTTTAGAGAGGTTTTCACAGTGTACGCCCATTCTGACCGTCCGCAAGGGCCTTCGTCCTTGCGCTCTCTTGCCACCGACCATTCGTTCTCCCAAGCTCGGAAGTACTGCTAATTTTTTCAAAACTTGATCGCATGACTCTATACTCACGTTGGTTTCAATTTCGTTCTCCGACTTTGGGTGCCTCGGCTGTCAAGGTCAACATGTAAAAATAAAAGAAGAGAACAACAAAAGTTGACACATGATGACTAAGGCAGTTGGTGCACCCTTGGACATGATCCCCCCCAGATGCAAAATCGAAGTCTTCCCAATGGTCAACGTCTGTCCTGTACTAGAGTCAGGAGAAGAAACACTCAAGGCCATGAGTCACCTCTGACGGGCTGTCCACTCCCGGTGAGACAGCTGTATCTCTTGACCGTCGGCCTCCATATTCCCTTCAGCCTTCTCGCAATCGTATTGCCAATGCCCAGGACGGAGACAGAGCGGACACATGTAGTACTTGGGAGGGATTTCGGGCGCTGAGATCCTCGTTGTGTTGTGCTGGCTGTGGTATGCCGGCCCTCGCCCGTAAACTCCGACCATGAGATAGCTGCTATTCACGTCTCCTCTTATCTTAGCGCCATTTTCGTCTTCCAGCATGTGACATCCCCCTGTCCTGAGGATTTCTCGGTCTGCATTGAAGCGCCGACCAGTCCCGGGAAAACGATCGCCTCCGGCTCGGGACGGTGTCGGGGTAGACTTTTTCAAACGTTGTACATGCCGCTGAAATGCTTGCTCCATGATGAGGCGAAACCTTGATGCTAATCGCTCCTCTGATTCACCCGTAACTTCCGGTGTCGCTCTCAAGTCCGTGAAGCCATGGCACTGCTTTAGGAGCAACGCCGCCCTCCCATGGTAGCCTACACGCCTGCCCCAGACAATTTCAATTGAGAGTTTGAGACATTGAGAGTTTGAAAGTTTGAGAGGTTGAGACAGGAGGTAAAGTTCAAAGTTTTATGCCGCATGTGCAACCCTGGTCGTCAAATGGCGGCATGAAGGCATGGCATGGCATGCTGGAGGGGATGGATGACGATGGTAGGATGACGATGATGGTTGATACAAGAACAACATCCGAGATCCATGCATGCTAGATTGTTCGAAAACAACAGACGCGTCAAAGGTGATGATGGAGTCCCCGACAGGCTCCCCTTCAAGAGATAGTCAGGATGGAGTAGACTTGCGCGAAAAGCTGACGATTGTCATCACAACGAGTCCAGCGAGCGATCATCCGGAAACGAACTTGATCGATCTCGTGTTGAAGAGTTTCGAGCTTGTCGAGGGGCTCTCGGACTGCAAGAAAGTGATTGTGTGCGACGGGTATCGGATCTGGAAGGACTGCAACTTTCGAAACGGCAGGGTGGATGAAATCAGGCTGAGAAATTACGAGGAGTACAAGTCCAACATCAAGAAGATGTCAGAGCGATCCGAGGGACTCTGGCAGCATTCAACCATCATGGAATTGACGGAACACCACGGATTCGGTTTTGCGGTTAAATCCGCCCTGGACCTAGTCCACACTGACTATGTTTGTGTTGTGCAACATGATCGAACTTTCATGAGACCCGTCGACTTCGTGGAGATACTCCAAGGAATGGAGAAGGAGGGAGATAGAGTCGGATACGTCCTTTTGCCGACGTCGTCCACTCGCAATTACGCTCATGCCCAACGAACGAGGTTGGGCCAGTATGGTCTGAAAGGAGCTGCTCTGATTGATGTTGAGGGATACGCGATTCCTCTGACTGCAAACTCCAAGTTGCTTCCTTGTCTGCAGTGGTATGACAGCACTCACATCTGCAGAACGTCCTTCTACCGCAACTTTGTCTTCGGCGAAACCAGAAACGATGGGAGCGGGCAAGAACAAAGACTTTGTTGCAGGGGAGACTTCATCGAGGACAGGTTCGGTCAAGCGCAGATTAAAGACATCCAGAAGTTGGGCATGCCGGCTCATGCGAAGTGGAAGACTTGGCTATATCATGATGGACTCGAGAGGGCTGTTGCGCACCTGAATGGCAGGACATTCAGGAATGAGTCAAACGGTGTCAAAGGAAAGCAACAAGACTAGGGACAACGTGGCGAAGCTCTTCATAGAAGCTTCACTAAGAGCAGGTGTTGAGAGCTGAATCTTACGTTCTTCCAGTTATTACATTCCTTTTTTCCACCTCACAACCTTGTCCATTATCGAGTAAACACCAACGTTGGCTGCCGCTTTCTTTCTCCATGGCTGCTCCACCTATGCTCCTGTCAACCTGATCGAGTCAAAGGACGTAATGGATCGGACACGATAGAAGTCTCTTCTTCTTCCTCGCATGCTCTCCGAACCAGCTGCGGTTGCGGCAGCAGTCGTACCCCGAGTGGTTCTACTTGATCCTCCACGCCTTGTTATTTTCCCCCTCCATACAAATTACGCCCCGCCCCACCCGCCCCGCCCCGCCCCCCCCGCTCCCTTCCTCCCCACCCCGCGCGCCTCCATCCCTTTCTCCCGCCTGCTTCTCCGCCTGCGCTCCTTCGCTGCTTGCCTTCCTGCTTCCCTCTCACCTTTCAGCTGCAAGACACGACTCGTTCCTTTCCTCCTCCGTCATGGAGGAGGAGGACAGTCTTGTTGGAAACATGCTAGGGTCCATGCAAGGACAGGACCAAGGAGATGTCAACGAGCACGCGGCAGCAGCTGAATTTCAGGCAGCTGATGAGCTTCCGGCTGAGCGGAAGACGAAGGAGGAGGACGAGGGAGAAGACGAAGAGCTGGCTCGAGGTGCAGCAGCTGAAGCCAATGCTGAGCTTGAGAAAGGGAAGCTGTCCTTACAAGGATCGTTGCTCTGTTTATACACCAAGAACCTTGACCCGTTGACAGCTGTGGCGTACGACATGTCGATCCTACCTAGAGCTCAGATCGGGCTGCTTGGAGCAGTCTTCGCATCCTCTATGTCAGTAGGGCTGGAACTCGAATCCTTGGTTTCAGAAGGAACCTGCATCTCGTATCGCAACATGTTCGAAGGAGAAATCTTGGCCGTTCTGATTCTGAGGAGTGACGGCTCAGGGAGCAGAGAGTCGGTGAAAGATGAACAGGAGTTTCTTCTCGACCTCGTCGATAGAGCGATCTCACTTGTTGTCGGTGACGAGAATGTCTTGTCGTTGTGCAACAATGTGAACCAGTTCCGACGTAGTATCCGAGGATCCACCGTTTTGCTGCAGCAGATTCTACAGCACCGAAGGAAAATGATGCTGAGGACCAGGGCCGTTCCAGTCAGCGCGACGTTTCTGAGCACGAAACGGGACCAGATAAGCAACAAGTTGAATGCTCTTTGCAGGTTGTTGGGGAGCGAGTACGCATGCATCATGGACAAGAATGCGATGATGTTCGCCACGAGCCAGTGGATGACACTCGATGGAACTACTCGACTCCTCCTGCATCTTTTCTTCATGGGCATGGATCCAGCCAAAGACAAGCTTACCATCTTCATGGCAGACAACACCACCTACAAGCTCGCAGTCCTTAGACTCCAGGAGCCTTCGAGAGTTTTCTGCTACTTGTTGCCAGAGGATCAGCACACAAGTGACGCCGAGAGACTAGAAAGCTGTGGAGAGGATCTTTTCAGGACCTTGGAGGGTGAGAGAGAGAGTCTCAGGTTCATGGAGCAGGGCCGTTGGATCGCAAACCTGAGCGACTCGAGTAGCCTTCGGAAACTGCTCTTTGTGAGAAGAGATGTTGGCTTGTGTTGGGGTTTTCTTCCTGAATCAGACAAGGGTATGCCGCTGGCAGCAGAGGAGGATGACTGGGATCAACGATTCCTGTGAGTCTTTCCTTCCTCCTCCTGAAGACTCTCTTTCTCCTTGATGCTCTCTAAGTGCTGCTTGAACTCATGACGCAGCGCCCTCAGGACTCATGTGTCAGAAGCTCGGATAAAACGTACAGAGATCCAACGAGCGAGGTTGAAAGCGGAAGAGGTGAACTGTGGCAAGCTCCTAATGGCAAGCTCACGATTGGATTGCAGGAACTCTCCCTGTTCTTCCGCCATGAAGGATTCTTGCTGCTTGCTGAGTGGGTACCAGGAGATTCATTCGAGGTCTTCAGCTACCATGAGGATCTGCAAGCTGTCGGTCATGAGAAAGAATGTCGCCTGACAGCAAAGAAACACAGCAGACGTTTTGTTTCCTGGGCAATAGCCAATTGCTCTATCTAGCTCTGAACCCCAATGCAAACTATTCGATCCAGCCTTATTTCTCTTATGCGGTTCAGAGGCCGCAAGCCTGCAGTTTATCAGTCTCCAACCCCCACACAGTCACTCCATCGGTAGTCGCAGTCGGACTCGGACCCCTAGCCGCTGAGCCGCCTTCAAGTCGCAGGCTCACCGGCCGACTCGCCACACTGGGTTCGCCTCAGAACACATGGGCTGTGGAGGGATGAGGCTCAGTCGGGGCAACGCCATGCAGGGCGCGGGGAAGACGGAGGAAGGGGGAGAGGTATCCTGGCCGATGCGGATGGGCAAGATGGTGCTGACTCTCCCTCCTAAAGCTGAAGAAGGGGTCCATGCTCTAGGAAGCCAGTGGGATCAGGTGGAGGGACATGGAGGAGCTGGACCAGGCGTTGAAGGCACTCTCAGCGCCAGGAAGTACTTCCGAGAGCATAGAGATCGTGTTATGTTGAGAGAGTGGCAGTCGAGGCAAGATGCGTATGGTGATCTTGCCTTTCTGATTGCTCTCCACCTCTCAGAGCTGCATAAAACTTCCAATAATGTGCATTCTGCCAAAGAGTCTGTTCCTGACTGGCTCGTTACGGTGCTTCAAAGTGCCATCGGTGAAAGTCCTCCTCCCTTGAAGACTGGCATGTGCGAGCTGACCTGGCTGTTTGAAATCTTCACGGATGCAGGATTCAAGCTGAATGAGCTCGCATTTGGACACTTTCTCGAATTTCTTTCGAACTTGGCAAACGGAAAACTCTTCTCATTTGAACAGCAAGCCCTAGAAATAGAGAGCGTGAGGCAACAGGTTCGCTCCGAGGTAGATGAAAATGTCACTGAAACAGGAGTTTTCAAAAAGGATTCAGAACACGAGAAGGATAAAAGAGTTGAAAACAACACCACTGTCAAACCGTATGTGAGTTTGCATGAATTCATCACGGGCATGAACCTGACAAAGTTGTGGATCACTGGTATCAATGAAAGCGGGCAGTTGGGAGATGGGAACGACTACAATGTTGCAAACTCAAAGCCGGTTCTCCTCCGTGGCAGAGTGAAGTGCATTGGTTGTGGCGGCTCACGGTCGTTGGTGTGTGTGGGGCGGGTTGTTGCCATCAAAGAGGAGGGTGGAGCGACCTATCAGCTACAAGAAGTGACTGAGCTGTTGGTGACGGGGAGAAATCAGTATGGAGAACTTGGCATCGGCAGTAAGTCCAATCAGCATATCTTCACAGCGATCCCCTTGTTCTCGAACATCCCAGTCCGCATGATCGCTTGCGGGGAGTTCCACACGATGATTCTGACACAAGACGAGAGAGTGTTAAGCTGTGGGTGGAACAGATGGGGCCAGCTGGGGATGGGCGACATCATGGATAGGGAGAGTTTCTCTCCAGTGACGGAAGTCAGCGATCCCTTCATGATCTCATGCGGAGCAGGCTTCTCTCTTTTGCTCTGTGGCAGGGGTGAAGTGTTCAGCTGTGGCAACAACATGTCGGGACAGCTTGGATTAGGCTTTGTCGGAACCGGAAGATATCCCTTCTTTCAAGGAGATTTTGCACAGGACAGAAGTGAATTTTCTTCCTACTGTTCAAGGTTTACCAAGGTCGTCAATTTCTCGTCCACTGAAGTGACATTGAGGTTTGTATTTGGCAGGTTGAAATTCTCGGCGATAAGATCAGAAGTGTCAGCTGCGGTGGTTTGCATGCGCTTGCATTGAGCGAGGAGGGTAAGGAGAAAGAAACAAGGTTATCAATGTCTTCTTATCTCTCCCTGACTAGGAACTCTCTTCTCGTGGGGAGGAAATCACGAAGGGCAGACGGGAAGAGGAGACTCTCAAGCCTGCTTTGGGACTCCAGAGTCATTACATGGCCTGCAATCTGGCAATCAGAATGTAAACAGACGAGGAGCAAGGAGGGAAAGAAATGGCTCACAAGGTTCGTCCAGGAAAGCTTGAAAGAGCATGGCAAAATCACTCAGATTGCGTGCGGCTTCTCACATTCTCTTGCGCTCTCATCTAACGGAAGGGTAAGGCTTGATGTCCTTCAGCTTCCAACAGATACTGACCGGCAGCGTCCCTTGCAGCTCCTTGTATGCGGCTCAGGAGAGTATGGACAGCTCGGGAGGGGAAGTCGATCGTCTCACTTTCACTTCGCCTCCCTGGAGCGCAACGAGAGCAGGCACGAGGTCCCTCCTGTGATCTCCGCGGACGAACCTGATCGTGTTGTCTTCCTAGAAATTTCACCGGCAGAGTGTCGTCGCCATCGAGGCTGGTGGTTTCCATTCCTATGCCAGGGTGAGTGTTACTGCCCCGCTGCTGCTTCCTCGCCTTGGAATTGATGGTGGGCAGACCTCGGACGGGCAGTGGTGGTGCTGGGGCAGAAACGAGAGCGGGCAGGTGAAGAGCTTCTCTTTTCATGATCAACAGCCTCTGACATGTTGATTAGCTCGGGTTTCCAGACCTCGAGGATAGAGTCTTCCCAGAAGAAATGCCGAAACCCGATCTCTCCTTTAAGGAAAGTGAAGCGTGCTCTGAACTCAGAGATGGAACTGATGCCATGGCGTGCAGATGAACAAGAGTTCAATTGTCCAGGTCAACAAGAGTTTCACACCCCAGCTTTCTGTGCGAGCAGGTGCTAATTGCGATCATGACTGGAATTACCGACTTATTTACCTGGATTGTACGACAGGATTGAGGCATACAATCGCGTATGCACAGCTCTAAAAACCCACTCGTCGATGTTTGTAAACTAGCACTTTAAGATTTGCATCAACATGTAAACTATCATTATATACAACCTCCTCCGTTCCTCAATCACTGTTTGCTCCTGCAATCTGACTTACCCCTATCTGTACATTAACGCCAACTCTGTGCAATATATCAGCATTCTCGTCTTCTCTTCCTCCACGCAACCTGTCTCCCTCCTCTCATCGTGTCTTCTTCGAACCTCCTGTGTTCGCAGTAGTGTCGCTGCCCGCCATTCCTCTGAGATCCTGTCAAATTGGAGTCATTACCAACTCGAATGTGGGGGTGATTGTTTTTCATACGGGGTGGGGGTGTCCTTCAGTCAAACAAGCAATGTAATTGTATAGGGTACTTCAAGCTTTATTTGAGGGTAGTATTGGGAGAGTGTAGGGTGAGTACAGGAAGAAGAGGGTGGAGGCAACGGGGGTATCTTCAGACAAACGGCTGGTCAATGGCGGTTGTCAGAGGCGAGAAGTCGCGAGCTTGAGCGCGAGAGAGGAGGAGAGAGGAGAGAGAAGAACTAAGCGACAAGGACAGACAAGGGGGAGAGAGGAGGAGAGGCGGTTGGAATCCTCACCCCATCTTCAGCCGGCGAAGATGAGTAGCATGTTCAGGAACTGGGCCCTGGATCGGGCTAAGAGGTGAGGCTCCGAGGAAGCATGGGAAACCTGGTTAATGACGTTCATGCAGATTCCTGGGTGCGAATGACAAGACGTTCAAGGGGGAGCTACAGGACCTGGATGACAAGTCGATATCTCTCATGAGCGATTTCCCATCGAACGAGGCAGTCACAGCATTGATGATCGTCTTGGTGAGGGAGTACATCACATACGAAGAAGAGATAGTAGAGGAGAAGAAGGAAGAAGGGAATGACGAGGACATCGATGAGGCCTCGGGACAAGGGAATGAAGAGCAGAAAGAGGAATCTGGGCAGGACAAGGGGGGCGAATCCAGCGAGTCAGCCGTCAACAACGAGGCCAGTGACAGAGTCGAGCAGCGATCGGACGGGCAACAGGAGGGTCAGGAGAGCGTAGAAGCACCAGGGGAAGACACTCTGACCGGAGAAAAGGAGCAGACGAAAAAGTTCCGCACCATCGTGCAGGAGAAGTGTAAGTTCGTCGTTCGTACCTTGCCCATTGCCAATTTCGAAGCTGATTGGAAGATTGCGACTTTCATCATCAAGAAGCCTGAGAACCCGGAAAACAATTCGTTCGAGGACAAGTACAACTGTCTGTGCCTTCCTGTCCTCGCTGTTGCAAAGTTGAGCCAGCTGATTTCAAAAGTGTACATGCCAGTTATCTCACGGAAGTCGGATTTGATACAAAACCATGAGGAAGGGAAAGGGGCCGATAGCAAGGTTCACCAGCAAGAGATTGTCTCGTTGATCAACAAGCTCTCCATGTCCCTGTCAAACTCGATGCAAGCGATTCAGGGAGATGTGGAGCTTGAAATACCAGATGTAAGTTTCGAGGGGTTCAGGTTTCCAAGACTGAGTTGAATGTATCAAGGTGGACATCGACAGCTTGCAAGGCACGACTCGAGATGAAACATCTCTAAGCATTTTGAGACAGTCATTAGAAACGTGGACCAACATCGTCAGGTAGACTCTTTAGGTTCAGCTGCCATCATGTGACATGGGTGCCAAGGGGGCTCGTTGCAGAAACCAAAGCTAAGCGACCTGCACCGAACGGCGCGATGGCTGAGGTAAGGAAGTTGTACGCATTTGCTGCTAGCGCATTCACACTTGCTCTTATCTGCTCGAGCTGCTCTGACCTTGTTGAAGGTGGACTTCTGGAGGGAGCGATACTCAAGGTTGGATAGAGTGGTCGAGAGGATGCATACAGAGCAGTTCGTTGAAATCTCCAACTGCATGAAGACAAACCTTGAGGCAATCCTCTAGATGGTCTGGTGCTGACCTGACTGCTGCTGTGCAGGTCGAGTACACATCGTTCAACCACTGGTTCGCAGAGATGGTCAAGCTGCACACAGAGGCGAAGGACAATGTGAAGTTCTTGTCGACACTGGAGAGACACTTCAAGATGCTCTCAATGGCTCCCCTTGTCAACATCACCGAGTCTCTCCCTTCGCTCTTCAACGGCCTGCGGATGGTGTGGGTGCTGAGCAGGCACTACAACACCGACGAACGGATGTCGACGCTGATGGCTCGGATAGCCAACGAGATCTCCAACAGAGTGACAAACGAGATCGACGTGGAGCAGATGTTCACGTCGCTCTCTCCCTCCCAGGTGTCAGCCAAGTTGACGGAGGCAAGGCACCTGATGCAGGGATGGTACGAGGTCTACATGAAGACGAGGGACAAGATTGAGAAGTCCGGGCAGGAGCCTGAGGAGGACATGAAGCAAGGGAAGCTGTCGGACAAGAACACCAGGATGAGCGACCGCTGGGAGTTCGACCGGCAGCTCTTGTTTGGCAAGACCAAGTACATCGAGGGTATCCTGCAGGATCTGCAACTCGTGTCGGATACGATCGACCAGTTCATCGTCTTCTTCGGTCCGCAGCTCAAGAAGGTTATTGGAGATTCTCAGAGTATCGACAAGATGCTCGAGCGGGTCAACGCCATGCTGACTCCGTACCTGCACGTCGAGTTCGAGATCTTCGACCCGGCCCACAAGGCCCGGTGGGACACGCTCACAAAGAACTTCTCCGCGGAGGTCCAGGACATCGAAGACGAGACTAGCAAGCTGATCAACTCGAGCTTCGCGGAGCTCCGTTCGACGGAGGGTGCACTGCAGCTGCTGCTTCACTTCAAGTCCATCAGGAGCAGGAAGGCGATCACAGCAGTTGTGGAGGACAAACTCAGCGAGATCCTCGTCCAGTTCTCCCGAGAAGTGACGCAAGTGCACGAGACTTTCAAGGCCAACTGCGATCATCCTCCTGTGCCCAAGAATCAGCCGCCCGTGTCAGGGGCCATCATGTGGTCCAAGGGACTCTTCATCCGGGTGAAGAAGACGATGCTGCAGTTCCAGTCCTACTGCCAGATGACCGAGTCAGAGCAAGGGAACGCGACGATACGCCAGTACATCGATCTGGGCAAGACGCTGAGAAACTATGAGAATGAGCTGCACAGTAACTGGAAGGCCAAGTCTGAAGCCGAGGCAAACGAGCTCCTGAGGTGTCTCATACTGCGGAAGGACGAGGATGGTGAGATGCAGGTCAACTTTCCCAACGAGCTCTTGACCCTCATGAGGGAGGCCAAGTGCCTTGACAAGATGGGATACTCCGTGGGCGAGACGGTCATGAACATCGCGTTGCGAGAAGCCAAGTACTTGCAGCTCGTGCAGAACTTGAAGCAGATGATCGCAAACTATCAGCACGCGCTCTCAAGCCTCGACCCGAGCTTACGGGAGCTCTGTGCCCACAACGCTGAGAGCCTCAAGTCTGGGATGAGCCTGGGCTTCACGGCCCTGAACTGGATCTCACTGGGGATCAATGACTTCATCGACAAGACCAACAAGAAGATTTCAATCTTCGTCACCTTCGCTCGCGCCATCGACAAGAACGCCGCGACCATCGCCGACATCGTCTCGGAGATCCAGCGGGGGAAGCTGATCCCCTCGACCGAGGCCCTGTTCGGGGAGGAGACTGAGGGCCTGGACCTGCAGGAAGTCTTCTCGCGCCTTGAAAATCACCGATCAGAGGTAGTGAACCACCTTGTCAGCCAGCACGCGCAGATCACTCCGCTCCTCTGCAAGATAGAGGAAGTGGCTGTCGGGACCAACACGGGCCGGTCGTCAGGCATGACGAGCTACTACAGGTACTGGGAGAAACGAATCTACGACGCTATCGTACACCTCGTCCTCGACGGAGTTGCTGACTTTGCTAGCTACCTTGGGATGACGGCGGGGAAGGAGGGGGTCAGGCCGTTGATCCGGGCGACGGCGAGGGCGACGCCGCAGATCGTCTACACGCCCTCCATGCTGGATATACAGAAGATGATCACAAAGATCCTTAAGGTGATCCTCGAGACTACTGCCCGCAGCTTCATCCGATGGATGGATGGAACCTGCCTGCCCTGCCCCTCTCAGATCGTTCACGGACATGACGAGCCGGTCGTCTTCAGCTTCTACGATGATGTTCAGGCGCACCCGCACTGCGTCAAGGCAATCCTCTCAATGCAGACGAGGGTCACCAAGACAGGCCTGTCGCTAGAGAAGGCGAGCTCGCGGTATGCGAGATACATGTCTCTGTGGAATGAAGAACGACACAGCATCGTAGAGAAGTTCATCAAGACAAAGTCGCGCACTTCAATCGAGTTCGACGAGAGGATCAAGCACTACAACAACGTAATGCGCGACCTCGGATTCTTTCCTCCCTCCGTCACCGTTGACTTCTTGCACGTAAATATGACTGCTGCCCACTCAGACATTCGCAACGAGGCGCAAGCTTGGATCACAATAATAGGGAAGTTCTTGTTTGACGATGCCAATTCAAAGCTCAACACTGTCCTTGAGAAGATTTCCAACATACGATATGATCTTGCAACAGCCCCAGACACTCTGGACAACTTCAAGCATCTGTTGCAAGTCATTCAGGAGACAACTGAATCCAGCACTGAGATAGAAGCTGTCTGCATCGACTTGCAGGAGAAGTTTGACATCCTTAATTTCTATCGCATCCAAGTGGACGCAAAGTCCTCGCAGGAGGCGCTAGAAATCAAGGGCAAGTGGCTGGACGTCGTGAGGGAGGCGAGGCAGAAGTCGCACGAGGTGTCAAAGATCAAGAAGCAGTTTGCCTTCACCACCAATCAAGAATGCGAAACTTTCATCGGAGAGTGCGACGCCTTTCTCAAGCGGCTCAACGAGGAGGGCCCAGCTGCACCAGACATCGACCTGGACTATGCCGTCGACCTTGCGAGCGCCTACGCGGTGGAGATGAAGGAGATGACGAAGAGGAAGGAAGGAATCTCCATGGCCATGAAGCTCTTCGGCCTCGAGGCTGCAACTTTCACCAGCCTTGCCAAGGCCACAGAACTTCTTGCTTGCCTGCAGGAGATTGTCAGCGTCTACTCGGACTTCAGGGAGTCCTGCAGGAACTGGTCCGGCGCTCTCTTCTTCCAGGAGCTCGACATCGAGGCTCTCAACAGCGGCGTCGCGGCCTATCTCGTCAAGCACAGAAAGATCTCCAAGAACGCTCAGCGGCTGCAGCTCTACGAAAAGCTTGGAAGTGCCATCGTCGCTTTCCAGAAGTCTCTCCCACTCATCTCCGAGCTCAAGTCCGAGGCGATGCGGCCGAGACACTGGAAGAAGCTGCTGCCCTCCATCGAGATTAACCCCAACACCTTCACGCTGCAGGAGCTGTTCGCTCTCAACCTGTCGGAGCAGGCAGAGAGAGTGACGGAGATCGTGACGGAGGCGCAGAAGGAAGTGGCGATCGAGAAGGGGCTGGAAGAGATCGAGACCAACTGGAAGAGCCAGGGCCTTGACCTGTTCAAGTACGAGAGAGATGGGCAGGATCGCGGGTACTGTCTCAAGGGAACCGACGAGATCACTCTGCTCCTCGACGACAACCTGATGAACATCGCCTCCATGTCAGCGTCCAAGTTCTGCGGCCCCTTCATCGATCAGATCCGGCTGTGGGAGAAGCGCTTGTCACTCATCGGAGAGACGCTGGAAGCCTGGCTCATCGTGCAGAGGAAGTGGCAGTACCTGGAGGGAATCTTCGTGGGATCCGACGACATTCGCATGCAGCTGCCCGAGGCCGCCAAGAGGTTCGAGAAGATCGACCAGGCCTGGTCGAAGATCATGCAGGAGACTCACAAGGAGAGGAACGTGGTCAAGGCGTGCTGTGTGGATGGAAGGCTTGAGTTGCTACGCCAGCTGGCCAACGACCTTGATTGGTGCCAGAAGAGCCTATCGGACTTCCTTGACTCCAAGAGGAACTCGTTCCCGAGGTTCTTCTTCATCTCTGACGATGAGATGCTGTCGGTGTTGGGGTCGTCAGACGTCACGGCTATCCAAGAGCACTGCCTCAAGATCTTTGACAACTGCGCGAGTCTGATCTTCGCCCGTCAGAACAAGGTGGTAGTGGGTATGATCTCTTCGGAGGGCGAGAACCTGAACTTCAGGACGGCCGTTGCGACTGAGGGAGCCGTTGAGAACTGGATGACCAACGTCCTGGCAGAGATGCGAGCTTCGCTACATTCCATCATGAAGGAAGGAATCTTCAACTACCCCAAGACCTCTCGCCTCCGATGGATCGAAGAGAACCTGGGCATGACGGTCAACGGCGGGAGTCAGCTCTGGTGGACCTGGCAGGTGGAGGACGGTTTCCGCAAGGTGAAGCAAGGAGAGAAGCATGCGATCAAGGTTCTCAACCAGCTGCTGACCAAGCAGCTCAACGACCTGGTGGCAGAGATGAGGAAGGACCTGAGCAAGCAGCAGCGAAAGAAAGTCAACACGCTCGTCATCATCGACGTTCATGCACGGGACATCATCGACGGCTTCGTTCGTGACTCGATCCTGGACGAGAGGGAGTTTGCCTGGGAGTCTCAGCTGAGATACTACTGGGTCAGAGCTGACGATGAGCTCTTTGTGCGGCAGTGTACGTTCTCCACGCCTTTCGGTTATGAGTACATGGGGCTCAACGGTCGCCTCGTCATCACCCCGCTCACGGATCGATGCTACATGACGCTTACGCAGGCCTTGAGCTTCCGGCTGGGTGGAGCCCCGGCAGGCCCGGCCGGGACGGGCAAGACGGAGACGGTGAAGGATCTGGCAAAGGCAATCTCCCTGTACTGCGTGGTGTTCAACTGCGGGGATGGGCTGGACTACAAGGCGATGGGAAGCATCTTCTCCGGGCTGGTGCAGTGCGGGGCCTGGGGATGCTTCGACGAGTTCAACAGGATCGAGGCTCCGGTGCTGTCCGTGGTGTCAGCGCAGCTCAAGACAATCCAGACGGCGATGATCGCGAACGCGAAGATGTTTCACTTCGAGGGACGGGAGATCTCCCTTGACGATTCTTGCGGGTTCTTCATCACTATGAACCCTGGCTACGCTGGCAGGACGGAGCTGCCGGACAACCTTAAGGCGCTCTTCAGGCCGATGACGATGATTGTGCCGGATCTGAACATCATCTGTGAGAACATGCTGCTGTCTGAGGGGTTCGACCTGGCTCGAATCCTAGCCAAGAAGATGGTGACGCTCTACGCGCTGGCTAAGGAGCAGCTCTCGCGGCAGTACCACTATGACTGGGGCTTGCGAGCGTTGAAGAGCGTGCTAGTGATGGCGGGTTCGCTGAAGAGAGGGTCGCCAGACCTGCCGGAGGACGTGGTGCTCATGAGAGCGCTGAGAGACATGAACAGCCCCAAGTTCGTCTTCGAGGACGTCCCCCTCTTCCTGGGTCTACTCGCCGATCTCTTCCCCGGGCTCGACTGTCCACGGGTGGGATACCCCGAGTTCAACGCGGCCGTCGTGGGTGTCATCCGCAAGGAGAAGTACATCGAGATCTCCTGGCAGGTGGACAAGGTGGTCCAGCTCTACGAAACCATGCTGACAAGGCACACGACGATGATCGTCGGGCCGACGGGAGGAGGGAAGTCGGTGGTCCTCAACACCCTCTGCCATGCGCAGACAAACCTGGGCAGGACGACGAAGCTGACGGTGATCAACCCCAAGGCGATTCCTCTGTCTGAGCTCTACGGGGTGATGGACCCTGTCACCCGAGACTGGACGGACGGTCTGCTGAGCAATATCTTTAGGGAGATGAACAAGCCTCTGCCCGAGGGCAAAGACGAGAGGAGGTACATCTGCTACGACGGTGACGTGGACGCGCTGTGGGTGGAGAACATGAACTCAGTGATGGATGACAACAAGCTCCTCACCCTCCCCAATGGCGAGCGCATCCGCCTCCAGCCCTTCGCCTCCATGCTCTTCGAGGTGGGAGACTTGCAGTATGCTTCCCCCGCCACCGTGAGCCGGTGCGGCATGGTGTGGGTGGACCCGAAGAACCTCGGGTTCGATCCCTACTTCAAGCGATGGCTCGGATCCGTCGAGAGCCCGGAGAGGGCTAAGACGCTAGACCAGTTGTACAGCAAGTACGTGCCTCAGCTGAACGAGTGGGTCATGCTGGGACTTATCTTCGGCGAGTACGAGCCGAGGCCGAAGCTCGTTCTTCCTCTCACCAACTTGAACCTCGTCGTGGCCCTCTGCTTCATGCTTTCCGCCCTCTTGCAGGAGGCGGAAGACCCCGAGGCCAAGGAGCTGGAGGCAATCTTCGTCGCGTGCTTGACCTGGTCCCTCGGCTCTGCCCTGCACGAGGACAGCAGGAAACGCTTCGACGCTCATCTCAAGAAGCTCTCGGGCATGAGCGGGTCTGACCAGCCGTCGGTCAGCATTTCGAGCCTTCCAGGAGCCTCCAAGTCGACTGTTTTCGACTACATGTACGACCCCAAGATGCGCGGCTGGTCCTCGTGGAGCAGCCTTGTGCAGGAGTTCAGCCCGGCGCCTGGTCAGGCCTTCTACCAGATCCTCATCCCGACCGCAGACACGGTGAGGAGCACATGGCTGGTTGACACGTGCGTCAAGATCTCCCGGCCCTCCATCTTCGTCGGAGAGTCGGGGACCTCCAAGACGGTGACGCTGCAGCACTACCTCAAGAACCTCAGCCCTGAGACGAACAACCTCCTCAACATCTCCTTCTCCTCGCGGACCTCAGGGAAAGACTTGCAGGTAAGCATCGAGAGCAACATCGAGAAGCGTCTCAAGGGAACGTTCGGCCCTCCCGCGGGCAAGAAGCTCATCATCTTCATCGATGACGTCAACATGCCCCTTGTGGACACCTACGGGACGCAGCAGCCTGTCACTCTGCTGAAGCTCTTCATAGAGAAGCAGGGGCTGTACGACAGAGAAGAGCTTGTTTGGAAGCACGTCATAGATACGCACTGCCTTGCTGCCTGCGGCCCTCCAGGAGGAGCTCGAAACCCCATGGATCCTCGATTCGTCTCTCTCTTCACCGTCTTCAACATCTCGTTCCCCTCGGATGAATCCATCATCCGAATCTTCTCCACCATCCTCGACAACCACTTCCAGCCTTTCTCTGCCTCCAAGGACGGCGAATTCTTCAAAACCTGCGGAAAGACGGTGAATGGTTGTTGTTCTTCTCCCTCGTGTGCTGACAATTCTTGTTGCAGTTTTCAGAATCAACGCTCAAGTTGTACAAGACTGTCGTCGCCAACATGCCTCCCACCCCAACTCGCTTCCATTACGTCTTCAACCTCCGTGACCTGTCCAGGATCTGCGAAGGACTCTGCACGGCTACCACAGACGCGATTCTTGATGGAGTTGGAATCTGTAGACTATGGAGGAACGAATGCCTGCGAGTCTTTCACGATCGTCTCATCTCACAAGAGGACAAGGACTGGTTCATCGAGCAGTTGAAGCAGACCATGAAGCAGCAGCTCCAGAACTACATGGACGGAGCGATGGCGGGGGAAGTCATCTTCGGCGACTTCAGGAACGCCCTGCGGGTGATAGATGGAGAGGCGGAGGCTCGAGTGAACGAGGACCTGGGAAGCTACGACAACGTGAAGACGATCTTCGACGAGCTGCTGGAGCGATACAACGAGACCAACAAGGTTTGTCCTCCTTTGCCAAAGTTTGTCGACCCCCGCGCTGACGCAACGGCAGGTGATGGATCTTGTGCTCTTCGATGATGCCCTTGACCATCTCTGCCGCCTCCATCGGCTCCTGCGGCTGCCACGAGGGAACGCGCTGCTCGTGGGAGTTGGGGGTTCAGGGAAACAATCCCTCACCAGGCTCGCGGCGTACGCGGCACAGTGCAAGATCTTTCAGATCACATTGACAAGGACGTACGGGGAAGAGGAGTTCCGAGAGGACCTGCGAACGATGTATAGTATGCTCAAGACAGAAGCCGTCGTCTTCCTCTTCACCGATCAACACGTGGCGGACGAGAGCTTTCTCGAGCTCATCAACAACCTCCTGACCATGGGCATGGTCCCAGCGCTGTATGCAGAGGACGAGCGCGAGGGGATCATCAACTCGATGAGGAGGGAGGTGAAGGAGAAAGGCCTGCCGGACAGCAAAGACTCGTGCTGGAACTATTTCGTCGAGTCCTCGAGAGACAACCTCCACATCGTCCTCGCCATGTCTCCTGTCGGCGAAGACCTGCGGCGACGCTGCCGTAACTTCCCTGGCATGATCAACAACGCCGTGATCGACTGGTTCCAGCCATGGCCGTCCGAGGCGCTCCAGTCAGTCGCCAACAGGTTCCTTGCTCAGGTCGAGCTGCCGGAAGAGAGCAGGCAGAACGTCACTCTGCACATGATGGCAGTGCATCACTCCGTGCTGGAAGCCAGCAGCGAGTTCGAGACGCAGCTGCGCCGACACAACTACGTGACGCCCAAGAACTACCTCAACTTCATCAACGCCTACAAGCACCAGCTGGCGGAGAGCCGGTCCAGGAATACGGAGATGGTGACCAGGCTGGACGGAGGGCTGAAGAAGCTGATCCAGGCGGCTGCTGACGTGGCAGTGATGAAGGAGGAGCTGGCAAAGCAGACGGTGGTGGTGGAGCAAAAGACGAGAGACTGTAGCGAGTTGCTGCAGACCATCTCGGTGAACACCAAGGAAGCCACGGAGAAACAAGCGATAGCGGGCGAGCAGGAGGAGATCCTGGGCGTGCAGTCTGTTGAGATCGCGCAGCAGAAGGCGACAGCAGAGGAGAAGCTGGGAGCTGCCTTGCCCGCACTCGAAGAAGCAGCACAGGCGCTCAACGACCTGGACAAGAAGGACATCGACGAGATCAAGTCGTTTGCAAAGCCGCACGTGCTGGTGCAAGGAGTGGCTGAATGTGTCGCCATCCTCAAGAAGGTTCCTGACACGAGCTGGAAAGGAGCCAAGGCCATGATGTCTGACGGTCGCTTCCTCCGCTCGCTGCTGGAGTTTGACAAGGACTCGATGACGGACAAGCAGATCTCGCAGGTTCAGAAGTATATGAAGGACCCCAAGTTCAACCCGACGGAGCTGAAGAACATCTCTACAGCAGGAGCTGGATTGTTGAAGTGGGTGTACGCCATGGTGAACTACTACAACGTAGCCAAGGAGATCAACCCTATGCGCAATGCCGTCAGGAAAGCTGAAACAGAGCTTGCCAAGGCGCAGAAGGATCTGTCAAAGGTGAAGAACGAGCTTGCAGACCTCAGCCAGACGCTCGAGGGGCTGAGAGATGACCTAGAGAAGGCAACGATAGAGAAGGAGCGACTCAAGGAGGCTGCAGACACCATGGCACGTCAGCTTGCAGCGGCGGAGAAGCTGATCAACGGGCTCGGCTCGGAGCAGACGAGGTGGAAGGCAGACATGGAGGATCTGAACCAAAAGAGAATCAACTTGGTCGGCGACTGCCTCATCACCTCCTCCTTCCTCTCCTACCTCGGAGCCTTCTCCTTCGACTTCCGTCAGAGGCTGATCACCTCCAAGTGGCAAGCTGACCAAGTAGACAAGAAGCTACCACTGAGCGACCCGTTCTCCCTCCAGTACCTGCTGACCTCTGACGTTGAGATTATCCAGTGGGCCTCCGAAGGCCTGCCGTCCGACGACCTCTCGGTGCAGAATGGCATCCTGTGCACCAGAGCCTCCTCGTTCCCCTTGTGTATCGATCCTCAGATGCAGGCCGTTGCCTGGATCAAGAAGAGAGAAGGGAAGGACCTGATAGGAAGGATCAAGACCTTCAACGACGGCGACTTCCTGAAGCATCTCGAGATGGCCGTCAACTTTGGTTTTCCCTTCCTCTTTGAGAACCTCGACGAGTACATCGACCCGGTGGTCAACCCGGTGCTCGAGAAGAACATCACAACCAACGGAAACCGAAAGTTTGTGAAGCTCGGGGACAAGGAGATCGACTGGGACCCCTCCTTCCGCCTCTACATGACCACTAAACTCTCCAACCCTCACTACACCCCTGAGGTGTTCGGTAAGGCCAGCATCATCAACTTCACCGTCACCTTGGAAGGACTGAAGGAACAGCTTCTGAATGTCGTGGTGGGACATGAACGTCCGGATCTCGAGGCGCAAAGGCTGGAGCTGGTGGAGGAGGTCAGCAAAAACAAGGCCACGCAGAAGAAGCTGGAAGACACGCTTCTGAGGGAACTTGCGTCCTCGTCGGGCAACATTCTCGACAACGCAGAGCTAATATCAACCCTTGACTCGTGTAAGACTTCCGCCACGGAGATCGGGTTGAAACTCGAGCAAGCAAGGCAAACGACAGAGGAGATTGGAGTAGCTCGAAGCAAATATCTGACAGCTGCCAAGCGCGGCTCAATCCTCTTCTTCTCACTCTCCGGCCTCTCGTCACTGAACCCCATGTATGAGACTTCGCTCTCGTCCTTCCTCGGAGTCTTCGTCACCGCCCTCGAGAGGTCAAAGAAAGATTCGGATCTCAATGCTCGGCTGGCAAACATCATCAAGACGTTGACTCAGCAGTTCTATGACTACGTCTGCTACGGATTGTTCGAGACGCACAAACTAATGTTCTCTTTCAATATGACTGTCAAGATATTGGCAGGCGATGAGAACATGGACGAGAAGCTTTTGGACTTCTTCCTTCGTGGAAACACATCTCTCAGTGAAGCAGCTGTCCAAAAACCCTTTTCTTGGATCCCCCAGCAAGGCTGGAAAGATTTGCTGCAACTGACCACCTTGAGACCTAAGTTCGCCAGCATGGTCAACTTGGTCACAAAGAACGAGCAGACGTGGAAAACTTGGTATGACCTGGAGGACCCGGAGAACCACAACATCGACATGCTTGACAAGGAAGACTTGAACGGCTTCGAGAAGAGCTGCATCGTCAAATGCTTCCGTGCCGACAGAATACAAAATTGCGTGCAGAAGTTTGTCATCGAGAACTTGGGGGAGGGATACGTCCAGCCTCCTGTGCTCAACTACAAGCAGGTGCTCGCACAGTCCAGCCCCAAGACTCCCGTCGTCTTCGTGCTGTCCCCGGGAGCCGATCCGGCCTACAGCATCTTCGAGCTTGCGGAGACGGAGGGCATGGCTCCTCCTAAGCTCAAGTACGTCTCCCTCGGGCAGGGACAAGGGCCCATCGCAGCAAACCTGCTGGAGACAGGAGCCAACAGAGGCTTCTGGGTGCTGCTCCAGAACTGTCATCTCCTGCCCAAGTGGCTCAAAACGCTCGAGAAGATCCTGGAGAAGCTCTTCGAGAAGCCACACAAGGACTTCAGGCTCTGGTTGACCACCGACCCCACCGACGCCTTCCCGCTCGGTATCCTGCAGCAGTCGTTCAAGGTGGTGACAGAGCCGCCCAACGGGCTGAAGTTGAACCTCCGAAGCACTTGGAGTAAGATCACCGAAGACTCCCTCGCCTCCTGTCCCAACCCGGCGTTCCGCCCTCTCATTTACGTTCTTGCTTTCCTGCACGCTGTTGTGCAGGAGAGAAGGAAGTTCGGCAAGCTGGGATGGAATGTGCCCTATGACTTCAATGAGTCGGATTTCCGCGTCTGCTTTTCTCTCCTCAACACCTACCTCACCAAACAAATAGAAAACGGTGATGAGCAAATACCATGGAACACTCTTCGATACCTGGTGGGAGAAGTCCACTACGGAGGCAGAGTCACCGACAGCTACGACAGAAGAATACTGACGACTTACATGCAAGAGTTCTTCGGAGACTTTCTCTTTGACATCACGCAGAAGTTCTTCTTCTACCAGGATAGCAAAGTGCAGTATGGGATGCCGGACTCTGACAGTGACAGGGACCAATATGCTGCCTTCATCGAGGCTCTTCCCTTGCTGTCGGGCCCGGAGGTTTTCGGGCTTCACTCAAACGCTGAGATCGACTACCTGAACAAGGCCAGTGCAAACATCTTGTCCAACCTCATAGAGCTGCAGCCTCGGACGTCGGCAGGGAGCGAAGGAGCCACACGAGAGGAGGTCGTGGGCGCTGTCGCAAACGACATCGTGTCAAAGATCCCTGAGCTGTTCGACATGCCGAAGCTGAGGAAGACATTGCCATCACCGTCTCCTACACAAGTAGTTCTGCTGCAAGAGCTCGATCACTGGAATCGCTTGCTGCGCACCATGAGCTCCTCGTTGAAGACGCTCCTTCGCGCTCTGTCCGGGGAGGTTGGCATGTCATCCACGTTGGAAGAGCTCTCGACCGCCTTGTTCAACGGCGTTCTCCCTGGCTCCTGGAGCAAGCTCACTCCTCAGACCGAGAAATCCCTGGGCGAGTGGGTTGAGATGTTCTTGAGGCGTCAGGATCAGTACGCTGAATGGGCTGCGGAGGGACAAGACCCGCTGGTCATGTGGCTCTCGGGGCTTCACATCCCCGCCACCTACCTCGCCGCTGTTGTTCAGACGACCTGCCGTATGAAGAAGTGGGCGCTAGACAAGAGCACGCTCTACACCAAAGTCACTCAGATGATGAGCCCCACTGAGGTGACTGACCGCCAGGTTTCCCGTGTGACATCTACTGACGTTTGCTCGTTTGCAGGTGGGAAGTCGTCTAGAGTTCGGATGCTACGTGCAAGGCTTGTACCTGCAGGGAGCCTCCTGGGATCTGAAGGAGAGCAGGTTGGTAAGGCAGCTGCCGAAAACTCTCGTGCAGCCGCTTCCCATCCTCCAAGTCATCCCTGTCGAGGCGCATCGCGTGAAGCTGCAGGGGATGCTCAAGACTCCAGTCTACGTCACTTCACTTCGAAGGAACGCCATGGGCGTCGGGCTGGTTTTCGAAGCGAATCTGGACACTAATCATCATGTTTCGCACTGGATTCTTCAAGGTGTGGCATTGACCCTGGAGTAGAGCATTTCATTCAATCTTAAAGCAATTGTTAAAGCAAAGAAAATGAATCGACTGTTAGTTTAGGCAAGATGGAAGGGAGGCTAGAAGTATACTTCGGAAGAGGCCTCCTCTGACGGCTCGGAAGTAACTCTTGATTAGACAAGTAAGCATTCGATCTCAGCGTCCAAAACTCATTTTCAAACTCTTTCTTTCTGCTCCCGCCACCGTCCAGGGAAAGAGACAAGTTCAAAGCGGGGGTTTCACCCTTACCGTGCTTCAAGTCATCGAAGAAAAGAGTGTTCATCTTGCTGGCTGAACGCTTGTGCTCCTTCACCCTCTTTCTTGCTACATCCGGCAGGAAGCTTCTTGCTTTTGGCTGTATGAATCTTGCTAGCAAGCCCTTGGTCTTGGAAGTGACGTTGGCGTATCTGAGTTTCAACTTGAGGGTTGAGATCTCGGCGTTGGTGATAGTTTGCTGCCCAGGCAAGTCATGGTACCTCCAATGCTTGAGATGGGAGCTGACGAGGCCCTGCTGCCAGGCTCGGAGCAAGGTCAACGAGACATTCCTCATCGCCCGAGACCTTGAGACCAAATCGTGCCAGGCCGCCAGGACTTGTATCCAATGCAAGGATAGCTTTCTACCACTGATCACTTCCAATGCTGCCAATGTACTGTGGTATTTCTCGAGATGTGCCTTCATGGCATCAAAATATTTCCTTTGGATGTACCTTGAGCTGAGGGAAGATATCCCTTGAAACATTGCCTTTAAAAACATCTTCCTATTGACATTTGAATGCCAAACGGAGAAGAAGTAATGCGTAAGTCTTTGATATACCACAAATTTCCAACCAATATCCATCAGATTTTTCACCAATGGCAATTTTTCAAGGAAGGATTGATGAAAGTCCAACCAGTCGGTGAACCAACGATTCAATTCACGTGATCTATGTCTGTATCGAATGACTGCTCCTCTTCCTCGAGTGGCTTTCTTTTCCTTACAAATGTTACACCAAGAGCGGAGAATGATTCTTATCAGATATCTACCTCTCGAGATCTCGACTTTCCGAAACTTCTCGTCTGATTTCCACACAGCAAGGTCTATACATACATCCAAGATGTGACCTGCTGACAACCTCGCCCAAGTCTTGCGACGAGAGATATGGCCTTTACAGACAGATTGCAACCTCAAGCAATAAGTCTGCAACAAAGGTTGTCCGAATCCCAGGCCGATCGAAGTGATCAAGTTCAAATCTCTGACGATCGAGAATTCAAGTCGAGCAATGAACGCGCGGATGTGCCGGGCGATAGCCAAGCCTGCAACTCCTTCTCCATCAGACGATCCGACTGACACCTCGTCATCAACTTGAGAGCTCTCTCCTGACCCATCAGATGCGTCCAAGTAGTCCTGTCCCTCGTTCCTTACTCTGTACCCTGCTGCCGCGCTAAGCCGGAAGTCTCCCTCGAACCCTGTCCTGTAGTCTCCCGTCTTCCCCGTCTTGTCCCACACGACCTCGCATATGTCCCCCGTCTCGCCGTCTCCGTCCGCATCCTCCGGATCTACCCAGGTGATCGTACCGAAGCCTCCGCTAGAGTCCTCCGCAAGCTCCGGGTACTCCGTCAGAGCTGACTTGGCTATCTGAACTCTCATGCCGACCTCTGGCCTGACGTCCAGGCCGACCAAGGTGCCCAAATCTTCAGCGGGGATTGAGTCCAAATTCAGGTACCGTTTTGACTTCGGCTGGAGATCCTCTTGCTGAACTTGTTCGGCTTGCTGCAGCCTGACATATTCGGTTTTAATGTCGTGGATAATGTTTCTGTGAGTATTTTTTCTTGTTTTGCCCAGCATGTCTTCATTTATCGATCGTATTTCGATTGAAGCATTGTTTTGGACTATTCCTTGCAGCAGCAATAACTTTCTTGCCAGAAGACTTCGCCGGATAAATCCTCCAAGGACTTCAGCAGCATGTTGTCGATTTCTGACGACGATGATGTATGCAGACCTTATTCGATTTCTTTGTAGACATTCTGGTAAAGTTTTGCACAATGTCCATGTTAAAAATCGTCTGCAACAAGCTTGCAGCGACGATGTATACCTTTGGACGACTGCATTCATGCTCATGATATCAAATGGATCATTGTATCGTTTGATCTTCTTCTTCATGTAGCGAATCCAAAGAAGATACGCGTTGTCTCGTGATTTCAACGAAAGTTCGTTGTCAACTTTGACAAACCTGTATGCTACGTTTTTGAGGGTTCCGCAGTACTCTGCAAGCTGTGAAGCTCCTAGAAGATTATCTGACATCTCCCTCGCGACAATCAATTCCTTGTTCTTTAAGCATTCATGTAACCTTGCTGTTCTCTCATGGAAGTATGCTTTAAAGAGTTCCTGGAACATCAATTGGAATGCAATCAACTCTGATAGTTGGCTGCTGGTATGCAAAATGATGGAAAGCGAACATCCGGTCTCAAGAGCTTTCCTCCAGTCTCCATGATCCAAGTCTTTCTTCATGGTTGGCAGCACGTGGGGGGCGATGTCGCCAGGGATGATCTTGGATCTCCGCTCTCCAGATGCTCCGAACCCCATCTTCCAGTGCTCCTCCATCCCTTGAGACTGAACCCGATCAACAGGCTATCACGAGTTCATCTGAGCTACATAGCTTGCATTCTTCCTTCCATAGCCCTGCTCTTCCCGCCCATTCACCCTCTGCCCCTTGCAGACTAGGTATGTCTTACCTGCGAGCATCAACACCAGCCAGTAAATGGAGTGGAGATGTGGTGGGGTAGGGGTTCTCCTCTTCCAAGGCTGCACCCAACCCCATAGAAATCCTATTGGAGACAATAAATGAAATGGCTGACCCCCGTGGAAAGTCTTCGTTGACTAAGCTGCCAGCCCAGAAAGGGTAGCAACTCAGGATGAGGTACCGGTGGTTGACCTCTGGAGGTCCGGCAGTTGGAACAAGGGAGCAAGTGGGCTGATTTTTAACTTAACTTTGAGTAAACCGTGCCTGAGGATGATGGTCCGGAGGGGCCCAGACATCAGCCCCGGCCGGACAGTTAAGTTAAAACTTTTACTCAAAGTTAAGTCACGGAGAGAAGACTGCGCGGCCGTACATTCGGAAAAGTCGTCCTTGACTGACATGGTGCTTTCCCAAGGCAAAGAGTCACTGCCAGTGTAGGGTGCCACTGCGGTACCGGGGCACAAGGCCCTGCGGCGCGGGAAGCCAGTCACTGTGGCCAGAGTGGCGGCGGGGCCGAACCGTCCCCGGCTATGGGACCCCGGGGCCCGGCGGGGCGGGCCGCACCGTAAAGGCGGGAACGGCCCGGGCGGTTGAGCAGGGGCCCTGGGTGTGAGGGGCAGGCTGGCAAAGCAGAGCTGCAGCCTCAGTGGCGTCACTGAGTAGCGGGAGCACAGGAGCGGGAGCAGCAGGAGCGGGAGCATAAGTCACTGCGAGCTGTTGCTAAGCTGAGAGCAGCTTGAGTGCTGTCAGGATTCAGCGGGTGTTTGACATTGCAAGTATGACACAATTCATCAACCTTGTCATTTGAAGGAGAGCTTGACTGTACCAGGTTGAAAGTGCAGAGATACCATCATGGCAAACGAGGCGGCAGCAAGTGGGGGGCAAGTACTTTTCTCCAACAATCCTCTGCTAAGAGTCATCGACAAGAAGGAGACAATCAGTCTCGCTAGGCATGCTAGTGCACAGCCAGCTACCAACAGCTCTGAACTGAATGATTGCAAATGTGATCATGACCGAGTCGAAGCACCTGCCATCTTTGCGTGTCCTTCACTTTCATGTCCACAGCCTCCCAGCCCAGGCCCTCGTTGCACCACCATGGCAAAGACAGATTGTGAATCTCCTTCAGGCAACTTGTCGAGCAGGGCAGCAGGAACGAGTACCCACAAAGGAATCCTAGAGGGAGAATCGTCGGAGCAGACTGAAGTTTTCAACAAAGATGACGCTAGTCAAAGGCTCAAGAGAACACTGCATCGAGTCGCTCTCCTCCGACAGCAGGCAACTTCTCCAGTCAGTCCTCAGAAGGTGTGTGTGAGCAACTAAGACCCCAAGTTCATCTGTATAGCTAACAAGTTTTGCTCAGCCGGCACAATCTGAGCGGAACTCTAGGGATCTTCAGAGAAACGATTTTGCAGCAGCAAGGAGAATTGATGAAGAGAATGTCAGTCCAACATCAAACCCATTGCAAGTGCAAGCTGATCTCTCGGATTTCATCTGCAACCTACCTTTGAACATCATGTGAGCCTCTCAAACCCGTTTCATGCATGACCCATGACTGCAGAACAAGGAGTATCTCTCAAGCCATGGAAGGGCAGAGCCCGCAGAGCGAGAGCTCTGGCATGGCGTCTATTTCGGTGGAGAAGCTGGATGTCGCTCACCGAGCTTTACAGGACCGCCAAGACCAGCAAATCATCTTGTAGTGTGCCATCTCATGAACATTAGAGTAATTTTAACATTATGCGCTGTCATCAACACACTCTCATGTCTTATATGCTTCTGTGCGTGGAAGACATTGGCGTGACGCAACTATGTTGTACGCTGTGGCTCATGCAATAATTGTGACTGGCAGCTTGAAACGAGGTAACAGAAAGAATCCTTTCATAGGTTAACAACCAGCAAATAAACATAATGACACAGGCTTTCAAGCCCTTATCCCTACACCCCGCGATTTGATGCTCTCTTGTTCTGCGTATTTACAAACATCAGGGTGGCAAATAACGTCCAAGGGATCACCTCAAAGAAATTTCGAAGATAAACAATTTGAATCACACTCATAAGAAGCAATGCTCCTGCTTCAATTAGAGCCCACCAAAGAACACGAGCATTTGTAGATTCAGACGCTGAGGAAAATGCATCAAGTCAACATCTTTGTCTTTCTAAGAAGAAAGGGCAAGTACTGTTTCTGTGCGCTCGCTCCCTCATCCTCATGTACTCTTGCTCTGTTTGGATTTGCTGGAGCCCTTCAGCCAGTGCCATGACCGACTTTTCGAGTGGAGTGACATGCTCTTTCACGAAAACAAGAATAAGCGAGCACATTTCCGAAGCATCGCCTCACCGGACTTCGCAACTCTTGCTTGCTGTGTATCCTCCCCAACCAGTAGCGAGAAGGACACAGTCTTCGGGGTTACAGTTGACATGGAGTTGCCAAAACAAAATCTGTACGTCCCTGTTTCGTGTGACATGAAAGTGAATCTTCCCTCAGTCTCCTTCTGGACACTATAGATAGTTTTTTCATCGGGTCCAGTAACCTGCGTAACAAATCAATCTGGAAAGGATAATTTGCAGGATACAACAAGGGATGTTCACCTTAGCATCAATATCTAAAAACCCTCCATTTGTGACCTGGAACGACCCGCTGACACGAGTGGCGCCTTGAATGTCTTCAAACAAGCACTCATCCTGCCATGGAGATGATTTAGCGCGCGCATTCACAGAGAAGTTCACGGCATGGAGGAGTCATGACACAAGGGAACCCTCTCTCACCTTCCCAGGATCGACATTGAACGTAAGGCCTGTCGCACATCCTCCCCATGTCGCTACCACAACCAGAACCACTACCCAGCGACTCATCCCGACCATGAAACAACGCGTGCGTCGGGGTTGGCCCGCAAGCAAAATTGAAAGAGGAGGGGTCAGTGAAAACTGGTAAGGGGTGGTTAGTAGCTGGGAGAGAGGGGTGCTGATCCCAGCTACCGACAGTCCGTACGATGGCGTGGTGGAGCAGGATCGAACAGATTTGGAGGAGGCAGGGAAGGTACAGCGAGTGAAGTGATATGCATCAACGAGATAAATATGATGTCTACATGATCTGATCCAAGAAAGAGAGAAAACTCAAGACCATCGCTGTTTCGTGGAGGCGTGAGGTTGGATCTGGATCGTGCTACTTGAGATTTTGATTGAAACACGTGGCTAGGCAGGCGAACCAAGGAGCTTTGAAACGTGAATGGTGAAACCATGGTGGCGATCGTTGCTTTCGAGCAAGCAAATTTTGAACTTCACCCCGATGCTATTCTTCATCACAGTCGCATTGTTTTCAGCTGCTCTCTTTTACCGACAGGTAGGCTATGCTGTCTCCTTCGAAGCATTCTCTTCGAACACTTTAAGGCAGACCTGTGAATGGATGTTCAGGTCCTAGACTCTCCCAAATCTCGAAGCACCAGAGGGAGGTGATTCCCCTCCCACATTCTAACTCACTGTCCTTGTTCTCTGCTACTTGAAGAGACTCTGATTCTGCCGTGATTGGCAGAGATGATATTGATGCGATCATTGTTGCTGGAGGCGGGCAAACAGCGACAGGACCACCTCCACATGTCGTTCTAAGGCTTGAAAAGGCTGTTCAAATGTGAGATAAACAAATTCTTCCAAACTCTTCTGCACGAGTAATGTGATTGCTTACAAGTTACAATTCTCGATCGCCGAAGCCGTACATCATCACACAAGGCAGGGGAACCCCCCACAAGCCTTCTCCCTTAGATGATCGTGGGTTTGAAATCCATGAATCCAGCATGAACGCAAAGTAAGTCTTGTGAATGTATAAACATGGCTTTCTTCACCCTGATTTGGTGGGATGACAAGGTGGCTAATTGAGCATGGTGTGGACCCTTCAGACATTCTCGAGGAGAGTGCAAGCTTGGAGGTATTTTTTAGGGCATCATCTGTCACTAAATCTGAGAGCCGTGCCCTCATCAGACAGTCGGCAACGCATATTTCGTTCGGGCATTGCATACGGATGTTCTTTCACTGTACCGTCTTGTCGTCATCAATAATTTCTGGCATATGCCAAGGTGCAAAGCAGTAAGTTGTGGATCATTCCACAGGCAAATGATGATCAGAATTCGGTGTTGAATGATGTTTTTTTTGTTTTTTGCAGGTTTTCGATCATGTGTTCAGCGTGCCGAGTGACAGGGCCGATAATGGGGTATCGTGATCGTCTACCATACATTGCTCAATCATGAAACTTTTCAACTCAGGGATACACATTAGAATACGTCTCTGTTGACTCAGGGTTGACTAGTGATGTATCAGTGTTGTGCGGAGCGCAACGTTTGGCTAACAAGCGGAGCAGGTGCTTGAGTTACGCCTGGAGAGGGAGAAGAAGTCGCTCCCCAATTTCTTGCCAAACAGCCCTTGGGCCAAAAAAATCAAAACGCTACGTGATTTGCACAGATGGTGAAGAATGCTGTGCGAATCTTCCAGATGTAACACATCTCAGGCTATTCTCAGAGAATACAGCGTACGCCTCCAAGAGGTTGACGATGAAAAGGGAGGCGATCGATCCGACCGTCGCCAAAAGCTATTAAGGCATTGTCTGTCGTGGCATGTCCTCCAATATGCATCTTGAAGAACTTCTGAGGGAGGGAAGCTTTGATATTCATTTGCATCCAAAACTTTATTTCATAAGAGGAAAAAAGGCTGACAGGGTATATTCTACAATAAGAGGAAGACAAAATGTGTTTAACCAACAGGTCAGACAAAGAAAATGACACTTCCTGCTTGCAAAGCTCCAGACTCAGAGTCGTTTCAAACTCCTTTTCTTGTCCATGCGCTTTTTCTCGATTGCCTTGTCCTTCACTACCTGGCTTCTTTTCGCAACCTTGCTATTCACATCATTGTCCGTTATTGAGTCCTCACTTTCCTTGGGTTCAACATGCACAGTCTGCTTCACAACACCGTCTCTATTCCTCATGGCATGCACTCCTGTGATCAACTTGGCGCGCTGCGCGTATGACTCATAATCTTCCATGAACATCCTTCCCGCCTCTTCGTTGAGTGCTGACTCTGGGTTCGGTTCGATGAGCAGACATCGGATGACCTGATAAGCATATAAATCGACTCGCATCAGTCAGGAAAAGCATGCTTTCTTTCACCATTAGTATGTGGCTTAGTTTGCAATCTGACTTCCAGTCCTTCTTGAGGGTATTCACGCAAATCTCCCCAGACTTAGAGACGTTCGGATGGAATATCGGAGTCAAGAAGAACCCTTTTGGTGGTACCGCAGGGAACTCTGGACCGAAAAGCAGCTTGATCTCAAACACCCCCCCGTGATAAGGTGTCTCCTCTACAAAACCGTCAATCAAGGGAAAGGATCCTAGTCAACCCCACAAGTACTCTTTCATCCTCCAATCTCCTCCTCCTCCCCCCCCCCCTCCCCCCCTCCCCCCCCTCCGAAGAGAGGAACATTACCTGGCCCGATCAACTCAGCTCTGATATCAGTAACGTTCTCTTCATTGACTTGCAGGCGAATGTCGGAAACTGGATTCTTCGTGTACTCTTGCACTTCCTTTATGAGACGATTTAGAACCGACGGGGAGACATTTTCATTTGATGTCTGTCAACACAGTCAGAACCAGCCGATCAGGAATAATCACGGGATCAAGCAAAGGTATAAGCCGAAAACAAACAAGAAACAAACTTCGGGAGGATTTACCATCTCCTTGCTGAGCTAAAGGGAACCAGCACAAGCGTCCAGTAAACTCGACTTGGTGTACAGTTTGGCAGAAGTCTGCAGGGGACGGATGCCCAATCCTCCGCAATATATACTGATAAGTTTTTACCTCCTCGACGCAGGAGAACAAACAAAGCTTTTGACAGCAGTAAGAGCGATCGAGGAACTAGTATACGAGGAGAGGTGCGATCCACCAAGATAGGTGATCTATAGAGCTCTCAAACCGTCTGAAGACTCGAAGGAGTAAAGCGGGGAGGGGTGAGGAGGAGGGAGATGGGTGAGGAGGGAGGAGGGAGGAGGGAGGAGGGGAGGAGGAGGCGGAGGTTTGGTGGTAGTAGGAGAGGAGGAGCAGGACCCTGGTGACAAGCAGGGCTAGGGTAGGGGTGAGTAAGATGGGGTCCTCAATTGAGGCAATTACAGGGATTGTGGGTAGGGGTTATAAAATTACGCTGCACAAGAGGTAGGGTGGGTATTCATTGTGTGGTGATTAGGGGACTTTCTGGGGTCTGCACATGAAGGAGGTGGGGACCCTCGTCATTCAGATGGGTGGTGTCCGAAGTCCTGGGGTGCAGAAACACCGCACTGAAATGAGGGGGGTAGGGGTAGGTCAAGGATTTCGATTTCAATGGTAGGGTCATTCGAGGGATGTTTTGGTCCTGAGAATCGTAGGGTTAGAGGAGTGGTCATGGAACATTAGGGTGGGTACTTCCTTCAAGGAGTGATTTATTTGAGGGTAGGGTTGTATCAACACGGGTGTTCTTAACCCGAAAAAAACTCTTTGAATCTGGTGGGTGGTGATATTGGTATGCTGCAGGCTACACTCATGTTGATTTAAGGGGTGGGTGGAACAACAAATATGCTCTGGTGGTGGGGGTAGTTCGCAACAGAGCTCTTAGGGGAACCAGTACCCTACCCTACAAATGAGACTGTTCACCATGTGTTGCTCGAATTACCCCTACTTTTGACCATGGAGCTCACAGGCAAGTATTGGTGGGTAAATGAACTGTAACCGCTGGACTAGGTAGGGTACTACATGCCCTTTAAATTACCATATTGTCATTGTGCGAGGAGGTGGTAACTTACATGGAAATTTTGCATAGCTCAGTTGGCATCCGATACCTAGTCCGGGCCTTCCGACCCGGCATCGGCCCGGGCGGGTGAATGGTCAAGCGCGTAGTTAAGTGAAGGTATCAGTTAAGTTTGGGTGACAGCAGGTGTTCGTATAGGTGTTTGTGCTCTGTCTTTTCTCTCTCCTGATTGTCCTCGTACTGATTTTTGACTTAACTTTTAAAAAGATAGTATGCCGGTGATTTGACTTTCTCAAGACATGACTCTGTGACAGATGAAGGCAGGAGACGAGCAAGGGCGGGCTCCGATCACTGTGGCCGCAAACAGGCTCACAAGTTGGTCGGTCATGAAGAGGGATGCCAAGGAAGAGGAAGAGACCTTGCAGAAAAGGGAGAGGCAGCCGCGGAGGCCTACACAGTACTTGTTGATAGCGTTGCACGGTGCGGCTGCTACACGGAGCACTGGGCAGGGTGCTTGAAGCACCGTGGAGCAAGCTTTGATTATCTTAGATCTGGATCGGGCTGCTCTATCACCCATATGCATTACGATTCCCTCGAGCTCTCAGCTCCTCCGCGCAACGTGAGGCATTCTCGATCATTACCGATATTTGGCATGCTCCTCTCAAGGGCCTCCAGCAAATTTTGTGCAGAGCTCGTTTGGAATCCTCCCCTCAAACATTTCGGAGGTGTCAAAGATCGAGCAAACCCGACGGACCCGTAGAAGTTTCCGTCTAGCTTCCCCCTATCAGAGAACTGCATGCTTGCCACACCGTTGAAGCATGCGCAGGAGGACAAGACCCATGCGAGAGCGATACTCAGTGACTGCCGAAACAGGCAAGCACGCAAACGATGAAAGCCAGGGTCCCCATACACCACACTGCATCCTGATTCTCCTCTTTCTTACGAAGCTGCTCCTTTTCTTTGCCAAGATTGCTCCTCTCAGGGGCCTCCAGCAAAGTTTGTGCAGAGCTACCAAACGACTGCTTGTACTGGCCCGAAGGAGACAAAGTAAGCATAAGGCAGAGCCGGGAAACAGCCAACACAGAAGGAATATGACGAAGCTAATGATTACAGCGATGTAAGAACAAAACACAGGTTATTCAGCTAACCGAGAGAATGATCATAGTACAGATTGTTGGGAAACGGTGTATGACCAGGAGAAGAGAAGGGGGAATGCCGGGGACGGGGATTGGAGAACGAGGGAAACAGAGAACAAATGGGAAAGAACAACTGAGCTCCGTATTGCAAACAAAAAAAACAAAACTCCTTATTTTCAATATTCACTGATCTCGCAAATCGCTAGATATACTTGCCAAGGCTCTCTGTCCATCAAATTGATCACCTCGCTAGCAGTCATTTCTAAGATTGATCATCACCTTCCCCCAACACTCCTGCATTCTTATGAGGCTGCATGGAGCAGCACAGGAAAGCTGAGAAGGATTGACAAGAAAACCTTTGGTTTAGTCATATAAAGAGAAGGATAATTTGAGTTTTGACCAGCTCATCCTACCTGTCAGAAGATCTTGTTCAATATTCTCATGTATCGACTAGTATCACTGTGTTTGTATGATTGAAATATGGGAGCTTTGCTTTGCTTTGATTCATTCTCAATTTAAAGTTAGGCACGCAACCTTCGCCTGCTTCCTTTCCTCGCCTTTCTTCCATCCATATGTCTCCAACGCCCCGCAGTCTTCGACAGGACTTATCCGGAACACCGGCATCCTCTCTCGTGGAATGAGGAAGATGATCTCGACCTTCCATACAAGACCTGCAGGAATCCCGAGGGCCCTGAGAGTATCCAAGAAGAAAGAAAGCTTCAGACTGTGCTTCTCGGCCACGGTTACCTGCACAAACACTGCCCTTTTGGCATCCTTGTCTACAATCACAGCATCGTATCCTCCTTGAAGCTCGCTGATCGGTCTGAAGCACACCGAAGTGGTAGGGAGAGAAATCTTGAGTTGCAGCGGATCAAAGAACACTATGCTACGACTTTCCCAAGGCCGAGCCTTAATTGGTCTGCTACGTTTTCTGCGGTAAGTCAATCTCAAGCCCCGTTGCACCTCCTTGAAAAACATCAACTCGAATAAGGTTCCCTTCACTGCCGCACTTCGTGTGCCAAATTTCGAGCAAATCCTCGTCAACTCCTCTTCTTCAACCTGGAGCATAAGCCTCCAGGAAACATACATGCTCACTGGCAACCAGCTCACAACACCGTCAATCTTGAAAGTTGCTATCAGGCGATTGACTATCTGCATCGAAGAAGGGCCTATACTACCCCGAAAGATAAGCTCTAAATCTGGGGAACTTAGTAACGCTCTATCAATCACTTCAAGCACCGTATCTGCGGTCATTTCGAACATGTACCGACATGAACCACCAGCGAGGTAATGCTTCTGCCTGACCCGTGCTTCTTTCGAGCTAGCTGTCTGCGTCATCTCGATACCCCATTCTCTTAGCCTCGGAGAAAGCGAATCCAGATCCATCTCCAACACGCCTTCGACTTTCTCGTAGAACTCATCTGACTGCACTGCCTCCAAGTATTCATGCATTGTCCAAGAGACGACGAGGTGCTCCTCCAGTTTCATGTCCCTATCCTCCTCGTAGTAGGTTTTCCCTCTAGAAGCCATTGAGGTCACCACCACCAACCGTCGATTGCTTCTGTCCATGTCCCGCCATTTATTGCATGCAATAAAGGCTCCCAAATGATCCTGTTCGTGTCTTAAGAACCCATCCAGTACAACAAGACGCCTCTTGCCGTCGGACCATTCTCTGAGCAACTTCTCCACTATTTCTTTGACAGCTCCCTTGTCGATCACGCACGTTCGTCGCATACTACCTACAACCTGAACACAAAGAGCGTTTAGTACAGCTTTCAGCCTGATGATTGTCACACTCCAATCGTTCATGTCTAGCATCAACGAAAAGGATAACGTCGCCGTCGTCTTCCCTGTTCCTGGCGAGCCCTGTATCCACCCCAGGGCACCTCGTTCAAGCACACGCTCTCTCAGGAAAATATGCTGCTTCAAGAAGGCTTCTCGGCAATAGAGCAGTTGCTCGTGTTGGCTGTCCGCATCTGCGACTATGCTCAAGTACCTGCTATCTAGACGGAAGTACTTGTTGTCATGGCAAAAGCCCATGCGATCAAGCCCAGCATCTGACTCTGTCCAAGCAATTCTTTCTCCCGAGAAACGACTTTTTGGACGGTACTCCTCTTTCAATTGAAGAAGCTGTCGAAGCTGCTTCTTTTCTTTACGAAGCTGCTTCTTTTCATTACGAAGCTGCTTCTTTTCTTTACGAAGCTGGGCCTCTTTCTTACGAAGCTGCTTCTTTTCTTTACGAAGATCGGAATGTCTCCTCGGATCCTGTAGACCTACACTCTTGATCTCATCCCCTATCAGCTTGATCTCTGTCTCTACCCCCTTGATCTCTGTCTCTACCCCGTGGATCTGTTTATCTACACTTTTGATCTCTGTCTCTACCCTTTTGATCTCTTTCTGTATCCCCCTCGAGCTCTCAGCTCCTCCGCGCAACGTGAGGCATTCTCGATCATTACCGATATTTGGCATGCTCCTCTCAAGGGCCTCCAGCAAATTTTGTGCAGAGCTCGTTTGGAATCCTCCCCTCAAACATTTCGGAGGTGTCAAAGATCGAGCAAACCCGACGGACCCGTAGAAGTTTCCGTCTAGCTTCCCCCTATCAGAGAACTGCATGCTTGCCACACCGTTGAAGCATGCGCAGATGACAAGCAAGCTACACATGGCATGTACTGGCACGTAGGAAGCAGGCAGGAGCCTGCCCATGCAGCACTACTTTTAAAAAGTCCTTTTATAAGATAAAATAACTGAAAAACAGAGAATACTGTTTAAAAAGTCCTTTTATAAGATAAAATAACGGTTACTTAACTAAGAAAGTTTACTCAACTTTAAGTAAAAGAAAGGGCTCCATATATACAATGTATGTGGAATATGTGGAAGGATCTCTGTGACAGACTGAGATGAAGGCAGGAGACGAGCAAGGGCGGGCTCCGATCACTGTGGCCGCAAACAGGCTCACAAGTTGGTCGGTCATGAAGAGGGATGCCAAGGAAGAGGAAGAGACCTTGCAGAAAAGGGAGAGGCAGCCGCGGAGGCCTCGGGAAGGGACTGGTAGAGGCAACACAGTACTTGTTGATAGCGTTGCGCACGGTGCGGCTGCTACACGGAGCACTGGGCAGGGTGCTGGAAGCACCGTGGAGCAAGCTTTGATTGCTCAGTCGATAGAGAGAGAAGGAGAGCTCAAGATGAGAGTGCAGAGGCTGGAGGAAGAGCTGCGAGAGAAAGAGAGACTGGTGGAGGGGATGCGCAACAAGATGAACTCCATGCTGCACATTGCAAATGACTGCGGGGCACAATGGACAGGAGTGTGGCTGACACTGAAGGACCAAGAGGACCCAAAGGACCTCTCCACGTTGCTTGACATGCAGGCCAAGAATGCTGAGGCAATGCAGATCGCAGCAGAGATCACTGGGGCTCAGAAAGATCTTAGGAAGGAGGGCGAAGACGTTGAAAGAGGCGGAGAGGAGGCCAGGAAGTTGATGTTCACGGACTCTGAGATACGAAGCCTATGTGGAGTTCCGCTCTCAGGAGAGATGTACAGCTATGTGAGATGGAGCAAGCCTGGTGAGTTGCAAGTCGGAGAGCTGGTGGCCGTGAGGAGGCAGAACTCGGTGATGCAGATGCGCTTCTGTTGAGCTCTGTCTTGACCAGTGTTGTTCCAGTTGGTGGTCTTCGGCATTGTAATTCTCTCCCTCACTTTCATCCATGAGATCATTTGGTTTCACCCCTCAGGTGTTTGCGATAGTTGACGGGGTTGAAGACAAGGTGGATGTTACCATTCAGTGTGCGAGCAGATATGGTACACTAGATGTCTTACCGCTTCCTCTCAGTAATTTTGCTGATCTTCCGCAGCCAAAGGACGTTTGCGGAAAATACTCTCTCATAACAAAATAGGCAAGTTTGCCCCTGCTGCGTTTCCGCACAACTACCACGAGGTGATGTGTGTGTTTGACGTGTTGTTGAGGGGGCGGGTGAACGGGTGGTCAGGCAAGGTACAAGGAATACATCTCCACCAAGAATGAGGTGGCAAGTGTTGCTCAAGAGCAAAGATTGTACTCGACGTGTCTAGTTTCAAGCCGAATCTCATTTCCCACAGGAAGCGCACTCTGTCGCAGTATCCACGAGACTTGCGTTCTTGGTGCGAGCTAGGAAGGTTGTATCATAGCAGAAAGGAGCTTGAGTTGGCGAGGGATGCATATGAGAAGGCGTTGAAGGTATCCGTGACCTTCATTTCTTTACTCCCTCACTCAGAATCGTCAGGAGGATCCTTTCGACTATGTCACGTTGACGAGCTATGGAAGGTTGAAGCTGGAGGAGGGCGACAAGAGTAATTAGTCCATGTCTTGATATCGCGAGCATCTGAAATCTTGTCGCAGCGTTCGCGACATGGTTGTTTCGAAGGGCAGGAGTACAACAGACTATGCGAAGCAACGAGGTGGAGCTGTCGTTTGGGACAGGAGTCTCTCTTACACGTTTTCGTGCAGATTTCTTTGACCAATGAGTTGAGGGACAAGGCGTTGGGTGTGAACAGTCTTGCAGATGGTTCTCTTGGGCTGGATTAAAGCTTGACAACCTGGACTCTACAAGAATCTCACTGTTATCCGCTCGCCGCAAACCTAAAATGTACAAAGTGTACTGTCATTGTTTCATCGCCTTGTACGGACTAGACGGAAAAATTGATCGAGAGAGCGACAGGCTTCTGCATTTACAGGACTGCACGGATGTTGACGATGTTGACAGAAAACTTGAGGATGGCGTAGACTGTAAGTCCCTGCCAGGCTCCGACGAGTCCCGGAAAGTTCTGACATCAAGGATCACTAGTGGGCAGGGAGCGCTGAGAGCAACGGGGAAGGCAGCTCGACGTACCCAGAAGGTCAGCCAGCTTGCGAGGTTGGCGATCAACATGACCCGCACATAATGGCGGAACATCCTTGAGCCGATAAAGATGCCGTCCATGACTTGCCCGAAATTTACTCCGAGCTGAAGTGCGAGGGGCAGTGAGGACGGCAAAGAAGGGAAAGGGGACGGGAGACCTGAGACAAGCAGGCAAACACTGTGATCTTCTGAATCGCCGAGATCTGGCACGAAGGGGGTTGAGCGCGACTTGAGACGAGACAACTTGACCTCACCACTTCAGCATCTGCCGTGAAGAAGGAAGAGAGATAGTTCGGCACTGCCCATTGAATCACGGTCGTGATCCCATTCAGCCCTGCAAGCACTTTGGCACGCGTTCCCTCCTCCTCCTCCTCCGTCGTCACCCGCGGTCAGCAGGAGCATCGTCCCCACGAACTTGCGCACACTCCGCCGGCTGCATCCATACGGGTCAACCCCATCCCTCCCCCTGTTACCAGCAGAGCGCCGACTCCTCACCTCTTGGACATCCGGTACTTGGGCAGGAGGCTCTGAGACGCTAGGGAGAGCGGGCTGGCGATGAAACTGGCATCGCACATGAGCCTTTGCCAAAACCTCCACCTGGACCCACCTCAACATCCACCAGGTCTGAAGAGCAACTTGATGTGCTGCCGCCGCCACCAGCTCCCCAGCTGCCTGCTCTTGTCATGAGGATCCTCTCGAGTACGAGTGATGAACACGAACCGCAGCGGTCCTCGAGGTCAACGAGGTCGTCAGCCCCGCACAAAACGCCCCGACGAAAAGAGCCGAAGAGACCTGCGGTGGTCATGAGGTGCAGACAAGGAGGAGAGACATCCGAGGACCTGGAGGAAGGGGATGAGCTCTTGCGAGCTCGGGACGCGCCAATCCTTCCAGAAGTGAAGCCTCTTGTTGATAGATACGATCATCGAAATAACGCCTGCAGTCTTTCATTCTTCATCCTTCTCTCCCTCCTCCCTCCCCCTTCCCTCTTCTCTCTGAGCCCAACCCTCCCTTCCTATTTCTCACTCTCTGTCTGTCTGTCTGTCTACATCACAAGCACACAAGGCTCACCCGCATACGATGCGAGCATGGTGGCCAGCGCTACACCTCGAATACCTTCAGGCAACAGGAGACGTCAGATGTCATCAGACGCACAGGAGGAGATGAGAGCTTCAAACTCTGTGCATACCCCAACTGGAGACCAGCAGGGCGTCGAGGATGATGTTGGTCAAGGAGGACACGACGATGCCGATCATCGGGGTGCGAGTGTCTTTGATCCCCAGGCAAGTCCCGATGACGACGTTCTGACCCAAAATCGCCTGCAGGAGCATCAGGACCGCGCGGAGAGCTGAAAACCAAGTTCTACCGGAAACGCCAACGAGCGAATGTCAAGGTACTCGCAGGCTGGTTTGAAACTTGCGAGTTGCGCCGACATGCCGAAGCCGAACGAGAGAACTTGAGAGGAAGCAATCTGAGGAGCGAGAGGAGGAGGTGTCTCTCAACTTACTCTTGTCTTGGAAAGCGAGCATGACGATGTACAGTGCAGTGCCAGCGAGTGCAGAAAGGAAAAGGCCGTTCTTCAACGCCTTTCCTGCTGCCTCGTCCGTTCCATCCGAGTTCGCTACGATGGAAGTGGTACCCGTGCAGAAGAAACTGACAGTGCAAGCCAGGAAGTTGAAGAAAGCACAGTTGGCTGACAGCGCCGCGAGTCCAACTGTCGACGCTTCTCCTGCCAGTTTGTTCCCTATGAACCACGTGTCTATGAGCGTGAGCGTCGGGTCCGCCAGGCAGAGAGCCAGCGCTGGCACGGCGATGCTGAGAATGTCTTTGACGATCGTTCGGGTACCGATCTCGACTTCATCGTTCCACTCCTTCTGCAGAAGCAATGCAGTCAGAATATTCACCGGCTCTCTCCTCTCTTGGCTCGCAGCTCACATCTTCAGCTCTGCGCGTGAGACGCCGCCATGGCCTCTGGCCCACGACAGGACTGAAGGTAGCCCTGCGACTGTAACATGCTGCATGCCAGCTCGACAAGGGTGACGAGGTAAGAACGGGGTGAGGACGAGGAAGAGGAGGAGAGAAAGTGATCATGTTCAAGACTTCCCCCCGCTCCCTCAGGAGCAGCGAGCCGAGCACGCCATTGCGGTGGAGCTTCTATGGGGGAATGTGAAATTTTAAATTTAAAAATTTGGCGGCAAGAAAAGTGGGTAACAAAGTTGGTCTGACCGTGGCACTTGAGGTTCTTTAATTTACATGTGAACTAGCGATTATCTTACATCCTCACCCCTGAGGCTCCTCGTCCTCAACCTCCCACTTCTCTTCCTTCCCGTTCGGCGAGAGAATCCCCTTCCAGAAACAATCAGCTCTCCGTCCAGTCTCCCCCCTCCGACCTCAAACCTGCTCTTGTCCGGCGGGCTTCTTCTCTACAGCCTCTCCCTCGTCCGCTGCACCAGCATCTCCTGTCGTCTCGGACGACTCTTCGTGAACCGCTTCCTGGTTTTCAGCTGAAGGGTCCGCTGGGTCTCCAGCTGAGGGATCGGCCTCCTGGCTTTCAGCTGGAGGATCGGCCTCCTGGCTTTCAGCTGGGGGATCGGCCTCCTGGCTTTCAGCTGGGGGATCGGCCTCCTGGCTTTCAGCTGGGGGATCGGCCTCCTGGCTTTCAGCTGGGGGATCGGCCTCCTGGCTTTCAGCTGGGGGATCGGCCTCCTGGCTTTCAGCTGGGGGATCGGCCTCCTGGCTTTCAGCTTGAGGATCGGCCTCCTGTTTTCCAGCTGGAGGATCGGCCTCCTGGCTTTCAGCTGGGGGATCGGCCTCCTGGCTTTCTGCTGGGGGATCGGCCTCTTGGCTTTCAGCTGGGGGGTCTGCAGAAGCATCCTCAGGCTCAAGCTTTCCCTGCTCTGATCCCCCCCCGTTGTGCTCGGGAAGTTGAGTCTTGGGGCCGATCAATCCTGTATCGGCAGTCACCCTGAAAGTAGCACAAGCCTGGGCCGCACCGAGATTTGTGGGCTCAGGGATGAAGTCAGTGTTCAAGAGGTCCACGACTTCCACATCCCTGACAGACTCGTCAGTAGTCTCGCGAGTCAGAGAACTGTCTCACCTCCGCGCGCTCCTCTGCTTCGAGGCCGACTCCTGCCTGGCGTGTTGCACGCCCCGATCATCGCCCTTGGGATTCCCTTTGAGGTCGTTTCCACTCTTCTTGCTTCTCAAGTACTGAGAAATCGGATCAGCAGCCATGGCCCTGAGCACGTGAAGCCCTTGCCTTCTGGATTCTATCCCGATGTTCCTCCCTGGAGACGTTCTCCTTCTTCTTCTCCTCCAGACTCTTCTGTTGTAACAAGAAGTCTTCGGGTCAATCTTCATCGCTTCCAAACGATTCATGCACACCTCCTTTCTTTCCTCCTCCAGTTTCTGCTTGTAGGCGGCGATTTTCTCCTTGAGCTGCAAGGAAAGAGATCAGTCAGTAGCACATCATCGTAGACTCCGAATCCCCCCACCTTGGCTCTCCTCTGAGCTTCATTTTCTCGCTGCCTTCGTTTCTCCTGTTCATTCCCACAATCAGGAAAGGGCGATTCCATGGCGACTACAAGGACCTGCTCCATCGCCTTCTTGATCACAGCCTCATCTCGCAGCCTTTGGGCTTCCTGCAGTGCCTTCTCTTCCCTGAGATGAAGTCAAGAATGGCGAGGACGTGAATGGGGAAACTACCTGTACTTGGAAAGTTTCCTCCTGAGGTATGCCTGGGGTTCTACAATAAGAAGTTCCTAGTTGACATGGAGGACTTGCCTGCCGGCGGTACATTTTCTTCAACTGCTCGTCGTTCGTCATGCTGGATTTTGATAGCAAGTACTTGTCAAACTGCACCAATGTCAGTATTTCAGATCCCCAGCGTCTTTGCTCTTGCTGACGTTGTCAAAGCTCGACGAGTCTCTGTTTCTTGACGTGCTAGAGTCTTCTCGGTGTAATCTGTGCGAAGAATTTTCTAGATGCCATGGTTGTTATGTACAAGAGACTTCATCAATCGACATTCACCTTGCCCATCACTCTGCCTGCTGCCCATTTCTTCCCCATTTCTCCTCAAACGAACGCCCTTGCGAGGCAGGGCTAATGAGCTTTCCGATCGATCGGTGGTGACTTCGACGAAGATCTCCTCGAGAATCCTTAACACGGTTTGAACCGTTTCCCGCCTGGAATGACCATAAAGTTCATCCCCGATCTTGATTCCTTAGATTCCTCACCTTCTCGGTTCATTTTTCCACATGAAGACATGTCTCTCCAAATCGAAACGAGAACTGTCAACGCGTCAGCTCCTCCTCCCCCCGCTCCTCCTCCTCATGGTCTACTTGGAAGTGAAATGCTTTGCGTGCTCGCGCAAGTTGAATCTCGGCGCCGTATTCGATTCCCTTGTAGGAGAATCATCCATGAATGAGCCCTCGCCTCGTTCTTCGTCCAGAAAAGATTCCGAGGGTAAGAGTTCGCCTCGGGCTTTCTTCAGCACAGCCATCCTTTGCTCAACCTCCATCCGAGCTTTCAAAAACAGCTCCCTCTCTCTCGCACGCGCCTGCAACCATCATCTCAGGAGCCAGCAGGAGCCTAGCAAACAGCCACCCACCATCTCCGCCTGCTCCTTCTGCATCTGCAGCCGCATCTCTCGTTTTCGCTTGATCTCTGCGATCTCGGCTTCCCTCTTCTTCGTCTTGGGGCTCGTCGGCCTGCATTGCGACATCCTATCAGACCCCGAGAGGCCTCCTCTGAGTTGCATCACCGCATGAGCCTCTGTAATGGTCCTTCAGGAGGAGGAAGAGACATGCGGTCATCATCGCTGTTTCCGTCCGACATGCTGCTTCTGCTATCCCGTCCTCCCCTTCCCCTTAGGACCGATGATGGCCGGCCGGGTACCAGGCTCTTCTTCTCCTTCTTCGCTACCTGCAACACCGGGTATGAGTTGAACTAGGTGATTCGATCGCTGTAGGAGTTCCTGTGAGAGGACCTCGTCCTTGGTAAGGACATTCGGGAGTTTCTTGGCCTTCCTGTCATCTTGATCCTCTCTCTTGGATATGATAGCCTTCTTCCTTTCTTCCTCCAACTTCTTCGCTCGCTCAAGATTCGCAGCTCTTCTTTCAGCTGCTGAGATTTTCTGTGAGGGAGCTTGAGGAGGCTAACCCATGGTCAATAGGAAGCACAGTATCTCGAGGAGAAATACCTGCGGCTGTTTCAAGTCCTCCTGCATCTGCAACTCGGGGCGTGAATTTTCTCGATTGAGTTTCGGTTCTCTGATACGATCCTTTGGTGGGTGCAGAACAACGTTGGGATTGGGTTGGGGAACCTGCAGAATTCGACTCACACAAAGAAGGAGCTGAAAGAACAGACCATGGCAGGATGTTTTTCACTTCTAGAGCTTCTCTCAGACGATAATATCGTATACGCTTCCTGTTCATGCACAAGTCAAATGATTTCACTCAGGTAGACTGGTTGCTTAACCTTACGGGGACTGTCCACATCAGATAGCAACACACTATCATCTGACTCAGCCGAATGAATGTATCTAGGTGGTTCATTCTTGACTCCCTCCTTCATGTTCTTCACAATCGGGGCCTGTACACTTCTCTGAACAAGCTGCACGGGCTTGTCACGACGAGGAGCCTCATTAACGCTCTTCCGGTTGATGTCCGAGGCCCCACTAGATTGGCTTCGGACCACATCTTGGGCTCGAACTTCTTGTGAGGCTCGTACCAGACCTATCAAGGCCCCCAGCTCCTGAAACAGTGACGCTATTGCTGGATCAAGTTCTTCCTTTGATTTGATGACAGTCTGTTCCAAGCACGTCAGGGAAGTTAGATGTAGAGGGCCAGACTTGCCTCAATCAGATGCTTTATCCCATCGTTGAACGCGCTACACGACAGCTTCACAATGCGATGAACTAACGACAACACATGCAATCTCGTCTCCAATCTTGGTTGTTCCTTTCTATGTATCTCGATGTTCATTTCTTTCAAGACTTTGGACCCCATCAATGCAACGGAGAGACAGAGCTTGACAAGTCTCTTAACGAAGTCTTGTACCGATTCATAGGTTCTGAAACGATCCAACAAAAAGATGAAAATATCAGAAAATTCTTCTTTCTGTTTAGAGATGCAAATCTGGGCCAACACGTCCAACATCATTAACCCATGCGCAGGTTCAAGCCTAGGGCAAAGCTTCAGGCTATCGGGGATAGGTGCAGGAGAACGATTCAGTCGTTACCGAGGATGTCGAGAGAGAATGGACAAGAAAGAGTGGTCGAAGTCAGAAACTCCGTGGCTCTGGACTTTCTTCATGTAGGGCTCAATCAAAATACTCAATGGCATTCGAGGAGTTGATTGCAGAATGTTTCCCAAGTGCGTCTGAATCAGTTTCCTGTCGAATGAAGTCATGAGAAAGATGCGATGAAGAAATCGGATGAAAAAGATTAGTAACAGACCTCATCTCCGTGTTTGAGTACCAAGTCAGCAAAGCTTGAACCACCAACTTGTATGCCAAGCTGGAATTCGAGGATCGAGCGTCAATGAACCCGGAGAGTAGCTGAAGCAGCGCTTGGTTAGCTGAGAATGCAGATTGCAAGTCTTCAGCACTTGTCGCAGTCTGTCCTATCGATCCATTGTTAAGATTGTTTTCATTTTTCTTCTCCAGATCGCTTGATGCAGGATCTGGTTGAGGTAGCAAAGTGCGGAGCGTGATCCAGAGTTTGTCTTGTAATCCCTGAATAGAAGCAAGGTCATTGAGAAAGCCGACCCAAAACGTGGCGAGAATGGTGATAGCTGCAATTCTGTTGCTTCGAGGCCTTGATGCTGGGCTCTCTCTCTGTATGAATTGGAGCATCTCAATCAACCCCCCTCCTTTGACGAAAACTTCATGGCTCGAAGGATCCTGCAAAATATTCGTCAATCCATTGATTCCACGTTGATCGCTGATGAAACAAAACAGCACGGCTTACATTTGCAATGTATTTCAGAATCGCACTAAGAACATTCAGGTTCTCCGCATCGTCAAGCAGCCGGGCCGGAAGCTCTACGGCAAACAAAGCACGGATGTTTGCGCGAGCCAACGAGAGTAGAAGTGTTATGATGAGTCCACGAGAAATCATGTCTCTGTGCTTTCGAAAGGCATCTAGAAATGTTGATATTGCACCACCACCCATCTCTCTTCTGGACAGCCACATCCATAACAGAGAACTCCAATGCTGGTCAGTCCTGCAGGTTGAAGTCTCCCTCAATATCTTGCACGCCAGTTGGACCGTTGAATTCGAACTGCTCAGAACGGCAAAATGCACCACAGACAAAAATACATGAACATCGTTCGCATGATACATCTCTTTTTGCAGATCTGAGTTGGACTTCAACGTGACCAAGATTTTGGATTCCAGTTCCCTTAAAATCTGCAAATGTGTTTCATCGGAAACGTGTGGCCATGCAGCTTTGCAGAAAAGAAGTTTGATCTTCGGCTGAAAGGCGCAATGTCAGGACAGATCAATCTGAACAAATAAGAACGATCATGCAATGGATATGAAGTTACCTGACCAGGTTCAACCAGGATCTGGATCGCGTCATGCAGATTCAAACCTAAGGAAGTGGAAAGTATCGTGGAGATAGCATGAATCATCGCGCTAAGCACGTTTCGTTCTGCGTACGGTGAAGGATTGCTTTGGACAGAAGAATAGGAAGCTATGTTGATATTGAGGTGGTTGCCGGCATGTTTGAAACTGGAGCCTTCGGAATGAAGCCCGTAACGATCGTTATTCGGACTTCCGTTCTGTATGAAGGGAAGCATCGCGTTCTGATTTGCACCGAAATTCGAAGCACTTCTTACAGGTGAACTTAATCCAGCAGGAAACTCACGCGGCACGGGCCTGTATCCTTGTGCTGGAGTGGATTTGTGACTATTCCCACCAGACACCGGGGGTCTGTTGGAGCGATCATCTGGCTTCATAGGCCTTTGAGGTTGATGGACATCCTGTATTTTTGTCTTGGCATCATCATCAATCTGTTGCATGATATTCAGATTTCGCTTCTGCGGTCTTGAATTATTCGGCGAAACAGCTCCTTTCCCCTTCCCTTCCGAAGATTTCTTCATGATCTCTAACAACAGGCCAACAGCAATGTCCTCATCCCCTGCAATGATCAAACTCTTCTCGTCTCCAGATATGCTTATCTTGATGCGATTCAGCAGTGATGACAGAATGTTCCAAACATACAGTCTCTCAGATGCAGCCAGCTGATGGTTATCGTTTGGCTGCTGCTGCATAGAAACATTGCGCAGATTTTGAATGGAGTTCTGGTCTTTCATCAGAGGCTGCTTGTTGCCAAGAGCTTTCAGCATGATTGAAGCCATCAATCTACCGGACATGATCCCTTCCGCTGCCTCTCTCGGAAGTTCTACTTGCCCATGAGCAGTCTCCCTCCCTCCAGCGATCATCCCGATCTTTTCTAGCCATTCGAAGACTTCTTGGCTGACGATCATGCTCGCTGTTTGTGCGCTCAGCTGTCAGCTCCTGTGAGTCGCCTCGTCGCCTTCCTCTTCTTGCTCGCACGCATCCTCCTCCATGAAGCTGCGCCGGGCCGTGCGGGTTCCAATTGAGAACCCGCCATGTCGGTTTGAGACGGGTGTAACGTTTGGTCGCAAATCATAACGGTCCATGGTACATTCTGACTGAGATTTGTAGAACGGTTGTCAACGGTTTCCCGTAAAGACCCATGCAGGCTGTGCAGGTGCTGGAGGGTTAAGGAGGGAGGGGCTGGGAGATCGCTGGGTGAGTTTCTAGCAGCAGCAGCAGCGGATGATGATGAGCTCCATGGAAGAACCTGAGTCTTCACCAGACCTTGATGAGTCAGCTGCCGCCTGTGATCCAACTGAGAGGAGCTCCCAAAGTGAAGCCGACAGCGAAGGCGAGGGGATTGGTGCAAAGTTGATGAAGAAATGCGGCTGGAGACCTGGTGAAACCATTGGAGCCGACGGTTCAAAGGGCCTCTTATCGCCTCTCAAGTCCCGCGTGCGCCTAGATCGCACTTGTATCGGACACTCTCAGTCGCAGTCTATCGATGCTGAAAGGGCAGGGGATTTCCTCAACGTCAAGTCGAATCGAGTTGTCAGGGCTGGTCACGACAAACCAAGGACATCTCGAAGGAAAAAAGGGCAGGGTGTGCACGACATGGACATCAGGCACACGAGTTGGGTAGGCAACGTGCACTCTCCTCGTTGTAAATACGATCCTCGACACAGGTGGGCAAGTTGCTTTCATGCGATCGATCGCTCCTCTGATTCTCAGCTGTTTGCAGGATGGAATTGCGCAAACTAAAAGCACATGAAGAAAGATGTCCTGCAAACCCAAACAACAGAAATACTGTCGGACTGAAGGAAAAACCATTGCAAGTCAACTAGCTGCAGCGCCAAAACTTGGCCATGCAAATTATATTGATCCATTCGTGTTGGAAAACCTTCCATACGAAATTGTTCTCATATTCCATCTCTGGATTCCTTGTGGTGTCTTGATTGTGCCTTTTCCGAACTGCATGATCTTCTTATTTTATTCGTTGTAGCTGTTACCATACCCAAATTAAATTCGTTTGTTGTAATACTCTTTATTTACAAAACTGTTTGCAATGTACGTGGTTTAATACCCAGCAGGCAGGCCAGCCGTCGGATCATCGAATGTGTGTATTCCCATCAAGGGGTTAGCATGAGGGTCTAGCCGACCGATCTTGTCCACGTAGACTTCAGCTTGCTCCTGGTTAGTCATGGCCTTGAACGGAGCGATGCAGCCCTGCGCCAAGTGAGCAAGAGTCAACTCAGTGAAAAGTGAGTTGCCCACCAAGATGCCGCTCTGAGTGGCCTCTGCTGCGTTACACCGAGCAAGAAGATGTCTGTTGTTGCATCGAGAAGACGCTTGTCAGTTATCTGGGGGCAGTGAGAGACACGATGTCCTCACCGGTTCAACCAGCTCCACGAGTGGATGCGCCGGCCCTCAGGCTCCGCCATCTCTGTCATGCAGGCTCACTGACTTGATTCGTGTCTTGTTCCAGGTAATCAACATCATAGGTCAGCACCTCGTCTAGGGTGTCATTGAATACATTGACTAGTTTCTTGGTCCTTCGCTGCCTCTCTCGCTCACTACACGCTTTCCTTCCCTGCCTGCCTGCCTGCCTTCCTGCCTGCCTGCCTGCCTTCCTCCCCTTGTCCCCCCTCCCTCCCTCAACCCGGCCCTTGCCAGCCAGCCGATTAGCCACCATGAAGAGGTAAACGGGTCCGGTATCCGGAAGTATCCGGGAGGATATCCGTGATTGGGTGAACTGGGCTACCTTTTCAGGCCCAGGCCATGGTGTGGGGGAAGGTGAAGGGAGGAGGACGCGTGTTTGGGGTGATGAGTGCAGGAAGTGAGGAGATAGAGGAAGCACTTGCTAATGTCTCACAGCATATCAAGTCCTCACAGTCTCTCCCTCCTTCCTCCTCCTCCCATGGTCAAATTTCCATCGACGGACTGCACTCGGTTCGAGTGATAGATCCAATTTCAAGGGCGTACGCGCTTGTGTCTTCGGACATAGAGGAGACGATTCGATCTGATATCGCGAGCAAGAAGAAGCAAGCCCAAGATCATGAGACCATGCTCAAGAAACTCGCAGGTAATCCAATCTAAACCTTTTCCACATGTTGTGACTGTCGACCTTTCCAAACAGAAACGCCTCAGTACGTCAGAGAACAGGCGAACTCCTTGAGCTCGCTGCTGGCTTCGTCGCAAGACGCAGGATTCATTGAATCGCAAAGAAGGTTGCTGGAGCACCGCGAGCAGGTTTGGAACCACTCTTCCAAGGAGGCAGAAGAGGTTGAGGACGACAAGCAAGTGGACCTCGTGCTAGTTGGTGGAGGAGACTGGGAGTCTAGGGTCTATGACGGCAAAATATTTTATGTCAACAAGTCTACCAGGGAAACCACGTGGTAACTTACGTGCGAGCTGAGGTGTGAGGTTGAGAAACTGTGTGCACAGGTTTCATCCCTTCACTTTGAATCAGCCGCTGCCTCTGGGTTGGGAGAAGACTCGGGATGAGGGGGGGAGGATTATGTACCGTCAAGTGAGTATCGATCTGCTTGTCTCGTCTCTCATAGAAGGGCAGGGAACCCAAGTCACGTACGTCCACCCAAGCCTAAACCCTGCCTACCTCGAGGCCTTGTCACAGCAAAACTCTTTATGGCGACGCCTTACTCCCCTGATGGACTCCACGCAAGAAACACACGTCAATGACTCTAAAAGCTCATTTCAACCTCTCGTGCAGTTCGTTACCCCACAGCACAGGTAACACGCCGCCTCCTCATACCCCCGGAGGTGACGAGCATGCAGGGAGCTTGACGCACGACTGGCTACATTCCTCGCCAGCACTGCAGGGAAACCAGCTTGGAGCACGACGAGGGGAGAGACAAGCTCGCTGGTGCTAGTCTGCCGCGATGCAAGAGATCCGGTCCTGAAGCTTCCGCAGTCTCCAGCTAGAATGGCAGGCGCAGGATGGGTGCTGGCAAACCGAGAGGGATTGGAGGGTCTGACGGTGTGCTTTGAATGCCGGTATGAGGAGTTGGAGTTTGCAAGTGAGAGGAATGACGAGGTGCAAATAGAGCGATGGCTGAGGGGTGGCAGGAAGGCGACGATCCGTTGCTGATTCACAGGTAGGAGGTTGACGAGGAGGTGTAGGACGACTTGACGATCGTACAGCCGACTGAGCCCTCTTTGTCCATTCGTGAAAGGAGAGTTGGCAAAGCAAAGGTTGCAGGAGCAGAAGGCGCAGAACATGGCAATTCAAGAAGGACGTCAGGAAATCCTCCCTTTCCGCCCGATCGTTAACAAAGGAGCTGTCACAAGCCCTTCGATAGGTACACTTTCATTCTTTCGTGTATAATGTGTAAAAGTTATCAACATTGAACTGACACGCGAGGAAACAGAGCAAAACACCTTAATTTCTAGTGAAAAGGTGAATTTTATTTGCTAACTTACATTGAAACTTCTTACATGATTCACTTTTGTCTTGAACAGAACTTGGGTCTCGTCAAATCTGGGATTCTGACTTCTCTAAAGCAAGCAGGGTACGAGCATGTGACTGATTTCGCTTCTGATGACCTTACATGTTTGAATCCAGCCTGCTTCAAAGAAATACTTCGATTCCAGCTTCAAGCTTGGAAGGAGTGTAGAGCTGTACCTGTAATCCAAGTGCCAGTCATAAAACGACGACATGGCTTGTAATTCATCGTAACATTTCATCTTTCAGACATGCAGATCGGGAAGAAGGGAAAACTTTGTCGCGGCAGCACGTCTTGTCTTCTGGCTGAATCAGAGGCGTTCTCGTCTGAGCCAGGGGGTTCGCCCTGAGGGCTCTGCATTCTCTCCTGCACGTGTTGCAAGCTCATGGCATACACGCCCTTCCACGTACTCGCTGGGGTAGCAGCCCCTGCACCTCCCCGCCTGCTGAAAGTTTCCTTGTACATGGACTTCCATACGTCGTTCTTGCTCAGCCTCTGCAGCCTGCTCCTGAGCTCTGAGCTGAAGTTGGACATGCTCAGAGGTTGATGCCCTGGGTGATGCTCCACCGCTGAGAATCGTTGCAGAGCTGTAACGGTAGCCTCCTTGTTCTTCTCGTCCGCCGTCCAGTCGTTGATGGTGACTCGTTTCAGATTCCTCGTCCTCCTCGCGTTCAACCATCCTCGAGGAACCGTCGAGACTCGCGGCTCCATCTTCCCCGATTCCAGCATGTTGCTCGTGTACCGCTGCGTGTGCGGCCTCTCTGGCATGCTGCTCTTCTTCATCCTGTCTGACAACCTGGTGCATGTCTGCTGCGCGTACAAGGAGATGGTCTCGTCCATGATCTGCTCCAGGTGCAAGTCGATGATGCCCTTCACACTGTGACCTTCGTCCTCGTCGTGCTCCTCCTCCTCCTCGTCGTCGTCGTCGTCCTCCACACCCCACAGGATGTTGTCTACAAGGGAGCTGATGATCTCGTCGAAGCTATCCTGCAGAGAGGCTATCTTCCTGACAAGCGCCTCCCTCTTGGTTCCCGTCGGCCTGTTCACCTCCTCATCGCCGACTCTTCTCGGACGAAGCTCTTGCTTCACGTACGCGATCGCCATGAAAATCCTCGGCAGCTGTGAGACGTCGATGGCCCTTGCACCAGACTTCTCCTTCTTGGCATCGAGCGGAGAAAGCAACCGATTGTGAATCTCCAGCGCTTGCCATCTCTGATTTTCCTTCCCTTCACGACCAGGGATCTCGTGGTAGTTCAACAAACCCATGAACTGTTGAAAGGCAGCGCCCCGATTGATAAGGTCAGATGTCGTCAGTGGAGCTTTTATGTTTTCTTGATGAATCACAAGAACTTTTGCAAGGTAGTGAAATCCAACTTCGTTCCTCTCTTGCACAAAGGTATTCTCATAGATGTATTTACGGATTTGTTTGGCCCTCTGAGTATTCAGCGATGCTTTGATGATGTTGTTTCGGTCTATCTTGCTCAGTCCAAGTCTCTCTCTATCCTTTTCTTGTGCTACAAGGAGGCCTTGCTCTGGAAACTTGAGAGGGTCTGCCATTACCCGCGACCAAATGCTCTTGAACCTCTCTGGGCTCTCCGACGTCCTGAAACCCACGCGGTGCCCGACCTCGGCAAGTCGTTCTATGAAGGGCCTCAAGTTCTCGATGGAGATCCTTCCGATGCCGTTCTCGTCAAACTCAGACCACACAGACGCGTAGAGCTCGCAATCGTCTCTGTTGAAGAGAGAAACTACGTCCACCTGCGCCTCGAAGAAGTAGTTGATCAGCGTTGCGACAAACAATGGTCCGAACACAAAGTTGCAGCCCAGCCAGAACCCGAGAAAGTAGATGTAAGATCCTGACCCGATCCCACAATCTCCCGGCACTCCTGCAAGCAGGATAGGATGCTCTGCCGCCGGGTTGGCAGTACAGTATGGCGGTAACACAGCTCCATCATACACGATGTCAAACCACGAATCTCCCGTAGCAATGCGGAATAGCAACATCATCGAATTGTACAACGATGTGAAGTTCCATCTGCTATCAATGACGATACCGATTTTCACGTTGGGAAACATGCTTTGATCCATTCCAATAGAAGCAAAGAGGAAAATCCATATCCCGAGGAAGAAGAGTGCACTAAGGATGGATGGAATCGCCCCGAGCAGCGTTTGAACCATGAGCTGCAATGTCTTCACTCTCCGCACGAGTCGGAACAACCTCAAGACTCGAAGTAATCTCAGGAACGTCAGACCATTGAGCAAACCACTCGCATCCAGCAAGCTCAACATGACTATGCAAAAATCGAAACAGTTCCAGTTGTCTCTGAAGTACGGGCTCCATACACGCAATTTTCCCTTTACATGCTGTCCAGATGGTGGTTCCTTGAGCCAAGTTATAACACCAAAGGAATACATCTTGGCAACGAGCTCAACAGTGTAAATGATTGTAAAGATGATGCTCAGGTACACCTTGATGTCTCTGTATAATGAATCAGAAGGGAAATGCTCTGTAGCCATCCAGAGAGTGTTGAGAATAATGATAATCATCATCAGATTGTCGTAGGTCTCGCTGTTCAAGATGTCATAGAGCTGTTCTCTTCCTGGCATATATACATTAAAATTCCCGCAAATGCTGAACTTGTTGACTGGTTTCACTGGTCTCAATTTCAACGACAAGTTCCTCTTCATCGTCTCTCCCGTCGCATACCATTTGCGCTGATCCTCGGTATAGAGTGCAGTACCAGTCTGTCGTCGGATGTTGTCTATCATGACACCGATCACCAATTGCGAGACAAAAGCGTTGGCGATGAAGATGTAAGTTATCGCAAACAGAACATTCGCACTTCCCGCTGGATTCTCGCTAGGCTGTTCAGAGACGATGTACGGCGGCTCTCCGTTGGGGCATCCATTATCACCGATACTACCGTCGCTGCAAACAATTTGAGTTCTTCTCGGAATGTCCATCATTGAATGAAAAATTGGCCTCAATGTATCTGCAGCGACTAATCGCAAGAGCGTGATACATGCATCCCCGAAATTTTCAAAGTTTTCGGGATTTGTTGACCATACCCGTGGAACTAGAATCTGCTGATACAAGAACGAGCCTACTTTGTTGGAGCATAGAGTTCCATTGGGATGCTTTGGATCCATGAAATTGCAAGGGACCTTTGGTAATCCGCCATAGTTGTTCCCAATACATTGTTCAAAATTTGCGATAGCATCATCGTTGCAGGAATTCATCCGACCCTGAAACAAAGAGAGTCCAATAATTCCGAAAATACTGGAAAGAATGCCAAGCAAATTTAGAACATGAAAAATTTTGGTCAGACTGGAGAACAATGCTGCAAGCAGGCTTTTCACTATGGGAACATTGGATTGCAATGGTCGGATCACCCTGATAATTCTAATGGTTTTGAAATTACCTAGTGATGCGTTGGAGAAAACATCGACCACCAAAATCAATATGAAGATAAAGTCCATGGTATTCCAACCACCTTCTTCGGTGACTGAAAAGAAGGGTGGCTTTCCCTGGGGGAACTCAAGAGTCTTTTTGACGGGTTGCGCTTGATGAAACAAGCCAAACGCCATCATTCGCATCAAGATTTCAAATGTGAAGAATGTAAAGAAGCCAACGTCAATTAGATGACGAACACTGTCCGGGAATATGGGGGCGGTTGGAGGATCGATTTGCAGCACAACGACCGACATCACAATCGCTGTCGCCACAAGCAAATTGAACCATCTGTTTTCCACGAGATCATAAACAAACATCCTCAGTGCGGTATACAAGGACATCAGAGTTAGTATGAACGAAGCTTTTCCATGCGAATCATATCCATGTGCGATGTTCTGATTCTCGGCGGATTCAATGACAACTTCCCACAGCGGCTTTGATTCTTCTCGTCCTGCAACTCCTTCCTCTGCGGCTCGTTCTGCAACAGCTTTGCTCCATCTGTCTTGAAACTCCTTCAGTTTGTCTGGGTCAAGATTTTGTTTCCTCAGACGGCCCCATTGTTCTTCCAATGGAAAACTCTTAGCTTTGCCGTCTATCAGATCGTTTCTCAACACTTGATCTCGTTGGAACAATTGAATCTGCATCGCAATTTTTTCGTCTTCATCAAATTCAAAATTTTCCATGATGAGGGCTATAAATATGCGAAGAACAATAAAATTTGCAAGATAGTAATATGCTACAAAGAAAAATAATCCAATTACATTACTGTCGCTGTATCCAATTTCAAGATTATGAAAATAGCTTTCTCCGAACAAAAATTCACACAGTGCTAGCATAGCAGCAGCAAAGTACTGGTAATCATTTCTCCGTTTGGCAAAGGCAACTGAGCTCTTGAACAATGCGTGTCCAAACAGTGAACTGAAGGCTATGAAAATCAATGTCACCAGCATAGTATAGAACATATTCGTTGGACTTCCAAAAGCTTGTGCAGTAAGCCTACGCAAGCCTGTGAGGTGTCGTACTAACTTAGCGATGCGAAAAGCCCTGAAAGATTCCAGAGCAACCATCTGGAAGATGTAATCTGACCCCAGACCCAAAATATTTCCTGTCACAAAAGTTGTAATCTTCCCAATCACGGGAATAACCACGAGAGAAAAGTCAAATATATTCGATAATTCCACAAGGTAATACTGCAAACCTCCATAAGCGTAACCTTTGATTGCCGCTTCAGCAATGAAGAAAAACAATGCAAAATATCCAATGTCGCTCAAGAACGGATTCATAGACAAATTGAAGCCACTCGCAGCCAAGCCAACTGCATTGAGAAGCACCACAAAATCTGCCAATAGCGCAAAGAAGGAGGTGCCTGCGTCAGCTTTGCCCTTTGCTCCCTCAGTAGCTGGTTCATGACTTGAATTGCTCGAGTCGATACCTTGAGAGTCTGATGAATCTTCCTGGCTCAAGTCATCCTCCTCATCCTCCTCTCCTAATTCATCCAGCAGGTCTGCATTTTCGATTTGAAACTGAAGCAGTTTCCCTTCGAGGTATTGCCTAGTCTTAGAGCACGGAAGAAGCTCGAGGTTGTTTTGAGGGTAGATGATAAATCGACCTGCTAAGACAAGATTGTTGCTTGCGCCCTGCATCACAGAAACTCTGGCGATTTCAGATTTCAGCTTTTGATAGCAGGCAATCTTCTTTGCTTTGATCCTTTCGTTCTCCCATTCAGACGCCACCTTGTTCAATTGGGATACAAGAAAAAGGTCTGAAATCCATCCCAACAAAAAATAATTCAACGATATGCAACGTATTACAAACCAGAACCATGATCGACAAAAAGGAAATCTCCATTTTTCCATCTCTTTCTTTGGTATGAACGGTGGAGTTTCAAATGAATATGTTTTCAAGTAAATTCTGTGTATGAAGGGCATTCCAACAAACCCCAAAAGCCACAACTTCTGAATTGTAAAAGGATCAAAGAGAAGTATGACTTCATGATCACCAGCTTGGTTGTTGTCGTCCGTGCTTCCTTTTCCCTGCTTTCTTTTCATCTCATCCCTCTCTGCCTGAATTTTTGCTTTTCTCGCAACCTCCTCTTCCTGATGTGTATTTTCAGTGTACATTTCGTTTCACACAAACATACCTTCTTTGCCATCTTCGCTTCGGCTTCTTTCTTGACTCTTGCATAATTCTGTCCAACCGTGGCGACTGTCAAATTCAGCAAGCAGAACGAGCCCAGGAAGACAGTGATCATGAAGTAGATGACCGCAGGCAATCCAGTCGCTTGCGTACACGCATCCATCAAAAGAGACCACTTCTTCTGGTAGAAGACAGCCATCACCGTCTATCAACTCGGTAAGTAGGGTTCTACCCGCCCACATCATATCAAGTACTCACCAGCGCAGCTACAGCCATGTTGTCAAATCCCAGCATAACACTTATGGGAGGGACATCTCCCATGAAACACAAGTCTGTCCCGCAGGAGCCGGTAAGGTCAACGCATACTGGTGAGTTATAGGCGTCCAACTGAGGGCATCTGACAGAAAGCGAATCAGAGAAGAATTGCAGCAAGAAGGCTGGGGATTACGTGCACAGCTTCAATGGTGTCAGCTCAGCGCAAGTGTACTGCTGGCCCCCGACACTCAGGTCGGAGATTGGAGCTCCATTTACTATGGTGGTCCATGGAAAATTGCTAAGATCAGCATTGTTGTCCTGGGCGGCTTTGAGATATTCCTGGTATAATGGCATATTCACAGAACAATTTTTAAAGTTGATGGTATTCAATGGGCTTGATTTGTATTTTTCAGGATTGTAAAAGTGAAAGGCTTCTTTGATCGTCAAAGCTCTACCACAACGGTAGTAAAGCTGCCCAAGACTTCCGAACAGATAGATTCCAACCACACCAAAGAAGAGAAGAGCGAACGCCAAAAGAGCAAGCACTGGAGCCATACTGGTTATAGCGGATTTGACAGTCTGTACAACCACTTTGGAAGGCAATAGAACTCTTATCCTACCCAGTGGCTTCAAAAATCTCAACATGCGCAGAAATGCAATATTGGGAAAAGCAAGTCCGACAGCATAAGGAAAGACTTGAATCTCCGTCAGGTATGAACCCCAATTCATGATGTTGACGGCAGTATCAAGACGATACCAGTTGTCGGAGAAAAACTCCACGTACCCAACCGTAAGCAGACCCACCAACCACTCGGAGTTAAAGACAATGCACGAGCAGAGTGAGACGGATAGCAGAAAGTCTGTGTAGGACTGAGGCTGTATTCTCAGATCACTGAGCTTGATAACTGTGTTGAAGAAAATGTACATCAAGAAGAGATTTTCCCAAAACCTTGAGTTTATCAACCAGAAGAAGAATCTTCCAACGAGAGACCTGTTGTCCGGATGGTGCGGTCCTGCTATCCATTCTTCCCTCCAAGATCGTGGCATTTTCTCTAGACGAGGCCGGTGACTTCCAACGAATCAGTGAGCGGATCTCAAAGTTTCACGACAAATGATCAGGACGGTGCGAGTGATATCTGGAGCATCTAGAAAGAAACATGTTGCTGACGTAAGCTGCAATAGAGAAACTCGTCGTCATGCAAGTGAGAAGCATCTGTCATTACAGAAGAGGCAACCTTCAATTTCACTGAGTCTCACATGAGGAGCGGCTGCCCTGGAGAGCAAGTCCCAACCGCAGGCTATGCCAGCCTTGGTCTCTCCCTCCGTCCTTTTCCCGACAGCATCGGTTTGTGCGAGCTATTCTTGGATCGTTACTATCCGATAACGTGCCCGCCCCGGCCGGGGGGGGGCGGTACTAGTAGTACGTTTGAGTAAAAAGTAGCCTGTACGGTATGGCTGATCGGACAGACACATGCAGCCAGCGTAGGGTATTTTCCCCTGACCGGGCGGCCGGGCGTCAAGTTGTCACAAGTTCCGCCATTCATCAACGTGCAGAGGTTGTAAGTGATGTCAGTAAGTTGCCAGACGGCCCGGTGAGGAGTCCGGCGGGTCAAGTTACTGGTACCGTACGTAAAGGACTTGTTACCAGGCTGCGGGCCCGGGCCCGGCCGGCGCGGCCGGCGCGCCGGGCCCCGCCGGCCGTTCTGAAGGCCGTGTATGGTAGCTGAATGTCATGGTGTAGCCTGTGAGGTTGACTGTTGAACGATGGCAAGGAACGTGAAGCCAGGAAGCGGTTGTTTCGACGATGTCTTGTCAAAGGACTGCAACATCCTTGTGCTAGGCTTGGGAGGAGGTTCAAATCTCCTCTCCTCTCCTCTCCATAACTTGCTCTTTCGCAGGGGCGGACGCGCAGGGCGCATATGCCTTAGCTCGATACTTGCAAACCCTTGAGCCGACCGCTGCAGTGACATATGGCACCGTGAAAGGAGTCAAAGGAGAAGAGAAAGTGCAGGACGCCTATCCTATTCCTGATCTCAATCAGCTGTTGTTCACACAAGAGAGAAAGCATCATCCGCAGTACTTGCATGAGAACGTCGGCACCACAGATGCCCCGAGGCCCAGGTGGGTGGGGACAGTCTTGTACGAGCAAACTATACCACACCAGAAAGTTTTTGGAAGTGAAGTTATGTCACCAATCATATGCCGTCTAAATGTATCAGATCCTGCACAACATGAGAAGTTAGCACATGATTTGTACAGACTGAGTATGCAGTTCGCAAACAAACCTTGGGATATTGTGGTTGGTCTAGATCACGGTGGAGATGTTCTAGGAGGGATAGAAGAAGGGGGATCTGGTAGGGACATAATCATGTCGAGAGTTTTGGACAACATGGTCTCGAATATCCAGAAGGCCGGCCGTTTTCTGATATCGTTGCATGGCCTGTGCATAGATGGAGAAAATTACTGTGATGAAATGACGACAAAGATCGAGCGAATGATTGAGCGAGATGCATATTTGGGTCGTTATCCAATATCTGACTTGCAGGGCTGGCTTCGTCCGGTTTGTGAAGGGATGCAAAGTACCAAGACTCCGATCATAATGCTGGATGCTTTGGACGGAAAACTCGAGGTCAAATCTCACTACAACAGAAGTCAACCAGGCGGAGAAAGACCCTTCCAAGAGTCTGAACTTGATGTGTTTGGCGAACCAGTTGGCCAATTAGTACAGTGTACGACACGGCATCATCAGAAGGAAGATGGTTCGAAGCTTTCAGGACCCATAATCCCTGTCAAGTGGGCAACATCGGGATATTTGTTTGATGGACACATTCTGACCAACGTGTTACGAACCGTTCAATGAAATTGCTCGCGTCGACCTCTCTTTAATCTGATAACAACAACAAATTTTCATTAGGTTCAAACGATGTTCCAAAATTTCGATTTCTCTTCATTATAAACAAACTAGAACTGACTTCAGTGGGTGATCACTGCGTGCCACATTTCGATCTCGAATCACACATAAGTCGTCCAATGGACCGATCAGGATTATGAGTTGAGAAATTCCAAATCCTCTGGTGCCAAATTCTTGTAGCGAGCGCTGAGAGGAGTCTTTTGCAGCTGTATCGAGAGAAAAAAGCACATCAAAAACAGCGCACCAGGGTTGCAACCTGTACCTTTGAACGAGCAAGATGGGGCTCGGACACAATGTCGTAGACATACCTGCAAGTCATCTTGTTAGAACAAGACTCGTCATCGTGATTCGGCACTTGAGGATGTGCGTGCGGGTCTTCCATTGTGCCTTCGCCTCGTCGAGCTCCATCTGCATACCCCTCCTTCAGACCCCACAGAGCTCAAACCTCGATTGACTGCACCTGTCCTTTATTCACGAGCATGTTGGATACACCATTCTCCAAGGGCTCCTTTCCGAACTTTCGGAACTCTGCCTTGATGTTTCCTCGCACTTTCTTTGGATCTGCATCAATCCCATACAATTTCAAAAGCTCTGGGATACTCTTTTGTACATGCCTGAAATGATTCAACGTGTGAGTGTCATCTGATTCAAGATCATGTTCCCTGTACCTGAACAGCAGCAGTGTACTATGATACACAGACTCCTTTTGCATCGTTTGACGTGCTGAGATAGCCAGCGTCGTAGACAACTTTGGAGCCCCCGACATCTAAACGCATGATTAACAAGCTGCAATGGATGCCTATGCTTCCAATACTGGACAAGCTATCAAGATGTTGTGCAATCCTCAGTATGCCAAATCTCAGAATAATCCTGTTTGTTGTCAACCTTGTTTTGTGTTGCTTCAACCATCGCTGAAGTGCTACTTTCCCACCTCATTGCCCTCCTATCACTTTCATGTAACAACCTATCGGCACCGTGTTGGATTTCTACCCCCACCATTCCTTGTCCCCCTGCTCATCTTCGTCGACCTCTCCATCTCAGTTACCAAACCCTCCGCTGCTCTTCATCGCGGAAGTGATCATTTTTCCGAAAAGGGTTTTATTCAACAAAGATTCTGTAATTCCCTCATTTTGTTTTGAAATAGTTTTAGAAGTTTTCATGATTTAATGAAATTGATGTCACTATTTGTCGCCAACTTCATGGCAATTTCAACCACATAGTAAGAAATTTATTCCAGTTGATGAAATGGTCTACCATCTTCCTTGGTTTCGTCTTTCTGGACGACCCACCCACTTCTTCTATGCCACTACCCCCTTTGAGCACCTCAAAATAACGGTAATGGCTTTAGCCGAATCTGACCAAGTGAGGTGGGTAGGGGTAGTGACCCCCACCACTCATTTATCAGTTCACATCAGGGGTAGCTCTCAAAAAAACTTGACCTGGCGGACCGCCGGGCCCGGGAGCCATACAATGGCCCCACCGCGAGCCTGTCTCAGCGGAGGCATGGGCCCGCCGGGGGTCGGAGAGCGATGCCTCGCATGCGCCACCTGCCCTGACATCATGAAGTGCATGCGATGAGCTTATCATGGCAGCTCTCATCATACCAGCAGAGGTTTAGCTCGGTGGGACAAGTTAGCCTGGTTTAAAAGGTCACATGCGGCAGGGTCGCATGAGACGACCCAATGCAAATGCAAAGGATACCCACCACCCTAGCTCATGTGACACACTCTCAAATTTTAACATGTTAGACGAAATGTTGCCAATAACTGTTTTTTGCCGTTGACTGTTTACATACCTTCAAGTTTCATCTAATCGTTACTGAAGATTCAAGGCTGTTGATGTCTAAAAGTTTCGGTTCTCCTAACAGTCCGTCAAAGATGACAAGGTGAGCGTAAATGCATGTCGTAATTTTTGAAGTTTCTTGCTGTTCAGCACGATCTAATTGCACAACTCGTTGATAGGGAGATGATGAGCACATCTTCAGTGCACTCTGGAAGCTTCCGCAGTGAATCGGACGACTCACTGTCCTCCTCGAGCTTGTCGAACACCTGTATGACTCGTGCAAGTCGTTAAAACATTGCTGAACCCTTGGTCCTTCAGACGTGGCGAAGTACGCGTCGGAGGCAAGACTTGCAACTGAGAGGATCCGAAAGATATCGAGCGAGGAAAACGTCTTGTCAGATCCAAGGCCAAGTCCAAGGACATCTCTTGGTTTGCATCTGAACGGACTTGTTGTCCGTGGGATTGTGCCAGGCGGCCCTGCATTTGCGTCAAAGCGACTCTGCGTGAACGATGAAATATTGAGTGTAGATGGAAAGGATGCAACCCCGCATAATGTTACCAAATTGTTGCAAGGATGTGACAAGCCTGGAAGGTAATTGTTTTGCTTGTGCTGAAGGTTTTCTTCTGTTTGACTCTGATTTCAAAAGCTGGGTTCAACTAAGAGTACGGAGCCAATCTTCAGCAAATTTCCAAGAAGTTGATATCATGCGAGCAGACGCAGACGAAGTCAGGATGTACCGCACAATCTTCGAAAATTTGATGCTCTTGAAAGAAGGAGTGCCAAACTATTCCGCCAAAGATGGCACCACCCCAATAGCTCTAATCGACAATACTTTAACAGTGATGAACAACCTGAGATTCCGCCATTACGAAGAAGCCAGTCACGTAAAGCATGCAAATGACATGAAATCCGATGGAATTAAGGCTTCTTTGGATGAGATTTATATCGCTGTCGGTAAGATGGAGGGTGCATACTATGGAGTTCACTCAAGAGCGAAGAAACTACTTGTCGAAGTCCAAAAGCTGCACAAAGAAAATTTCAAATCCTCTCCCGATTTGCAAGGCATCGAGGACTTGAACGCATTACGAAGCCTCTGCGCAGCTCAGGCGAAAGAGCTCGAACAACTCAAATCTTCAATGCTCACTGCTCAATCTTCGATCAATCCTGCGACAGACATGAACCCGGTGCCGTCGGGTTTGCGCTCAGGGGATGATCACCTGCACAAAGAGCTGTTGCGCAAGAGCTTGGATGGCCCCTTGTTCGACCATGACTATGTCGATCGCGGTATGTACAGTCTGTCGTTGGGAGGGCTGCCGGTAAGATCGACGATGACATCCCTTGGCCTCACCTGAGACTTGTGCAGAAGCAGCCGCGTGACAAAGGAGATCTGTGGGGCCTCCATGACGAGCCAGGATTCGCTCCCAACCTTGTGCAGGACAGATTCTTTCCTCCTGCACAGAGTCCTAGGACAGCCAGGATGTTCGAGCCTGAGCCTCGCGCTCCGCACGTGCCGAACATTCTTGGTGAGATGGCCATGTAAATACTCCAGAACCCCGACTTGTGCAATATTGAATGAATGAGTGGAATAAACCGACAAAGTGGATGAGTGACTGGTTTGAGGTTTTGAACTCTGGGATTGGGTTGCTGGGGATGGAGTTAAGGGTAAAGAAATTGTTGTGAATGAGAAGTGCCAAGCTCCTTGCTGTATTGATAGCTCCTTCACTGAACTTAAGAATCTATCAAAATCCGCACCCTCCAATGGACCCGCTCGGTATATCGCCATTGCAATACATTTCTCGCATCCTGGAGAGCACAAGCTGCAAGAGCAACGTGAGCAGGAAAGGTATGAGCGTCAAGCAGTACCTCGGGATGAAGCTTAAAGTACTGAACTTCCCCCGTCAAGCTATCGCGGCAGGTCATCACATCGAACTCATCAGGATTGCCTGCTGAAGAGTCAACTCCCTCAAACCTCTTCTACATTAAATTAAGGAACCGGATGGTGAGATGGTCATTCCCGTTAGAATTCTTCCTCCTTGCGAGAGAAACACGCGCTTGAAGCCCGTCGCCTAACACAATCCTCACTCAAACCCTCCTTGTCTCTCTACGCGCATACCACAGCCGTGCCCGAGAAGTCCTGTTTAAGGTGACGATATCCCCTGTATGTGCACCGGAACGGCCCAGCCATGCCGCTCCAAGGTCTGGTGACCTGTCGGCACGTACTAGTGACTCAGTGCAGCAACTGGACGCGAGGAGCAGGCGCACCTCAATCTCAGGTTGGCCGGAAGCCCCGAAGACGCGGACAGCAAAAGATCCTCGCGCTTCCTTGTGGAATTCATCGAGAGCCGTTCGACCCTGCAGGCATCATCACGACAGAGACCCTGACCCTCCAACGGCTGCTACGTGTCCCAAGTTCGGCAGGCGAGCAATCACTGCAGTCTGACCGTTGAAATCGCGTACTCCATCGTCAGGAGGAGCGAGGACTGTGGCAGGCACCTGGGCACATACAAAGCTTGAGCCTCTATAGCAGCACCAGGGGAAAGTTGCAAAGTAGAGTTACATTCTCCATAGAATATCCTCCGACGTTTGCAACGTTGCCAGCTGAAGATTTCCCCGTGGTGGCATCATGGTAATTATCCACCTGCTCCTGCTAGTGGCCCATCAGTGTTGTCTGCCTTCCCCTAGACCTTCTACCTCATTCATATCTCCATCTTGTTCACTCTCGCCAGCTCTGCGCTGTTCACCGATCAACCATGGCACAAAAGATTGCAGGCAGGCACCTTCGGTCCATATGCGTGATAGAAGTATGGATGAACGTCCCGCCACAGCGTGTCCAAAGCCGCTTGCTCTTGCTAAACATGCGAAAGTTGAGTATCACTTCCTGGTCATGAGCAGACATGGAGCACCTTGGGGTCAAGACCAGGATGGCTGAGCCTGAAGGATTTAGCCATCTTGGACCACTCTTGCAGCTCCATCTTCTTGTCGTACGGTTCATGGTGATATGGATCTTCGTAACCCAGTTTCGAGGTCCTGCCGTGCTTCTTGCTTGCAAGTGGTCCTGGAACTGGTTTGCAAAGGGAGCAAGTCAGTTCTGTTCAAACGACATGATGGTCGAGGTTGTTAGAGCATACTTCGCAAGGACTTCTCCACTACTTTGCTCCTTCCAATGTTGTCTATGAGCTGTCTCAAAGACTGTTTGAGCGACCTCCCTCGGTCCTTCCAAGTTCAACAATGAGCGCATGGTCGATAGTGAATCATGTCACATACTTGTATGCCTCTTGCATCCTCACGTCGTGAAGGAAACTGCAAGGTAGGGATGTTTCCGATGTCGCTCACTACAGCCCGTTCGCTCATCTACCCGATCCAAACGCATCACCACAACCTTGCAGCGATTATTGGAGAGCACTCACCATGATGACATTGGAATGTTTTGGCAGGCTGCTCGCAATCTTGCAAGGAGTGCATCAGAACTCATGGGGAGATCTAGAGAACTTGGAAACACAGCATTACCAGCAGTATCAGCACGGCCGAACAGAGAAGCAAATATCGCCACATCCTCCCCGCAGAGCTTGGATGCCGACAACAGACTTGTGCTCCTGCTCGTGATGCCCGTGTAGGTGGTGGGGCTCCTGCTCCTGCTGCTTTTCTTCTTCCCCCCGGCCTCGTCCTCTCGCTTCTCTTACTCAGCTACTCCTACCATTCGCGTCCCTTCATGGCGCTGATGCGGACCCGCCTCAGCGACAAAAAGTGTAGCTCCATTTCAACTTTTGAGTATAAAGGATAGCTCAATTAGTAGGGGGAGGGGGGAGGGAGGGAGGGAGGGAGGGAGGGAGGGAGGGAATGACTGTGTATCCATTGATTGAACGAGCAAGTGAAGAGAGGACAGATGTCTTGCAGGAGGAGAAAATCTGGGTCCCAAGCCTCCTTGCCGATCAATTGATCTGGCTGAGCACAATCTGGAAAATAAAAGTGAAGATCGTGGATCTTTATTACTGTTGAAGATTGTGGTCATCATTGAAAATCAGACCTCAGATGGAATACTTCTTTTATTAATGATACAGACTTTCTGATTCACTGGCAGGCAGTCAGAATGGGATAAGGGGAGAGCAGCATGAATGCACCATAGCTTGAGGTTTATGCAGTTTTAGAGGGAAAGAGAATCTTTTCATGTACACCATTTAATTACAGAAGTTTGTTTCTATCTCCGTTATCGTAATTAACAGTTTACTTCTTTTCCTTTGAAGGACAGCCATCGAGTCCCGTCCTCTGTAACGATGTTACCATCTCTTGTCATCGATGGAGTATTTACAGTTCGCTCAAAGATCCGAAGCTTGGAATATCCACCATTAGTTGCAAAGTTTCCATGCCTATCGATTGAAGGCCTAAAGCATGATGGGATCGAAGCCTTCGATGAGGGCCTTCTGTGCTTGGAGCATTGGTGGTGGATTGCGTATGACGAGTCATGGCTATCACGAGCTTCTTGGTAAACTGAAGGAAGGAAGTCTTGGCTGCACATGGTATGCAAATGGAGAGTTTGATCAAGGGTAGGAACGCTGTTGAGGTAGGGGGGAGTGAGACGAGGATGAGTGTGTGAGGGTTGCGGGTGGAAAGGATACATAAAAGCCAGGAGGGGGGGGGGCTTTACAAACACAAAAATCCGAAACCACATCGCTTGGTTTCAGATCCATCCAGTCATAGCATGAAAACATATCATTTCGAGAAACTGATGACTGGCCCGTACAAGCATGGTGACCTGACCGACCGTGGTCCCGTGACAAGGCAGACAGATCGCTGCGGTTCGCTGGGTTTAGCTGCTCAAAGGAGGTTTGTTCGAGTCATGACTTGCATCGTGGAGGAGCTGACATCCTGTGTGCCCTGCTCTAGGTTCTAGGAAGAGACTGCTGTCCTCTTGCTAATCTCTGAGGCGAGCTTTCTATGATTTTGGCCCCGGTCAGCGGGCCGGGCCCCCCCGCCCCCATTTTATGAAAGGTTGCGACCTGACCTGTTGTAACTGGCCTAACCCAATCTCTTCAAACTGGCATGTCAACAACTCGTACGGTGCTAGCCGTTGGGCAGTCACGGCCCTCAGCAGCAACCATGGCTGGCCCACTGCAGTCACGGCACAGTACCCCGGTGACTTATTATCGGATAGTAAATCGGAAGAATGGAATAAGTACGGTAGTACGGTATGATTCAATTCAAGTAGATATTTCCGGGTTCCGTCACAAGTTCCGAAGTTCTGTTCCCCGCCGGGACCCGGCGTACCGTAGTACGGTACGGTACCGGCGCCTTCCAAACCCGGGTACGGTTGGAACGGTCAGATTTCGCCTCCGTTGAGCCGTGGCGGCTTTCACTCACTGAAGTTAAGCCCCCGGGCGCGGCTCGGGGCCGCCGCCGCTCGGCCGGGCCGTGCCCGGCACTACGGGCCTGGGCCGACGCCCCGGGTAACCACAATCATAGGTCGTGACGGGCTGTTTTACTCAAAGTTAAGTTAAAAATCAGTTGACCCTGACACTGTCCGACGGTCGCACAGGCCATACGGCGAGAAGAGAAAAGACAGCGAGAACCAACCCTCATCCTGCCGTTAGCACGGTCTTCTGTTGTCAACTTTCACACTGACAATTCAAATCAGTGAAAATCAGCCGCGAGGCTGGCATTGAATGATCAACTTGAGCCATGATGATACTGATGCGACAGCCCATTACCAGATTGATTGGATACCAAGTTCGGCCTCGAAGATTCATTGATTGAAGAGGTGCCGAATTCAACACAAATATCTTATGGCAGCTGCCTGGCTACTAGCTAGGCTACTCTTTGATATCATCGTACGCCTTGATGACTTCAGGAGGGGCCTGTACAAGCTCGATCAAAACCCCGGCTCCCCCAATAGGACTTTCCGTGTTCCCCTTCAGAATTGTTCAGATAGAACCTTTATGAAGGAAGATCGTACCTTGGGATGGATAAAGCAAACTTTGTGTCCAGCAGCGCCAACCCGTATGCCTCCAGCAAATCGAACTCCTTGCGTCTTGAGGTAGTTGAAGCAGGAATCAATGTCATCAACCCAGAGCCCGATGTGATTGAGGTTCGGGACATGCACTTTGGGACTCTTGTTGATATCAAGAGGAGCCATGATATCGATCTCCACGGTGCCAAGAACCCCCTTCCCGATCTTCAAAATATCTTCATTGACGTTTTCCTTCTCGGACTTGAAATCTCCGTGTTTCTTCAACCCAAACATGCCCTTTCCAATGCGTCAAAAGATGTTGCAAGATATGGACTCGATAATGATCACCTGCCAGATTTTTGTCATGTCGTCCTTCGTTTCGGCGCCAACAGCAATTTGCTGCACTCCGAGCACTCGAAATGGTCTGTTCCCAGTTGACATGCTGCGATGAAGAGGAGGGAAAGACTGCCTCCCTCCTAATGCCGAGAAAGTTCTAATGTGACCAACTAAACAGCAACGTCAGGCAGAGAAAGAAAGTGGCAAAGGAAACAGAGAGAGAGGCAGCACAAACTCGGAGCGGAGCGAACCTTTTGTAACCCGATATCTCTCGTCTCTATGGCATCTTTATTCCTCTCGCTCTCCTCTTTCCTCTCTTTCCTCTCTTCTCTCTCTATCTTTCCTTTCATTCAGTATTCGCTCCTTCTCTTCCATGATTCACAACCTGCTGGCCGAAGCATCCGCCGTAACTTCTCCATTGCGCCTGTTGCACTACCCCACCCGTTGAGAGCCCTCTTCGGTGTACTGCACCCCCATTACGCCCCCCGGTATTTTGACCACCCCCTAATGGAGCTCAAACAACCCCTGGATTCCAAGGCACCTTGACACGATTGAACACCACCCACCCTACAAGTACTGATACGTATGACCTCTACACACACCCCAACTCGCCCAAAGGTATTCAGTTCACCCTACCCCAACTTTCCCTCCATTTCTACCCCACCCTTTCTCATAAATCGGAGGCCGAACGGAGACCTACTAGCTGGCTAGATAGAGATCAGATCTTTTTCGAACGCAGGACCTAGCAAGGGGATTCGTAAGCATGGACGAGAACGATAAAGAGGACGATAAAGAGGACGATAGAGAGGACGATAGAGAGGACAGGGAGCGAGAATGGTTCGAGGATGAGGATGGTCACGATTGTGTATTCCCAAGGAGGAGGATTCATGCGAAAAGAAGATAGATCGACGACCTTTCTGGAGCAAGATAGGAGTTAAAATCATTCCAGAGTTTTACACTGATTTCTCACAGAAATTATTTAGTCACACATGCAATCCGGCAAACAAAGGAAAGGGAAGAATCGCATCTTACTATCGAATGCTGCCACAACTCCATCGAAGTAGACTGATGAAGATGAAACTGGGTACTGTATTGCAATTTCTAGCAGTTCATCATTCTTCTGCAAGTGATGTGCTGAAAAGTCTACAATTTTCTTCATTCAAGCGCTCTCTATGCCCAAGAAACACAGCACGCTGTGTGTCGATCCCGTTTCCTCCTAACAATTGAAGTTGCAGCTGATGGCTCAGAGCAAATGGTAAATGCGAGAAAGTCTCGTACACGTTGTATCTGCTAACAGCAAACTCGTATCTAAAATCTATATCTCTTTCCTTACTCAGCGAAGGATGATAATGGGTTTCTAAATTCATTAGCATCTACTGTACATATGTCAAAGACGCCAGTGTGTGTCAAACCACGACCAAATGTTTCAATATTTCATTGCACAAGGTCAAAGTCTGTGATCACAGGATAGTGATCGCTGAAGTCGATCGTTCGATCCACAAAGCTCCCCACAGGCCTCATGTGGCGTCCTCGGAGGAAGCAGTAATCAAGGCGATATGCAGGATCCCCGACGTGCGCAGTCAAGTGTAGTGGAGACAGAGGTTTAGCGCTTTCAAGGCAATCAACGAAGCCATGCTCCTGAACAATGGCAAGGTCTCCGGAATAAGGTCCCCCCCATCCTCGACTTGCATGCAGGCTCCTGAGATTCTCCCAGTGCTCGTCTGTGTAATCCTCCCGCATCAGGGCATTGAAGTCCCCAACGAGTAGGTCGGTGCAATCAGGCCTCGGGGGCAGCAGCTCGCATATGTGCTCCATCTGAACCTTTCGCTGCTCACTGCTGATGTGATCAAGATGCGTGCATGCTATTCGGAGTGATGTCCCGAGGTTCTCCTGGTTTTGCCCTGCCTGAAGCGCTGATGTCGGTAACGAAGTTTCGACCACCAGCATTCCCCTTGCTATCCTATGCACGTCACCTTCCTTGGCGATTTCGCCGTTGAATTTCTTTGTACCTGGTTCGAGTTTGATTGTACTTCCTCCTCGAATGTGATGCTGGAAGGTTTTTGTGCTCAGCACCGGCAAATTCGATATTATCGCGTTGCCATAGCGATCTCTGACGTGACCAAAGAAAGCGATCGTGAACTTTGGTCCCAGCGAGCTTGCAATCTTTTCAAGTCCACCAGGCTGAAGCTTAACATCCACCTCATTGAGGCACACGAAGTTAGGACGTGGATCCAGTGCTGCAAGCGCTGCCGCGATGGCAAACACGGTCGACGAGTTCTCCTTTCCATAAAAGCGCTTCACGTTTAGCTGCACAACACGCATGCTCACCAGGTTGGTGGCGTTTGACCCTCCTCTGCTGCTACTTGTCGACGGTCTCGTCTCCTCTGAACACTCTCCTTGCCCTTCACTTCGCCTCCCCGCTTCGCTTCCTCTTCTGTATGGAGGATCGCGCAACGGTCTGTAACGACCACAAACACAAACAGGCAAGGAACTCGTATCCCAGTAGTGCATTATCCTCCCCCTCCTTTGTTTGCTCCGGTTTGTCCTTCTTTTTCAGTCAATAAAGAGAGTATTGAGCTGAACTCTGCCCTCTCTGGATATCTGATTATGACATAGTAGTACTTCAGTGTGAGATGGAGTAGGTGATCGGAGTTTCAAGGTGTTCAGTTGATTTATTTGGTATCACTCTTCTTAAAGTGGAAATTCTAGTTATTTAGCATTAAACTTAAACCTACATTTTGTTTTTCAGATCAGCTTTCGGTGCCTCAACTTCCGAGCATTCAACGTCTCAGCGCTTGCGGCTTCTCTTCGATCTCGCGTCTTCTGTTCGATGATCCTCATGCTTGTCGCGAGTTGCACGTCTCCGTGATGATCCTTCCCTTCCACCTCCATTCCTCCTCGTCTCCCTGGCATCCACCCGCAGCCCACTTTCTGACTCTTCTGCATTGCCACTCGCGCCGCTAGCGACCGCTATGATAAACTTCGCCAGGTTCTCGAACCTCTCCGAGACCATCGTGGCCTCTGTCAGAGCGTTCTTCTCCTTCCTTCTCCTTGTCTTGGCTTGTTTGAAGCTTTCCTCGACAAGAGGATGTCCGGTGAGGTGCACAAAGGGGATTCCCGTTTTGTGGCTGATGCTCGGCAAGAAATGCAGCGCGCAGCAGAAAGGTACCACCATGAGGTCATCCTTATCCCGTACATACAGGTTCTTGACTTCCGACGGAACTTCTTTGTCTTCAACGAGATACTCGATGCACTTGAGAAAGTTGGCATGCGATAGCTCCATCTCGTTCTCTGTGTTGCTGTCCAACTCATATCCATGCACCAGGAAAGGCAAGATTCGTGGGATCTCAGAGAAGTCATAGAACTGAAAATCCTTCATGGAGTTGAGAGCCTTCTGATCGATCTTTTTCCATTTCTCTCTGTGCTCGCCTCTCCATTCAAGCCAGTCCGGCAAAATCTTGCGTAAAAGCCCTCTCACAGAACTTGCGGAGAAGAAGTCAGGATGTGCAGGAGGAAGGATGAAATCACAGGACATCACGAACGCCTTGTTGATTTCTCCCACACTTGGCCCAAGATCAACGAAGATGAAGTCCAGTTTGTACTTCTCCGCCATCATGTCAAAGATCTTTCGCAGCACACCATAGTTTCGAATGTCTCTTTGTGGTTGCGTGCCGCTTAATTTCACGCTGGAAAGCTTGGAGCTCCCAGGAAGGATCATCAATCTCCCACCGTAGATTTCTGCTCCCATCGAGGAGCAAACTGACAAGAGCTGTGGGCACCGTATGTCTTCTAATTTACCTTCCAGGACCGGGCGCATGGCGTCGTGGATGTCTCTGTTGGAATCAAGACTGTTCGCATCCAGCCAATTCTTGAAATCAAACACTTTGGGGTTGAGCGCCTTCAGGCCATGGCCCACATCATCCGACAACAGCTTGGCGCTCCTTCCGAACTTCTCTCGAGGAAATTCAGTCTCGAACTGCGAGAGATCGGGATGGAAGAAGGAGGTGGCATTGCACTGCCCATCTCCATCGATGATACAAACCCTCTTGCCCAACTTGGCGAGCGTAGCCGCCAGGGAGATGACGACTGAGGTCTTTCCAACTCCTCCTTTGTAATTGAAGACTGCGATCGACGTGCATTTCCCCTCCTTGCCATGCATCTCGGAAGGACACTCTGCAACCTTGAGACAAGAGTCTCGCAATGTGCTCCACGCGTCCTCCGGCTCTTCCTGATCCTCCTCATCTTCGTTGTTTACCATCCAATCACCTTCATCCACATCATCTGCCTGAGGCTCCTGTGCACTCTCCTCAGGAACATCAATCCCCCGAAGGCTCGACAAATATCGACTCAAATTCTTCCTTGTCTTTGGGTTTATCTTCAAGCTCCCGTAACGCTTCTCAGCCAGGGCTGCCTCCGGCCTGATCTTGTCGAATTGCAACTTCGTCCTCTTGTCGCTCGGTCCGTAAAAATTGCTGAGGTTGAAGTGGTCGATGTGTACCAGAGGCATTCCAACCTCATGACTCACCCTCGTTGCCACTGGAAGTGCAGGACAGAACGGCACGACCATGGTCTTGGTATCCTCCACGAACATCTTTTTGACTACTTCGGGAATTTCGTGGTCTTGTACTATCAGAGAGATAGACACGATGAAGTTTGAAAAGAGCTTGTTCACCTGCCTCCGTTGGAAATGTGGTATTTTGTATCCTTGAACCAAGAAAGGAAGTATCCGTGGAAGTCTACGAAAGGCGAAAGGTACATTTGAGGGCACTTCGAAAGCTTTCCTATCGCATTCAGCAACAAATCTTTCCCTCCAATCATTCCAGAAAGGAAGTAGGACATGTAGCATCCTGTGAACTGAGCTTGCAGAATAAAAATCAGCATGAATAGGTGGGAGAATGTAGTCACAACTGAGAACAATGCCCATATTCAGCTCGTGATGATTGGGCCCCAGATCTACAAATATGAAATCAAGATCGTACCGTTTGGCGATCAGATTGTACAAATGCCTGAAAGCAAGAAACATCGGACCGTATTCACGTAACATTTGGCTTGATATCATGGCCTCAAGTTTATGGATCTCCGTGCTGCCAGGCAAGAGGAAGAGATTGTTGTCGTAATCCTCGATGGGAAGAAGTTTTGGGCAAGTCATGGTTGTTTGATCAAATGCTGGGTAAAGAGCATCATATATTGTGTCAAACTTCTCCGAGGTCGACGATTCGTCATCCTCTGAGATTTGCAACCAAGTATCCAACTCGAAACAACAGGGAGTCAAGGGATGAATCGAATCAATGCTGGGCAATGTACAGCTTCTGTCTGATAGGCCCAGAATGACTCCGGTCGAGGCATCCGCGTGCTTCTTCCTCCTTGATGATTTCTTTCGCTCGTCTTGTGCCTTCTTCTTGTCTCCTTCATTCAGCATGTTCATCTCCGACTCGAAAGAATCCGGGGCAGGATAAAAGAAGGATGTCACGTTGCACTGGCCATCAGCGTCGATGATTGCAACCTTCTTCCCACTCCTAGCCAGCGCAGCAGCCGCATTGATCGTCGTCGACGACTTGTACACGCCTCCTTTGTGCATGAAGGGAGCGATAACTATAGCTTCTTTCCCCGCAGCCTCCTTCTTGACCATGCTCATCAACCTCTTCTTGGAGACTCTCGTGCTCCTCCTGATGGGCATGGCAAAGGACTCGAGGGATTCTGGAAGAGAGGATTCTTCTTGAGCCATTAGGCCTCCAGTCCGTCCTCCTTGTCCTCCCTCTTGTCCTCCTTGTCCTGCTTGTCCTGCTTGTCCTCCTTGTCCTCCTTGTCCTCCCTCTTGTCCTCCTAGTCCTCCTTGTCCTCCTTGTCCTCCTTGTCCTCCTTGTCCTCCTTGTCCTCCTTGTCCTCCTTGTCCTCCTTGTCCTCCTTGTCCTCCTTGTCCTCCTTGTCCTCCTTGTCCTCCTCCTCTTCACCCCCTCCCGCACTTCCTGTGCAGGATTCCGAGCAGGAAAGAGGCTCCGATCTTATCCGTTATCATCCGAGGCTCCGATCTTATCCGTTATCATCCGTTACGAGTCTCCCCGTCCCCATTTTTGAGTAAAAAAACTAGTCGACTTGTAAAGGTCCGACATGGTCGGGGAATATCGGGGGCGGTAGGGGCTGCGCGAGGAGGATCAGGCATGTGGAGAGGGGGGGAGAGGGCCATGCACGGAGAGAGGAGGAAGTTGATGATCATGTCGGCGCTCGTCCTATCAGCAGCAGATGCCATTGCAGAGGTGGCGGCGGCGTTTGTGAGCGGGCCAAGAGACTGTGGTCGAAGGGGGGAAGCGCTGAAGTTGGTGAAATGTCCTGCGTTGACTCCAAAAGATGTAGCATTGAGGTGATAGAAGATCTGCTCCTGCTCCTGCTCCTGCTCCTGCTCCTGCTCCTGCTCCTGCTCCTGCTCCTGCTCCTGCTCCTGCTCCTGCTCCTGCTCCTGCTCCTGCTCCTGCTCCTGCTCCTGCTCCTGCTCCTGCTCCTGCTCCTGCTCCTTCTCCTTCTCCTTCTCCTGCTCCTGCTCCTGCTCCTGCTCCTGCTCCTGCTCCTGCTCCTGCTCCTGCTCCTGCTCCTGCACCTCATGTGGCTCACATTGCAAAGCTGACTTCTTTCAAAGCTCATTGTATGCGAGAGGAGATGGAAAGAACGCTCCGCGCTACACCAAGTCAAACCTCCCGAGCAAGACGTGCGAAGTATGTGGAAGGCCGTTCGAATGGAGGAAGAAGTGGGAAAAAGTGTGGGACGAAGTCAAGTGCGAGCATTGTTTTGGTCATAAGGAGAGATTAGAGGAGCTGAAAGTCATGCAGGTATTGCTCGGACAGATGCCGGAGTAGAAGGAAAGGGAGCAAGTCAAGCGAGGATGGCAGCTCTTGAAGCTGCTTCCTCTTGCTGTACCTTCCTCATCATGAGCGTTTTCTCTTGCTTGTTTGACATCGCTTATGACGAGAATTTCCTGTTATCTAAGAATGATTTCAGCCAACTTGAACGCGAAATCGGCCGATGAGAAGTTGAGGACCGAGGAGCCTCGTTCTAGCCCGCGTGCCTGGAGCTCCTCCATACTCTTCGTGGACGATCCACAGTCTGCCCTCCATACAGCATGCGGCATGAAGTATCTGTTTCCGTAGGAGAGGATAGCTCCGGCATCCCCGCACCACCCCCCAAGCGCACTCTCGTTGGAGAGCTTGACGCACGTGTTCCTTCGCCAGACCTCGGGGCCCAGGTCGGGCTGCCAGACAGAAGCACAGAAGATAGAGCCAAACTGTCGGGCGAAGGCGTCGGGGAAGAGGTAGAGGTTGTTTTCTACCGTCTTGTTGCTCCCCAAGAAGCTCTTGAAGCCTCCGTAGACAAGAACGTTGCGGTGATCATGGTAGAATCCCGAGCCGTCGTCATGGTCGATGGGCCAGACGCTCCTGTAGCCGTTGAGGAAGAGATTCTTGCTGATGGTAGACGTCTTGGGGATGGGGGACCAGGTCCTGCCATCCCTGATCCTCGTGATGTAGGGCTGTCGGTCCCAGCTGCGAACGAGGTGAACGGAGAGCGGGGGAGAGAATGAACACATGCAAGTGAGAGAGAAGACGAGAGAGAGAGAAGAGAATCGAGAAAGAAGGGAAGAGGAAGGAGCAAGAAGGGGAGAAGAGAAGAAAAGAGAAAGGGCAGGGAAGGGAAGGGCAGGGAAGGGAAGGGAAGGGAAGGGAAGGGAAGGGAAGGGAAGGGAAGGGAAGGGAAGGGAAGGGAAGGAAGGGAAGAGGCGTAGGAGAGGAAGGGCAGAGTGAGGAAGGAGGGACCTGTTGAACAAGCCATGGTCGCTGGTCTCGCGTACAAAGTTGAAAAGGACGTTTCGTCTGACCTCGTGCCCACCCCCGTAACCATCAGTGAAGCAGATTCCAGCACGAGGCCCGTTGAAAGCCACATTGTGAGTGATCTTGGTCCGCGCGGCGAGCGCCTGGTAGACGAACCCTGTTTGCTTCCCCCAGATGCCGAGCTCATGCGCGAAGTTGTGCGAGATGAGGGTGTCGAGAGGGACTGTCTCCTCCCGGTCCTCACAATCTTCCACGAACCCTGCCAGCACGATCGCGCTGTCTCCCGTCCACGAGAAGTGGTTGCCGGTTATCCGCACGTTCCTGGTGAGGTTACGGAGGACGAGCCCGTTGCCTCCTGCTCGGAGGAAGTGGCAGTCCAGCACCTCGACACGCTCAGCATGGCTGATCGTGAGCATACCCCGGGGATGCAGGGACCAGTCTCCTCCGTTGGGGGCCTCGTAGGGCTGCAGGAACGTCGAGCAAGTGTGTGCGAAGCGGATCCCTTGGAACCTGACTGACTTGACGGGGCGACCCGGCGCTCCCACCACCGAGATCACCTGCGCAAGTCCGGCTGCCACGATCCCCTCCGAAGGAGGCTCGGATGTCCCGTTCTGCACGAAGAAGAGCGTCCTTCCGGACTTGTCCCAGTACCATTCCAAAGGAGAGTCCGTCAGCTCCCAGACGTTCTCCACGTACCACTCCGATGCTCCGTTTCCTGCACTCCCGCGCGCCTCCTGGAAGCCTCCCTCGTGCCATGTCAGCTCGCCATGCTCAGGTCGAGAGCTCTGGTTGAGCCTGAATTGCCAGTTTCCCCAGTGCTCAGCGTGGAAGGCATGCAGGATCGGAGGATCGCGCTGCGGGTCGAAACTTTCCTCCCACGAGCAGGAAGGAAAGGTCGAAGTGTTGAAACGGATCCCTGAAACCCTCGCAAACGTTGCTCCTCCTCCTCCTGCAGGTTTCTTGGTAGCCCAATAGGAGCGAGGAGGCGAGAAAACGTCTGCAGGACCGCCGTATCCCATGCTGCTCCCCACCAGTGAGATTGCGATGGATGCAACCTCTCCATGGTACCTGTAGTCGGGGAAGAGGGAGCCGACCCTGATGCCTCCTGAGCGTGCGGGTCAGGCATGCAAGCAGCGCTAGCGTGTCATACTCGTGATGACTTCGACAGCGTCGGAGGAGGAAACAATCTCAGGGCCCCACTGGCTCCTCGTGGACGGAAGATAACTGACAGACAGTCTCGTCACCATCTTGATGCGGGCACGAGTGATTCTCACCCGGAAAGAGAAGTGTGTAGCCCTTGACGCTCTGGGTCCTGCAAGATGTCAAAGCTTCGATGCAGACCAGGTGGAGGTGGAGGAGGAGGAGGAGATGGTGGTGGAGATGGAGGAGGGATGAGTGAGGTGGAGCAGGAGGGGCAGCAAGAGCAGGAAGAGCAGAAGGAGCAAAAGGAGCAGGAGGAGCAGGAGGAGATATACGAGGAGCAGGAGATATAGGAGGAGGGACATGTGGATGACAAAAACAAGGTGACTGGAAAGATTGTGAGGACAGTGGGAAACACTGGGAGGAACAGTCTGCAAGGATGGAGCGAGGGGAGGAGGCGAGAATCTGACCGCATTGGGGTGACGCGAGCGGATAGCTCTTCTTTCCTTGATGAAGAGCTGATTGAACTCAAAGTCCTTCACCGGGAACTGATCGACGACACGCGACTTGATGGACTCAGTCACGGGTACGTGAACTCGGCAAGAGGAGCAGGAGGAGCAAGAGGAGCAAGAGGAACAAGAGGAGCTAGGAGTACCTTCCAGCAAGAGAGGCTTCCCTTCCTTGCTGCCTCCATCGCATGCCCATGGCATCGCCATCTCTTCCACTTCACCCTCAGCTCTACTCCTCCGCTGTTGATGCTCATATCATCCCTACTCAACGCCCCGCGCACTCCAACCTGATCGTCGCTGTTTCCCCGGGGAAGCTCAAGAAGGTTGTCAAGGAGTCTTGAGGACCGAGCTCGAGCGTCTTGTGCAGGCGATGCATCCCTCCCCGCAAGATGATCGCCTTCTCCCGCCCTCTGCTTGTCGCTTCATCCATGTCAACCGCATGCGATGGCTGGGAAACCTGCCGACCGCCCGCGACATGGCGAGAGCGTCAAAGATGTTGGAGACGACGATGTCGATCTCGATCCCTCCTGTTCCTCTACCTGCGGGGTCAACAAGAACCCTGAAGGAGTGACGAGCCTGCGTCTGACTTTCCTTCTCTCGTGATCGCTTGCTCCTGTTCGCCCTGCACCTTGCAAGCGTTGCGTCTTCTTCCTCCTCTGACATCCCTCTCGCCATCCCGCAGTCCTGAAGCCTCAGAGCATCGAAAACAGCTCGGGCAGGAAAGCAGCGCCCTCTCAAGAGCTTCCTTCATACGCGAGGGCCGTCAGGGTTGCCAGCCATGGCAGTGCAGCAAGCCTCCATGTGAACTCTCTGACCCGGCAGTCGATGTGTCGTGATACCTCCTCCTCCTCTCCTGCTCCTCCTCCTGCTGATCCTCCCCTCTCGTTGCAGAGAACATGCCCGACCGCACAACACAAGCAGGCCAGTAGGAGATGCGCCCGCTCTCTGTGCATTTTGGGACGAGGCGGGGGAGGGGATGACATGAAGGGGGGCGGTCAGCAAAAAGTCCCTCCGGGGAGTTGGGGGAGAGAGGAAGGAGAGAGAGTGAGGATCATGGAGAGGGCGGGAGGAGGGGGAGGAGGAAAGGAGAGAGGATTCGAGACGGAGGAGGAAGCTGGACTCTGAGAAGTGTTGAGAGGGGGGGGAGAAGGGGATGGTCGCATGCAAGCATGACGAGCGGAGGGTCAGGTGTCAGGTCAGCGAGTCGGGGCGATGCGCTTTAGAGTTTTAATGTGACTGTCAGCCTCATAGCTCTTCTACCCCTCTAAGAAACCTCATGGGGGCAGGAGCATCGCTCGGGCTGGAGGATGCAGAAAGGAGGCAAGGGTGGGTCCCTGCAGCAACGAGAAACCGCTGGTCTCAATGCTTCTTCCCCTTGCTCTTCCCCGTGCCTTTTGCCGCACTTTTCGGTTTCTTTGCCTGCGGCTCCTTCTGCTCATCCTCCAGGCCAGAGTCCTCGTCGAGATGGTCCAGGGACTCAAAGAAATCCGCCAGCCCGTCCTCCTGCAGCTCCGCCTTCCAGCTGGGCCCCAGCTTCTCCATCAGCTCTTCCACCTCCTTCTTGTCCCTTTCCAGAGCATCTTGACTCCCTTTGTTGCCTTCAAGCAGCCCCTGCTCCTCGATCATCTTCATGAAGTTCGCATTCGAGCCCGAAGCAGCCTTGATAGTGCTGCTCTTCCCACCCTTGCTCTCCGACGCCTGAGCCCCTTTCTTGATTGCAACTTTGGACTTTTGCTTTGTCTTTGGCTCAGCAATCTCCATCTGAGGCGCTTCGTCGTCCCGCTTTCTCTTCTTCGACGAATTCTTACTTTCTTCAAGCAGTCTCCTCAGCTTCTCGTTTTCTTCCTTCAAGGCATCATATTCTGCCTTCCTACTCGAGTTACTCGCAAAGACGGCTTGAGTCTTCTTCTTTCCTTTCATTTTTCCTGCAGATCTTTCCTTGCAATACCTTCTCTGCTGATTGCCCTTCCGCACAATCACCAGGGGCGATGGCCAATGGTGCAGATCAGTTCAATCAGCCGAGACGAGAAGTCACGTGAGGTGTCAACAAGAGACGCAGATGAGTGAGATCCGTCAACGATGGCTCTGAACGAGGCTCAACTCCTTCCTGGCTCAACTCCTTCCTGGCTGTCGTAACGCGCACCTTGCTCTCACTGTCGCTTCCCCTCCGCTATCTTTAGTGTAGTTATTTGTCACGTGCAGTAACCGTCCGGCTGAGTGACTCCGGCCGGACCGGTCGCCGGTCGCCGGGCCGCCGGCGCCTCCGAGCGGCGACGGTCATGGTACATGTGACTATTTGCGCTTTTAAATCTGAAAAGGAGCGATATCAAGGTCTACTAATATGTCGCAAGCTTATTACTACTATGATTCCCCACTACCGGACCCAGGACCCCCCACCTTACCCACACACTACCCGGCCGGGTATTGACCCACCCCCACTTTGAACCTTTAGCTATCACTGAAATACTACCCCCTTCCCCCCCGAATTCGCCACATCTGTGACTACCCCAGTGACTACCCCCTTTTGGACAGTCTACCTCCTTGCCGCCTGCTCGGATGCCAATGCCGCCGACATGATGGGTTGCGATCTCTTGAGAAGCCACCTGGGCGGAACTGAAAGAGAGCAAGTTAGGAACAGGATGATGAAGGGACTAGATTAGGAGCAGAGAGGACGGGCAGGAAAGTTGCGAGGCAAGAGGGAGGGAGGTGTCACAAAAATCATCTTGCGTTCTCACAAATTCCGTTTTCAGTCAGCATGGAGGGCAAGGCGCCTCCCCCGCAGAAGTTCGTGAGAAACAGAAGGAAAAGCCAAGATGATGGCAGCATCTGGCGGGCGCCAGAGTTTCCCATCACGAACAGCGAGAATGAGAAGTCAAGCGCAGAGTGTGGAGCGGTCTTACTGGAAGCGTCATGGACAGATTTCATGCTGTTTCAACTTCTCTCGCCTGTCAATCTCAACAAGTGTATCAGCGTGATGAAGGTCAAGATGTTTGAAGCAGGCTCCACAATCCTGAAGAGAGGAACGCTGGGGGATCGTTTGGTATACCTGCACATTGTTTCATGACGTCCGGTATATGACCATTGTTGCAGTATTTTCTAGATGTTGGTGTCGCGGGTGCAGTGATAGGAGAGAAAGTGATTGAAGTCCTTGGGAGTGGAGACTTCTTCGGGGAGATCGCTTTCATCTCAGCGCTTAAGATCCTCCTCAAGAACCCCAAGGCGAACCTGAAGGATTTCCCAAACCTGCAGCGGGTCTGCGACGTGAGGGCCAAGAAGCAGTGTCGATGCCTGGAGTTGCACGTGAACGATTTCCTGGAGATCTTGAAGGGTGACCTGCCGGGGAACAGAGAAGTGCTCAGGTAATTTCTCTTTCCTGTCCCATTCTTCGACTGACGGTCTTGGTTCCCTCCCTGGAACGCGGCCAACAGAGTGCTCCGCGACTTTGCGGACGAGAGGTTCATCCGAGCGAAGAAGTCTAGCGTGCAGAATGGAGGGCTGAAACCGAGGAGAGCATCGATCCTCGAGGTCCACCAGATCCAGTGGAGAGACTTCGAGCTGTTCCAGATGCTGTCCGAGGAAGACTTTACCTTCTGCATGTCGAAGATGAAGAAGAGGAGTTACAAGCAGGGAGACAAGATGATTGAGAAGGGGACGGTGGGAACGAGCATGGTCCTCTCTCTTGCATTCCCTGCGCTCCCTCTCACCCTCCTCTCTGCAGTATTTTCTGGATGCGGGCACTGCGAATGCAAACCTGGACGGCAAGGTCTTGGAGGTTCTCAAGAGCGGAGACATCTTCGGGGAGATCTCCTTCATCGCAGCCGTCAAGTGCCTGCTGAAAGACAGCAACGCGCGGCTGAAGGACCATGACCAAGTCCAGCGAGTCTGCGATGTCGACGCCTCCTCGGACTGCAGCGTGCTGGTTTTTAGCGTCTACGACTTCTTGGCCATGCTCAAGAGCAATGTACAGAGGCACCGGGACGTGCTAAAGTATGCCTTGACACCTGCTGCCCCTCTCCCGCCTTCCTCTTTTGATTCCTGTCCCTCTTGTTTTGCTTCCCTCCCTCCCGTTCCCTGATGTTTCTTCGCCTTGTCGCAGGTTTCTGAAAGGATATGCGGAGAAGAGGAAGGCAAGGGTAGACAAGACAAGTTTGCAGCACAATTTACCTCCTTCCGATGATTTCGAGTCGGCCACGTGCTACTCTTTCTCTGCCAAAGCCAACAGGTGGAACAAGTATTTTGTACATGTTAGGATAGGGGACAAGCCGTTTGCGGAGGGAACTTTCCGAGCCTGTTTCAAGATCGAGGTCTTTCACAACTCCAACACAGTGCTGAAGGTGAGCAGGAGAAGACTCGTTTGAGTTGTGATGACCAAGGATGTGAAGGTGGCCAAGACATGGAAGATGAAGGCAACACCCAACCAGTTCTTCCAAGAAGTTATAAATCAGGTCCTTGATCCCTCCTTCTCCTCCTCCTCCTCCTTCTCCTCCTATTCCTCCTTCTCCTCCTTCTCCTCCTTTCCTCCTTCCGCCCCCTTTGTTCCTCTTGAAATTCTTCGAGTTTCTTCTGACACTCTTTCCTTCAACCAGTCGCTAGCCCAAGAGTACGCCAACGAGTTCAACACCCATCAGTGCGTCAAGTCCAAGATCTGCTTCCTTCCCATGGAGGTCCTCAGGCTCCACGAGCGCGAGAACCAGCTCGTGACGATCGAGCCGCTGCTGGAGGGGGAGTATGTGAAGCACAACGACAACTACGGAGAGATCGGGACGGAGGAGGCCGTCCCCCAGGCCTTCAGCCACTTCACGTGGGACGCGAGTGACAAGAGGATCCTCATTTGCGACATCCAGGGTGTGGGGAACTACTGGACGGACCCTCAGATCCATAGCGTCGACCCGTCGCAGGAGGACATCTTCGGCAAGGGAAACTTCGGGCTGGACGGAGTCAAGCAGTTCTTTCACACCCACCGCTGTAACTCGCTCTGCCTCGAGCTCGGGCTGTCAAGGAACGCGGCAAGCCACAAGACCCCCAGCCTGCATCGGAGCCAATCCATGTCGCTGGTGTCCCTGACAAGCAGGTTGGACGAGGTGGAAGCGAGAAACGCGGACGAGAGCTGGAGGGAGAACACTGCCACGTCGGGGCTGAAGAACTTTCATGCCATGTCCATGTCGTGGAGGGGCTGAGGTCAGGCCTCCTTGTATTCATTTCATGTGTAAAGTTTGCTTCCCCTCCTTGGACTCGTTTTGCTGCCGCTCGAGCTCCCGCTCGATGGACATCTTGATGTCCTTCATCACCTCAAGCTTGCAGTGAACCTCCTCCTCCGACAGCTCGAAGACAAGCTCCTGCACGCGCGTCAGGCCGGCGGCTTATGGAGGAGCAGAGAGACTTTGACGAGGTGGTTTTGGAGATGGCTGACGTAAGCGAGGTTGACCCCGGTCGATGGATGCTGAGCATACTGCTCCTTCTGCACTTTGCGTGAAGAGTACACGGAGAGAGGGAGAGGAAGAGAGGAAGAAAGGAAGAAAGGAATTGTAAGCAAGAGGAGGAGATGGAGGGGAAGGCAGATAGGGAGGAGAGGAAGAGGAGGGATGAAGGGGCGGTGAGGGAGTAGACGGAAGAACGGAGAGGAGGGAGTGAAGGGTTGCAAACGATAAGGGGTAAGGGAGGAATTTGGCAATGCAGGATCTTACGATTCGCTTGAAACTCATCGATCGATGAGGAACCACATTCACCAGTTTGCTGTGAACCCCTTGGTCCTCCTCCGCTTTGCTATCCAAATCCTTCACCTCCGCTCTCCTTCCCGTCCCCTCTTCTTCGTCCCCGCTGTGCCCTTGCTCTGCTACTCAAATTTCAAGGAATCAAATCCACAATCTTCCCTATCTTTCTCAACCCATTCCCTTCTCATTTCTCTTCTCCCTCTCCCCATTCTTCATCATCATCCTGTCAACAAGTGTTTTCTCTATTACCAGAGACCCGGTCAGGCGGCTCATCCTGATTCGCAGCCTGCGGGCTGTGTGATTCCCAGCCATGGGCATCAGCCAAGATGTCTCACAGCATTGTCGTCGACGTGAAGACCGCGAAACTTGAGCAGTTGCACCTCCTCTGTTTGAACACATTCAACACATGTCCTCTACCCTCACTTCTCCTCTCCTTTCTCCTTCTCTCCTCTTGTCTGTCCTCTATCCTCTTTTTCCCTCCCCTCGCTCCCCTCTCCGCCACTTCTCCGCTCCTCACTTCCATCTTCCCGCCACTCCGCAACGCTGACCTTCATCACGTAGCCTCGTTGACGTCATCATCTTCAACTTCCACTCCTCGTCCATGACTTCCTCGGAAGGGTGATCCTGAAACTCGACAGCCCTCCTTAGCTGCACATCTTTGCCTTCCCCGCCCTTCGCCTCCTCCTTCCAGCCAGCTTTCAAGATGCTCTTGGACCCGCTCTTGCTCTGACTGGCGCAGGAGGGGTGCTTCTCTTCCTGGGCGAGGAGTGAGCAACCAGGTCTCGCTGCCATGGCCGCGCTTACCTTGATCTTCATCTTGTACACAACAGCCAAGTACTGCTCGAAGGTAACAACGGCATCTCCTCCTGGCTCGTCCTCGTCCTCGTCCCAGAGTCGATAATGCTTGAACACTGAAGCAGCAGACATGAGGAGGAGAGTTGGGGGGAGGAGAACGTCGGCAGCTGGCCCTTACCTCGCACGCAGAGCTTCCTTGCCAAGGCTCTGATGTCCTTCTCCGAGGGTTTGGGGGATCGGAGGAGGGGAGAGATGCCTGCGAGCTTGCGGTAGAAGCTCTCCCCCTTCCTTCGGATCATCCTGGTCTGGAACTTGTTGAGGGTCGCAAAGCTCATGAAGGCGTTGGGTGCAGACACCTCCTCGAACTCCCTCCGCAACGACTGCACCTGAGCCGACGTGACCTCTTCCAGCTCCGCCAGCTCCCTGTGTACCGCCTTCCCTCTACCTCCCTCTCTCTCCTCCACATCGAGCTCCAAGGAGTCGCGGGCTGGACCCTTCGGGTTCCTCTTGTGCAGCAGGGAGAGGTCTGACATGGACTTTGACTTGGGGCTCTTGTCCATGGGGTGGTTGCGGGTGAAGTGAGGGTCCGAGAAGGAGGCGCCCCGGCTCTCATGGCTGATGATGGCCCCCATCACACACAGTACGTGTCTAAGGTGACCCGCGCGGCGACTGCTTGCTCTGACTCGACATTATCATGGGAAAGTCGCCTGCGAACAAACACTGTCAGTGCAAGGCAGGCGAGAAGGTCCCTGCCAGAAGCAGAATGCGGCATGATAGCTCATCTGGGTGGGAGAGTCCCTCTCTCCTCCCATCTGCTGAGATACAGCCAATCGAACTGAACTACTTCTTTGCTACCAGCTCCTCGTCATCGTCCCTCTCCTCCCCCTCTCCCCAACCCAACCAGTAACCCTTCCATCCTGCTTCTATCCTGCTTCCATCCCCACTGCTCCGTTATTTGCATTTTATCGCATTCGAAAGATTGACTACTCATACTGCTACTCATAGGTGGGCCTGGGGGTAGGGGTCCGGGTGGGTGGGAGGGGATGTGGGTGCTAATGGCAACAAGCGAGGGAGGAGGGGAGAGAGGAGAGGAGAGGAGAGGGGAGGGGAGCGAGGGGAGCGAGGGGAAGGAGGGAAACGAGGGAGGGGAGAGGAGGGAGAGGAGAGGAGGGAAGGGGAGCGGGGGGAAGGGAAGGGGAGGGAGGGAAGGGGAGGGAGGAGGGAGGGAAATTCGAAGTGGTCCACAAACAAACAGAGCAGAAGTCTATGTGAAAGCTCAGACAGAGAAGCATAAGGGTCTCACATTCTTGTTTCATCCCAGTCTCCCAGCATCGCTCTCATCCTCGCATCCTTTCCTGGAATCATCACGCATATCCCCTCCATCCGCCTTCCTCGCCCCTGATATCTTAGTGCTTCACCGCACAACCTTCCCCCCTCTGCTCTCCCTCGCCGTTGAGGGTCTTGTGACTGTGCTGTAGCCTCCAGTGGTCGAACTGCGATGTCGCACCTTGCGGAAGAATCCTGTGGTGACATGACGACCAAGGAGATTAAGGACGAGCTGGACAAGATGGGCGTCTCTTACGAAGGCTGCCTGGAGCGCAGTGAGATCGTAAGGGTGTACCAAGAAGCCAAGCAGAAGAATTCCAGGGATCGTCCGCACGGTGAAGTAGCCTTGTTGCTTCCAAGCCCATAACGAAGCATGGACTATCAGGTGGGAGGCTTTGCAACGCTCCATCAAACTCTGAAGGGAATGGAGACATGCTTAAGTTTCTCAACTGCTCGATGGATGTCATCGGTCAGGGAATGAACAAGCTGGTGCTGTATGTCACTGGTCCGCCTTGAGTTTACGTTGCGGTCCCAGCTCACGTCGGTGAATCAGAAGTTTGACCTGATGGACGACAAACTCAAAGGTATGCTATGCCTTGCAACGAGTCAACGTGATGGGATCGGAGTCAGGGCTGGAGGCAAAGAAGACCGAGGTGAAGGAGGTACGGACGAGAGACTTCCTGGCACGGTCACTGATCGCTGCGGTTTCAGATGTTATATAAGGAGCCCAAGACAGCGCTGGGAAGGTTGCAGCAGGTCCTCCTGCTCTGAGCTTTGCCCGTCCCTGACACATCTGTGATAGCTGAAGAACACAGCCGCGATCAGAGACTTCGAGAACGCTCTGGATGACACCCTCCGTGTAGCCAAGGTCTGCGACAGGGGAGTAACAGGCGGTCGCTGACCTGGATGGGCTGCTCAGGAGCAGCGCACGAACATCAAGGAGGAGATACTACAAGCCAAAGGATTGCAGCTGCCGTGATCGCACGCTCAGACTTTGATTCCGATGATTCGAGGCCCGTACACTTTTTTAATCCCACACACGCGTCTCGAAAAGAAAGTCTCAACTTCGATCACAGGATTTGACAGCACGTGTAGGAGTATCTCCTCTGATTCCACAGACCGCAGCCACTGCTTGTGAACGCAACGCGAGAGAGAGCCTCGAGCTACACTTGAAGTCAAACAAAGCAGGGGTCATCATCACTTGACTCACTTCTTTGCACTTTACGGGATGCCTGTCCAGGTTCTCACTGTTGGCATTCCAAGCATCTTGGCAACTGGAAAGGTTCACACTCAGACACTGGTAACCTTCTCCATCGAGTTGTAATCTCACTCGGTCAAGGCTTCTCTGCAAGTGCCGGCTCCTCGAATTGGTGTACAGCAGGTGTACTGATATCTGCTGAAACGTCAGTCTGTTACCACAACATTGCAGTAGACATGCCTATGATAGTTGTTCGGACAACCATACCGAGTTATCCTGACACACAGGTTAGAAACTAGCAAATCCCTTTACAAAAGATTCGCACTTCATATTAGACAGCAGTTGGCCTGAAGGGCAAGAAAACTGCAGGTTTTCAAGTGTTTCTGCAGAAAGGAGTGAGTTCCGTGAGCTTAGCACCTCTCATTCGAACCAATAGTCTTTCCATCGAGTTGTGTACAACCCGTGTACAAGGTTTGGCAGCTATTGGTTCCTAGATCATTATCCTTTGAACACTGACATTTCTTGACGCTGCCCGGTGAAGGGTCACCGAAGATATTGTCGTTACAAAAGATGCTGCTTGATACACCCAATGTGTTGGTCCAATCGTGCCCCACACCGTAACGGACCAATCCGCCGGGACACCAACACGTCTGTCCTTGTGGTGAGCAATCCTTGAACTGTGCAGGCGAGGCACAAGTATATCGATAGTGCATGTCTGAACCGGAACATCCATGACTTGTCAGCACGAAGGATTCGATAAAGTAAGTTCCCCATCTATTCAGACAACTGATGTCTTGTCGATCCAGGAACTCAGCCTTGTATCCTCTTAGAGGGCTGCATCCAGTCCAGGCGTCATAACCACTGATCGGCATGACTTGCCCTCGCCCTCCAGCCTCACCCATCTGCATCATCCAACGCCATTATGACTAAGAAACGCGGTATACGGCAAAATACCGGTCCTGGATAGCCTTGAAGTCCCAGCCCGCCAGCATTCCCCTGGAATCCCTTTGGTCCGGGTTCACCGGGTGACCCCTCGTCTCCACTGAACACCAAGACATTCAAATTACTTATGAGCGATTTCACATCAATCAACTCACGTTGGTCCACGTGTGCCCTGCTCACCGACGTAGCCAGGGGGGCCTGGGACGCCAGTGTATCCCGTCAATCCCTTGGGTCCGATGTCACCTTACACAAAAACCTTCGTTAGCGAAACAGCCCTGGCGCCAAGATTCAATACCAGTCTCTCCCCTGTAGCCAATTTGACCCGGATGTCCTCTTGGACCTTTTGGCCCAACAACACCAGGGGATCCTCGTTCCCCTTCCTTGCCAGGAGGTCCCACATATCCCTGACGTACGTTAGGTGGCTCAAAGCAACAGAACTAGAGTGCCTGTGGGCCCTTCTTCCCAACTGGCCCTGTAACTCCAGGCCTTCCCTTCCCCTTCAGTGTCGCCTGAAGTATAATCATGCGCAATAATGCGCAATGCTCTCGTATACCGCGTCGACAACCACTGAGAGCCGCGTGTCTAGCTTCTTCTTAGCGTCAGCAATCACTTTCTCCAACATCTTTCAAGAGAGAGATGTCAAAATCGAACGCCGACAGAAATCTTAGAACCCCACATCTATCTTCGAAGAAGCCATTTGAGCATACTTTTCGACCATGTTCGAAGCGCCCGGTGGTCTGCGTTTAGACATCAAACAAGGCATCGCGGCAATCCTAGAGCATTACGCATTCTTGTCGCAGCAAACTGGCTCTGCAAAGCAGGTCAAATCCCATGGCCTTCTGATCATAGTGAACTCACTGTACTGTCCCCAGCTGGAATCTTCTGTCCACACTTTGGAGATGTCCATGCAAGGGCAGCCAAGCATCTCCAGACGAGCCTTGCCTTTGAGGACCGGACTGTGGTGAGATTGCAACATGCTGACGGCGCGGGACAGAGCTTCACACCAATCGTCAGGAAGAAAAGAACTTTGCCCACGTCCGAACTCACCAACTCTCTTCTTCATGGATCTAGATCCAGTCTTTTGCTCTGGGAAATAGAATCTCTGCATAGTGGTATCAACGACGTGACCCGTCAATGGTTGTCGGAAACTTGGCGACATTGCCAGTGATCCAAGAGCTCCTTACCTCTCTATACGCCAGTGCTGTCTTGCTGCCAGTGTTGATCATCATGAGGACAGCTGTCACTCCCATCAGCGCGACAGCCGCCGCCATGGCAGCCATCATCTTCATCTTGGCAGGCGCCATTGACGAAGAGCCGCGTCTCCGTACAACCCACCTCCTGTGCCATATGACTACCCTACGTTCGAGGGACCCCACCCCCACGTGAGGAATCAAGTGAACCCTCAGAACACCCCCATTGTACCCCGCGTCTCTACCCTTTGACGTTGTACCCCACCCTACTACAACTTTCCAGATGAGTCAAGGACTAGTGAGAATGAGTTCGTTACAGAATAAACGTCTTGCAACGGAATAGTAACGACGGGCATGAGCGGGGAGTTCGTGGGGATCCAGTAGAGCGTACGCGTCATGGCACGACGCGAGGAAGTGAAGGATGTTTACCCCGGAGGACATGAGGTGAGGAGAGAGGAGGGGGAGGGGGGGAGAGAAGAATGTGGAAGGGTCGGGAGGGAGAGGAGGGAGAGGAGAGGAGGGAGAGGAGAGATGAGGGTGGGAACGAGGGTTGAACAGAGAAGGGAGGGGAGGAACATAGCTTAAGAACGGAGGAAGCCTTGGCTCGAACTTCTTACATCGTGGCAGGTGCTGGATCCATACAGGTGGCTGGAAGATCCTGACAGTGAGGAAACTGTGAAGTGGGTCGAGGCTCAAAACGAGGTGCGTGCTTTCCTGCCTTGCCCTGTTCGCAGCAGGGTTTGATGCTCCTCCCCCAGCGCACGAACGCGTTCCTCAACACGTTGCCCAACAGAGAAGTTTTGAAGAAGAAGCTAACCGAGAAGTAGAATCACGAGCCCTCCCGCATCTACACCAACCATTCACCAGCTTTCAGGTACAACTATGCAAAGACAGGAAGTACCTTCAAGAGAGGCAAGGGGGAATACCTCCGCTACTACTACTACAAGAATGATGGGTGAGCCCCTGAGCTCCGCTGCAATGCGCTCTGACGGCAATCTAGGCTGCAGAACCAGTACGTGCTGATGATGCAGGCGGGTCTCGACTCGCCTGCTGAGGAGTTCTTCGATCCCAACCTGCTCTCCTCGGACGGCACCAAGAGCATCGGCGCCAATGCATTCTCTGAGTGAGTGTGGCTGGCAAGTGCTGAATGTGCGTACGTGAGATCTCACGCCTCGTCCTTGGCAGCTCCGGAAGGTACTGGGCGCATGGAATTTCCGCCAGTGGCTCCGACTGGCAGGTTGCTGATCGCACCAGATTTCCGTTTGCTCCGAATGACGGGAGCTGCCGCAGACGATCTTCGTGCGGGAGATCACCTCTAAGGTGCTCCGCGAGGCCTCGATCGGGAGACTTGACAGCAGTTGCGCAGCAAAACACTGAGGACAAGATCGAATGGGTGAAGTTCTCTGGTGAGGAGGAAGCTGCAAGGGGTTGCCAGGCACTGACGGAGGGGAAGGAATCTCGTGGGTCAAGGATGACTCCGGCTTCTTCTATTCGAGGTCTGTTGGCAAGTTCCTGCCAATCGAGTAAGGGAGATGCTTGCGATAGATACCCTGAGCCAAAGAGCTTGCAATCTGTCGAGGACAACGTCGAAGGTTGCTCTCCTGCTCTCCTGCCCTCCTCTCCTGCTCTCCTGCCCTCCTCTCCTTTCTCCTGCCATACTCGGGCTGCAAGGAGGCGCCTTGGAGGATCTGAATCCTCGGTGATGGTAGGCAACGACCTGAAGCGAGGGAGCGAGACAGACAGCAACGTTGAGATGTCCGTCTACTTCCACAAGGTGCCGGGCCAACCCTTTCTTCCTCTCTTGCCACCTGTGAACGTTTCCCTCTTAGCTCGGGACCAAACAATCCGAAGACGTTCTGATCTTCAAGCCCTCGGAGAATCCCAAGTGGCTCCCAAGGTATGTGCGAGACACACTCCTTTGTCTTGGCTGAGTTGATGGGTCAGAGCGTCCATGTCGGATGATGGTACTGCCAGCATGCCTGTGTGCGCAGGGTCCGTTTGTTTTGGCGTCTGACTCCCTGTTGCCTCCACAAGGCAAATACCTCATCATCTCCATCTCTGAAAGCACTGCGCCGGTGAACCGAGTGTACATCGGCCAGGTCAGCTCACCTCCTCTGCCTGCTTGCAGACGTAAAATTGAAAGTGATGAACTTGGAATCGCAGGTGGATCAGATCTTGTCGGGAACTTGGGACGACTCCAAGTTCATGAGGCTGATTGACAACTTTGATGCTGGATACGACTATGTCACCAACACTGGTTGTCAATCCCTTCCTCCCTCCTATTCCCTCCTTGTATCTTGTTCCGATTTTCCTCAACTTGTTTCCTCGTTGTCTCCTCTGAAGCTTGACTGGAACACAGAAAGCAAATTCTACTTCAGAACAAACAAGGATGCGGTGAGATGGAGAGGAGGAGGAGAGGAGGAGGGATTCGACGGCCTAACAGGATCTGCAGCCTCGCTACAAAGTCATCTGCATCGACATCCAGGATGCAAAGGAGGAGAAGTGGGCAGACATCCTTGAACACAAGGAGGAAGTGCTCAACGACGTGCTGGTGTGTCACGTCGCTCCTCCTCGTCCTCCTCTTCGTCGTCGTCGTCGTCGTCGTCCTCCTCCTCCTCCTCCTCCTCCTCCTCCTCCTCCTCCTCCTCCTCCTCCTTTTCGTCTTCGTCTGTATCTCCTCCCTTCCCTGTCCTTTCCCCGCTTCACTCACGTGCTTTCTGCTGGCAGTGCGTTGGAGAGAAGTATCTCGTGGTTTGCTACATGAATCACGCCCAGGAGACCCTCAGTCTCTTCAAGCTTGCAGATGGCTCTCTTGTTCAGCAGGTAGCTTCTCTTCCTCCTCCTCTTCCTTCATCTCTCCGTATGTTTTCCTCACCCTCCTGCTCCGTCCTGGCCTTCTTCTCTCCTTCGCCTTCCGTCTCCGGCGCCCTGACTTGTCTTGTGATTCTTCTCAGATTCAACTTCCTGACGTCGGTTCCGTCGGCTCGTTGAGTGGAAAGAGAGAGCACATGGAGTTCTTCTACAGGTGAGCGTAGAACCTTTCCAATCCTCTCTTGTATTTCCGTTCGTCTTTGCAATCCCTCTCAGCACTCCTCCTCGTTATCGTCTTCTTCCTCCTCCTCTTCCTCAATCTTGCCAATCTCCTCCCCCCCTTTGCTCCCGCTTCACCGCCCTGTTGACTGCATTTCTCCCTTGCGTTTCTCATCATCATCATCATCTTCTTCTTCATCTTCTTCTTCGTTTTCATCTTTCGTCTTCATCATCCTCACTCTACGGCAGTTTCGTCGGGTTTGTGCACCCTGGAGTGAAATTCAGGTGAGGGAGAGAAGAGAGCGGCCTCGCCCGATGTTGAATATCATCCTGTGATGTGTGGAGTGGAGATGACAATTACAATGTCGATGAGAGGATGGTTCTCGAGCTTCACTTCTCATGTCATCCTTCTCATCCCGCCTTCTTCACCTTGTAGGTTTGACTTGGAGACGATGCAATCTCACAAGCTGCGCGAGGTGCCTGTCCCCCCCCTCCCTCCTCCCACTCCTTCCCTCCTCCACCGCTTCTGTGCTTCCAACATCGTTCCGCCACCTCCCTCCCTTCAGGCCTCCGGCCCAGCTCTCTGTCCCTCCTTCCCTTTCCTCCTTCAATGGTACATCGAACTCGTCAGCCCCTCTTCCTTCACCTGTTCCGATGTTTACCAGCCATTTGCAGGACATCGTTTCCAATCATCGTCCTGAAGATTTTGAGACCAAACAAGTCAGTGTCCTTCCGTCCCTCCATCGTCTGCCTCAACCACCACCATCACCGATACTTTATCCTCTTCTTCCTCATCCTCTTTCTCCTCGTCTTTCTCCTCGTCTTCTTTCTCAGTCTCTTCCTCCCCAGGTCTTCTATGAAAGCAAGGATGGAACCAAGATCCCCATGTTCATAGTCGGGAAGAAGGGCCAAGAGCATTCTGGGAACACCTGCACGCTCCTTTATGGCTACGGAGGGTGAGCGGAGGGGAGGGTGAGAAAGAGCAGGACAAGATTGAAGGAGAGGAAAGGGGAGTAAGAGATGGAGAGGACGATGAGGGCAGGAAAGAGAAGGGAGAGGAGGGGGATGTTGAAGGGGAGGAGAAGTGAGGGTTTCAAGGTCATTGGCACTGATGGGAAATGGCATCGTAGGTTCAGCATCAGCATCACTCCTTCCTTCAACCCCTTCCGCACCGTCTTCATCAATCATTTCAACGCCCTTCTTTGCGTTGCAAACATTCGAGGAGGGTGAGAATTTCCCCTCCTCCCTCCTCCCTCCTCCCTCCTTTCCCTCCTTCTCCTTCCAACCTTCTCCCCTTCCCTCTCTTTTCATCCTTCTCCTGCCTCCTGTCATTGACCTGGGAGCAGCGGAGAGTACGGGGAGGACTGGCATGAGGCAGGATGCAACAACAACGGGAAACCAGGAAAACTGAACAAGCAGCGAGGCTTCGACGACTTCCAGGTGCATGGAGATGATTTCTTTCACACTTGTTCCTCCTCTTCAATCGTGTCTCCTCCCCCTCTCTCCCTCCCTTTCTCTAACTTGCTCTTTCCCCCTTCCTCCCTCTCCCTCCCTCCTCTCCCTTCCTCTCCCTTCCTCTCCCTTCCTCTCTTATCCGTCATCACCCCCCATCTCCTTCCCCTCACTTCCCTTCTCTCCCTCCTCTCTTCTAATCACTCCCCACTCGCTCGGACCAGGCGGCAGCCGAGTACCTCATCCAGCAGGGGTACACCTGCCCTGCCAAGATTGCCATCAATGGAGGAAGCAACGGCGGTCTCCTCGTCGGCGCCTGCGTCAACCAGCGTCCAGATCTGTTCGCTGCTGCCATCCCCCAGGTCCTTCTCGCCCATCTCATCCCAACCTCCACGTTACTTGCTCCTTTCTCCTCAGCCCATCATCCACTTCCTTCTCCTCTATCATCGTCGTCATCATCATCGTCGTCATCATCATCATCGACAACAAAACGACACTGACATCAACATCAACATCATCAACAACAACCTAAAAGCCTCTTGCAGGTTGGAGTGATGGACATGCTTCGCTTTCACAAGTTCACCATTGGGTGATTGTTCTTTCCCCTGTTCTCCTCCTCCCCTGCCGATCTTCTCCTCTCCTCCTCCCCTGGCGATCTTGTCCTCTCCTCTTCCTCCTGCTCTTGTCCTCTCCTCTTCCTTCTCTTTTCGTAATGTCAAGGATGAAGGTACGCCTGGTGCTCTGACTACGGATGCTCCGAAAACAGCGAAGAGGAATTCAAGGTTCCTTGCTTCCCACGCGTTTACCCCCCGCATTCCTTTCTCTCCTCTTCCCCCTTCCTGTCCCTCTCCTCTTGTTCTTCCTCCCTACCTCCTCTTGTTCTTCCTCCCTACCTCCCCTTGTTCTCCCTCCCTACCTCCTCTTGTTCTTCCTCCCTACCTCCTCTTGTTCTTCCTCCTTATCACCTCCTTGCGCTCTTACGTTCTCATCCTGTGCAGGCCTTGTACGCCATATCTCCGCTTCATAACATCAAACCACGAGACGGTGACGAGCTTCTATCTCCTCTATTGGAATTCCTCCTCCTCCCTCCTCCTCCCTCCTCCTCCTCCCTCCTCCTCCTCCCTCCTTTCCTCCTCGTGGAGCCATATATCTCCTGTCCTCATTTCGCTTCCTTCTTCTCGCAGACGTCCAGTACCCTGCCGTTCTCGTGACAACTGCCGACCATGATGATCGAGTGGTCCCACTTCACTCCTTCAAGTACGCAGCTCAGGTGGCGCTGCATTCTCTCTTTCTCTCGCCTCACCGCTTCTCTTACTCTCTGCTCTCCTCTTGTTTCCCCCTCCCCTCTCATCTCCTCCCCATCTCTGTCTCCTCCTCTCCTTTCCCTTCGCTTCTCTTGCTCCTCCACCTCGTCTCCTCCCTACAGCTACAGTACGCCTTCGAAGGGAACAGCAAACAGACCCGTCCTCTCCTCATCCGCATTGAGACCAAATCAGGGTAAGACGAATATGTGACAGACAAGCTGTGTTGTCTGGTGGTGCTTCCGATAAGATCCCTGACAAGATGTCACTGCTGACTGAGATTCACTTGCTGACTTGTTTGGATTGCCTGCCTGACATCTACTCTCCCTCCCTCTCTCGTCCCCCTCTCCCCCGCGCTTTCTCCGTCCCTCTCCCCCTCTCCTCTTTCAGTCATGGCGCCGGCAAGCCGACAGCCAAGGTCATCGAGGAAGTTGCGGACATTTACGCCTTCATCGGAAGCATCACCGGAACCGAATTCTCCGATTGATTGAGGACACAAGGACAGGAGAGGAGGAGAGAGGAGGAGAAATCCCTCGAGTACGTGACATGAATACATCCCTTCAATTCCACAGGCACAAAGAGAAAATGTCGTCCCTTCCCGTGCTTTCCTCGCTGATTTCCCCGCTGCCATCGGGTCAACATTGGGTTGCAATGTCGTAGAATGTTGGAGGTAGAAACAACTGCAAAAGGTAGGAACAAGTGCAAGGTCGACTGAAAGGGAGGGAGGGAATGAGGGGAGGGAGAGGGAGGGATCGAGGAGAAGGGTGAAGCGAAGGAACGAGGGGAGGGGGAGGGAGGGAACGGGGGAGGGAGTGTGAACCGTGGTGAACTGGAAGAAACTTTTACCTCTGCCAGTGGACTTGCACGCCGCAGTCATCCGTGAAAATGCGACTGATGACTCCGATACCTCGCGATTGGAAACCAGGAACCATCTGATGCCACGTCAAGGGTGGAGGCTGAGACGAGAGGCGACGGAGGGAGCAGGGAGGGAGCGAGAAAGACAGGGAGCAAGAGGAGGCCGTGGGAGGGGTGACGAGGGAAGAGTGAAGGAGGTAGAGGAGGACGAGGGAGGCGTCGGAGGAGACCTGCACAACTTGCCCTACAGCAGCTTCAACGTCAAGGCCAACGAGCAGCATGCTGCTCGCAGCGTCTGGAGGCGGACGATCGAAGAGCTGCGTGTGAATGCTTTCAAGATCCTGGGAGAAAAACGAGTAAGAGCCAGCAGGTATCCTCCGATCGTAGAAGCAGGAAGAAGCAAGGGAAGCAAGGGAGACGCAACGAACCAAGTCATCAGGAGACAGAACCTCTGGCAGCAGAAGCTTCTCCCCTCCTTCGGTGGGCGTCCTTTGTCTGTGCAGGGAGTTGTGGAGGTCGGAGAGCTGCCTCCTCAGCTCCTGCGTCGAGTGAGCGTGTGAAAGGAGTGACAACGAGAGCAGCACCTGATTGATCTTCCGTAATGCTGCAGCTTCCTCAATCGCTTCGTCTCGCTCCTGCATGATCTCCAGCACGTCACCTGCCCTGCGTTCACGCAGAGCCTCGAGCTCCTCCTGAAGTGACGAGATCTCCTCGCGAATGTTCTCAACTTCTCGATTCTTCATCCTCAGCGCTTCTGCCAAGCTGCTTGATTCCACTGCAGCAACCGTGCCTCCTCCCCTTCTCAGAGCTTCCTCAAGCTCCCCGCACCGGTTCTTCAGCCACAAGATTTCCTGCCAATCGTCGCGTCATCAACCTGTCATGGTATCGTTCACCTGCTTCCTCCCGCCTCACCTGGCTCTGGTTTGCGATGACTTGCTCGCGATCATCTGAAAACTTGATCAAAGCTTCGTTCTGACTGCCTAGACGAGCTGCGGCTTCTCTCGCAATCAGCAGCTCCTCCCTCAGGTCCTCAACGACCTCTCCTCCTTCCGATATGCTGCCCATCTCTGATTGTCTCGAGGCCCTTCCAGCCACCTCATTCTGCGCGACTCCTTTCAGGTTCCGATCTCGCTGCGAGGACGGAGAGCCGAAGAGCTGAACCTTACAAAGAGAGGACGCAGTGTGGGCTGCCACGTCATCTTTCTTGCCGCTCCCTGAATTTCTGTTGCTCCTCTCCATATGCTCTAGATGGATTCCAAACTCTTCCATCCTGTAGCCTCGCCATGCTCCGATCCTCCGGATGCTCTCCCGGAAATCCTCAAAATTCATCTCGTGAGCTTCATGCACAGCCTTCCCGCGCATGACAGCACGGAAGATAGTGTTGGCCTCAGACCTTGATACAACCTTCGGTACGATCTCCTGCTGTTCCATGAAGGCCATGAAGGCTCCGTGATCCATGACTGGATCTCCTGACTTCCTCCTCGAAGCCGCCATCTCTGACTGGCAGGCATCTTCGAACATCTTCCGCTTGCAAAACTTCTCCTCAAAGGTCGTCATGATCTTCTTTTCGGAGGGAGAGATTGGAGAATACATTCCCGGCTCAACAATTGACTTGGTCGATCTTTGAGATTTGATCCCAGGAGAAGTTTCAGGAGGTACAGTTTGTTTTTCATCGTCATTGCACAATTTCTCCAGCACATCGGCATCGGGCAAAGCCAAGTGAGCCTTGCTAGAAACGATTTCTGGCTTTTCTCTCACTTCGAAAGATTGAAGCTTATAACTTCTAAGTTTTGCCAGCTCCTCCATGCACAATTTGAACTTCTCAAACGTCAAATCATTGGACTTCGTTGAACCTCTTGCCACGTCTCGATCTTTCACAAGTCTAAAAACAGAAACAGCATCGTCTTTTGAGAAAATTTTCGGCATCAATGCCTGTGATTTCAACAAAAGCAAAAATTCTTTCATAGACATCGTATTTCTTTGAAGACCGTTCAAAGTCGCAGATATACCTGATTCGGATATTCCACAGTACATCTCAAACATCTCCTTTGAGGCATATTGTCGTACAAATGATTCCTTGGCAAAAGAAGATGCGTCCATTTCTGTATGTCCAACAGCAGCATCGAGGGCCTTCTTCCCTTTTTGACCAGTCGGCCAAAGTTGTTTCTCAAACACAGGATCGTCCTCTACCGTATTGTGGCCAACGTTTGCCTCGTCATCGGGAATTCCAGGAGTTGCCATATGGTCCCAATCATCAAAGCCTCTTACAAGCTTCTCTGCCCTAGCAAAAAGAGCGTCAAGTGAAGGATCTGCTTCTTGGACCTCAATCCCTGCTTCATCTTCGTGGGGTTGTTTCTCTGAAGCAAATTTGGGAGATTCATCGTGAGCGGACCATCGTCTCGATTTGTCATGCAAAGCACTGTAAGGAGCCACAAACAGGGGATGAAAAATCAATTTTCTCAACTCTTCCCCACTCAGCTTTTGTGACTTTTTGCTGTCGATCAAGTCTAAAAAATCTCGCACTTGCATCTCTTCCACAGAGTCATTAAGATACAACGGCAACAGTTGAGTGACACACTTCAACAATATTTCCTTGTCAAACGATGTCTCTTCAAATTTTTCAAATTCAGACAAACCTGACTCTTCAAGAAGCTTTTCTTTGAGTGCATCCCAATTCTTCGTCAAAGATGAAGTCATCATTCGAAAGGATTCGAACGTGATTGATGGAAGTCGCCGGAGTCGCTTCCAGCGTTCTACTTTCTCCAAGATTTCTTGCATATGCTGCATCTTAATTTTTTCATATAGAATCATTTCCTCTTTTGCAGACGTCGTGCTTCGTTCTTTGAATGCGAAATATCGGACAAACGATTTCAAATCTATCTGTCCATGTATGCAAACATGGTCAATTTCTTGCAGTAATTGATGTACATTGATGTCAAAAGCAGACAACCTTCCAATGCCATGTTTCACTTCGTTCAATGTTACAGTCTGGTTTCCTCCGATTGCAAAAAAACAGAAAGCTTCTACCGGATTGTCCCAAATCTGTGAGAAAATGTTTCGAAGCTTAGCAGATTCGGAGATTGCTCTAGTTTTTGACCCCTTTTTGAGGAGTCCAGGATCACTCTTGATGCTTGCCTGCGATAAAGATCCAGTTGCACGCATGGCTTGTTCAAGGTCGTGAAGTGTTATTTTCCCATTTGCGTTTTTGTCAACCAAGTTGAACGCCTTTTCGAGTTGACCTGTAGTCAGTTGCAATCCGCAAGATTCTATTGCTGACTTCCATTCTTCAAATGAGATGAACCGAGTAGTAGGTGTATTGTTATATGGCATAGTGCTGGGGTCCGATCGAGAATTCTTGCCCCGTTCCTTATGTTTGGAGGAAATGTTTCTTTCAAGGTCAATGGACAGTTTTCCTCTCTTCTCACTCGCTTGTATCGCATTAAAAATGGAAGAGATTGTACCCCATCTACTGCGAAGCTTGGAACAAATGGTTCTCAGATCAGAATCAACCGTATCAGGCTTCTGCTTGGAACGCCAGACGCGAAGTTTGCTCATTACCACTGCTCGGTTCAATTTGATATTCTCGTACTTGGAGAGAAGTACAGGATGAGGTTCTACGGCATGCCAGGAGAAATGCCGTACAAAATCTTTGACATAGAGAACAGAATCAATCAAGTTGCACTCCGACGCAGCCTCCTGGACTATCTTATCTGCGTCAATCCCTTTGAGTTTCAAAAATCGGATTCCTCGACCCACGTCGTTCAGGGAAATCGAATTACTGCCATCCAGATCCCAGCATACCATCAACTCTAGAACGTGATCGAATATTTCTGCAAAAAGTTTCTTTGCCTTGTCAGTTTCTCGCCGCGATGATTTTTGGTTCCTGCTTCCAATGGTCACGAAGTCTCAACGAAATATCGGATCCTAAACATTTCAGCCTGAGGCTTTGCAATTTCTCCTTCTACTCTTGTCATACGAATCCTCTGCTTTCTGGACTTATCGCATCTAGACTCTCACCTTTCAGTGGGAACCTTCATCCCTTTCGATCGCATATACGTCTCGACTTCTGCGATTGTGATCACACCTGGACAGATGCATCAGCCTGGCTTTGTCCCGTTGGAATGCGCAAAAAGCTGGATTCAAGACAAGAACCATCTTACCACATTCATCTTCATCTATGGCTCTGAAGAGCTCTGTGATTTGCTGCCGTGTAGCGTACAATGCCAGGCAATCGACGGCAAAAATCAATTCCTCTACCGTGAAACTGTGTTGTTTAATTTGAGCTCTTTGTCACTCTCTCCCTCCCTCCCTCCACTACTCACCTCATATCTTCCAGAGAAACTCCCGCATCAAGCGCTTGAGAAGCAAAGTATCTCCTCAGCTTGACCCAAGCTGCATTTAGCATGTTCAAAGTTTTGCGCTGATGTTCCCCCACATTGAGCTTGCGATTCCCGTCCTCAGCCAGATGATCTGCGGCCTCATCTTCCTTATCTCTCATATCACTGTTCGTCTGATTTCGTGAGGAGATAGACACGAGAGAATCAGATTTCCTTGCATGGCTCCTCCTGCTGACGCGCGACGGCGGGAGTGATCTCCGCACGGTCTCCATCTCGGCTCCACCGTCATTGTGAGGCCTATCGGCCTGCGCCTATAACCTCTTACATGAGAGGACAACAAGACAAGAGCAAAGAAGTGAACAGACCTCTTTGATCTCCCTCTGCTGCAGATCCCACCAGCTTCCTCCTTTGATCCAGCTATCGCGAGACGACATATTCACCTTCTCCAGCTTTCTCTCATTTCGAAAAGAGCGTTGTTGAATTACTCGTGCAGTAGGAAGGGATCTTGCAGAGAGTCTTGTCGTCACTCTGCCATACTCTCCCGTCCCATCTTCATCGCCCCCCCCTGCACCGCACGCTCTTGTCTGGCCATCTTCCGCATGGCGGGAAACACCTTCCGGCTACTCCGCTACTAGCCGTTTCGACATTGTAGCCACGGATATGGTAGACCATATTATCAAAGGGTTGACCGATGAGATCGCCGGAACACTGACTTACAGTAGTGACTGATCCCGGCGATCATCATTTGAGATCCGGGAGCTGGCCCCGGCCTCGGACTGAGACGCAGTTCGGACAAGTACAGCCACTTACTGTACTAACTACTCGCCTTGGTGCAGAGTATAGCACACCCTGCAACTTGCCAACAAGTACAGCAGAAGTTTCATGGAATGGCACTCGGATGATCATTATCCGGCAACTAACATTGACCCGGTCGGTTCGAGTCTGACATTTGAATCCGAATATCATGTCAAACAGCTTCCAAAGGACAGGACACAAGTCATATATGTATTGCACAAAATCATTCCCCCCAGGCTTAATGCCAGCCGAGTCATTAGTTCACCTAGTGGAACGTTTTTCTCTCAGCCAGCTGAACGTGATTCCAAAGTTGCTGAGAAATTCATGCCCGAAACTGGATCATACGGATCTCACAGTTATCAAGATATCGGCTGACTTGCTCCCTGGCTTGACAGACCTGGCATCAAAATCAACCGAAATGGGCCAAACACATGAATCTTGCTGCTTGAAGCGGTCTTACCTCCATGAACTCAGCTAGGAAAGCGGCATGGCTGACCTGCAGTTGACGTTCAATCTCTTGAACTCCTCTTCAGGCTTTCCCCTCACAATCGCAATCTTCTTCTCGGGCCTGCTTGCGATGAACCTCAGGGTGCTTTCACATCGCTCGTGAATCTCACGTATGGTCTCTGGTGCGCTATGTGCACAGCAATTAATGAGTGACACAGAGAGCATGATGAGGAATAGGAGCTACATACTTGCATTCTACGTCGAGATTAAAAGCCTTCGCATCCGAGAGTTCCTCAAAACTGATTGGAAGAAGTGAAAAAGTACCAGATGCTCTGATAAGCGGTACCGTGCCAGAGCTTTATCATCACCAATTTCGATGAGATGGAAATCAACGTGCGAAAACTCTTTCATCGCATCTTCAACGGGTTGACGTAGGTTGCATGATTCAGTGAGCTGAGAAATTCAGATATGAGTGGCTGGGAAGAGCACTTTTTTGCAACCGTTTCTCTGATATCCTCGAAGGCGACCATGTTCGTATGCCCTGGAAAGAGCCCCGTAGCCGTTTGCAGGGTCCTCCTGAGCGGCGAAACTATCACAACTTCGACGCCAAGGGTCTTTGAGATCTCATGCTGCTGCTTGACCTGTCTCCGGCGTCACACCAGAGAGCACCGACCACAGCGGGACTGACCTGCTGTCTGCCGACTTTTGTGAGAGGAGGATCGAAGTCGAACTGAAAGGACACGTTGTGCTGCCCCTGGGCATGGCGGATGATGTAGACTTGTTTGCCATGGAACTCCGCGCGACTGGAGCGAAGCACACGCATGGCACGTTGCTTGTTCCCACAGGGGAGCTACACTTTCGTTTTGAAAACACTGAAATGTAAATTTAAAAATCGTCCGCGCGACATCATATTGATCAGTGAGACTCCCGGCAAATGATAGTCACCCCTACCCGTACGCCGGTAGTCTCGCCAAGTGACGAACGAGGTAGGGTTAGTCTAGGAGGAAGGGGTAGGGTACTCGGAGGCGGAAAAGCCTCCGCAAGTAAAGAGTACCATCTGTAGCCTAGTAGGGTATTAGAGGGGGTACTGAGATAAGGGCTACCCCTAGGTCGTCACCCTGCGATTCGCCTTTTCGGTCAGAGGGTAGACTCTAGAGGGGTGGGTACCCAGGGCACGGTACTGGGATTTGGGGATTCGGCAGCCTAGCAACACGATGCAAGGAGGATGGAGTAACATTGCGGTAAGACAGGAGGAGATGATAAAAGATGTGCTATGTGATGATGTTAGATACTGTCGTGTCTAGGCGTTGAGATCATGTAAAAGATTGCTTGTTACCTTGCCCTGCATACCTTCCAGTTGATCCATTGTTAACGCTGCGAGACGGTGGATTATCTCAACTTGTTCTTTTGTGCACAGTCATGATGAAACATGCTGTTTCTACATTTTTCACAAGCTCAGAATCTAGATCGACACAATATGTTCAATTTTTTTCTCCCCTTCCTGAATTGCAACCATGACATTGGGCCATGAAGGGGGCAGGCAACATGCGACAGAGCCAAGAAACTCGGTCACCCTTTGACCTGGCAAGGATCTCCCAAGAGGGCTATCGTAGTGGCGGGTTCCGGTCGATCAACGAGGAGATCCGACCTGACCTGAGAGGAAATCCGGACCTGGCAGGGGTTGGAATCTTCTTTCAGGTCGGCGTCCATTGCACAAGGCTCTGCTGATTCCTTTGAGCAGCAATCCACGAAGGCGTCGTTCGCATACGTGCAGAGCATCATTCATGGCTCTTCAGCCGACAGATGCGGGCTGATTCAGCATGGAGACCAATTAGTAGCTGTATGGCATACAGTACTATGTTGTTTCATACAAAACATGCTGAGAACGTTACAACAGGTTGCTGAAGCCGGTGAATGGCCTCGAAATGTCGAGGGACAAAATTTGCACATGATCCGTGATAAGATTTTAGGCAAACAGGGAAGGTGCGAAATTTGATGAATTTATTGATTTTCAGAGTTCAGTCTAATTCAATTTGATGAAAACTTTGCAGTTTTGTGAGACTGCAGATGCGACGTCCATCCACCAACGAAGTCTACGAAGTTGAACTGATGAGAGGATCGCCTGAATTTATCGAGGTTCTTTCCCTGACGTGGGCTATTCATGATATGACTGCGATGTCTCTAGATTATGCACGTCAGCTCTGATCTCAAGGAGAAACAAATTAGCAGCAACGCGAGAATTCAAGAATTAGAGTCGCAGGTATGCATCCGTGCTCTGAAATGGTTGGAGTGTGGCAACTATATCTTTCAGGTTGCGATGCTACGCATGCATTCCGACCGACTGCAGGCTCATGCCCAGACGGTTCAAGTCGAAGAAGATCCAAGTGAGTTGCAGGCATTCTAAAAGCAAGAGCGTAACTTGTTTGTGCAGGAATCGGGCCCCTCGAAGAAGAGTTGAGCGCAAGGATGGAGGATTTGAGGCGTTTCGAGGAAATGCTCCTGGCTTCCAAGGAGAAAACAAGAGAAGCTATCTTGGCTCGCGATAAGGTTTTTTCTTCTTCTGACTGATGTTGCTATGCTCTGATCGAAGAACAGTTTGCAGAGCAATTGAAGGATGTAAAGTCTGACTTTGATCTTCTTAAAGAAAAGCTATCCCTTTCCAAGGTACCAAGAGGAGCACTGAGTTTGATCCTGATGGCAATACAGGAAGAGGAATCGAGGCTGGTGCATGAAAACGAATCTTTGAAAGGACAAATCTCTTTGTTGAAGGTTGTCGCAAGGTTTTGCTGACCATCGATTCTAAGCTTTTTCCGCAGCATGAGATGCAAGTTCTCAATGCAGAGCTACAGAGTAAGACAAAGAATTCAGAAGAAAACGAGGCTTTGGTGAAACAGGCAGGATTCAGCATCACTTGATACAACTGCGAATAATCTGATTGCACAGATTGAAGTCCTCAGATCAGAACTGCAGTCTATCAAGGAGAGAGATGCAAAGTTGGGTCAAAGGTTGACATCTGGTCACAGAGCTATAGCGCAGGTACTTCAGATAAACAGGGTTTTGTGCTTCAATATCCAACATTGCCACATAGGCGATGAAAGAGCAACAGGCAGCGGCAGCGGCCGCATTGGAGATACTCCCATCTTTTGACTTAATCCATTCTTCGATGCTGAGCAAGTATAGTAGAAGGGTCTGTTCTATCTTTCACTGATCGAATTTCTTTTAATTGCAGCCTGCGAGCCAATTCGAACCTACAACAGGTTTCCGTTGTTTGTATTCCTCTTCTAGATTGAATCGAATCGCAGCATTCTGAGCACTCGACGAAGATGGCAGATAATGAGCCCACTCGTCAGAAGTTGGTGAGAAGTTGACATCAGCGTTGACCCTCTCATTCACAATTTCAAATAGTACTCAACTTCGTCAAGTGCTGCAAGCTCAGAAAACAAGTTGCAGTACTTTGCATAACGTGCATGTGGATGAAAACAATAAAGTGAGGACTATTTGCAACACCATAGATTAAAAGGACAATCGAATCAATTTATCTCATTCCCTCTGACTGTGAGAGAATAAATGTCAAGGGCTCGCGAACCCTCCTCCTCCATGCGTTTTCATTGTGGCGAGCGCCTTGAGATTCAGTGAGCAGCTCCTTCCCAAGCTCCTGCTGCCATACCTGGAAATTTGATGTACTTGAGTCGGCCGGAAGCTCTCGTCAACCCTCGGCTTTCCAAGGCAAAGAGCATGGCGTCTATGCTCGGTTGCAGCTGCAGACCAGGTAAGCTCAAGTCCGACGGCAGGCACTCCAGCTAGACCTGAGTGTCAAGCCACCAGTAACCTGCTCGTTGAAGCCCATCTCTTGGATCGAAGAACGGAACCTTGAGATTAGCCCGTGAGTTGGTTTCGAGGACATCACAGGGAAACCTCCTTCTCCTTCGTGGAGCCACCGTTGTCAATGTAAATTTTCATCTTTTCGTACCTGCATGGTAAACCAATGAACCCATCGCAACGGTAATGCAAGTCATGAAATCCCCTTACTTGTTCGAAGCGAACCCTTCAAAGTCAAACAACACTGAAGCAATCGTGTTTGTCTGAAAGGCAGGAGATATGCAACATGCCCCTCCGAAAACGTCCTGGCACTTGTCGTCATATAGGAAACCTGAAGCAAATAATCTCACTGGTCGCTGGTATGCTGCAAGAAACGAGATGGATGCCCCCATGCTGCTCCCCATCGCCTGTGTTGTACGGTAAGTGCGCTGGCGCCAATCTTGCATGACTACACTTACAAAGGTGGATTCAGGTCTCTTCGAGGTTCTGAATCGATCATCCACGTATGGTTTCAGTGTATCACACATCCTGAACCAAGGCTTTCAGACTCAATGTCTGCACCACCGCCTTGACCTTACCAGTTCACATAAGCATTTCCAAGCATGCTGTCAGCGTACTCAATGAACCGCAAACCACTGAGCCTTCCCGTCAACGATAGCTGTCACCAAGAAGCGATCACTCACCCGGCGTTCTCTATGAGCACGAAGATTGTTGGAACAATCACCCCTTCATCCTATGTCCTCGCCATTAGTTCACGCCACAGTGGTGCTGCGAACCTGGAGAATGGAAGCAGCTCTTCCCAGCTGCCAGTCTGCCTGCAGCCAGCTTGTGTTCTCTATAATGATGTCAGAGCGGCACGTAGACGTCATTGCTCACTGTCCATCTTGTTTTGCCCGTCCTGACAATACACGACGGGGAAACTTTCATCGCCTGATTCGTATCCGTCTGGGGTCCATACCCACACTCTCCTCTTGGCCATGCCAAGAGCAAACGGAACCCCCTCCAGAAGGCGGAGGTTACCCCTCCCCACACCGACCGGTGTAGAGCCACGTGAATCAGCTCGTTCAAGGGCGCAAGTCCATCCTCGACGACATGGATGCTGGTTGGCGAGAGAGGATGTAGGGAGGAACAGCCCTGGTCGATGAAGAGGAGATAAGGAGGACGGAGGAGGAAGAGCGAACGGAGAGGCTGATGGGATCGAACCCAGAAGGCAGAGCAAGCATAAAAGAGTGGTGGTTTGAGTGAGGCCTCCTCCAACATCCTGAAGAGTTCCTCGTCCCATCCGTTTCTTTTCTCCCTCTTTCCCTCCCTCCTCCATGCTTGCTCTTTTCCAGACATCGAACCCCCCCGCCATGCCCCCACGATCCCGGAAACTGCGACACCACGACGATGGTAGACCACAAGTATCCGGGAAAGTATCCATTGCTGCTAAACCGGAGAAGTATCCGGGAGTTTCCGAGGACCCCAGAAAGCACGATTGGGGCGATGAAAAGTTGGCCAATTCGTAGAATCTATTCATAATACTCTACTCGTCAACTTGCATTGGAATACAGCATCTCTCAAAGGAGGCTGCTTTTCCCATCCATGATGCGTGGCGGCAGCGGGATGCTGCTAGTGTTCTAGTCTGTTTCCTCCTCCTCCTCCTCTTCTGTCTCCTCTCTCTCCTCCTTCCCTCTTCTCGAAATGTCATGGAGGCGTCATCCACATCAACACTCTACCGAGACTGAACGCTTGCCCGTCTCTCTTGCTTCATTCCTTGTTCTTGTGCTGCTGTCTCCCTGCCCTCCTTGAATTGGATCCTCGCAGCGATGTTTTACTTCATCATTCATGCCAAAAAGCCAAAAAAAGAAAAAAGAACAAAGAAAGAAAAGTGGATTTCTTGTCGAGTGCCGCGGTAGTCATAGAGCTGAACTCATCTTGTAATTGTCTGAAACTTGCAGCAATCTCTCTCCCGTTCCAATGTTCTTGAGACATCACCAACACTGAAATGAATTCCATGATGTATGCATCTGATCACGTAAGTGTAGCTTGAAAGAAGATGGATCTTCAATGTGTCTCCTTATGTGAATTTTGTCGTCTTTCACATCCACTGGTGGTTCTGAAGTGATATGTCGAGTACTTGGTTTGGTACCTTCCGTTGTTGGGAATTCAGATGAATTTAGTTCATCGCTAAGTGTTCTATATGAAATGGACTTGTCTCATCGCTAAGTGTTATGTGTGAAGCTCAACTTAAGACTGGAACAGTTGGAGCTAAGACTGCTCTGTCGATTTTATTCCAACAAACAAACGACCTTGACGTCTTTCCTTGCAGGTTGAAATGGAATTGGTTGATGGAGATTGCTCGATTTCGAACATGGTCAAGTAGCCGCGTTGTGAATGACTCAGCCTTGACTCTTGGTGACTAACTGACGAAGATGGATGCCTCATGCCACCGCAAGCTTACAATCATCTTCTTGACTGCAATCCTAGCTAACCTTGGTGCGACGAAACCATGCCTTCGTGCCATCTCCGCGCGTTACCGTCACGACGTAATGACTTCAATCCGCCTGCGAGGAGGGAGCCAGCCCGCACAGGCGCATGCACTTTGGGTTTCCTGTCAGGATCCTTCAAGCGGAAGAACGTACTTCTATGAGATGAACAGCCGGCTGACCAGCTGGGTGCTGCCTCCAGGAGCAGTGCTGTACGGAAAGCTGGGCAGCAACGGTCAGCTAGAAATTGCGCAGCATTCCTCCAGCGAAACTCCCGTACAGACAGCCGCATCCAGGGAGGAGACTGCTGTACCTGTGAAGGCTCAGGACGCAACGATGAATACACAGAGTGGGCCATCTGAGCAAGCAAAGGCCCCAAGTGCACCCATCCCCGGGAATCAACCGGTGCCATCACAAGAGGCAACTGCTATCAGTACAGCGGAATCGAAGAATGATCCCGGAGCTTCCCAGGAAGGGCTGCAGAGGGATGGTTTGCTGCACTCCACCAATCAGCCAGCGCCAACGCAAGCACCCCAGCACATCGCATCGCAGCATGAAGTTTCAATCGTGACACCCACCGCTCAACCCGTCGCTCAGCCCTCTCTTGTACAAACCCCGGTGCAGCAGCGAGAGGAACAGAAGCATGCTGCATTTACCTCCCAGCAGCCGGCGGCAGCCCAGCAGGTGCCGCAGGGAGCCACACAAGGAGCGCATTACGCTCAAGGTGCCAACAGCGGCACGTGGAAGGAGACGATCGATCCTGTGAGTGGTCGCAAGTACTACTACAATACGATCACTCGAGCTACCTCGTGGCATCTTCCGGTGGACAACCAGCTTGCACTGAACAGCGCAGGAGCGACTCGAAATTCAACATTCAACCTGTCGAATCTTGCCAGGAGGTTCGAGGACAATCTCGTTAATGCCACACGAAGCGTAGAAGGACTGTGGTCCAGAATCGGGGGCCTCACCAAAGTCTTTGCTTCCTCGAAGAAGCCTGCGGACAAGCCGACCGATTGGTACTTCGATGAGGAAAAGCAGACCTGGCTCAAGAAGAATGGCACTACATCCGTCAACTCCGAGGCATCCGAGCCGAACAGACAGGTCCGACCCTTGCGACTTCTGCTCTTGCCGCTCTTGCTCTTTACTGATGTGACTTCATCTGGGGGATCAGGCTGCAGCGCAGCAAGGGACAATGCAGGCACCCTCGTCACAAGCTGCATCCCCACATGCTCCTACTGATGCACAGATGGATCAACGAGAGGTAAATCGCTCCGCTGCCTCCTCCCCCTGGTGATACTTGTCAGATCAACAACTCAGCGTACGGTCCATGGCAGCAACACTTTGCTGAAGATGGTTACCCGTATTGGTGAGTGAGGAGGATGAAAGTGTTGGCGGGGATGAGATTGGTAGTTGTTATGGCGGAAGAGAAGGTGGTGATGTTGGTGATGATGCGCATGATGATGGGAGATGGCGGCCATGGTGGAGGAGTAGGAGTCAGGATCACAATCGAGTACAGTGACGGGGGGCTGCAGGTGGAACTCGCAAACAGGAGAGTCACAATGGTATCCTCCCACCATCGAGCAGCTCAGACCTTATATCTTGGCCACTAGATAGAGTAGCTTACAGTAAACATCTCCTTGCGTCCTCCCACCAGGCTCGTAGCTATCCGCCAAGTTCCTTGGTAGAGGGCGTCACCCACCCACCCACCCCTTCTCCACAACAAAATGTGCAGAAAGTAGGGGAGGAACAGGAATTGGAAATCGCAAGGAGATTCATCATTCAGTCATTGAAGGTGAAGGGAGCGGAGGAGGGAAAGTGGGCGGAGGGGAAGAATGAAGAAAGGTTTCATGGAGTCCTCTCGTCGCAAGCCTCTCTACGACGACTCAAGCAGCTCATCAGACACGTCTGGACGCACCATGAAGCTCGGCGTGAGAAAGCGAACATGCCCTTTAGCTTCGCTCAATCGTGTCGCTCAGGTTGCATACAATGTCTACGACGGCGAGGAGCTCCTTCTTGACAGCATCAGATCCATCAAGAGCAACGTGGACTACATCTGCGTCGTCTACCAGACGGTAACAAGGCTGATGCGTCCCTCCTCCGTCTCTTAGCATGAGGTTGTGAGAAGGTCTCCAACTTCGGCAACTCAGCGCATCCTGATCTCGAGAAACGACTTCAGTTCCTGGTAGACAATGGATACGTCGATGAGCTGTACAGGTAAAAGTGTAACCACTCTCCTGATTGATGTAGTTTGACGTGACCATTGCGCCCTCTTTCGCTCCACTGCCGTCCTTGAAGATACGAGGCCAAGGTTTTCAGCAACGACGAGAAAGAGGCTTTGTGCTCTCCCGTCTCCAACGAGCTGGTAGCGCGAGCAGCAGCTGAGATGGTCTTGTGGTTCGATTGATCTGCTTTCAGGGCGGGCCGCCGAGCATGGTCTCGAATCAGTTCTTCAACGAGCTCACCAAGAGGGTGAAGGCTGTGCATCGGGGCTGCCATGGCTAATCCTCCTCCGCTGCAGGAGCTCGGGAGGCAGATGTGCGCGGCGAAGGACTGCACGCATTTCATGTCCATGGATACGGATGAGTTCTATCGGGTCAGCTCCCCGAGGTTGAGAGCGAGTTCCCTGTTCTCAAGGGAGAGCGGCAGGAAGACGAGCTTGCGTACGCCAAGAAGAAAATCCTTGAAGATGACTTGGACGGCACATCATGCAAGATGAGGTTTTACTTCAAAGAGGTGCTCGTCGCTCCTCTCTGGCATCCATATCTCCTCACAACTTACCTCCAGCCTTCGTATGAACTGCTTCCCTTCGACGAGTATAATCAGGCAAGCCGGCGCTCTTGTCCGGGCGTGTTGGTTCGGTTGGTGATGTTTGTTCAGGTGCCGCTGATCTACAAGATCAAACCCGGATCCCCTCTCCTGCTAGCCCATCCCTATCCTTGTATCGTTGATCCGACGCGAAGGATGGCTAACTGCCAGCGGTGAAAGAGCGGGAGGGGCAGCAAGAGGGAGGGCCCTGTGACGGCGGGCTTGCAGGTTTTATCAGTTCTCGAGGGAGGAGATCGAGATGCATCACTTCAGCTTTGTGCGGGCGGGTGTGTGAAGCTCCTTGTGCGAGCCGCAGGCAAGCACCTGAGATGCTTTCCAGACATGTCCTCCAAGATGAAGAATGTGTCGAACCGAGACAATCACGACGGAGCATTGCAGTAACACTTGCTTTCGCCTCTCCCCCCCTCCCTATCCCTCCCTATCCCTCCCTATCCCTCCCTCTCTGATTTGCCTGGTTGTGCCTCAGGTTCCTCCGCGATTTCCAGGTCTGGACACCTGATGTTGGTGTGATCCATCCTCATCCCTGGGGAAGAAAAGTTTTCAAGGTCCTCCTGCTTTGCTCTGATGATGAGGGAGCTTCAGTCCTCACGTATCTTTCTCACTCAGTTCGTGTCACGGGTGCCCAACCGGTTCAACGTTGATCTTTCCTGGATCGACTGTCTCTAATCGGATTGGTGTACTCAAGTTCCTTTTTTGAAATAGCCTCGGCGGCGCAGCCTCGGCCGGGCGCCAGCGAAACTTGAAACGCTGAACTCGGTGACTTAATGCAAACATCTTCTTGTAACATGTACGCCGTAGAAGCTGATGGATCGCCGAATGCAAACCGTGCCCGGCCACTGTCGGAAGGCTCCTAGCGCCGAGCCTGAGGCTTCACTGTCAGTTAACACGCCGGACTATCCCTTCACTTGAAACCAAGACCGTTGAACCCTTAAGTGTTGCAAGTTGCAAGGCGGCACTGCGGCCTGCCGCAAGCCTCTCCAAGTCGGGCCGGGCTCAGCTGCAGTCGCATGAAGTCCCGGGCGGAACGCGGCCCGGCCGGGCCGCCCGGCATGAGCCCGCCACTCAGCCGGGCGCCGGGCCCGGTCCGATCCCGGACCTCCCCACCCCTTCTGACCACCCCTGCAGCAACTGATATCGGATGGGGTGGCCCAAACAGACCCTGGCAGGGAGTGGAGGTACCGTCTCTGTGGGGTGTGTTGGCTGGGAATAGGTAGGGTTCTTGTTTGAAGAGGAATCGATATTGAAGGCTCCAAAGGTGACCATTTTTCTATTAAATCCTCTAATAAAAATAGGTAATGTTCTTTGATCAAGGAAATAAGTTGGATCAGGCTGAGGTGCGAGAGAAAGACGGGTAGGGTGGGGGTGGGGTCGTCGCTCGTGATCCGTTACGGATGGAAAACGGGCGACAGCGGATCTGACAGAGGAAATGGCGCGAGAAAGGGGAAGGGCAGCGAAGGGCAGCAAAGGAGGGCTTGCAGGGTGAAGATGAACGAAGGATGTATTGAAGGATAGAGTGACGATGCTCATGGTACGTCACTTGGGATTGTAGGATGAGATTTTGACGGGAGAGAAGGTATGCAGGGACTCGTTTTTGGAGTTCAACGATTTACAGTGAAGGATGTTTGAGGAAAGGATTTTTGAGAGCTGAGGAAAAATATTGAAGGAGAAATATCATTTTGGTGATAGTTTATGTTGAAAAGGTTTTCAGAATGCATGGGTGATTGGCATAGGCGGGCGGTAAATTGGACGAGGCGGCCTTATTGAAACAGCCTGCTCCAGGATGCCTTGGTTTGCTATGCACGAGGGGTTGCTTAGAAGGTTCGTGGAATAATTCAGTTGGATTAATCGCTAGTGTTGAGGGCCATTGTGTATCTTTGGATCTACACACTTGTAGAGAATGAAACCTTCCTTGCCACACGAGGGCGGACGAAAATTCGACATGGAGATAACAATCGCAGTCGGGTGTGGAGAGGGAGCATGCTTGAAATTCGGCAGTAGACAGTGGTGAGATGGAGGTTATCATCTACATCGAATTTACTAGAACAAATCAGACAGAAGATTTACAGAAGAGCTACTATTTCAATAGAAATGCTCTGTGGGTTCAAAGCAAATTCCAACAGTCTTCATGCTAACACTTAACTACGAATATGTTCATTGTATTCAGTTCAACTCCTGTGTTTGATTCAGATGCCTGTCAACTTTATTATTACCCCCTTCCAAACAAACGACTATTGAGCCTTTGATATTGATAATTTTTTTTGGTACTCCAGGTCACTTGAACAGTTTTGAACCAACACTTGCCGGCGAGCCATATTTCCCTTGTGGGAGAGAAGAAAATAGGGAAGGATGTCTCAGGGTATGACAAAGAGCTCAAAAATCCTGCAATATGTCAATTACAGGTGATTTTACTCACATCATTCTATGTGTAGAAAACATGTAGGTTGATTTAAATTTTTCAGGATGCGAGTTACCATTGAAGATGGCAGACAGCTTGTTGGAAAGTTCATGGCTTTTGACAAGCACATGAATATTGTGTTGGGAGATTGCGATGAATTCAGGAGGCTCAGCGTGAAAGGTGGCAAGGGAGAAGAGAGAGAAGAGAAGTAATATGCAGTCCTTCTATTGACTATTTCTCCTGTCTCAAACATCCTTTCCAAACTTATTCGTCAAATCCTTCTATCTGTTGCCTTGGAATTAGATGCTAACTGTGACGTGGCAGACGTTCTTTGGGACTCGTAATCTTGCGAGGAGAGAGCGTGGTTTCCCTCACTGTAGAAAGCAAACCTCCTTCGGAAGACAAGAAGAACAGATTAGCTGCTGGCGTAATCATTCAAGCACGTGTATCCCCTCTGCTCATATGTTTGTTTAGGTCGGACTGGGCCCAGGAGTTGCAGCCCCTGGTGGGCGAGGTCTTCCAATGGCTCCTGTTGGACAGGCACCTGCAGGTATTCGGAAGGGGATCACCTGCTTTGTTTGACAATTTCCTTCCTTCAAGGGCTGGCTGGACCCGCACGAGGAGTTGGTGGACCTGGAATGATGCAGATGGCACCTCAGGTGCTTCTACTGCTACTTTCTGAGTGACGATGACTTCATCTTTGTTTCTTTGTTGTTTGTTGGTTTCAGGGACGTGGAATTTCTGCTCCTCCCCAGGTGGTCGATGTACTGCTTGAGGATGTCCGCGTGTGCTGATGGTGTGATGACAGATGGGAAGAGGGTATCCCCCTGGTATGCCTCCTCCTCCTGGCGGTATGCCTCCCGGTATGCCACCTGGAATGCCTCCTGGAATGCCTCCTGGCCGCGGAGGTCCTCCCCCTCCCGGCATGCCTCCTCCTCCGGGTATGCCTCCTCCCGGCATGCCCCCAGGGCGTGGAATGCCTCCTCCTGGCTTCCCGGTGACTCACCGATATGAGCGGCGGGCTGCGATCTGACATGCACCAGGGTGTTCCTCCCGGCATGCCTCCTCCTCCGGGCATGATGGGACGTGGCATGCCGCCTCCCCCAGGAATGGGTGGACCCCCTCCTGGCATGCCTCCTGGCCGGGGCGCTCCTCCTCAGTAAAGATCAAGACTCGGAATTCAACATGCTCAAACCGTCGAAGCACGACATGTTTGTCGTGCTGCCTTGTAAAGATTTTCCACGACCTGTTCAATAAGTATGCCATGTGCGGGGATGACGTTGGCGCCTGCCTTCGTTCTCAAGTCTTGTGCTCGAGTGGATTTCACGAATGGAACTTTAAAGATTCAATGTGCCTCCATATTTACACGCTCACTGAAAGAGCCCGATGCGAGTCAGCTGCGGGTTCGCCGCAGCCTTCACATGCGTCAGGCTGTTACCGACATTCAACCCAGTCTGGTCCACCCCGAGCTGTGCAACGGGGTCATCCATGCTCAGCTCGCCTCCGTTGATTCCCTGGGCGTCAGATTCTTCTTTCTGTACAACAGCCATGAGGACCAGGAAGGGTAGAACGCAAACTACCTTGAGCATCTGCTGTTGCATCTGCTGCCTGAGCGACATCTGTTGGGGAGTCGCAGTGCCCAACGACTTGCGAAGCGTCTTCGACGCCTGCAAATATGATTAGGTGAGCAGTTCAACGCGACAGATAATAGACAACCCATCCATTAATGGAAACAAACGGGACAGGGGAAAGTGGACGGGGAGGGAAACCGTGGCAGAGCGCAATCAATCAAAACTCCTCGTCTACCTCATTAGCTGCCTGCCGCTGCAAGCTTCCCACATCTGCAGCCTGTCCATCGACGAGCATCGGGTTCTGTCCTGCAAGCGCGGTGTTCACTGGCAGAGTCCCTGTATCTCTCATCAACTACTTGAGCCTGCACGACCTGATCGAACTCCGTTACCTGGCTTCTGCACAGAGGCCTCCTGCAGCAAGGGTGCTGCATTGATCGGGCCGGTAGAAGTGACTGAGTTGGATGGGGCCAGGGCAGTCGCTGTATTTGCACTATTTGAGACAGAACCAGAAAGTGGTTGCTGTTGTTTTGCGAATCCCTGATTTGACAAATCAGAGAACAAGCAGAGTCTACAGATGAAAGCGATCGATGAGTACCTGCGAAATTTTTGCAGGCTGTTGTTTTAGAATTGCCACTTGCGCTGAGTGAGCAACCTGCTTGAGTTCAGCCACTCCTTGACCCGGCTTTGTTGGAGCATTCGAAGTTACTTGCAGCTTAGAGCTCGTTGTAAACAAGCCCTCTGGTCTATTGGGGGCAGTATCACGCTGAGACTCCATGCTTTCATGCTCTTGAGGGCGGAGCTGCTGCTGGCGCTGCTGGGACATATACGCCTGCTGCTGCTGCTGCTGTGGAGGCAAATACGCCTGCTGCGGCTGAAGCTGCTGCTGGGGCATCATATACGCCTCCTGCTGCTGCTGCTGCTGTGGAGGCAAATACGCCTGCTGCGGCTGAAGCTGCTGCTGGGGCATCATGTACGCCTGCTGCTGCTGCTGGGGAATCATATACGCTTGTTGCTGTGGTGGGTGCATGGGCATATACACTTGCCGCTGCTGGGTCTGCTGCTGCTGCTGAAGCTGCTGTGGAGGCATATACGCCTGCTGCTGCTGCTGAAGCTGCTGCTGCTGCTGAAGCTGCTGCTGCTGCTGAAGCTGCTGCTGCTGCTGAAGCTGCTGCTGCTGCTGAAGCTGCTGCTGCTGCTGCTGCTGCTGAAGCTGTGGAGGCATATACGCCTGCTGCTGCTGCTGAAGCTGCTGCTGCTGGGGCATGTAAGCCTGCTGCTGCTGCTGAAGCTGCTGCTGCTGAAGCTGCTGCTGCTGTGGAGGCAGATACGCCTGCTGCTGCTGGGGCATCATATACGCCTCCTGCTGCTGCTGGGGCATCATATACGCCTGCTGCTGCTGCTGGGGCATCATGTACGCCTGCTGCTGCTGGGGCACCATATTCGCCTGTTGCTGTGGTGGGGGCATGGGCATATACGCCTGTTGCTGCTGAGGCTGATGCTGCTGCTGCTGCTGCATATAACCCTGCTGTTGTTGTGGAGGCATATAAGCCTCCTGCTGCTGCTGAGGCTGCTGTTGTGGGGACATATACACCTGGTGCTGCTGCTGAAGCTGCTGCTGCTGCTGGGGCGTTATATAGGCCTGCTGCTGCTGTGAAGCTCTGTACTGATGAGGCGGGTTCTGGGGAATATACGCCTTCTGCTGCTGCTGCTGCTGCTGCAGAGGCTGCTGCTGAGGCGTGTACGCCTGCTGCTTCTGGGACTGCATTTGTTGTAGTTGGTGAACAGGTTGCTGCACCTTAACCGAATGCTGGGGAGCAGTCGAAGCTGCAGGCTGATCGCTGACAACGACCTTCTTCTTCGCCACTCCACTCTGTTGATGCACATTTTTGATCTGGGTTTTCGCCTCATTGATCGTCTTTGATGCAGCCAAATCTTCCTTATTTTTTGTTGCAGCAATCTTGTTTACTTTCTCCTCCTTGACATTGCCTTTCAACGAAGGTCCCTTTGGTTGGGTACGCGCTTCTTTGATGTCATGTACAGAAGCCATGGGTGCTAGCATAGCATGCTTCAGTCCCGAGTGCGCTGAAAGTGCACTTTTTTCTGATTTCTGCTGAGGTACATCTGAAGTCTTTGGAAGTAGGTGGCCGTTGACAACAGGCAAGGTATGAAGCTTGTTGCCCTTCCCTACCGTCTTAATGCCATGACCACTGTTTCTCACTGCGACTCCAGAAAGCAACAGATCCTCGGCGTTGGTGAGTGGAGGAACTGTAGTTGCTTCACTCTGGTTGGTAGAGAAGGTGACGGTAGTTCCAAATAGTAAACATATCAGCAAGAACGACGCAGACCATACGGCAAAATGCCTTTTTGTCCATCTTCCTCCATTTCGTTTCTCCTGCATGTGAAGGTGGATGGAGAGTTGTTCCTGATCCCGTTCTGCCCCAAAAGCATCATGACTGCGACTGGAATTTCCTTCTGTGCAATCCTCATCCGTCAAGGGAGGGCGTGCGGCTAATATTTCAGCTCCACGCTGAAGCAGCTGACTGCATGAAGGTCAACTTTGCATTGGTAGAGAGGATCACAAAACTTTGAGGAACACGCACAGCCAAGAACCAATCATGTTCAAAAACAAAGCGCGAAAGAAATATGAAGGCGATTCAAGGACGATATAGCAGGTGAGGATCAAGAGGTCAGTATGTCTCACTACAATGCATGATCAAGAGCACATAGACAAAGAGACAAGAAGACAAGAACAAGAACATGACAACAAGGCGACAAGAACAAGAACATGACAACAAGGCGACAAGAACAAGAACATGATAACAAGGAGACAGGAAGAAGGACCAGTAGCTGCAAGCAGGTAGACACTCACATCTCGGCTTCGTTCATCTTCCCCTCTCCCGCCATCGTCCCAAATTAGCACCGATGGTACCCCACCCCTCCTTTCAAAGCACCCCATGAATTAATATACCCCCTTGTTACTGAGCAATATATTATGAAAGGTACCGGTAGAGCAATGCAAATACCTACCCCGAGCGTTTCTGTAAATGAGAAACGTCCGCCTCAGAAGCAAAGCTCGCCGGGGCTCGGACGGAAGGCAGCGCCCGGCCACAACCTGGATACATAAGGGGATGGCAGGGCAGATGGCAGGGAGGGAAGGGGGCAGGAGGAAGAGGCTCTGTGCTGTCAGGACGAGTCGGGTAGCCTAGCAGCTGACTCGTTCTATCAGGACATGAGCACATCCATCTCGCCCCTGGCGCTTGTCCTGCTCGCATTGTCTTATGCTGAAGGCTTCCTCCCGACCGCCATCTCCCCTCAGCTGCGAGCTACAACGTCCTTCAAGTCGAGCATCCAGCGACCTGTTGGCGCGCGAGCGTCAAACGGCAGGGGGAAGCTCTCCCCTACCATGACGTTGCCTTCATCTGTAGCTGCCCCCACGGAGACGACAAAGCTGGAGGACAGGTACTGGGATTGGAACGGATACAAGGTGCCCCTGCACAGACTGTTTGTCGCCACCCTCACCTGCTCGTTAGATCCGATATCAGGCAGCGGGCGAGACTCAGAGTGACGCGCCATCTCTTGTCCTCATCCATGGATTCGGCGGCAATGCCGATCACTGGAGGAAGAACACGCCCGTGCTGGCGAACGCTGGGTTCCGGTGAGGACGCAGGGGGAGGAGCTGACTGAAAGGTTGATGGTGCCTCAGAGTCTTCGCTATCGACCTGATCGGCTACGGATACTCCGACAAGCCCGACCCCAAGTCAATGTCGGCGGTGAATGGAGAGCTGAAAAGAGACCTCTCCTCCTACGCACGCTTCGCTCCCGAGGTCGTAGCTCACTCAGCGCTCTTCTGTTTGTTCCGGCCCGTTCCTGCTCCCTCCCTCCCTCCTCCCGCCTCCCTCCCTCCCTCCCTCCCTCCCTCCTTCCCTCCCTCCCTCCCTCCCTCCTCCCTTCCTCCCTCCCTCCCTCCCACCTCCCTCCCTCCTCCCTTCTCTTCCCTCCTCCCTCCTTCCCATCCCATCGCATCGGATCATTGCCGAACTTGATCTTATCTGTCTCATAGGATGCCCTGCGTTACGGTCCTGTGGGAGAAACGCCCTTCACCGACATGGCTCATCCCATCCAGAGCGGATACAACTTCTACACGTGGGCGGACCAGGTTGAGGAGCAGAGGCTCCGGGCTGTGTGAAGGTGTCTACTGCTGAGAGGAAGTTGCCATCACAGGTCAGAGCTTTCATCGACGAGGTGGTCAAAGACAAGTCCTTCCTTATCTGCAACAGCATCGGGTCCTGCGTGGGTAAACGATCGGAAGGGAGGAGGAGAAGGAGGGGTCGAGACTGACGATCCTGCAGGGCTGCAAGCAGCTGTTGACTACCCGGAGAAGGTAGAGGGTGTCATGATCCTGGACCCAAGGTGATATGTTGCTTCCCGTCGGCCGAGCAGGAGGATGTGTTGGCACCCGTCTGGTTGTCTGTCCTGCCTGCGCCACTCGTTGTTGCCGCTCCTTCTCTTCCTCCTCTCCTGCCTGCTCTTTCGCGGCATCGTGACATGTTTGCGTGCTGGCAGTCTCAGGCTGCTGAACATCAAGAGGCAGAATCCGCTGAGTGCGCCGCTAGTGACTGCCTTCCAGGTCAGCAGGGGAGGGGAGGGGAAGAAGAGGAGGAAGGAACCTGACGGATCGTCTGTAGGCTCTCTTGAGAGAAACGCCAGTAGGAGAGGCTTTCTTCGGTGTCGTCGCAACCGAAAACACGGTGAGCGCCCAGCCGATCCTCCTCCCCTTGACGTCCTCCAGCTCCTCCTTCACTTCCTCTCCCTTTCTCTGTCCTTGGCATTTCAATCTCACGGTTGACGTCAACCGTGCGTCCTCTGTGCAGGTTAGGAACGTCCTCCGACAAGCGTATCATGACAGCTCAACAGTCACCGACGAGCTTGTTCAGGTTCATTCTCCTCCCTTCCATCGCCTCTGTTGCTAACCAGTCCTCTTCTCTCTCCCTCCCTCCTCTCTCCTCCTCTCTCCACCTCCTCTCTCCTCCTTCCTCCTCCTCCTCTCTCTTCCTCTATCCTCCTTCCTCCTCCTCCTCTCCTTTGGTGGGACCTCTCTGCAGGTCATCCTCAACCCCGGCAAGACTCCGAATGCTCCCCGCGTCTTCCTAGACTTCATCTCCTACAGCGCGGGACCACTCCCTGAAGAACTGCTCTGCGCGCTCTCCTCCGACGAATTCAAGTGCCTGTCTGCTCAGTCCTCCTCTTTCCTCACCGCGTGCTCAGGAAGGGAGAGCAGCCCAGGGTCCCCGTCTCGATCCTCTGGGGTACCAAGGACCCATGGGAGCCAGTGGAGCAGGGGAGGATCTTCCAGGCAGGCAGGTCAAATGCATGACATGCCCTGAGCTGATCGCAGAGGTTCGCGTGCGTGGAGGAATTCGTTGAGCTGCCGGGGACGGGACATTGTCCTCAGGTAAGGGAGGAGGGGAAGAGGGGCAGATGAGAGCGTGCTGCAGGATGAGGCGCCACAGCTGGTCAACCCCAGGGTGATCGACTTCGTGACGAGACACTGGAAGCAGTGACTTGTAACCAATATCTTATTCACACAAAAAACAAAAATCAAGACTCGCCGAGTTTCACTGGTCCTCACTCCTCCCTTGCTTCGACTGCTTCCTCCTTTCCATGTACGCGGTCGCCTCCGACACTTTGAGCAACCTGGAGCCTCACAGTCAAGAACGGAAAGCAACATAGTCCCGTCTAAGATCCCTCCCTCTTTCTCCACCCTCCTCCTGTTCTCTGGATTCTCACCTGAATCTCTCTGTCACGACGAACCTGTTCCTGCTGATCATGTATACTTCGAAGCCTGCCTTCTCGTTAGCGCTCGGCCTCTCATGTCCATTCCCTTCACCTGGAGGATCGATGCTTTGGTCCACGCGCACCACCTGTGCCGGGCACGTAAGCGATCACACAAGAAGCTTTCATGCCAGAAGACGAGGAGCAAGGGGACCAACGATGGGGGCAACTGGCGCACCTTTGCGGGAACTATTCCTCCATCCCTGTCAACGTAGAAACAATCGTCGTTGGCCTTCAACTCGCGCTTCACCTTGTCTGACGAGCGACGCGCCTTCTCTCCTGCGCTGGCCTCACTCTGTACGGATTTGAGCTCCTTCAGTTCGGGGCTGCTGGTCGAGGAGGCCGATGCCCTCCTTCCTACCTTGCTGGGCTCTGCATCGGGCGACAAGCTGGGCTTCAATGTCATGCTCTCTTCCCCTGAACTGCTCTGACGCTCCAGCGCTGCCGTTGGTGTGCCAGGACAAGAATCATGCGGAGTGGTGGGAGGAGACGCATTGAGATATTGAGCGCTGGAAGAGGACGGGAGGGACTTGAAGCCCAGGGACTTGAGCCGTTGAATCCTCAAGTTCGGTGGGTTGAGAGCAGCACTTCCGGTTGGAAGAGACAAGTCCTTGCCACCAGCCTCCTCCGCAACTGCTCGTTGGAGGTCCTGAGGGGACACGCTTCATCGCCAGCGCCTCCACCCGGGCCAGCCTCACCTGGACGGAGGGAAAGTTGCTGACGCTCTTGGACCTCACGAGTCTGCTCATGGAGGGGGTCCTCCTAAGTGAGCCCTCGCCGCGATCTGATCGGCCTGGCAAGGAATCATGCCGCTCCGCAAGCTCTTGTCTGGCGGGATCCAAAGTCTCTATCTGTACCCAAAGTCAACTGCTATCACGTGCTACAAGTATAACGAGGACCTTGGCAGACAGAGAATCAGTGGTACTCAGCCGGATGAAATCCTGACCGGCATCACATCAGGAACAAAGGTTTCCATTTGCGCAGACTGAGTTGAATCACCTCTGATTGATCGATGTTCATGTCTTTCCTAATTCCAATCACCGATTGGCTTCTTAAGACTTGACCTGGTGCAACATCCACTGATGCAGAGACGCTGGAAGACCTCTGTCTCGTCAGCGAGGCACTTTGTTGGTTCGGACTCTCCCAAGTGCTCTGGCCCGAGGTTTTGTTGTAGAAGTATGTCTTGCCTGTTGTCTTTGAGGTACGACGTTCCCATCCAAATGGTAATTCTTCGGTGCTCGGTCCAGCCATGGTTTGGTTCAACGATGTCTTGGCTGTTTTAGATGGCCATGCCGGTGCAAAGAGCGAAGAGGACGATTGATCGAGCGCAACTTAACGCTTCCACTGCAAAGAGAAGGTTACAAACATAAACTGTGAATTGCCTCCTGCTCCCTCAAGGTTTTGATTGAAATACTGCAGTCACTCATAGCCATCGAAGTTGTTGTTCCTTCCCCTTCGTCATCATTTCTCTCATGCACCTCTCTCATTTTTCTCCTAGAACTTGCAATAGAACTCAATTGGTCTTTCTCGCAAATTCCTTCCCTGTCACTAGTCTGCCTGTCGGTTAGTTTGACTGCCTCCCTGCCTACCTCCCTGCGGGGCTTCCAGCCTTCTATCCTCCAATCCTTCCTTTCTGCATATCTGCCTACCTGCTTGCCTGCCTGCCTGTATCCTCTCTACGTTCCTCTCCTCCTCTCTGCTCCTTGGGCCGCGCCATGCGTCAACCCATTTTTGGTCACCATCACCTCTGGTCAATTGTTCCGTTCATCTACCCCCCCCCTTTCCCTCTCCATCACCCCCTACTCCCCCGGTGTGTGGGGGGTACCCCTTTACATTTGATTCCCCGACAGTCCTTACTACCCACCCCCACCCTAATTACCTCTGTGAATCCAATAAAGTACCGGTACTTGTGTGCACTTCAGAGTGTACATTGGTCGTCCGATGTACTACCCCCCTACCCTACATTTGTCGGAATAAAAAACAAATCAAACCGACCCCCACCCTATAGACATAGTACCCTACCCTTGGTATTCAGTCCCTCGTCAACTTCTGACTTGGCATACGTACTCTCCAGCTCCCATCAGTATCTACCACCCCCATTTCAATTGGGATCATGGAGGGTACTTTTCGCAGCCCTGCCGTGGATCGGAGTTTTCATACGGTCGGCCCCACCCCACCCCTTCTATTCCCGGCAGTAATAAAGACATCTTTACTACTTCAAACTTCAATGGTCGCGCCCGCCTCGGTACCATTCCATTGGGTTCTCAACTGGATTTTATTCCGTCTCGGCGGGGTCTTTTTCTACCTGGATTTTTCTTAATGAATAGGTTTTGGATTTCAAAGTGAAAATTTTCCTTGAAATGTTTTACTTCTGTCAAACCACGCCATTTCAAATTGTGGGATCCTGCCAGCACCGTGCCATTTCTAGAATTTAAACGTTGTACAGAATGTACCAATGTTGTACACGGTGTCAGTTTGGGAGACTCACGTTCAAGCAGATCGCGCCCTGTGGGCACCATGTTGTGAGATAAATACATCATTGTGATGACAAGAACATCTTTTGATGCCAAATTTGACCAGATTTGAATGTATCATGTGGGAAAACGACTGCATTTCCTTTAAGCAGAGTGTTTTGAGGATGATGCATATCATGTTGCAATAAGAATTTTGTGGAAAGGAAATATTTGAATCTCAGTTCGTTGAGTTGCGTGTAAATGCAAATATGCTTTGAAGCATTGTGAGCATAGTTGTAACTGTGCATTGACTTGTAAGGTACGCATTCAAATTTGCATGCTCACGCTATCCAATAATTGTGTGACTTTCCTTGTCATACTTGCACTGAAACACCTCAATTCTGATGTTCCAAAGCCCTGATCAGCTGTTTTCACACTTTCAGAAGGGAAACATGAAAGGAATCGATGAGAGAGGCAACCTTCGAAGACATAAAGGAAATGCGATTCTCCTTATTGCGATGACGGCCTAGCTTCCTGTACCAGAATGCTTCGTCGGTTGTATATGAAACATATTTCAAGAGACTTGCTGGTGCTTTGCCATGATTGCGTTTTTTGAGGCTTCTCCCAACGCATTCCACAACAGTTTGAGTCTTGTGAAATGCTCTCAACAGCCAGTGGCATGGCGGTTCAACGGTTGTAACATGTCATTGGAGTTTGAGAGGCTGGGGGAGGAGAGATGAGGGGAGGGGGGAGGGGGGAAGGAGAGGGGATAGGAGGGGTTGGAAGGAAAAGCGAAGCCTGGGAATTATTGATATGCTGATCGCGAGAGACTGGGAGATGCCAGAGGAGAGACGGTTCACTCAAGACCACTAGCGAGGAAGGGAGGAGGGCTTGGAGGAGAGGCGAGGAAGGAGAAAGCTTCGGGTAGAGACGGTTTACTTGATACCACTAGCGAGGAAGGGATGCCTCAGAGCCTCCTGTGCAGTCATCCTCGTGCGGGCATCGATATCGAGGCAGCGGCGTTTGAGGAAGTCCCAGATCGCATGTTTCTCCACCACCAGCCAGCCCTTGCCTCCCCAGGGAGCTTGATAAGGTCAGGGCATAGCTGAGATGCCGTTCGAATGGTAGCATCCCCAGGCTTCCCGCCACCATATCACCCTCATCCTCATCCTCATCCTCATCCTCATCCTCATCCTCATCCTCATCCTCATCCTCATCCTCATGATACAACAACAACAACAACAACAACAATACCAACAACAACAATTTTACTTCAGCGTCGAGCTTGCATTCTTCGATGACATCTCTGATCTTATCTCTGTACTGACCCGTTCGTCCATGCTCTTGATGTGCATGCGCAAGCTGCAGTGCTCAGACCATACAGTCAGACCAGCGCACTTACTTACACAACGAGTGTACCAGTAGATCTCCATGACCGCCATGTTGTCATGTACAGACAAACAAACAAACAAACAGTACGGACAAACGAACAAACAATCAGAACGGACAAACGAACAAACGAACAGTACGGACAAACGAACAAACGAACAGTACGGACAAACGAACAAACAAACAGTACGGACAAACGAACGAACGAACAGTACGGACAAACGAACGAACGAACAGTACGGACAAACAAACAAACGAACAGTACGGACAAACAAACAAACGAACAGTACGGACAAACAAACAAACGAACAGTACGGACAAACAAACAAACGAACAGTACGGACAAACAAACAAACGAACAGTACGGACAAACAAACAAACATTCCCTTCAAATTTCAAAGTGTTAGCAAATATTTTGGATGTGTGAAATCAGATTGGTTACATTTTATAATCAGACGCAATGGGTCGGGCACGCATGTCGCGCCAACGATGATTGTTTCCTGGGGTTGCAACACGCATAAGCCCACAATCAGCTGCGTTGAGAGGCATCGAGACTAGAAGAAATGGAGATAATATGTCCTCCAATGAAAACATTGACTTTCAAGATGTGCCACCTTCCAGTTTACATAAACCCCTGATCTTGAAGATTCAAAGTTCCTTCCTATCTCAACTTCAGAGTTCGATTGAAGTTCGATGGACAAATAGCACCCTGGGCTTACGGGTTCTTTTAACTCCTGGTTGTTGAATCCGCTATCATGAAGATCACGGTGATCTATGCCAGGTTGTTCACAAGTGCGTTTCTGCTTGGCAACAAATAGCAACGCTTAGCAGATGTGATTGTTTACACATCCTCATTGTCATCCCTATTGTGATCAGTAGAGTTTCAATTATCTTTGGTGAAAATTCAAACCTTGTTGCCAACATGATTCATTTAGGATCCTGGCACCTCTGTTTCGATTTGCATGCAACATCATTCTATTTGTTTGCATCTCCTTCTTTTGAAAAGTGTATCTCAGAGTGTTATACGGTCTACTGTGACATCCTCCCGAAGTTCCTCCTGTCCTTTGCGTGCTTTGTGTTCTGTGAGCCGCTACTACCAGGACAGTGCTGCTTCAGAGCTGTTGTATACAAGGGACCACAGTAATCACCATCATGGTGAAGAATCTTTTATTTGTTGGCAAATAAACAAATAAACAATCTTCAGAAACTGTTGTTACGCAGATTCAAGTTTGCATGACTGATACAGCCTCTGCCTACTCTATATATCGCTTGATCCCTGGTATCACAGCCTAGATGTCAAACATGCAATACTATCTCGGAGTGTGCAAGACACTTTCCTGAAATTGCATGGTTGGAGCAATTGCGAGACAGGATTTGCAGAGAGAATAAGCATTTGCACGGGTTGTCATGAAACATGCTTCATCAACATCATCGGCAATGCCGCAGTAACACGATGATACGATTCACTGCCGTGATTATCAGCGTAGAAAGGAATCTCATATCGACACGTCTGAAGCAAGCATCTGATACAAACGATTATCTTCTTAAAACTCTGAATATCGCCAACCATATCATGTACCTGCCATTGTCCAATCAGCACATCTACAGTGTTCCCGATGCAACTCACTGGCCACATGGGTTTGTGCCACGAAGGATACCGTAGACCATGAGACAGAGAGAAACACAAGGTAGACACTATTTCGTATGATGTTTTTGCTTACCATCACAGTTTCAAAATACATGCTGAGATCGGCTGTTGCTATGCCATCTTCTGTCCATTCTGAAATTACACTTGAACATTTTGAATGAATCGTCATTGTGCAAGATTTTTAATTTTTTGCTCAGCTTTGACATCATCTTCGGCCTAAGCTAAGTGATCTAAGTGGTTTTAGTGCAATTTGAGGCAGCGTGGTAATGATAGAGATGTTGCATTGGCTTTATGTTGAGGAAGAGATGTTGAGTTCAAATCTCTTGCTACTTCTTGAATTTCACAGAAGAGACCAAGTCATCACAAATAGACAAGTAACCGTATCTTCGTTTCCTGCATATCAATGCATGGTTGGATTCGAAGTCTCACATTGTTCATTATCGTCCTTACGCGCGTCAATGGGACAATCTCACCATCTCTTGTTCGTCGAGGGAGGGGGGGGCTGGAGTGGAGACAAATGGGGGGACCCCCTACCCATCATTTTCCCATTTGAAATTCAGAGACTGGGGGGTAGAGGGTGAACCTTGGTCAAATTCGAACCGTAAAACTCGCAACGCTCGAGAGTGTGACCCACCCTACGCGACAAGGAGGTTTGGAGTGGAAATAATGGGGTCAAAGGCGTGGCGATTCAAACCCACATCGCGGCCACCCCCCTCGAGTATAAGACTCTAGCTCAGGTGGGTGCTGTTTGACCACGCGTTCGAATCCTACTACAGGCTAACGGCAATCGAAGAGATTGCTTTTCAGCGTCAATTCCACTACCAGAATGCCCAAGACTTTTATGATTCTCGCCCACTCCTGAATTCAGACTACCTACCCTGACTTCATCTCTTCTGAAACATACGGGTGGTGTAGAGGTGATAGTCGAGGGAGCTCTGCCAGCCCACGGGAATTGCTGACATTGACAGTACAAACTTAGTACGGAGGGGAAAAGGGGATCCTGATACAAAAATCCTTGAACCCGGTAAAACTCAATTATACCTCGGTACAAACAGGCTAGCCTGGTACAAACAAATCCAGTCGAGAACCCAATGGAATGTTCTCTTCATGGAGTCGGTCGCTGAGGCCATCCCCGGCGCCATGTCCGACCCGATCAGTCGGGCCGGCCGGCGAATGGCACTGAGTGAGGCCCGCCGGGGCGGGCCTGTTGGGCAGGTATATTATAATCTGAGCAATGATATAAGCCGCAGGTGGCACGGAGGGGTCAGGGTAAGGGGCCAATTGCCTGCAACAAGGGGGTGGAGACAGTCCGGGGTGAGATCACGTTCTACGGGGGTTCAAGTCACGGGGGTGGGTGTTCAGTAAGAAGAGAAGGGGGCACTGCAAGGCGGATATACGGGGGTGGGGTGGGGTGGGTGGGGTCACTAAATCAACCACTACAATGGTTGAAGAGGGGCGAGGGATGCAGGCGCGGTGAAGGAGCAGTGTGGCGAAGGAGAGAAACTTCAAGGGAAGCACACAGGCAGTTCAAGACACGAGTAGGAGTGCAACATCAACTAGACGGGAGACATACTGAAGCTCTTGCTCTCCTCGTGAACAAACAGTAGCGTACAAGAGGTTGGAAGGCAAGGAGGAGTTTCAACTCCGACCCCGCTTCTACAATGAGACGGATCAAGAGCTTGGAGTCCTTGAGAAGAGATGATTCGCCGGATAGATGCAAGCCCTCAGGATTAGGAATTTTGCGGAGAAACGTAAGTTGCCCTTTCGACATACCAAACCGTTCTGGGACAGAAGGGAGAAACAGCTGGAAGGAACTCAAGGCAGTCCGTTTTGCCTTTGACAAAGATGACGATTGTTGGATCAAGAATGAAATGTACATAAGGATTGCAAGACGACCATTTGCAGAAGGAAGTTTTCGATACTGCTATGAAATGCAAATTTTACATCCGGATGGTCGCGTGGAGGAAATGGTTACTACAATGCTTTCTGTTTTTGGTCCTAATCGTTTGTTCCAGGTGGCAAAGCGTTGCAAAAAGGACGTGGATCCATCTGTATATTTCAACTCAGTGATGAATCAGGTATCTGTGACTATATTGGATGAACCACATTGCTAACAAACGAAATCAGTTGCTTGCAAACGATTTTGCGCAAGATTTCAATGCCAAAGTTGGATCATCAAATATGAAATTCGTTCCTGTATATGTTTGCAAAATACTGGATGGTGACTCAAAGAACAAGTATTTTTGTATTGAGCCTAAGCTGAATGGACAGTATGTCAAACACAATGATAACAATGGCCATGTTGATACCTTCTGCCTTCTGCCGCAGGCGTTCAGCCATTTCACATACGAGAAATCGAATGGAAAAATGCTTGTTTGTGACATTCAGGGGTTCAACAATTCTTGACGGACCCGCAGATTCACTGTGTCTCGAGCCAAGAAGGTTTTTTTGGACGGGGAAACAGTGGGACGACCGGAATTGCCAAATTCTTCGAAACACATGTCTGCAACCAAATATGCAAGAATCTAGGTTTGAAGCATCCTCATGAGATTTGAAAAAACTCTGCGTCACAGTGGATCTGAGGATTATTTATCTTCTTTGGTTAGAAATCTCTTTTTTCTGGCTTGTTGATATTCAATACATGTATCAATTTCAATGTTCGAGGTAAGTGATGCAAGCCATGCAAGCCATGTGATCGCTTGGATATCTTGAAGAAGGAAGAGACTTCTCCTGGATTGAATGACATGTCATTTCGAGCAATGCTTGCATACATGTGAACCTCCAAGATTGTTTCTTCGCGAAACATCTCAAGGCACGAAATTGTCTGTAGAATTGATGTTCAATTCTTAGATTGGCACTCAGGCAAGCAAGCGCTATTAGAACAAGGTGGGGAGAGGGGAAGGAAACGGGAAAGGCGAATGAAAGGAATGGAAGAGGAGCCAAGGAAGTGGAGGGAAGTAAAGTCTCCACCTGAAAGTTTTTCGTGATGAAGATGTGATCAAGACAGCCACGAAAGTTGTCAGTTAAAGTTGTGAACTCCTTGACACGGCGGTCAGTCACTGCAACCGTTTGTAAAAAGAAGGTACCGGGGGAGGATCATACGCAGAGGTGAGCTCTAGGGGGCTGCTGAACACTTCTGTGGTGGTCTCTCCGCCACCTTGCACTTGCCCACTGACCTCGTCGTCGCTCACGACAGGTGTGTAAGTATGAGTGACCTTGCCGCTGATGAAGAGAGAGTAACAGTCTGAGCTCGGCATTGAGTTAAGATCACCACACACCACGCAGGATGCGCCGGCCGCGAAGTCTGAAATCCTACTGAGGTAAATCTGCGCTTGTTTGAGCTTGATATATTCCATCTCGGGGTTCCAGAACAAGTGCGTGTTCGCAACGCAGAATGCTGGAGAGGTGTCCTGCCCAGCATCGGGCTTTGGTTGGAGCATTGCCATGATACCAACTCCGCCCTTGAGGTTGTACTCGACCGAATCCTGCCTTATCAAGTTGAACTTCTCGGTCTTCCAGAGAATGGCTACTCCATCTTTCTTCCCAGACTTTTGTTTCCAGATCCCAAAGAAGCCATTCGACTGCATCTTTGCTAGGAGGAAATCATCCCAGCAATCACACTCCTGCAAGCACACGACGTCGGGAGCATACCGAAGGATCTCGTCCACAATCTTTGGTCCGCGGCGGTTCCACTTCAATTCTGCTTTTGGCTGAACGTTTGGAAAGAATTCAGATCTCGTGTAGCATTGAGCAAGCATGTTGAATGACATCACTGAGAATTTGTAAAGGGTGCTCAATGCGGCAAGCTTCAAGCCTGCTGGAGTTGGGACCATACTTCTGACAGGCAGCGGACCTAAGGGTAACATCTTCTTGCTATCAGGAGTGTGGAAGCAGAGGAGGAAGACGCTAGTCACTGACTGGGAAGCTTCCTTCTGACCTCGCTCTCGCACCCGATTCCCGCCCGGCCTGCAAGCTCCTGCTCTGTTCACTTGCGTTTCCTTCTTTTTTCCTTTTACAGAGGTTTTCTTTCATTGACTGTTCTTTTTAGTGCAACTCCGATCATTCCGGGAGTCCCACCCTACCCCACTTTTCCCATAGTCGGACCCCACCCTTTTTAGAATTGATCTCACGGAAGTTCAAAGGTCCTTGTTTCTCCCACTGCTAAGTCCATCACCTATCAATTTTCATATGTGTCATACTTATAAAATATTCGACCTCTCGCCATGAGTTTAATATACACCTCGACAGCCATGAACCTTCCTTTGACGTACCCCTCCTCATTTCACTTCTAGCCTCCCCTCACCCCCTCCCCCTCCCCAAGGTGCCTTTGTGCGACGTTCATCTACGTCCTGAGGTATCCATGGCTGACGTACTGCGGGAGGTCACATCGGCGATTCAATGGCTGCAGGCGGCGATCATGCCGCCCGACATGGCAGAAGTCAGTCGAAAAGGGAGGGGCGGAGCGATGCAGGAAGAACACGACAAAGAGGACGACAACGAGGAGGAGGAGAAGGAGGAGATGAATGACCCAGAAATAGGAGAGAGTAGAGAGAGGAGACTGAGCAACGAAGAATTTGACGTCGCGACAAGTCACAAAATTTTCAGTATCAACGAGAACGGGATACAAGTGTACCCAGTGCCAAGTGCAGATTGTGGCTACTCTCATGTTGAGATACAGTCAGGATTGCAGCAAGAAAGAAAGGTAAGAGACAATCCAACAATGCTGCTGCAATGCACTTTGTTTGCTATCTAGCCCTTTCTTTTGACGTGTAGTAGTCGTAGTCGCAGTCGCAGTCGTAGTCGTAGAAGCATTAGTCAAAAGTCACACTGTGAGTCAATCGTAGCAGCAGCCGCAGGAGCAGCAGCAGCAGCAGCTGACAGAGAAGAAAACGGATCTGCACTCGTGACGTTAAAATCTTTCATTAATCAAGTAGCAGGGCCAAGATGAGGGCGACACGAGAGCAAGAGAAAACATGAACAATCTTTTGGCAGAGGCTCGCAAGAAGTTCAGACTTTTCGAGGAGCTTCCCGATGAACTACTTGTGGATTGTATCTCAAGAATGAAAGTTCGGCATTTCATGCCAGGGGAGACAGTGATCAAGAGAGGCAGTCTGGGAACAACCATGGTGAGGCTCTGGAATTGTTGAAACCGAAAGCATCGCCATCTGTGACTCATCATGCAGTACTTCATCGATCAGGGAGAAGCAGTTGCACTTTCAGAACGCAAGGTTGTGAACAAGATGCAGAGTGGAGATTACATCGGAGAGATTGCTTTCCTAGTGACGTGCATGAATTTCCTCAAGGAGGAGTGGTGTTGCCATTCAGCTTCGAGGACAGTTGATGTCGAAGCTGTTACGCCCTGTAGAATGCTAGAGATCAGCGTGCGAGACTTCTTGAAAGTTTTTCAGTCTGTCAGTCTTCGGGACTTCAAATTTTTCAGGCAAGTTTGGTTGAGAGTTTGCTCGTTCCTTTACAAAGTTGTTTGCAGGATACTTTCTGAGTCTGCAGAGACATATTTACGTAATGAGTAATTTCCCACCTTGCCCTTGCCCTCCTTGAAAATAAAGTTCCTTGTTTCCTTCCTCAAGCTCGCAACGCTTTCGCTACATGCACGTGATTTCCTTCCCGACCAGCGGATCTGCAGCAGCCAAAAAGAAATGCCACGCTGCTGTGAGCGCCCTTGTGCTGACGTCAGGCAATGACGAATCCTTTTGATGTCCCGTTGAATGAATAAAGCAATATTTACAAACAGTCCTTCATGACTCTTTTCCCAGTAAGAAGGCCTGACGAAAGTGTCAACATTGCACAACATAAAAACGGTTTACCTCGTCGTTTCTTAGCGATGCTTCTTGTTTTGTCTTGTCAGGAGAGCGAAGCAAATTTCTGAGACAGAACATGACTTCATGTCTGGTCACAAATTGGCCATGGCAGAACTCGAGGGCAAGGCGCTTGAGGTGTCTGTTTCTATCATACTGGTACCAGGATCCGACATGTTCGTCTTCAGGGTACATTCGCGGTGTCTCATCGCTTTGGCTCTGATCTTTGTCCTCGTCCTGATTGTTCTGCTCATCTCCTTCAAGCATGTTCACCTTGTGGGCATGATGTAGAGTCGAGGCGGTGATGGATGGAGGCGAGGGCATCCGAGGAGCGGCAGAGCGTTTGAGATGGGTGACGAGCTGCTTGTGAAATACGTGATTCTGTGTCATGGCTGAGACCAGATCATTTTCAGCTTTTTCAAGATTATGCACGGCACTTCGAAACGCATCCTGCTTGCTTGATTTCTGCAATTTTTCGGCAATTTCATGTATTTTCTCCGCTTCTGAAGCCGTCAGCGTGCTTAGCACCTTTAATGGTTTCGGCTTTGCTGTACTTTGCTGCACTGGATTCAAACTTCGTTTCAACCTCTGCACAATATTCTTGACCCTTTGATGAATTTGTCGATCTTTCATTCCCTTTGTGGATCTCTGCAATCTCATCTGAGGACGAGCCAAAGGTTTCGAATCTGATGGCTGTGGGGAGTCATGAACACTTTTTCTCTGTGAGTCCGGTATGAAAACAGGCACGTAAGTCATACCATGATATCTCACATCATGGAAACTTTTCAGGATCTGATCAAGACTTCTTTGAGAGTCAGCATCTTTCAGGAAAGATTGATCAGAGCGTTCCGAGGTCGCCGCTTCCTGTGAATTGTCCCCATCAACACTTGTAAGATTCTTTTCCTCTCCACGATTCCGATTGTCCGAGCTCCAATTCTTGATTTCATCAATCATCGCCTTGCTTCTTTGCATCACGGAGTACACAGCCAAAGGCGCATTTACCACATGTACCGACACGTTTTCTGAGTTGGTGAAATTTGAAAGACCCGTTTGAGCAGCATGAAATTCCATCTCGAGATCTTTCTGCTTTCTTTCGATCTCAGGCTGCAGAAGATTTAACGCGATCCGCTGTTGATCCAAGGTCGTTCCTGGTGCATCATTCATGCCTGCATGCACCCAGACTGAAGCAGCTCTCCTGGGGTACAGCAGAATATCGTCGGGGCTACTAGGGATCTCAGGATATCCTGGAGCAAACGTGGAGTTATCATCCGATTTGTCAACCTGAAGCGCTTGCGTGGGAGGGTCCTTCCGCTTTGCAGGCTCATACTTGTAGTTGATAACGATCGGAGCAAGGTGCCAAGGTGGACCAGAATTCTGAAAGGGAGGCAGACCAAACAGCTGTTGGAGGCTGCCCTTCAAGACTCGTCTGGTGACTTGAGCGCTCTGCTGATTGCAACCATCACTTGTCGAAGCGTCACAGGCATCAAGTACCTTCTTCGCAACCCCCGCGACACAGCATGGCAGCCCGCCCGGTGTGAACATAAGGGCACTATGATCATCATTATCAGCGGGACAGCATTTTCCAGCGGTCGCTGTTCTTTCTTCCATGCAGGTTGGATCCTTCGGCATCCAGCCGTTCATGTGCGTACAGTCATTCACAATGCTATGTCGAATCTTCTGATCCTACACCAATGCTGAATCAGATGACATCAAACACTCAAATGCACGAAGGCTGGGGCAGTGAAACCGTCGAATCAACCGGTATGTGGGTACAAAGGGAGGCCAGAGGCATAAATAGGAAGCAATGGGGCGAGTTGAGATGAAGCCTTTCACGAAGCACTCATGATGGGGTATAAGGTTACAGGGATCCTCTTTCAGGTTGACTCACCAGGGTGGAATCTCCAGGACTGAGGAAATAGATGAAGGCAGCCATCGAAAGGAGGAAAAGCCCTAGAGCTGCGAGGGCAAGTCCCCGCAACGGTTGAGATGCCCTCATAGTTGAGCCAGGGCCTCTCCTCGCCTCTCCTCTTACCTCTCCTCTAGTCTTACTTCTTCACTCTCAGCTCTCTCGCCTCCCCCTCCTCTCTCCTCACCTCTCGCTGAACTCCCGCAATGGCTCTTCGATTCGTTGATAACAGCAGCGAATGATGGTCGACCACTCGCCGGAGTCGGCCGGGCCTCTCGGTCCGACTCGAGTCACACTTGACTTGAATCCGGGCAACTGCGCGTCACACTATGATCCGGCGTCGGATTCTTTCGGAGAATCGTGACTGAGGCCCGGGTCACCCCAGTGGGGCCCGCCCCAGCGGTCCTCGCCGTGACGGTGCCAGACGAGATCATTGCTGCGCCGGCCTACAGAAGCCGAGTCTGAACTTGGAAGTCACGGGCTGGCTGACGGGCCCTGATGTCATCATCGCTAAAAATCAGGTGCATGATGACGGTGCGGCTCCTAAGTGGCTGATGCCGCAGCCTATAATGAGTTATAACTTACCGGCAGTGAGCCCCTCGGGTGGTCAACGGGGCAGATCATCGGGCGTGCCGTCTACGGTAGTGGGGGAGTCGATCGGATGGACCTCACGGTCTCATATCTCAGTCTTAATGGCATCACTTCGTGAGAGCCTTTTAGCTCCTCGGCGACGTGTACTGTCCTTTAGCTCCTCCTCCCAGTCAACCCACCCACCCCCTCCCTCCCCCCGCTGCCGACCTGGTGACACGCTACACCTACTTCACCTCTCCTAGTCAATTCGTGCAAGAGGACCCCCACGTTCCTAGTAAAAAGTATCCAGAAGGTACGACCCCTCCCTCCACCACCCTTACCACCCCCTACTCTCATGTTCTACGGTTGGTTGTATCCCTTTTTCATTATCTTGTCAGCACAAAAAAGAACAGAAATGGTGACCCCCACCCCAACTCCCTCACCCCTCACTGTAGTTTTATGGACCCCTGAATTTCCACTAAAGATACCCGTACTCTTCCCCTTGAAGCGACCCCCTTGAATGTTGTGACCCCCCTTTTCAGCCTGTAAGCTTGTTTTCCACCTGCCATGCCGCACTCCTCCGCCCCCCCCAGATCGAGACACATCCCGGTTGTCATCCGCTCCGTCCAACTTCCCTTTTGCTCCGCAACCCTCCTCGCATCTAAAGCTAGCTATCAGACCCCCCAGGATATCTCTCCTGCTAACCTCCCTCCTCCCCTCCCTCAACAGTCTTCCGGCCTGCGGTTTATAGTTGACGCCATTGCCTTCCACGTGCTTGACAGTGGGATTAGAATAGGTTCTTTCAATCGAAGTTTGCAAAGTGTCCATATCTTCTGGACGACTGTTAGCATTCTATCTGTACAGAAAATGTCTTATGTGTCATGCAAGCAGAAAAACCCTGCCAAAAGCAAGATAACGCATCCCAACATTGCTGATTTGTATTTCTACGATGAGTTGAAACGCACAGGCGTCATTAAGGATGTGGTTCGAAGTCTAAGGAAATCGAAACTAATGAGGATCAAGCCTGTCGTACAATCACATCCGCCTCCATCGAATCCTCGAATCCAGAAACGACATTCGGTTGCCATCATGGCCAGCAACGAAATGGATCCTTCAAAGAGCGCTGAAAGGAGCAAGATGCTGAAGAGGAGAAGCTGTGTCTACTGCCCAGTGGGCTCATCAAACAGGAGGTCATCCTTACAGTCGTACATCAATCCTTTGAAGAAACCAACGGGTGTGACGTACATCCCACCCAGGCCTTCTCCATCCAACATACAGCGTGTTTCTCAGCAGAGAAGTTGGCGCGTCTCGAGCCCGCGCACGTTGATTGCAAACTGTTCATTTTCACCGCTCATGTTTACGGATGCAGCCTACCTGTTGCTGGATATGAAGTGATCTCATTCCTCCAAAACCAGCTCTGCTTGTTCCATACTGTAATTCACTCTACTTTTTTGAAATGTAATTTTCCTCCGTTCGGAAGGTTGTCATTGTGATAACAAAAATAAATGCTTGAAAAGTTGCTGCAACTAAGTAAGGCTTGATCTCAAATGAATCGCACCATCAGCAGTGACACATTCCAAGATAAGGGAGTTGAAAAGTTCAGATTGAGAATGGTATCTTGTCCTTCCTATCTCTCGGTTTGCGAACTTTTAGCGCCTACTTTGCCAAACGCGCAATAGCCCTGTTTGAATGGTAAGACCACTTGCGCACGCACAAGGCATGCATTACCTGTGCCCAATATCTCGTCGGCAGAAGCCTTGAGGCCAGTCAATCGCCTGCTAGCACGTAAGGATGGGAAGCATGACAGGCAGGCACAGCATACATCAACAGCCTTGTATGCCAAAGTTTGAGCTTCGAGTACATCATTGCCAAGGCTAGCCACTCCCAAAACACGCCCTCCCGTTGACACAAGCTGGAAGAAGAGTTTAAACAACGGCAGGCATAGATAAAATTAACAACCTGATCGCCCTTCATCCCGGTCCCAGCATGGAAAACGACGACCTAGAAACACAAACATCAACATTGCCGCCTTGAAGGACGAAGGATCATACATCCTTCATGGCATCTGCAGCAGCAACGTTGTTGATAGGTGTGTCTTTTGCGTAACTTCCTGCAAGCATCAAAGATGTTTTAGGAATTCTCTATTTTGTGCAAGAGCATGGTATGCATGATATGCACCTGGATAGCCCTTTGCTGCCATGACGACGACCATAGCAGTGCGCGGGTCCCACTCGAGAGGCGGCATCGTGCTGAAAGATAATTAGCGTGTGAAAAGATGGACCAAGAAAACCTGAAGCTGCCCTCTGCGGCGAGAATCAGAGTCTTCAGAAGATCAGATTTCATTCTCATCATGACCTGCAATGAAAATAAGTCACATAAATCCGCTAGAGCTATTCAATTCATACTGTCTGACACTCTGGATCGCCAAAGCGAACATTGTGCTCCAAAACCTGATTTTGGGTCAGTTGCCCAGTTGACGGCAGAGGAAGTTGAGCACCTTGATTTGACCATTTTTGATCATAAGACCAGCAAACAAAACACCCTGAAAATATTCGAATGATCCATAGAAACTTTCCCGCGTCTTGCAATACCTTGAAAGGTTTCCCCTCTGCCTTCATTCCCTTGACAGTAGGTATCATCACTTCATCCATGATCTATTGACGCTTGTTAATACAATCCTTACAATCCATCTGACACAAATTGACCTTTTGCTCCATTTCAGGAGTCAATACAGGCGCAGGAGAATAGGCGCCCATGCCGCCAGTGTTTGGTCCCTTGTCCCCGTCATAGACCTGCTTGTGGTCCTGTGCACCTATGGCAAAAATTGACGACACATTGAATATGAAAACATGCAGATGATAACCAGCAACAGGGATTGCAGTTTCTCCATCACAAAGGGCGAAATAAGAAGCTTCTTCCCCCTCAAGCAATTCTTCGATAACAACCTGACATAGGGCTCAGGTTGAAAGTTTCAACGAGTGTTCCTTTGACCTCATTCCCAGAATCCTTGAAGATCTTTGAGACCATGATTTCGTCGATCGCTTGCATCGCTTCTTCTTTTGTCTGTGCAAACGATTATCGCCTGCTTACACCTCGAATAGTCATTACATAGCAAAGGATCACTCCTTTTCCTGCGCAAAGCCCGCTAGCTTTAACGACAATTGGAACTCCTGAAGGGGGTTCATCATGAAAAGAGCAGAGTTTTTTGCCGCAAACACACCCTGTTTCTCGATGTATGCCTTTGCTTCATCTGGTGATGTCGTCCTGATGTATGAAGCTGTTGGTACCTGAGGAGATAGTTCAACGATTACACTTTCAACACAGGGTTTGAATGCGCAGGATGTATGCAAATAGATTCCGAGGAGGGGTAAATGGAGGAAATATCATACGACTCGGGACAACTCAACGACGAGTCCTTACATTGTACTTGTGGAGGATGTCTTTCATGAAAGCTTTGCTGTTCTCGAGCTCTGCTGCTTCTTTGTTTGGACCAAATGCCAGAATCCCGGCATCGGATAAAGCATCAACAACACCCTTTGTGAGAGGATCTTCTGGTCCAACCACAACGAAGTCGATCTTCTGCTCTTTACACCATTCGACAACCTGGCAGGAGAGTCAGATAGCACACCAGATCGAGGTTGAAGAACCTTGGGGACGTCGGTGACTGAGATACCAGAAACACACTCTGCAACAGACGCAATGCCAGCATTGCCTGGAAGACAGAACAGCTTTTCGAGGATAGGAGACTGCTTGAGTTTCCAGCAAATCGAATGTTCTATCCCAAAAAACGAAATCAGCGGCGCCCAGCACTACTGCTTGATCCCAGAAAAAGACCATCCCGACACCAAACGATACCCCTGATATGAATCTAACGGCTTCCTCCTGTTGAATTCCTTCCTTCATCTTGCCTAACATTTTCACCACTCCACAAATACTTCAACATGAGAAAAGCGCACAAAACGTTTCTGTATCCCTCTCTTGATACCAGGGACTGCCTATAAATGCAACTACTCCAAGAAGAGAACGAAAGGGGAACAGGAGCAATGGAGGTAGCATGCATCTTCATGGTACAACAGACGATCGTGCCCATGTTCTCCTCACCTCTTCCGCCGCTCCCCAGCACCAACACGCGGACCTTCTCCTTCTCAGACAACGACATCCTAGATGCGCTCCTTTCGCCCATCCACCACCCCCTACCCCTTCCGCACCAACCATGTAACCCTACCCCTCCACCCTCCCACCTACACTGTCTAATAACCCCTTCTTCTCCCATGATCTACCCCCCTTAATCTCTCCTGACATAGAGTGTGTACTACCCCCACCTGGTCAATTCAACTAAGACTAAGGAAGGGGTCGTTGGCCTCGTGTGGGCCTAAATTAAGACATAGTCACAATAGTTTGGTAATACCATAGGAAAACTTCAAAGAGTTCCAAAGTTCTAAATACGCACCAACCCGACTGATCGAAAACTTGACGCAGAAGTCTTCATAGTTGTCAAAGTTGCAAACTTGGTTCTCATTTTAAGCCCACCTGGATCGATCCACCTTCTTTTTTCTTTTTTAGAAACGGAGTGTAACGCTGTCTAGGCGTTACATTTCAGTTACATTTTAGTGGGTCTATTTCAGGGCGACCCCGTTCATGCTGTAATGGAGGGTCGACAACATCAACAATTGTAAGTGAAGGGAGGAGGGGAGGAGGGGAGAAGGAGAGTAGAAGGATAGGAAGTGATGTCAAGGACAAGAGGCGGAGAAGATGATGGAGGGGAAACATCTCGGAGGCAAGGAGAATGGAACGGCGACGAGGCCGATCTATATTACTGAGGGAACGTGCGATCTCATGAGATTGTAACGAATGAGGGATGTCTGGAATATATTGAAAACGAGATGGTGATCTTAAAGGGACCATGAGATATGAGATAAACTTACATTCAAACATGTTGTTTTTGTGTGTTTCCTGTCCGAACGTGATGCAACTGAACGAACTATGCACGATGACGGTGTGATGTCCTTTGGCCCACATTTACAATGGTTTTGTGAGTTCTATGATCAGAGTGCTAACGAATAGTTCTACAGAGTTTGTGCACACTCGCCTCTAAGGCCTCATAAGAAGCACGTGGCTTTACGTAATCCTTCCAACCTGTCGGTTGTACCACTAACTTGGATGCAGGCATTGCAACGGCGGTCACATGCTGCATCGCCATCATCGCCCTCTCATTCTCATTCCAAGGCGACGACAATGCGACTGATTCTTCCTTGGAGGAGGTCTGACATGGTCGTTGTCGATACATTGAATGTTGATCCGCTTCCCAGATCAACTCCACCGGCGTCGCCTCGCCGCTCCCCGCAGACCCGCTATGGGCACAGGCGAAGGGGGAGCAAGATGGGACTGTCCCTCTGCCGGGTACTCAGCCTTTAGGTCGTTGATCGTGGGAGGAGAAAGCAGAGGGTAGTGACGAAGACGGCAGGAGAAAGTCATCTGACCGACAGCCAAAAACAGCTGATTGACGAGGTGAACATTTCTTGCCGGGGCCCGCGGCGACTGACCCAGTCGTGCGCAGGCCAAGAAGATCCAGGAGGAGGGCATGTTGAACATCACGAACAACGTGTCTCTGGTGAGCAAACCTGCCTGACTGGGTATCGTGGTTGACTTTGGAGCAGACGATGCCCGATTCCGTCAAAAAGTGAATGGTGTTCGTTCTCTGTTCCGGGGTCTCATAGTATTCAGGTGGCTCGAGGACATGCAGAAGGCGCTGTCGGATGAGAACGTGAGGCTGAACCCGAACATCACAGTGAGTCAGCCTGAGAGGATGTTGGTGTTGCTGACTTCTGTCATGGTGGGGCAGGGGCTGGTTGCGTCGATCCCACGTGACATCATCGCCTCTGCGAAGCAAGCGGAAGATGAGATGAACATGGAGGACGCGACTCCTTGAGCACCTGGAAGCTGATGCGCCTGCCGCAGAACAACGACATGGCTTCCTCCCTCCCTCTGCATTTTCTTTGTTGATACCTCTGTACCTTACGACCTGTAAATGAACTTGCAACCACGTGTGTCTGTCGCATGCCCCGTCCCTCCCTCAGCTGCTCTGCTGCTGTCATCGTGGATGATTCATTCCTGCGACCAGACGCTCTCCTCTTGTGCCTCCCTCCCCCATCTCCCTGGTAAATCCTCATACAGCACGCAAGGGGCGCATCCCGCATGTGCTCCCCAGTGTGCTTCCAGGTCGAGCATGGTGTAGAGGAGGAAGCGCAGCTCCAGGATGGGCAGAGGGGAAGCGAGAGGGAGGAGGAGAGAGAGTTTCCTTGAGTGAAGCAAGGTGGGGGGGGGGGGCTCAAGATGCGATCAACGGTGAGCACCTCGTCCCTCCTGGCGACGATCATGGTGGGAATGTTCTCACCCGCCTCCCTGTCTCCCTCGTTGAACCCTTTGGGTCCCCTCGTGAGCGATTGGAAGAACCCTACGGCAGCCTGCAGCCAGGACAATGCTGGCAACAAGCTGAAGGAGCGTCAGATGTTCTTGAGCTGCATGGAGGCGGGAAAGCATGCAGTGGCAAAGGACGACTTGCATGCCGCGTTGAAACATTTCTCCGAGGCATGCGAGATCAATCCGGCGATCGCTGAATCGCACAACAACCTTGGAAACGTTCTTATCGAGTTGGGGGAGGTGACATTACTGCGCCCTTGCCTTCCTTACTGCCCGCACTTCCCTTCTCGGCAACTCCAGATCCCCCCCTCAACCTCCAACTCCCGTTTTCTTCCTCAAACTTGCACAGGTGGAGCGAGCTATCGAGTGCTACGGCAGGGCCTTGGAGGTGAACCCGAAGCTCTTCAATGTCTGTTTTCCGCCGCTGCGATCGGTTGCTCACTTTGTTTCAGGCACACTTCAACCTGGCAACAGTCTGGCATGCCAAGGCGACCAAGATCCGAACGGCGGAAGGAAGGTGGGGGCCGATATCCATCGATCATTGGAAGAAGGCAAGGAGATGTTACTTGCAAGCACTCCAGTGCAGGTGCAACTGAAAACTGCAATGACAACTCGCCCTGCGCTTTGTTGATCATCATTTTCTCAGCCCAGACAACCAGGATTGTCAATACAACCTTGCGAACTTGTACAGTGAGAGAGGGTTCTCGCGGCAGGCGTTGGAGTTGTATGGGAAGTAATGCTGCCCATGTTGACGTCAAGCCCGATGGGTGACATGATCGTCTGCCTGCCGCAGGTCTGCCTTTGCAGATGACTCCATCGACTCTCAAAGTCTTGTCAACATGGGGGTAGCGGCGTTCAACGCCGGACACCTTCAGGCTGCGGAGCAATGCTTTAGACGAGCCATCTACAATGATCCAAAGTAGTTGCATTCTCTCTCGCAAATTTGCGGCTGTTGATGGCCACCCAGGTGTGAGCAAGCTACTATGAATCTTGCCTTATGCATCGTGGGGAAAGGACTGCAAAAGTGGCACGTAGGACAGGCCAAGGTTGGTCCCTAGCAAAGCACGATATTTGGGTTTTTGAAGAGCTTGCTTTGCTAGGAGGCCACCGTCGCCTTCCACGAGTGCGCTGCTCTTGTTCCTGTTCCGTCGAAGGGCTCGCATGCTGTGCCTCGATATCTCGCTTGGTCATGTGCATGTGCTGTCGCCATCAGTTGGTCGGAGCAGGCGACTTCTAACTCCACCTCGACGGATTGGATCCTTGATCGAGCTTTCCTCGCGCTTGGGATGGATCGAGAATCAGGAGCCGAAAATGGGAGGGAGACCTTAGATGCAGCTCTCCTCCTGTTTCTCTGTGGGATGAAGGAGGAAAGTAAAGCTATCTTGCGACGAAGCAATGGGGTAGATCGAGATCGGCAAGGACAGGAGCTAGCGATCGCCGCACTTTCCTTCTGGGGAAAGTTTGGTCGGCTCATCGAGCAATGCGACAAGGCAGAACTGGTGATGATGTAAGTCATGTTGACGTCGCTGACGGAGAGGTGAGGGCAGCTGAGGGCCTTGACCTTCTGCGGGAAGGACGACATCCTCCATCCCACTGTGTTGCTGACCGGCAACATGGACTACCAGTCGCTTGTCACCAGCCTTGACAGCCTGCGTGACTCGCAAGCCGCACCGAATAGTGTGATCAGAGGATGGCTCCTACAGAAAGCAGGTAACCCAGCTGGCGTCCTGCTAGCACTCAGCTCACCAGCAATCAGATCCGTTCGCCCGTCCCCTCATGAGATTCCTCAAGAGTCTGGAGCCTTCCAAGGTGATTGATCTCTGTCTTGCTGCTCCTGCGGAATAGGCGTGAAGATGAGGCAGGTGGGAAGGGAACTGCTGGGGGCAACAGAATACATCGTGAAGGGCACCATATTTGGCGACAGGCCTCCCCACCCGAACCTGAAGCGGGCGTGTCGGGTCATCTTCTTCGTGCTTGTCCTGGAAGGACAAGGGTGGTTCATCTTCGACGAGGGGTTCGTGCTCAAGGACGAGGCTGTGAAGGTATGTCAGAACTTGAATCAAGACCATGAGGAGAAGCCTGTTGGAGGAGACGTGACTCTTCAAAGAGGGGAGGGACCAGTGACTGAAGGGGAAGAGAGCGAGGAGGAAAGAGAATTGAAGAATATGGAAGCAGCTGAAGGAAACATTGAAGATGAGATTGATCTTGCATCGAACAGTCTCAAGGATTCCTGGTGTAGCGTGTGGGATCAAATGGAAGAGCAGGTGAAGGAGATGAGAGCGAGCATGGAGATGTATCAGAGCGAACTTGGGGACCCAGAGGCTGCAGCAAGGCGCGATGTCCCCCTCCAGCTGCTTCAGTTTCAGTTTGAAGTCGCGAGGCTCGAGGCTCCTCTCGACAAGACCTCATCTTCTCCACGCTTGCCCCTTGACGTCAACCAGGTTCATAACCATCTTAGCAGCCTTTCTTTCTGAGTTGATGCGAAGGAAAAGATGCAAGTTAAGCTGCATGACGTCATCAGCGGAGTGGATTGGCAGAGCTTCTTCCATGCTCTCCCGTTGGAACACAGAGGTACGAGCATCATCCGCTGTTCTTTCCTCTTCATCACGTGTTTGCAAGATGTTGCGGATTCTTTGGTTTACGATGCCATCATGATGCTGATAATGGGAAACGAATACTCTTCAACTCATTTTATTCGAATGGACACAAGCAATACATGATTACACCAAGACGTACCTCCTCTCTAGTACACAATAATCAACATCTCCAGCAGCAACAGTGACATCCTACTCCAACCATTCTATCAAAGCTTCCCTGTCCATCTCCTCCAGCCATGCATGCCCCCTGAGCTCGTGGGCCTCGGGCCGGCAAGAAGCATCTCGAGACAAGCACTTAGATATGAACTCAGCCATGGCTGGCTCGTCTGACCGAATCTGCGTAGAGGGGCATGCACCAGATGTGGCGAAGTCTAGCAGGTCCCAGAAGTGAAGGCACTTCTCCCCCGGGAACGACAAGGGAAACCTTCCCATGGCTGCTTCAGCAACGACAATGCCGAGGCTCCATACGTCAGCCTTCTGACTGTATCTGTCGCCTACCAACCTCTCAGGGGACATGTACGCCAACGTTCCTATCCATCTCTCGTCTTCACATGTGCCCTCCCCGCTAGAGGTCGGGGGCTCCATTGCCAGGACTTGCTGCACGGTCGAACAGATACCGAGGTCTCCTAGTTTGACTCCTCCTGCGGACGAGATGAGAATGTTCCCTGGCTTGACATCCCTGTGTATCAGCCCCAGCGTGCCGTGCAAGAACTCGAGGCTCGAGAGGACGTCGCAGGCAACCGCTGCCATCACTCGCCCCGGGACCTCCCTGCCTGAGTTCCTCTGCCTTTTGAGATGATCCCGCAGCGAGCCTCTGTCCATGAGCTCCATGACCACAAGGAAGCAACCCTCAGCATAGAAGACCTCATAGCATGAGACCAGGTTGGGGTGATGCGTTCCTATGCCATACATCCGAAGAACCTCGCGCAGCACCGTCTGCTTGTCATTTTTGTCCGTGTGCATGGAAATCTGCAGCAAGGTAAGTCAAGTTATGTTGTGTGAGCGGGCACAGGAGTTTAACCTCTTTCATCGCCAAGTCTTTGCCGGTAGTCTTGTCTACGCAACGCCATACCACAGAGCTGCATCCAGCTCCGACTTTGGACACTTTGACAAGCCGTTGGAAATCGAACTCTCGAGGAAACGGGCGACGAGACGTGTCGCTTCTCGATGCTCTTTGGTGCGCTTCGTGTTGTATTTCTTCCTGCGCAAGACGATCCTTTCCTGTCGTTAGCGCTTCCATCCCTTCCGCCACAGATTCACAACCCCCGCTGGTGGAAGCGACAGAAAGCGAGTCTTCGTTAGACCTCATGGCGAACTCCTGGGAGGCCTTGCGGATCGCTTGAAGGAAAGAGATCCACCTTCCGTCGTCCCATCTCGAATGGATGCCTTGCTCATCGATTGCGATATCTTCTGCTAGAAAGCGCTGTTCCTTCCTGCAGGGCATGCAATAGCATCTGCACTCTGAGTCAACATCACCAATTCGGCACCTCCCTCAGCATCACCTCCCGTCGCACAGGTCAGGCACGTCGATGCAAGCGCGCCAAGAGCTCGAGCACTTGCTACCTTTGAGTTGCGACGCTGCTTTCCTCTGACGGCAAGACAGGAAGTCTGCCACTCTAATCGGCAACATACCTTCACCAACACGTACACGTGTAGCAATCAGTCGCGATCATCCCTCGAACCAGAGGCTGAGCAAGGAAGGAGTCGACACAAGTCTCCCTGAGGAGAGGCTGGTGGAGCAGGAGACGGAAGCATCGCCGCTCTCACACAAGAGATTTGTTACTACCGCCGTCTTCAGTCGCTATTCCGGTCGGAGCCACCCCTACCATCGATTAGAGCCTGTCTTACACCTCAGACGGTACCCCTACTAGATAAAAATAGGGGTTATCACGGGTACTAGTCTGCTTCAGGTGCCACTGTGGAGGGGGTCCGATCCCCGGTCGCACAAGGGGTTCTGACGTGGTCCAATGAGATGAGAGACTCTCGGAGGGGGGTAGGGTGGGGGGAACAGAAACTGACAATTCGAAGCAAGTTGCCGCTGATACTTCGGAACTTTCGGAACCGTTACAGTACTCCTAGAAGAGAGTAACAGCCACGACCGGCACTGCAGGGCCCCAGTGGCCGGGCCCGCCGCTGACTCGGTGACTCGCCGGTCACTGTCACACGGTACGGTGCAATGTGTGAACAATCACTGAGGCGGGTTGGCTGAATTTCAAAAGTTTGACGCGCAGGAAAACTGAGAATGTGGCAAAGGAGCCTGAGCCTGTAGCAGACGCTGGTCAACTGGTTCTCTAACTGAGTTGAGTCATGAGAGCGGCAAAGCAGCTTGGGAAGAAGCTTCGAAGCTTCAAGCCTCAGCATGCAACACGCAGCTCCAAAGAGGATTCAGACAGCTCTGATGACTCTCACTCAGCCGTGTTTGACACTCCTCGTGCCCCAACAACTGCGGAGCAAATGAAAAGCCAAGTCGAGAAACTTCAGCAGCACGATGCTGCAAGTGCAGCCAAGGTCTGCATGGACAGTCTGAAAGATATCAGAAACGACATGGAGCTGGAAGAGAGGTTTCGAGAGAGTATCCAGATGTGGAAGTCGTCTGTTCCTTCAGCTACTGATTGTGCGGTGGCTGTGATGATTAATGGTGAGAGGCTTGCTACACCCAAGGCCATGACCTGAGTTGCTTGCAGCCCCGCACGATTTCATCATCGGTGACACCTTGAAAGTGACCTGCGCCGTCCGATTTCTACTGGACGAGCACCGAGTACCAAGTGACGAAGACTGGCTTGGGCTTTACCCGGATCTCTCCTCCATTCGAAGGCTGGTACATGATGGCTGAGATGCTCTCCTGCGACTGACACACGTTCATCGCAAGCTCAAAGGCCAAGTTCTCAAGGACGTGGACCTGCGATCTGTACCGGACCTCGGTCTGATCGCCAAGATCCCCATGGCGCGGGTACCTTCCTGATCCCTTGCGCTCCTCCTGTTGATCTCTTGACTAGTCAAACCTGGCGGAGCTCTCATTCCCCTCCGACGCCCTCCATCAACCGGCACCTCCGGGAGTATTCGAGGTCGAACTGACCTCACATCATTGCCTCCCTGCCCATGGTCGCTTGCAGGTGCGGTATTACATGAAAGGGAATCCTGTTCCGTTCTCGGTGTCAAACCCGATCTGCTCCATGTGGCCTGAAGCCAAGGTAGAGCACTGAGAGCATGCGCTGCAAGGTCTTGATTCTTCTCATTACCTTTTCAGCTCTCCTGTGAGACGGAACTTCTTCCTGGAAACGTTTTAAGAGTCGACTATGAGGTGAATTGCGTACACGACAGAGACGATCATTCGATCGAGCTATGGTGAGATCATCAATTGAGATACACGGCCCGATAGAACAAGTTTTATGCATCTTTGATTGCAGACAATAGAGAGTGGAAATGAAGCTTGTTGTCAGGGCTCTGGATTTGGCTCCTTGGCAATCATCGGAGCATAAGGAAATTTTTGAAGACGATCTCGTCGGATCGTTCGTCTCCTCCATTCCTGTCCCAGCAGGTCTGAGTGATTCAGAGGGACTGATCCTGATTTGGACAAAGATGGATAACACTGGTGCTGCAGGGAGTCAGCGGGGGAAGGTTGTCTTCGACAACGACAACATCATTCCAGGGAGGTCAGCAATTGATTTCTCTCACATAAACTTGCTGATCCTTGTCGTTGGGCCATTCAGATACTTCTATGTCTACCGTCTGAACTCAGAGTTCAGCAACGACGATCGAGGCCTGCTCATCGCACGAAGCCCTCTCTGCCTGCTGAGAGTTTCACTTCCTGTCGAGAAGGTCTTCCGCTGTGATCAGATCCCTTGCTGTTGACTAGTCAGCATCCCTCAGCACAGAGTCTCTGTTAGAGTGTTCCACATCTACATCGCGGCGAATGCTGGGCCAGAAATGGAGAAAGAGCGAACGGTAGGAGCAGGGGGAGGCGATGGACCTTGCCGGGTAGTCAAGCAGTGCATGAGATTGACAAGGCAGCAGGAGATGGACGAAGTTGTGTTGAGCAACATCCGACAAGAATGTGCGTATGTGGGATGGGAGGTGAATGTCATGGATCTGCGAGCCTCCATTCACGACGATAGCGATCCAAGGTGTGGAAATATCGCCTTCTTCTTGTCCCTTGCTCTAGCGTCCTGCCCTGCCCATTTCTGCCGTATCCTGCCTTCCTCACTTTCTCTGGCGACCCCATTTTCCTCACACTGTTGGAGGTTGCTTGGCCTGTGCCTGCAGTCGCTGGAGAGCAGCAGGAACGGAGCATTTGTCTGTCTTCTTGGTGAAAAGTACGGAGATGTGCTCTCAGAGGTCAGAAGCTTTTCCACCTGACCATTTGCTTTCTCCTGACGTGGGCTCTGTCATCAGATCCCAAGGGAGTCGTCAAGCTGTCTGCGAGAACGACCTTGGATTCGCAATATCTGCAATCCTGTCTTGTCCTCGTCCTCCAACACTAAGATGGCTGCAAGCGTCCTGGAAGTCGAGTGCACGTATGTGATGCAGATGACAGCTCCTGCTTCCCTCCTCCTCCTCCTCCTCCTCCTCCTCCTCCTGCTTCCTTCTTCCTCTTCCTCTTCCTCTTCCTCTTCCTCTTTCTCGCCTCTCGATACTGCTCCCCTTCCCCTTGCCCATTTTTGGGTCTTATGCGCTAAACTCAGGACTGCATTCCTCCTTTGTCCGAGTGAGATGCCCGGAGCGCTATTTTATTTCCGTGACCCGCAGTACGCATTTCAGAACCAGAAGGTCCTCGCTATCTTTTCAATTCTTTCGCGCATTTCTCTCTATCTCACATGTTTCTGTTGTTCAAACATCCAATCCGTGGATGCCTCAGTCACTTTCAACTCTCCTCTTGCTGGATTGCGCTCTTGTTGAATTTGGTACAGGGGAGCAGCGACACCGACTTCCTGGAGCCGATTCATCGACGAGCCGTTCGATCGGCTGCCATGGATGTGAGTGAAGCATCGCTGAACTGGACAATACGATGGAAAGGAGGAAAGAGTTGAAATCTCGCAAAGTCGAGAAGAGAGAAAACATGAGAGATAAGAGAGTAGAAAGAGAATATGAGCAAAGCTTCATCTGATCAAAATTTTGCCATGCACAGAATCTCAAGGGTCGGCTCGAATCAGTCAATGCTGGGAACCACGTTCGAAGATACAAGAATCCGAAAGATCTCGGAAAGATCGTATTGAAGGTAATCGAGATGATAGATATGACATTTGCGGATACAATATTGGCGGTTGTTGTTGTTGTTTGAATGTTCAGTCATGTCGATATGGCGATGGTGAAGGAGGCCAGCGTGATGGCGTCCGTGTAGCCACGCAGCAGAAAACGACCACAAGTTGATGACCAATCTGCCAGGACTTGATCGAAACTTTCAATCGTGTGCATACGAGCGGTTCCAAGAGGAGAATGGGCTCCATCTTCCGCGCCTCCAAGAGAGGAAGCATGCAAGATCTCAACGGGAGCTTCTCCGCAGTGGAAACCAATACACAGAAGAACGCGTCTAGGAGGAGGGAGAGTGTCGTTGCGATCCTCAAGTCCCGGCTCCCCCTGGACTATGCGCGGGGTTCGGTGTCGATCGAGGAGGCCAGGAGCATGCTCCATCGCTTCAACGATGACTTGAGGGATTACGATATCGAGCTCTTTCTTTCTCACCATGTAGACTCCAAGGGAGTGGCGGCTCAGCCCCGTTCGTCGCTCACCATCCCATATGACGAATTTTTGATCGGTATGCTCCTTCTACGTAGCGGAAAGCTCAAGTCCAGGGTACACTTTTCCACCTCAAGCAACAATCACCCCAACGGTCAGAGCGATGCTGAAGGCAGCAAGACAGATTCATCCCAGGAGGCTCAGGGAGGCGACGATGAATCACAAGTGAAACCTACCGACACCAAAGTTCATGCAGCCGACGACGAGGAGGGTGAACTGGCTCTTCAGAATGTGGAGGAAAAGTCGCTCGCTCTCATGCAGAGCATCCTTCTGGAATGGAGCTCGGAGTTCGAGGGGGCGATAGACATGCTGTTCTTCCTGGCGCTGACCAGGGACGGCCTCCTGCAGACTGAACTGCGAGATGTGATGAGGAGGATCAGCCCAAGTCTCCTTTCAGCAACTTTCTACATCCCTCTTCGAGACGCCCTCAACTTGTTCTGCTTCGACGACCACGGAGTCATCCGCTTCCGTCACTCTATCGTGCGCCAGGGCGTCGAGATGGTGAGAGCTGACGTCTGCTGGCAAGTGGAACTGACGGCACTCTCAGATCATCTTCAACTCTATCAAGAACATCCAACAAGCAACTCAGGTGGGCCGCACGCTCAGCCCAGCTGACGATGACAACATTAAGCTGCTTGTCCGCATCTGCCGCGTGTTCCACGTGGAGGAGATTCCAGAGGAGATGCGGCCGGATGAGATCCTCGAGATTTTGTCGACCATCTTCCTCCATGGCAGCAGCAACTTCAAGGCGGCCAGTCGCTCCAATCCGCTTCCTCTCAATCCAGTCGAGAAGCGGAAGCTTCAGTACCAGAACCTCGTCTCGGGGATGGAGCTCGTGCACAAGTCACTCTGCTACTGCCTGCTGTCCTCTCAGGGCCAGGAGAAGAGTGAAACTCCCTGGATGATCTCCCGCAAGCCTTCGGCAGATCGGGAGCCGTCGAGAGAGAACCTGGCAGCTCCGGCAGCTCCAGAGGTCCTGCCGAACCCACTCCTCCATCTCATCTCGCTCGCGGAGTTTCTGGACCAGCTTGAGATCTCTCGCAGAAAGGTCGTCGAGCTTCCTTTCCTCCTCTATCGCCTCAAGATCTGGAAGAAGCTTCACGTCATCCTTCAGTCGCTGCCCTACCTCGAGTACTTCATCACATTCCCTGCCCTCAGGCAAGACTACGGCAAATATTGGAGAGTGTGTACGGGGACAGGCCTGAGGAAGATCTATGAGGACGAGGAGTCAACGAGGAGCGAGGTTCACTCGAGCTCGCATGACCATCCTTTCTTCGGTATCCAGGAGGACACCGTTCCTCCCACATGTCAAGTGGACGACATGATCGAAGGCATTCGCGACTCGTTCGAGAAGATCTTCGGCCCTTCCTCAAAGTTTCAGTCAGGCGTGCGGGTGTTTGCGAGCGAGGATGAGAAGAGAGAGCAGAAGACTATCATGAACATTGCTTGTCAGATAGGCATCTTCCTTTGCGCTTGCGCTGCTCCTGTAAAGCAGGAAAAGCCTGTGGTGGTTGAACGACTCATTATCAATGTGGTGGAGGCTAAAGGCCTTCCCAAGATGGATCTGGGCACAACAGGAACGGTAAAATTCCTCGTTCCTCCGCTGCCTCCACTGCTGCCTCTCCTCTTGCTCTGTCGCGAATGCCCTCGCCTCCTCCCCAGTGCACTCCTTGGTTGACCGATGGTTGCAGGTGGACCCATACGTCATCGTCAAGTGTCATGACAAGGAGTTCAGAACCAAAGTCAAGCGAGGAAACTACTCGCCCATCTGGAACGAGTCCTTTACATACAAGGGCATCCGGCCCGAGCATGCGGTCCGCTTCGAAGTCTGGGATTGGGATGCGGGCGAGGAGGACAACCACGACTTCATCGGGGCTTTCGAGATCCTGACGCAAGATGTGATCGAGGCTCTAGAGCATCAGCTGGCGTTGGACGAGGATGACGACGAAATCGACGTGTGGTTCGACCTGCTGCCTTCGGAAGAGCATGCACACGATGTGATGGAAGGTTGTGTAGTGCTTGTGTTGTGCCTAGCCCTGCTTATAGTCGGCTGATGATCCGCTTGCAGGAGGGATGAATGTGATAGTCAAGGGCTCCGTCCGCCTGCAGTTTCGGCATGAAGTGATCGAAGACTACGATGAAGACTTGGCCATGGTGCCGCTTGCCCGGCAGATCTGCGACGCCACCCAGTCCCTGGTGTCCAACGCCCTGCAGGTCATCCTGGAGACGGAGATCGAGATGCCGACCGATCTCAGCTCTGGTCCAATACGATTCCCTCATGCCGCCAGCACCTGCGCGCTCTTGGCAGGTGACTGCCTCTTCGTCATGAGGCAGTGTCTGGAGCTCCTCCTCCAAGTCCTTCGCCATCAGAGGAAGGAGGTCGCGCTCGCCGCTCGTTTCGTGGAGAAGGCGAAGTCAGCAGCGAGGAAGCAACGCCGAGCACTTCAAGCAGCTAAGGAGAAGGCGAAGCTCATGTCGAGCACGCCAGCTCACGTCCAGCAGAGACTTCGTGAGGAGGAGAACAACAAGATCAGCCAGTTGAAGGCGAGTCAGGAGGGGGCGAGCGACACCGAGAAGTTTCTCCGGCAGAAGCTCAGCTCCATGCAAACCATCTACAACTGCAGCAAGAACGTCTGCAAGATCGTCCTCAAGAATGAATTCGTGGAGGAGCAAAGCGGAATCCTCAACTTCTTTTCTGCCGACGAGACGCCTCAGAACACAACGTCAGTCGAGCAGGCAGAGGAGGCGTTGGAGACTTTGGTAGAGATGGAGAATTTCATTCAGGAGAGCTTGCAGGTCATCGAAGAGAAGCAGGGAACCTGAGGGGGACTCATAGCCTGGCACTGTAAATCGAGAGTCACGAGTCTCGCCCTGATCTGACTGATCCGTGACTGATAAAAGCTGGCCGGCCGGGCCCGGGCCCGACTGGCCTCGACTGGCCACCGTCACTGCACTGCCACTCTCGGGCTTGATGAGGACATCTACAGGTCCTTGAGTGTATGTTGTGGTGCTGAGAGGGTGGGGGTAGTACATTGTGGGGTGGTCGCGAGGAAATTGGGGAAGAAATGCTGGGGGAGGGGGGTAGGGATATCATGTGCGTTCGATGGAAGGTGGGGTAGTTGGATGTTTGGGATGGGGAGTGTCAAGTATTGAGGGGTAGTCTGGGGTGGTCTCCATAGTGGTGGGGGGGTGGGACGCGCGATGTTGATTGCTCAGATACTGCTAGGGAATGAAGTGAAGGGGCGAGGGAGCGAGAGAACAAGAGATGAAACAAGAGGATGCTGATTGAAGAGGATTCAAGGAAGAACATACATGCAGATGTTGAAAGGTTTCATGCTCATAGATTTTGATGATAGATCTGAGCCTTCGCAAAGCAAAGATACGTTCCAAAGAAGAAATTAGACCTCGCCTGGGATGTAGTTGAAGCAAACACGGCGATAGATGCAACCATCTAATATCCGACTTGATATGTAGGGAGTCGGAACTCCATACGTAGATCTCAGATAAAGACCAAAGGATATTGTCAAACTAAGGATGAGAGATGTCAATTTTGTTCTTTTTGGGCCCTAATGCAGCTGAGATTTTTGCAACTGCAGGGTACAAGATGGAGGAAAGCTCAGAAGATTCGAGAGCAGGCGACGTTACAGTTCAGGAGGAGAAGAAGGAATCAGCCCCACAAGAAGCTAGTGCACTACTTTCAACAAGTTTGTTGGAGTGCCCAATTTGCCTGCAGCTCTTGGGCGAACCAGTCACGACCCCGTGCGGTCATACTTTCTGTCGCTTTTGTCTCGTCTTTGCCCTGAGGAAAACTAAAAAGAAATGCCCGGCGTGCAGGCAAGGAGTACAGTTGAGCATGATCGTGTCGCTAAACCTGTTGTTTGCTGCAGGTCGGTATGCCACATACAGGCTGAGATGCATGCAGAAAACATAACCATTGTAAATATCTTGAGGAACTGCTTCCCCGATCAATATCAGGCCAGAATCGACGAGGTAGGCTTGTGAAAGATGAGGAACGGCTTGTAGTCAAAAGGCTTACTTGTTGATTTTTCCAGCTGCAACACGAAAGAAATGCGTGGGAAAACATTCTTCCGATCTTCTTCTACAACGACACCTTGTACCCGTACTCACCTCTTGTACTACATCTCTTCGAACCTCGATATAAGGTCTGCAAATATTGATCTGTGGTGAGCACTCCTGAAGGCTGTTTCCAGATTATGATCAAGCGAATCGTCCAGGCGTCTCGCAAATTTGCTTACCTCCCGTGCATGCATTCGTACCAGGTCAACCATGGACATGTGCCCATGACTTGAATGCTGATGATCGTTTACAGGCAAGTGTGGGAGATGTCGGAGTGATCGCTGAGCTGTCGGAGGTGGAATTCCTTCCTGATGGGCGTGCGCATGTTCAGGTGAGGAACCTTGCCAGACAGCTGGCTGGTTTGTTCCTCTTGTGAACTGTTGCTGCAGGCAAAGTGCCGAGATCGTTTTCGGATTCTGGACACATGGGTCGAGGATGGAACACAAGGACTGCACTGGTGCAAGGTCAGCTGAGCCGACGCATGTTGTCGTGTGCAGTTGACCTCAGGCGGGCAGGTTGAGATCATCCATGACGAGCCAGTGGAATCTCATGCCGACGTCCAAGTCAGCCAAGAGAACGAGAACGAGCAAGAGGATGCGGGAGATGCGAATGTCGAAGAGTCGCAGGATCAGGACGGGGCGGCCGTGCAGGCTCAGAGCACACAATCGTTGGAAGAATGTGCCAGAGAGTGCTCGCAGATGTTTGAGGCGATGATGGAGAACTTTGGTAACATGCGTTCTGACATCGATGTTGCGCATGGCCCAAAGCCAGAGAATCCCGAGGTAACCTCAAAACTTGGGTTGATCTCAGTCTCAATTGATATCCAGAAACTGTCCTTTTGGCTGGCTTCGATTCTGCCAGTGCCCTACCACCAGAAGCACAATCTATTGACTTCGAGGTCGACGATGGAGGTGAGAATTCAAAGTGCTTTAGATTCTTTGAATTGACGAAATGCCATGCAGAGACTGAATGAGCTGTTATCGATCATCCGGATGCATCAAGATCAGAGGGCGTAACGACTGAAGATCAAGTTTTGCGTTGCCATTAATGTGGAGTCAACCCGAAGTTCTAAACGTTCTTTACCCTGTCCTGTTGTTCGGTTGTAAAAAGTGATAATGTAACGGTGGTATCAAATCAAAGTTGCTTCGTGCCGCCGCAGTCGGTGCCACCGGTGACCGCCATTGCTCGGACTCCGAGTCCGATCGGCCGCGGGCCGGGGCCGGCCGGCCGCCCGGCCGACGGTCCGATCAGGCGGTCCGACCGGGTCGGTAGTGTTGTAGGTTTCCGGTTTAGTTCAGGGGAAGGCATTACAATGGCGATCGAGGAAGTGGGCGAGCGCGGGGGCCTTCGAGGGAGGATGGCGGGGAAGCTGAGGGCACTGAAGAAGAGGATGCAAGCTGATAGAATGAGCATGCCGTTCCAGCAGCAGACGAGCCTGGATGTGTTGCAGAGACTGCTCGAACAGAGAGGAAGAGAGAACGAATTCATGGAAGTGTTACAACTCTTCCCTGATCTGACCTTGTCTGAGAAGCTTCAGATGAACAGGTTGACCGATTTTGCTTCACATTACACTTGATGTAGAACATCGCCCGTATGAACGTGTTGACCTCTTCACAGGCACTCTCTCCTCGCGGAGTGCAAACGATTCGTCCGCGAGTTCTCCTACAACAAAGATTCGAGCAGGTACGGAGCAGGAGCGTCCAATCGATTGACCTCGAGAGGGAGGGAGGGAGCATGCTTCTAATCGGTGTGTCTTATCACAGATCGGAGCTCCTTCGGCATGCAAACTCCAGGAACCATGGAGGGGACGTGCTGCGCTCCCACCTGCAGGATCTTAGCCCGGACTTGTCCCAGAAGCTGGAGGGTTCTCGTAGCCATAGCACGCCCACGGGTCTCCACACGGGGACGGGAAGCTCCCATACCTCCAGGTCGATCTCAAGAGAAAATCGCTCGAAATCGCAAGATCCCGAGAAGGAGGCAGCAAATCGGACAGGTGGGCAAAGTTTGTTCCGAGCGTTTCCTTTGCTTGCCCTTTGTCTCGGCGCGTCCGAGACTATTCCTCCTCCTCGTGCCATTCTTTCCTCTTCTGCGAAGTTCTTCTTTGCTGTGATCCGACCAGCTGCATGGCCTGACCAGCCTTTTGCAGCGCCGCTCGGGTCAGTCCTTCAACTTCGAGACGTCCGTACCCTGCTGTGTGTAGCAGAGCCAACGCTCTTGATTCGTCGAGGAGTTTTCGTAATCAGTTTTTCGTCTATTCGTGCACTGGTAACAAGTGACCATGGGTTCATGCTTTGAGTCGAACTGGCCAGATCACCTGCAAGAAGGCCATCTTTGTTTTCCCTGATGGTGATGACACACAGCTCATTCACCTGCTTGCAAAACTCCGTGAAGAACCTCAGGACAAGCAGGTGGAAAAGTTGAACATTTCGTATCATGCAGCTGTCATCTGAACCTTGTATCAGGTCAATCTCCCATTTGAGCTCAAAGTTTTGGAAGCAATCCTGCTCGTGTTTGTTCAAGTTCATACGACTGCTGTGGACAGCTGCTCGCAAGATTGTAAAGTTCAGCTGAAAAGCTTGAAGTCGGCAGTCACAGCATCCATGCTCAATGAGATGTATGTCTTGAAGACTCGTGTGGCACAGGTGTTGCCTCGTCGCCGATCACTTGCACCTGACTCCCAGACCTCAAAAGGCAGTGCAGCAGGTGCAGGTAGCTAAAGATGAGCTGGAGAGGGTTCAGAAAGACGATCAGCTCATGGCGTTGATGAACTTGACTGAAATGTACAACGACACCGAGGTAGCCCTGGCGATCTTGATCTTGATTGCCTTGTTGTATGTGATTTACCAAATGCTCGCATGCGATAGAGGATCGATTCGATGCTGCTGAATGGTCCCGGAAAGAGTTACACTGATCACATTGAGGTTCTCCTCGATACCTACGCGTACGAGCTCGGCAATCTCAATTCGAGGTGATTTGCGACAAGTAGTGGAGCTGCTGACTGAAATTCCTTCACAGGTTGACGCGAATCATTAAACAAATCGATGCCACAGAAGATCTGCTCAATCTGCGACTTGGTAGGAAGGCAATAGATGCTCAGTGCTTGTGAATGATTCATCGACCCACAGAAAATGTGCAGAAGAACACCTTCATTGCAAACGCTTTCTTCCACATGATTTTATCCTTCCTCGGGTTCCCCACGGCAATCGCCGGCATCTTTGGTTATAACGTCAGCTGCTGTTGATGGATGATGATCAAGTTGCAGGCATGAATTTGTGGTCGGGGTTGAAATTTGATCTGTCGGGTCCCATGAACAAGGTCCCCTTCTCATTTCCTCCTGAGCCCCTCCATTGCATTCATCTCCTTGCAGGGCGTCAATTTCACTCCTCCTTTCTACCCGGTGGATCAGTACGACAACGACAAGAACCTAGGCATGCAAGCATGAGGCGTTGCTGACGTTGACTGAGTGGAGATGTGCTCTCAGGTCCGAGTTGGACTTTTCTCCAGAATTCCATAGGGGTCTCGATTCTGACCATCTTAATGATCATCTTCACTTGCCTGTACATGCGGCTCCGAGGCCTCCTCAGGATCCGAGTCTGATTTCTCTTTGCTCTGTAATTTTAGAACTCTTAGACATCTGTAAGTTTCCAATAGACCAAAATGATTCAAACTTGCAGTGTACTCGCCTTCCCTGGACTGCGTGGAGGTGCATATAGGGCCATCTTGAGCGATCCCGTCGAACGCATGATGCTGAACACAAAGGAGATGACGCCAGCACTGCCAGGTTTGCTACCTTGTAACCAACTCATTCACTCATGTCGTAAGCAATGTGATGACATTTTGTCTCGCTCTCATCTGTGAAGTTCATCTCACATAGCTTGCTAAAGCAGAGTTGATAGACAACATTCTTGGTAAGCGCTTTCACTTGCGTTACGATGTTTTGTTAAAGAATAAGTATCACATATTACAATCTAGCTTGATGACAAACTTTGGCCAGTCGTATCCTTGGCTGTCAGCAGTCATCCTAATCTTCATTTCTTCGACGAATGTACGTTAAAATCTTTGGTATGGAAAATGATGGGTTGCTGCAGACTTTTGTCAGCACCTGTCCCACACTGAAAAGCTGTTGTCCCTACCGACGCCACCAGCGGCTCCCCCTGCTGACTCCATTGAACGCGACCCAGCGGAGCTGAGGTGAAGGTGTCATGTTGACCTGGCGGGACGTGAGCTCTTCCATCAAACAATCCCACGAGTCACCAGGTTTGAACGTGGTCATTGCCGCTGAAACCGACCCCATGCTGACAGAACTCTGAAGGAGGAAGACCAAGGTCAACAGAATAATGAGCATGAGGACCTTCCAGTACCGGCTGTGATGGGTTTGCACCCTGCGCACGGCTGTTGCTGCCTGCTGCAGCCGCTTCCGCGCCTTGCCCCCCAGCACCTTGAACCCCGACATCCTCGGCAGCAGCTGCACTTGGTCTTCGCACGAGGTTGTCAGACAAGCTCTCCACAGATAAGTTTCCATTACATATCGTTTGCCTGCGGAAGTTCTCCCCAGAATGGAGGAGGTTGAATGAGCGGGGAGTTAGGACAAGGAACATCGCTATAGTCGATCGACTGAAGATCACACTGCACCTATCCATCAGGGGACGCTGATAATTCTATCGTGAAAAGACGAACCTCGCTAGGGTTCACATGCTCCGGATAGTATGGAATGAGCTCGGGATCAGTTTGAAAGTACCTGATCATCGTCAATCACCATCTCTTCGCTTTAACCTTGCAATTCTCCCAATCTCACCAGTCGTAAAACCTGAAAGGATCCTCCACCGGCTTGGGACTTTCAGTCGTGGTGACGCAGGGGCAGATGCTGGAGACACCAGAGGAAGGAGCCGACTCAACAGAGCAGCAGATGAAGTTCTGCTTGAGGTAAACGACCCGGGGGACTCTGACCCATTTCTCCATGAGGGCGCGTCTCTGTGAAGCAGATCAGCAAAGACGAGCGTAGCACGAGGCGATGAATCACTCACCCTGCCATGCTGCCTCGAGGATAATCCTCCACGACCTATCAGGAGGAGGAGGATCAAGACCCCTGCCCCACTTGCCGCCACCATCGCCACATTTCTAGGCAGCATTGTTGCCGCCCCTTCGGGGACCCCGGAAACCGAGCTCGACCCGAAAGCAAAAAGACAATTAGCTTACTCCCAATGCTGTAGTTGACAAAACTTTGCAACGAGTGCTCCAATTTACTCACATCAAAATTGAAAATTAGAGAACTAGTTATGAAAAATGGTAACTTTCTTTCAAACAAGAATTGTGAACCCCGACGGTGGTAGGAAAAGGGTCCCGGGGCAGACGACAAACATTGACGTTACTAGTTAGCGAGGGCTTGGAGGGAGAGAGATAAGAGCAGGTATCATCTGAGACAGAGAAGAGCAGGTATCATCTGAGAGAGAGAAGAGCAGGTATCATCTGAGAGAGAGAAGAGCAGGTATCATCTGAGAGAGAGAAGAGCAGGTATCATCTGAGAGAGAGAAGAGCAGGTATCATCTGAGAGAGAGAAGAGCAGGTATCATCTATCTGAGAGAGAGCGAGCAACAAGCACAAGAGCACAATCAAGGCTAACGATCAGACATCTTGAGTCGCAAGGAGCAACAGACCATGGCGGCCGCGCAAATGGGCAGGGTTGGCATAACAGCAGAGGAGGCAGAAGATGGGATGAAGGTGATCGCAATCAAGGAGGGCTCGGCAGCCGAGAAGCATGGTGGAGTTGCTGTCGGTGATGTGGTGAGTAAATCGTCTCGATAGGTTCTCCGCTGATCCCTTGCTCCGTTAGATCATCATGGCAAACGGGCTGCCACTGAAAGGGAAAACTCTGCAACAATTCGCCGTAATCATGGGGGGGCCTGTTGGATCAACTGTGAAATTGCTGTGTGGAAGAGGAGGAAGGACGTTTGAGATTGAAATAAGGCGTGAAGGTGACAGCGCAACATCTCAGGAGAGGAAAATTTTCCTCACCATGAGAGGAATGGACTTAGATGCAAAGGATTCGGTGCTGCTCGGAGGAAAGAGCGACCCCTACCTTGTTTTCAGATCGCCGTCAGGTGAAGAGGTCTTCCGTACGGAAGTGATTAAGAACGAGCTCAATCCGGTATGGAAGCCTTTCGAGGTTGACTTGAACAAGCTGTGCGGGAATGATCTTCAAAGGATGTTCCTGCTCGAGTGCTGGGACAAAGACTTCATATCGAAGGATGATATGATCGGGATGCTTGAGGTGAACGTCGAAACCTTGCTCAAAGAAAAGGAACTGCAGCTTCGAGACAAGAACAAAGTCCGCAAGCATGCCAAACCTCCCCCGTATCCAGGAAAGCTTGGAATCACTAAAGCTGTTTTGCTCGGTGACGACGACTACAAGAATCTGTTTGATAAGTACAGTCTGGAAGATGAGGGTTCTGCGCTCAATGTTCTCTCTCTCGAAGAGCGTGCGGAAGTCAAGGGCCTGTTGATACCTGCTCCCCTCTCCGGAGAATTCGAAGATGTCGCACAGCTAGCAAGCCTGACACGATGAGGAAAACTTCATCACAAATCAACGTCATCGACCAAGAAAGGGGTTTCACAGATGATAAATTGGACAACATTGAAAGAGGAATTCGTATCAACAGTCATGATGTCTCAATTAGCGTTAACTGCAATATTGCAAGCATCTGTTTAAGTTAGATTTAATTTTTTGTTTCTTGGACTGCAGGATCACAAGAAGTCATACCGTGATGTGAGAATCTCTCACTTTCTTGCTCCTCGCACATTTCTATGCGGTTGAAATAAATTCAAAACGTCACTACGTGATCACTACGTGAGGCATTTCTATCGTGCACGTCACCTGTAGATCGTCCTGACTGTACCAATGTTGCCCTTCATCAACCTCGTTTAACCAGTTCTCAAGGGGTGCAAAGACATGCTCCTCAGCCCTACATACATTCTCAGCCTGTTTACGTTTCATTGCGATTGTATACCTCGGTCCTATCAGCATGTCATAGTGCCCGTAACATACCTCAGTACCCTCGCCAGGGACAATCATCTTGACGTGCTGATTCCGATTCGACAGGATAAGATTTTCCAGTGGTTTCCCCATCGAAGAAATCACCTGTTGGTCGTCCAGTGCTGCAAGGTGGTAGGCTGTACGTTTGACAGCATCGGGTGTGAATTGATGATCACAAGCTCCAGCAAAGGCCAGCAAAGGTACCTTCACGTATGTTCTCAAGAACTGTTCTCCTAAAATCTCCAACATACCGGAAGCGAATGGTTGAGAAGAGGAAGCAGAGGCTCTTTTGTTACGGGATGTAGCATACCATACTTCTTGCTGAAAACCGTGTGTATCTCAAAAACCACCTGCATTTAATCATTTTGTACCAAGGAGTAAACTTCTGGCATCAAGAACGCAGTTGACACAATGGTCTTGCACTTCGTTACCTGCCATGGTTCTGCTTCGAAGTTGTGAGCAAGAAGTCGTCTGGCGATATCCTTGAAAGAAAGTCAATGCATGCTGCAATCGAGCTTAGGACATCAACACACCCTACGGATCGATGATGGACTATATTGAAAGCCTAGGAAAAGGTCTAGAAAGGTGCCCCCAAGTGGGGCGAGGAGTGCACAAGCCCAACCAAAAGGAGCCATCCCTGGTGACCGCAACGACCGTGGAACATACAAGACGTGATAAGTCGAATTCATGTTTCCTGGCTCAACCCCCTTGTCAATGTCGTTTTGACGCTCCATGCTGTGATCTAGAGCACTTCCAAGGGTCACTATTGACGCGAAGTCTTGAGTGTTGCCCATAGCCAGGCCCAGCCAACTGTAAAGAATGATGCCGCCCATGCTGTGCCCAACCCAATGAACTTTCTTTGCGCCTGTGTGATTCCTCACGTACTGCACTGCAGCCGGCAGGTCGACTTCAATGTATTTCATTATCGACCAGCTCCCGCCTTCGTTCATGCCTTGAGAAAGCGTCGTATAGAGCCAACCGGGTTTAGTGTGACTGCGGCCATGTCCTCTTAGCTCGAGGACCCACACGTCGTGACCTTTCTCTGCCAAATACGTGGCAAGAGACGGATAACCTTCTCCAAGATCGTAGGTCACCCGGTTCGCGAAAGCTCCATGGCACAGAATCACTGGTGCAGTAGTAGATTGCTTTCTTTCACCGGCATAGGATCCAACAGGTCTGTATCGAGCAAGGTTGATTCGCCATCCATCAGGACAGGATATGAAGTGAACCTCGTCTTCTTGTGTGTGCAGTGGTATCACCAAGGGAGTGAGGAATGGACAGATAAAAGCCCAAACAAAGACAAGGCTCGCAAAGATTCTTACGAGAACATTCTTTGATCTTAAGATAGGAATGAAACAACTGCTCAAGATTAAGATCACTGTGAAATGTGTCCCAGGTAAGCCCATCCTGCCCCCTTCAACAATGGCCTACAGCTTCTTCATCTCAGAGGTATGCATTTGCAGGGGATAGAGCTATTGCAAGTTCTTGCGAAGAGAGGGAAAGGGAGAGGAGAGGAAGGATGCAAGGTCAACGAGAACAAGAGGACAGCAATCAGAGCCGCTACAACTACATGCCGTCACTGCCATCTTGCGCTGGCATCATTCCTGGCTGTCGGGCGACGATAACTCAGTAAATTACTCCGAAGTGAGGCCCGAGGGCCGGCCCGGAAGTGGCCGGGCCCGGGCCCCGCGAGGCGGATGAGTCGGAAGGAGGCCGCCGGAAATAGATCATTTCTATTTCTGGAAAAAAAGACAGACAAGAACAGGCGACGACCAAAAAGAAAAGAAGGAAAAAAGAATGTAAAGTAAAATACCCCGTTGATGGATCCTAAAAAGATATTGTTGTTTTAAACTATTTTAAAACGGACACATTTTGTACTGTATCTGGACACTGGTCTGTAGGGTGTGCACATGAGATGTACGATAAAATGGAAAATTAAAAATATTGTTTTGGACATTTGTACTGTAATACTCTTTTTGAGAGTGTACAAGCTATACATGCAGCACAGCTAGAACGAGTCAACTCTGGTACATTAAGGTACATAAAACGGCATTGGAGTACAATTAAATTTTTAAAGGATTTTAAGGAGGCCTTATAAACTTCTCAAGGAGGACAGACGCGTCAGCTGCTGCCATGTTCGGAACCATCTCCAACGTCTTCTCCTCCCACTCCTACGCCGACGCCTCCAACCAGGCTTCCAGCCCGGTCGGATTCGCGGGATCTGGTGGAATTAGCAAGTAAGTGCGATCTCTTGCAGTAATTCACTTCATGGCTCCTGCTGTCGTTGATTTTTGACCTTTATTCCCTGTCTCCTGCTTTGTAATGATCAGCGTGCGCTGCCCGCCGCATTGATCAACATTTATTGTGGACCTGTCCTCGTTTCTTTTATTGTTTCATTGTTCCTTTTGTGTCTTTTCGTTTATCATGTTTCACAAAATTCGATCGGTTTACGTGTCTGCTGTATGGTTGGATCCCATGTGTCGTTAATCAAGAGAGCTGCTTTAGCCTTGATGTTTCAGAATTCTTTGCTTGTACTGACCATTTTTTTCAGCGCCGCCAACATCAACGCCATGGGTCTGATGTCCAGCTAAATTTGTCATCTTGGCGGGTCTCTGCGCAGTTCTACACAAGGAATGATCTCAGTGATGATTTTTTTGAACACTTCAGTGAATCGCAGATTTTAGGGTGTTGGAGATTTTAGTTTCTTAATTCTATACATGTACGGTGTGATATGATTCTCAGTAAACAAAATGCTTGGTTTTCGAAAAGCACGTTGTTCTGTACATTTGGTTTCTGCCTTAGATCGACTTCTTATTTCAACACATAAACGCAGATGTGATCCTTTGCATCTGATCTTCTGTCCAGTTCATGTTTTGACTAACCAAGGATGGTGCATGAGTACGTGAACATGGAGTGCATTAGCACATACCGTCAGTTGCCACTTGCTGGAAATCTCTCGGAAGAAATCATCATCTGCCGTTTCTCCACCGGCGTCTTCACCTATGTAGATCTTCGTGCTCTGTCAGAGATGTCGACTCGGCGAACAGGAGGCGGGTCAATACCAGCTTCTTCCCTGCAGGGGAGATTTAGAGTTGCCGACGTTTCATCGGAACAAAGTGGCGAACCCTTGAATCGCCGCAGACAAGAAATGGCGAAGTCGGATCCCATGTCCGGCCAGCACCTTGGTAGGATCAGCGGAGGATTCACGAGCCGTGTCACCCACAGGATGAGGCTCCGGCCCTCATCGGCAGATTCGAGCTTTTCAAACTGAGGACGTTTCATCCTCAAGTCCCAACAGAGCCGGCATTTACCGATCCAGCCGTCACTGCGTCACTCCATGGCCACCTGCTCATGGTGAGCACGAGGTCGTACGAGTAGGAGGGCAGTGTGCACCTCTGCCACTCAGCGATGAAAGTGCCGTCCTCCTATCACCGTGACTCGTATCACACCAGGTCACTGGAGGAGGAAGAGGAGGTCATACCTGCTCTTTGCTGTCGTAAGCCTCGATGTCTTGTCCTCGTTGCCTCAGCAGGAACGCCAGCCAGCCGCTGCGACTGCTGTGAGCAACGCAGGCGCGTCATGATGAAGAAGAGGAGATTGCCTTCCAGCACCCAACTCGATGAAGGGGCCATGGTGAGCGAGGACATCTATGTCGGCTCTGAGAACTTGTATGAGAGATGAGCGCTCACAAGGAATCGTGCTTCACTTTCTGAATCTGCACCAACCGAAAACAGACACGTGCAAGTTTCTCTCGGGATCATGCACCAGGTAGATTCTTCCGCCTTGGCTCGAGTTAGATTGCTTCTGCAGCACAAAGGTCCTGATGTGCTGGGAGAATAAACTCTGGATGATGTCTGTATCCACACCAGCTTCCACCAGGGTCTCTACAATCATTGTGCGAGCTTCAACATCTTCGAGCAGTTGGCTAACAAGTACATCCTTGACCTGAAGCACACTTCATCAATCCAAGGGACAGTGGGAAAGGAGGTAGATAATTGGATGAAAGTATGAGAATGCAGATGGAGGTGCGAGATAAGAGAAGAAAGCTCATGTCACCTGCGAGCTTTGTCCATACCCGTCAGTTCTGGCTCTCTTGCTGGTCACTGACAGGCTGTGGTTCGCGTGTGTTTCCCATCCTTCATACTGTTTCATTTCTTCTTCCCACTCCTGCCAGGCCTCAGCACTGTTGTAGTCGTTCCCATCTTGACCCTGCCACCCGCATCATTCTCTTCACGACAACACTGCTAGATGCAAGTCAGACCTCCTCATTCTGTCGCTTTTTCTCGTTTGATTGCTCCATTTCGGATATGACAATACTCTCTCACACAGGAGGGTCTCGATGCCCCCAAGGATCTCTTCGAACCAAAAGGATCGGTACTTCACGTGCTCATTCTGTTCATTGCGTCTCCTGTTTCGACCCACTGCTACCCGTCCATGTCGCGACTAAGGCACACGGAGCAAGGACGTAGGGAAACAGAGAGTCAAGTGAGACGGGTACTCCTAGGAAGAGGACGAGAGAGGATCAGAGCAGCACGAAGGAGGAAGCGGAGGAGGAGGAAGCGATAGCAGTGTAGCTGGTTGGAGTGAAGAAATTCCAAGAACTGGGGGAAAAGCAACAAAAATTGACTTTTAGTGGAAAATGGCAGAGAAAGGAGTGCGGTGGGAAGTGTCGGGGTCGAAGGAGGGAGAGGCAGGAAGGAAGGGAGGAAGGAAGGAGGGAGGAGGAGGAGGAGGAGGAGGAGGAGGAGAGGATTTATGGAGGGAAGGAGGGAAGGATAACTGTGAATGCGTGTTGCTCTGTTCTTTGCTCTCCTAACTTGAACACAGTGAATGCAATATCATACATCGTAATTCTTCGAGAAGAGTGACACATGGACAAGATAGCAGGTACTCCTCCTCCTCCTGTTCTTTCTGCTACCATTGCTACCAGCAGCAATACCTGTCTCCTTTCTCCTCTTTTCTCCTGTCTGCGTCACCTCATCTACTCATCGTTTTGGGTAGGCGCAGTCATCTCCTCCAAACTTTCGAGCGCATCGGTCAGCATGGCGGTTTTACTCCCATTCGCTCCTCACCTCTCTGTCAGGAATCGCTCGGCATCGACAAGTTTGTCTCCAGCGTCGAGGAAAAGTTTGACAAGTTCGGCACGAAGAAGGAGAACGAGGCGGAGGGGCAGCGAAGTGAAAATGCAGAGGAGAAGAAGAAAAGTTTCATCCCGGATGCTCTCAAGGTGAGGACAACTCCCTGCGCTGCTACCCACGTTGATGAGCTGCAGAGCTCGGACATGAAGGCCAAGGAGAGGTTGCATGAGAAACGCGCAGAGCGCGAGAAGATGGCGGAGCAGGTGAGTTGGGAGGGGTTTGTTGGAGGAGGGGCTTGCGGTGAGGCGAGCAGGGATGTGAGGTAGCGATGGAGTTGCAGAGAGATATGGAGAGTGAGTTGTTGCGATCGAGAGGGTTGAGTTGCAAACGGTTGCTCCCCTCCTTCCAACTTCTCCTTGGCGGCATCAGAGTTGGTTTATTTGATTTTCTTGGAAGATGCGCAAAGAGATGAATATCAAGCGACAAGTACCGGAAGAGACGCCAGCCAAGGAGCAGGAGCAAGAGAAGGGCGCTATCTCCTCGATGATGAGCGGGGTAATGCGATACCCCCGCACGTGTCTCTTGTCGCCCGTCTGACCCCCCACAAGGTCAAGAGCGGACTCGAGAAGACTGCGGACCTCGGGAGCACAGCTGGAGCCAAACTCCTGCAGGGCCTGTCAGGGATGTCGAGCAAAGTGAAGTCTACCATCATGTGAGGGACGTGAGAGGAGGTGAAGGCCATGACGTTGCCCTTGCTTGATAGGCGGAGCCCCGGGCAGGAGGAGCAGGAGGGAGAGAAAGTAGAGGTACATCAGTGATGGCACATGGGGAGGTACTCAAGGATTGGCAGGATCGCAGGATGGAACAGAAAGAGACTGAAGAAGGTTTGTGGAGAGTTCGAGAGACGCGTAAATTTGATTGTGAACTCCCAGCCGCCGCTTCCACAACTCCTCCTAAGTCCGGCCCGTCCTCGATGGGCAGCAAACTGCAGGATTTGAAGGAGACAGCAAGTGAGGGAGGGAGGAGGAAGGTGATCGCGCTCATGCTGACGCAGGCTCGTCGGCATCTAAGGGGAAGCAACTTGTGACGAGCGGTGAGACTTGTGGCTGCGAGCGGCTAGAGGGTGACGAGGAGAGACAGGCTTCTCGATGATGATGAACAAGTTCCAAACCATGGGGTCTACAGGCTCGCACGAGAAGAATTGAGCAACAGGGAGGAGCGAGGGAGGGACAGAGGGAAGGCGGGAGCGGGGGAGCTTCACATAAATAACTGTACATAGAGCACACGACCGCCGATGCCTTCGCCTCTTTCTCCTCCTTTCCTCCAGCGACTCGCATCAGATCTTAAAGCTGCCGGGCCTCTACATGGAGAGCTGGGAAGGCGAATCTCCCTCTGCATCGCCGTCAGTTCTCTCCGCTGGTCCACGAGGACGTACCCATCACGATGTTCTGCTGTAGCGCCGACAGTTTAACTTCCTCCTCCACACGCACCACATGGACCTCCCCGGTTGACATGCCCACAGCAAGGTAGCGAAACTTGGTGCGGCTCCTCTCCCTGTCCCCCCCGCGGGGGACTGCCTCGACAGGGAGGAAAGCGGCAGCAGAGGGGAACTTGAACTTGTCACTTGAAGCATTCTGACATGAGGTGAGGAGAGCGAGCAAGGGGGAGGGCAGCGCTTCACCTTGCAGAACTTGAGGACGTGAGGTTGATTGTTCCTGTCCTTCCTGTACCCGAGCAGACGACCTTACTCAAAGTCAATAGCACGAAGCGCAGAATGGAAGGGGGATGGGATGGACGAGGGGGAAACAACACGATAGGAGGGAGGACGGGCGGGAGCGAAGCTCGCAAAGTAAGCTGGATATCAGAAATCTCCGAGGGGGAACTCACCTGAAGGACTTGGATATCTCGTCCAGACACACAAGTTGCCATCCTCTGCGATCGCATGATGAGGGTTTGAAGAGTTTGAGGCAGGGAGACGGGGGGGGGAGAGGAGGACAGGAGGAGAATAGGGCGACCGAGACAAAAAGACGCAGTGAGAAAGGTAAAGAGAGAAAGAGCGAGCGAGATTGTGGGTGACAAGGACCCGAAAAAAGGAATGTGAAGAGTGCGGGAGCAGGGTAGGATTCAGGGAGGTAAGGGTGGACCGGAGCCGGAAGCGAGAAGGGAGAAGTCGTGGCTGATAGTCGCAGAGATCTGGGTAGACATGGAAGTCTCTCCCTTGTTCACCTGACGCACCATCCTCAACAGATGACAAAGTCGTTCTAGCAGGGGTCCATCCTGCTGCTACCTCCTATCTCCCATCATTCTTCGCTCTCTCGCTCTCGCTCTTCTTTCCTCTCTTGTGCGTTTAACTCGATAGTCACCGCAGCTTCTGTCCTCCTCATGCGGTCTACCTTCCATCAAACCAACACCCTCCGCCTGCTGCCATTCGCAACTTCTTCCTCGCTGTCTTCTTCCTCTTCTTCACCAACGTTCCCTCGTACCTCTCCAGTGACCTTCCCCCCACGATATTTGCAGAGTAACATCATGTCCTGCGCTCGGTAGAGCCGTATCCTGCAGACAAGCAGGTATGAGATTGAGCGACAAGAATGCAGAAGTGGAGGAGATCGAAGAAAGAGAGACTACGAGGGAGGATGGGAACAACCTCGAGTCGACTGTAGTGACCAACAGCTTCGCGTTCGAGTCATGCTTCTTGCCCTTTCCATAGTACCTGCGTTGGGAGACAGAAGGGTCAGAGCAGCAAGAGGAGCGGAGAGAAGAGAAGGGGAGGAGGAGGGAACGAGAGAGGAGAATGGGAAGTGGGCGGTTGTTTACTGCAGGCCAGTAATCTTGTGCCCTCTGGAGTTCTTTCCTTTGGTTGACTGATAATGACGCAAAGATAATCAGAGACGATCAAACAGAACAAAATGGAGCTCGAGACAAATCAGTGAAGCAAAAAAGTGTGTACCTTGATGCTGGCGATGCTCTTCCCCCTCTCATCCTCAATCTGAGAGATGTGTCAGTCTGTATGCGATGACAAAGAATGCGAGACGAACTGACTTTCATCTCCTTCATCAGAAGATGGTAAAAGATGCACTTGCCCTCGAACAAACCTGAACACCAACACTGGTTAAACGTCTCCCAACCCATCCTCTCGCTACTCACCAGCAACCAAAGTTTCTCCATCCTCTGAGATTGCCAGGGCTGAAACGCAGTGAGATGCAGAAGCAGCATACAAAACATTTGCAGCTACCAGTGACAACGCCCTTCGTGTCTGCTTGACTCACATTCTTTCCCAGGCTGCACCTCATGTTATCCTATTCCTTCTCCGCCTCCACGTTGGCATCTCTTGGACCCCAACTCAACCAGCCCTCCTGCCTGAAGTCCCTCCTCGCTGCTCCTCTCAGTCCATCTACAGACCTTCCACTCGGAGGCTTCAGATCGAACATCCTGACCATGCCGTCCAAGCATCCTGCACGAAAGTAAATGAACCAGCAGTCAGCAGCAAGAAGTTACCAGTGATGATAAATTTCTCGTTAATAGGATGAAAGACAACACTAGTTACGAAATCCTGCAATAGCAAAAGAAGCAGAACAAGGAGGAGAGGGGGATGTAGTCGATGCGAACATGCAAATCAGGCGGAAACCATGTCAGCTGCATCCACATTTGTACATACTTTCACGACCTTATGGTTGAAGACCCTGAGTGCCTGTTGACTCTCGAAGTGCCACAACTGTAGAACCGTCACCCAAATCACTGCATTCCCCTCAACTCAAACTCCTTGACTGCATGAACATTCATACTGACAATCACAAAACTTACCCTGACCGTTTGATCGACAGAAGCTGAAGCTAAAAGAGAATCTCTTGACCATGACATGTCAAGAATCTGCATGCACGTCATCTCCTCCTCCTCCTCCTGCTTCTGCTTCACCGGTCCCAGGTGCCCAATGTACCGGCAGAACAGCCGGTTCTTCAGCCCTACACTGCACTCATTTCTATACAGTTGCCCATCCTGGTTCCGAATGAAGGAAGTTAATGTTGTGCCAGAGCCCATCCTCCTTTCCACCCCCGCCCCCCCCTTCCTCTCCTCATCATATCATTATCATCATGTCATTCAATAATCGCTGCAAGGCCTCACTTCCTGATGGAGCTCAACTTCCCATATACAAATGATCCCTGACTGATCATTCTGTCAATCAACCATTCTACATTTCGCAATGTATCTTACCTGTCCTCCTGTTGCAACAAATTCTCCCTTCACATCGAACTTTATACACCAGATTGCACCATCTGAGCTCACCGAGGGGTCAATCTGAAACGTTCCAGACAGATTGTCAATTCATGCATCCAAAGCACAATCAAGTTGGTACCGTCGAAGTCCATACTCTGAACATCGACTTGATGCTCGACTGGTTGGTCCCATCCATAAAGCTGGAAGAACCTCTCCAACTCCGCCATCCCAACTTCCACTTCTGCTGACTCGCGTTGCGATGGGAGTAGGTCGCATTTTGTGAGGCGCTGGAAGAGCTTGATCGCGAAGAACTGATTGGGACAGAGCTCAACAAAAAGAACATGTTCCGAAGCAAGCCGACACCTCTTGCTATCGGTGGAGTCATTTGATGCATTACGGATGTGCCGAATCTCGAAGTGTTGCGATCCTGTCGCTTCGTGACCCTTCACGTTTCTGCAATGATCGCTGTCAGCTGGTTCACTTCAAACGGACTGCGATAATTACCTCAAAATCAAGTCCTCTCCTTCCAAGGCCCCGGCTTTCCGTTCAGCACGTGACTGCACACCCCAACTCACGAGATCATCTACCCCTGGTAGAGCTTTCAGTCAGGGTAACTAGGTCAAGACAGCAATAGACTTTGAGGACCAGAAGCACTCTGACTCGACGACGAGAATGTTGTTGGAGGATGTCCTAGCTCATGTTGCCTCGAAGTGGCGGAAGAATTCTCATGGTATTCAGACATGCTCCCGAGGCCATTTCCAGAAGAGCCACCTTGACTCGTACTAGGAATCACCTCGTTCATGAAGTCCTCAGTGCCGATGATGCTGATAGGGCGTCCTGTAATACGTGAGTTACTGACACAAACTAGATGTTTAAGAGATCCATTACTGTTTCTGCGTTGAATGAGCGAAATCCGAAAATTCTGACATGGCAACAGAACTGATCAGCAAAAAGAACATCTGAGAGTTGTTTGAATTCGTACATTGTTTTCGAGCGCGTCGCTGCTGTGAACATTTCTGCCTTCTCCCATCATTTCTTGATCTTGTGCATCTTCATCAGAGCTTGATATCGTGGTGCCAAACTTCCTCGATAGTTTCGGTACTTCACTCTCACGCTCTGTGTGCTCGCGTTCCCTGTGCGGGCTCGGGGATGTGATTGGAGAGTTGGAAAGCGAGCTCAAACCACTGCTCCGATGTCGCCGCAGTGAAGAAGAGACTGTTGATCCTGCTTCATCGCAGCTATAGAAATCTTCTTCTTCAGACAGAGCTGACATTATCGAATGATTTGTCGTCAGCTCTGCACCGACTTGCATCTCACACTGTGTTTCAGTTGTTGGAATGATGCTTGAGCCAGAATCAGGTACAGAAGTGGTTACAGTCCTAAAACCAGATCCTGTTCACATACAACATGGCTCGCGTTCAGCTTTCTGTCTGATTCAAGGGTGTGCAATTTCCCAAGGCAAAGATGATCGCAGAACAGCAATTGGTGCGACTTGAGTACCAAGCTGCATCAAATCTCTCAGTCAAGATTCCCCTTCAAGGAGGTAGCCTCCATCAGTCGAGCAGATTTGAGATGATAGATCTTTTTGTTTCTCTCTCTTCGTGTCTTCTCCTGATCATTTTCTTCTCATCTGCCCCTCATCCGTTTAGACTTCACGGATCTAGCCATTTTCGCACTGATTCTTCATGGACAGCTCCCCTTCCAAAAACTCTCAGCAACCCTTGTGTACCCTACCCCCCATACTTAGCCTAATGCGTCAACCTCTACGCCAGGGGTTCTCACAAAACTGAGTTTGGGCCCTACCCTACCCCCCTCATCCCTCGGTCACACCCACCCATTCCTTTTTTAAAAATAAAAAATAAAAAATAATCAACCTTGATGAGCCCGGCAGTACCGTGGCCGCTGGCCCGGTGAGCCGCCCGGCCCGTTGCGGGACTGAGTGCCCGACCTCAGTCCGATCAGATCACCTTGTCTGATGTCGGCGCGTCGTTCCGTACGGTCGGGTGACAGGACGGTACTGGAAGTTCAGCGGCTGTAGCCTAGTTTAGGTAAGCGAAAGCATTCGTTTTTCTGTCTATTGCTGCTTGCAATCAATATCTCCCTCATTTGCTCCACACTTCATCGTAGCTCTTTCCTGGCGACGAGCCGCTTCCGCCTGGATGAGCGATTCTCACAAACACATTGAGGAGTTGAAGTCAAACACACACCTCCAAAATGCTTGCTGGTTTTGCATAAGAAATGACAAGAGTCCGATTAGCATGAGTAAACGACACCTGGGGAATCACGGATCTCGGAATCACGGGCTGAGAAGAAATAGTCGAGAAATTCATGTACTTACGTTACTCTGCACCAGCTTCAGGTGCATTCGGTCCATATCAGGGACGCTTATCCGCTTGAACCACTTCTTGTTGCTTGTGCGCACAATGATTTGATTTGCATTCTCATCTACCGTAATTTGGTAGACCTCCAGTGGATAAGGGATATTGCGTACTCTCCACTGGAAGTTTTCTTTTGTATCCCTCCTAACCATAATAGGCTGATCGCTGCTTGCCGAAATCGTCAGGCCTTCGCCTGAAGGAACAATACTTTTATGCAAGAGCTATGAGAGTTCATGATCATGGTTGACCTTGTGCATTAGCTTCGTTTGCCTCGCCAACCTCAACAACCCATTTGGCTTCTCGCCCAGTCGGGGCCTCTTGCCGAACCTGTTGCGAATCAGCATGTATACGTAGGGGTGCTAACGCTGATAGAGCTTTCAACCTTACGCAAAAGCAGCTGGTCTGTTGTCAAATCGTACTCTTCAACCTAATTTTAATGTGATCAAGCTCAGATATGGTGGACAAAAAAACGCAATGCAGGAATTGTATACTTGCTCAAATCCATCCTCCCAAGCTGTATGAACCTTCTTTCGGCCTTCGGAAATAATAGCTGTGGATTTCCCGCCAGGTTTGTACTGCTTACAAGTCAACGAATATAGATCATCCTGAATTTTGGCGATCTAAATTCAAGTTCAACAAGTATCACTCCATCAAGCGAATAAGGATTCATGATGAAGATATTGAAACCTTAACATGTCTCAACTCTAGATTCGATTGATCATTCACACAAGCATCATGGATGCCATCATGGCCATATCGATCTTCTCCAATCTTTCGTTCACTCTTCTCCCGCGCTCTCACCATGTTCGCCCGTTGCTTCCAGACCTTCCGATGCTAAAAAACGATATCATGCGACTCCCTGCCTTCCTGCCAGCGTACATCCGGCGTACCCCCTGGCGTACCCCCCTGCTGGCCCCTCTGCGTACCCCCGCTCTGTTAATAGCGGCTCTCTATGTGGTCATTCGAGAATGTGAGGGAGGGATGGGGAAGGAGAAAGGTAGAGAGAGAAGGTGATGGCTGGAAATATAGAGGGCATTGATGTAGGACGCTATCCTTCACCTTCTTTGAGGCAGAATACATGGGATTAGAAGAAATCAGTGTACGCTTGCAGATTCGTGAAACTGAACATATGACACTTGATTCATGTATCTCGTGATTTCTGACATTTATCCTGGTCTAAGCGGCACTTCTTCTTGCTCAGACTACCACCTAAGGTACAGTAATCTGTTTTACAAGGGGAGATGGCAGATCCTCCTGCCATCCCAACAAGGATGGTTCAGGGCAGCACTGAAGAACCCGTTAGCGTGGAGTTCTCACAAAGGCCAAGCATGGTGGAGTTCCCGAAAGAATATCGGGCATTGATGAATACAAAAATGGAAGTTAGCTTGCAGAGCTTCTCCCAGGTTGAAAAGGATAGGACCAGCCACGGTTCAGATGGAAATGAAGGAGAAAAGAGGCAGGGCTCAGGCAAACGTAGCTCGAATGGAGCTTTCCAGGAACAAAACAACGAGGGCGAACAAGTATCACCAAAAGACAATATGCACTCAGTTGAATCAAACGATACAAAAACATCAGAACACAGCGGGGAGGCGTCACAGCGGATGAGGGAGCAACCAGAGACAGTCGGTTCCAAATGTGGCATAGGGGCTCAGGTACATTCGAATGCCATCAATCACGAACTGAGAATTTTGTGAATCCAGGAAGCAAACATGGAGGCGATCGAATTAAAAAGGTTTCACGAACACATTGCAAGATGATTTGCCTGACTTTTCTTTGCAAGGGTGAACGGAAAAGTAGGATTAAATTTGAAAAAAGTTCCCGGGAGGCCGTATTACATCCATTCGGTTGCTCGATCAGTAAGTATTGTAGTATTTTCATCCTTAGATCACAATCCAAAATAATTTCCTCAACCTTATTTCTTATCTCTCATTCCAAGTCTTGCCGCATTGATTGTGAAATTGATATCGTGCTTAGACGATGACGGAGCAAATTGTTGAGGCGGGAGACTATGTACACTCGATTGATGGTAACAGGTCGCTCTCAATCTCGCAGACGACAAGTTTTTTCTTGACAATGTTCCGTCCTAGGATCGAATTTCTGGATGCCGAAGTAGTTGAAAACATGCTGAAAGGGCAGACTGGAAGTTCGCTCTCTTTGCTGATTTCGAGGAATGACTTTGTTGAAACTACTTGCTTGTCTTCGTCTTTTGGACTCGGGCTTGCCATGGATGAAGTTGAGTCATCATCCAAAACTCGCCGCATCAAGAAGCTTGTGGTGTCGGATGTTGCATCGCTGAGTTCGCTGAGGAATCTCATCAAGAAGGGCGACGAAATCACACAATTTGACGGACGTGCTGTATCCGAAATGGGATCAGCAGAGATTGCCGCTTTCGTTGCTGGTGAAAAAGGATCTAAGATTTCCATCACGTACAGACAAGCAAGAACAAAGTGAGGCTTGAATGGAATAATGTTCGAATTTTCACATTTGCTCCCAGTCAAGTTGTGAGTGTGGTAGCAGAACGAAACTTCTGCATTAGAAAGTTATCAATGACAAGGTCATTTATTTCTGCAGCTTTCCTGCTACTGACAAAAAATCATGTTTGCAGGGATTCAGTTGGTGTTGTGGGTCTTGTCTTGTCCAGAAAAAACAAGAAATATTTGATCTCGAACATATTTCCTCAGGTATTGGGCTTGAATTCTTGGGACTCTGAGATTCAAATACTCTGTACATGGTTTTTGAGCTTTTTAGTTACTGCTTCTAGAAAATGATGGTTTCCATGCATCTTCTTACAGGTTGTGGATTCATAGTAGCTGAAAAAATACACGGCAGGTGAGGATGAGAGGCGACGAAAGATTCATCAGGCTAGGAGATCAAGTGCATCTAATCGATGGCAAGAGGTGAAGCAATCTTTTCCTTTGCGGTGCGACTTCTCATCCAGTTTTTTCTGCTCGAAACTTGCAGCGTGATCAACTTGAATGAAGAGGAAGTCGACTCTATGTTGTGGGGACCCGTGGGAACTACGGTAGAAATTGTAACTTCTTCTAAAGTCTAGTACGGCACTGATTGGATAATGAATGATCCTGCACGACTCTCTGTCTGACGAACTTTATTTGGCTGCGACTTACTAAGTTACTTTGATCAATTTAAGAAGCCGCCGCTTCTATCCGGCCGGGCCGCCTGCCGGGGCCTCAGCCTGGCGACCCGGTGACCATGTGACTCAGTGACTCTAGTACAGCGTCGGAGTCTCGGCGGAGTCGGCGGCCGCTGCCAGGGCCGGCTCGGCCCGCGGCGTGAACTAGTAGACTAAAATTTGATTAAAAATAAGCTCCAATGATTAGGTTGTTTTGAAATTGCCGCTTGCTCAACGGTAGACGTTGTCGGCAGGGGTGGTAAAGTGGGAAGATGGGTGGGTAGTACAGGGCAAATTGAACATGGAGATTGGAGATGCGGAGTTCATTATGCTTCACAAGATCAGCATGATGCAGAGATGCATAGACGATGGACAAAAGATCGACAAAGAAGATTTCTTTGTGGATGCTGAAAGTGGTAGAGAGTTGTCACCGCTTCTTCCAAAACCTTCGGATCAATTCGATGAGTCTCCATGCAGACTGCTTCTGAACTTGAATGATTCTCCAGCTCAGAGCGCGGCAGACACAGATCTGAGATCGCTAACCTCTGAAGAAAGTGAGATCAGCCCAGATGACTGGAATATCAGGATGGTTTCTGCCATCCAGGATACCATAAAGCCTCAGAATCTCAACAGAAGTAATTTTGATGAAATCTCGTTTGATGAACACTGCAAATCGAATGAACCCACCAGCCGAAAGTTGACAGCGCCAACGAATCATAACTCTTCAACACTTGACAGCATTCTTGATATGGTCTTGAGGGGCTTGGATTCGTTTGTAATCAGGTTCCGCGACGATTGTGAGAAGTTAAAGTGCGTGAATCAGTGTGCTCAACACTGCCAAATTGTTCCTGGAAAATCCAACGCTTCAAAAAGTGCTCCTACAATCGTAACATGGAGCTTTAGGAATATTGATCATGTTCTTGCTGTTTATGCTTTAGAACCATTCTTATTCTTTGTAGACCGCCGATTGTTTAATCCCTTCATGAATGTTATCACTGCGATGTTACGTGAAAACTAATCTCAATGAAAAGTTTGGAAAACATAATCATAAACAGCATGTGAAGCACAATCGTTTTTCAAGTTACTAAAGTAAAGTTTGCATACAGGTTCAACAGACGTGACTAATGCAATTTCAAATAATATGCCTGAGCGTAAGCTGACGCTGAGGTCGAAAATGTGTGATGATTGATTGAAAGAATTCTGCCTACAACTAAAGATCCTCAGGAACGCAAGACCTTTTCAAATCTGACGCGTCTTGAAATTCAGAGTGCCTGAAACAAGTCAAAATGTCGTTGTGTACGAAGCCCACACAAGAGTTACCTGAAAACAACATCTTGGCAAACATATCCAACCTGTGTATATCCGCGTTCAAGGAGAAAATCGATAATTTCTTGTGATTCTTGGCTATTTCTGTCTAGCATTTCCAGTATAATTATGGAAATGGTTATCAGACTCCAGTCGATTCCACGCAAAACATGTATTTCAGCTCCCTCAGTATCAATGCTCAACAGGTCAACTTTCTCCAAACTTTGCTGTCGAAAAATGTCTGCAAGAGTCACTACATTCACATCTACTATGCTTTTCGATCCACCGAAAGTATTGATCTCGCGATTTATCCTTCTAATGTGATCATCCGACATACATTCAAGCAACCCAGAAAGCATCCTCGTGTACCCAGTGCATTGCAGGAATTTTTTAACTCCTGTTGCGTTTCCAACACAGGCATTGTAGCATTTCGAACGGCTACGCACTCTTTTTAGTGTATCATACGTGTTCTTGTTTGGTTCAAAACACAACCCCGTCCAGTTGAGTTGTTGCTCGAAGAAAAATGTATTGCTGAAAGAAAACCCATCTGTGGATCCTACGTCAACAAAAATTCCATTCCTTCTGTTCCCAAATATCTGATGGAGAAAAAAGTCTTGCTGTTCAATCAGAAACGGATTTTTTTGTTGGCACTGGCCGAAATACAATGGACATGCATCTGAAGCCTCGATTCTAGCAAGTTCTAGTCCACCATCATTGAAGTGACCGTCTATCAAAACGGGATCATTACCTCCCTGTTCAATAATGACTGATGCATTGCAGCACGAGTTGTTCGCGGTCCTTTGGAACTCCCGCAACAATGATAGATACTTGCTTCCCGTCCTTGCAGTTGCCTCGTCAGCTATCTCAGATCTGGAGCACATGCAAGATCTGTATATTCGATTTGATATCTCGAATGCTAGTAGCGCTTCTGTCATGCATTCATGGCTTATCAAGGCATCACCCAAAAACTCCCACGCTCTTGGAGACGTTGGATGTTGGCTGAGAATTATCTTGAATTCTTCTACGTCGTGACTAACAAAACAAACGCAAGCTATTCCCTCCAGGATTGAAAGGAGCACGGCAAACCGTATGAAACTCCGAATACAAGGCAGCCACATTCCATCACGAAACTCGCCTCTGCTATCGATGGTCCATCAGACCTGGCATGACTGGTCGCAGGTGAAGAAGAGGAACCTCCCCTCATCTTTGCTGTTGCCCGGGCCCGGACATCCCGCTTCCGAATCCGAGTCCCGGTACTGAGAGCTTGATGAGGCGGGCTTCTCCCGGCCCTATCCAATGATCCGATAAAACCGGCCGGGTCATGGCATTCTCTCCAAAATGTCGAGGCAATGCATGGTGCCCTTCTTGCGCACGAGCACTGTCAGGCATCCAGAAAGCGATCAGTTGATCCGAGCCACCAACTTGGAAATGCTACTTCCCTGATAAGGTGAATTATTGACGCCAGAATCCGGTGTGGGAGAAGCATTGAAAAGATTTGGGATCGATACCAAAGTTTTGCATTATTCATGAAAGCATCACTGTAAGATTCTCAACATACAAAAATCGCCTGAGATCGATTCACTGCTTTGATATGAACTACGAGTTATATGATTTCCACCTCTGAGTCTAGCTAAAATGAGGTGCAACCTGAGCTTGCTCAAGTTCATCTTTGAAGTCAGAGTATTTTGCTTCATAATCAGCTTAAAATGTTCTGATGGACAGATAATCGAAGACACCTCAGATTTCGAAAAAATAATCTTTCCGTCCCAATCAACTGTAAATGAAAGTACTTACTTTGGTATGCATAATTTTAAGTCTGTCCGAAAGTTGATTTAATTCGTTCAGGATCCCAACATTCTTTAGCGATTGGCCCGGACAGAATTGCTGTTGGCTCTTTTGGATCCAAAGCAACATGCAACGGTGGATGTATTCTCGACGCAAGAATGGCTGGACAGCTCGTGGAGTGGTATGGTAGGTAATGCATGCATCCTTTTTCCAGAGTTAAGGGACTTGTCAGGCAATTACAAATGGAATTTGCTGTATTCGGGAACAAGGGATGGATTTAGCAATTCAGCTTTCCAGAGCAGGATGTCAGCAACTGTTACGATTGTCGTGGCGTACTCATGGCATTATTGGAATGGAGCTCCGAGAGGAACATATGTCTTCGGGGGTTACACGTCCCAATCCTGGTTGCAGTCTGCCCATTTGCGATGTGCTGATTCTTCAAATGGTGGGTCTGGAGGGACGTATGCTTGTAACTGGTGGTCTACCTGCACATCAGGTTCTTGTCGCTGATATGCATCGATTTTCCATGAACATTTCCTACAGATGCTTCTTGTGCAAGTTACAGTCAATGTGGATGTTGCGCAAGTTGTGGAGGCACCAACTGTTTTGGATCCTGTTCTCAGACCTGCAATTGCTCTCAAAGTAAAGTCTGATTTTTGAAGCTTTGGAGATAACTTTTGATTTGACAGGTAATTGCTTGTGTTGTGCTAGCAACACTTGCAGAAGTGTATGCGCTCATGTTTCAGATAGTTTTGCAAGCTTATTTCGGCTCATGTATGATGGAACAAATGTTGCAGATCAATATTCAAACTCAGGTGAAGGCCAAGAAATATATGTGTGCAGGTCTGGAATGATCTTGATGATTTGATTTGGGACTAATTACATTGAACTCAGTTCGAGTGGGCCAGCCTTTGGTGCCCTAGGTCAAGGGGGGTTTCCACCGTATACAGATTTTGCCTTGAATATCGATATATCGAATCGATCAGGATTAGTTGGTACATATGGTTATACAGGCCTTGGAGATGCATCATGGGCAACAGGAATCGCTACTGATTGGTACCTGGACGAGATTGGTAATTTTGAAAAGCTTCACGAATACAGAGCTGATTCCTTTCGATATCCAGAGGTGTATGGTATTTCGTCTTGGCAACCAGAAAAAGGATTATTTCAGGTATTGAAGCGTTTGAAAAGTTTGCATTGTCTGAATTGTAAAAATGCAGTATTCCCCTCA